AACTAAAGTTTATTTAGATATTTAATAATTTAAATTAATTAGAATAAAAATCTGATAATCAGAGAGATTAGATTTTTAATAATAAATATTATAAAAAGAAGTTTCAGAGAATTCTCTATAATTATAAATATTCTCTGATTATATTCAGTAATTAAAAAAATTATACTTAATATTTTAAAAATTAAATTTTATTAGATCCTGTCTAATTTTTATAAAGTTACTTATTTTATTTATAATATAATATATATAAAATTACTTAAAGTTAGTTCTAAATTATATTAATAATATTATAGAAAGAATAAAATAAAATAATAAATAAATTTAAAAAGTATATAATTATACTAGTTAATTATAAATAAAATATTAATATTAATAATTTTAATAAAGATCTCTTAATATTTTTATTAAATAAATAAATAATAAAGAATATCTCTGAAAAATATAAATAAAGCCTGGGTTTTTATAATAATATCTTTTATATTAATATATAAATTTCAAAGCAAGCTTTAAAAATTATTATTTAATTTATAAAATAATATAAGCTATAAACTAATAAAAAATTATTATCTTATAAATATAAAATAAAAAATATATCTTCAACTTCTAGCAAGAAATCAGATTTAGATAAAAAATCAGATTCTGATAAGATATTAGATTTTAATAAGAATAAGATAGAATTACTAATATTAAGTTTAGTTATATCTATATTTAAGAAAAAAAACAAGATAAGAGATAAAAATCTATTAAGAAATAAAGAAAAATTAAGAAAAGAAAAATAAAAATAATCAGAAATATAAGATCTAATTTTAATTAAAAGAAAAATCTAATATTAACAAGAAAAAAAATCTGATATTATAAAAAGAAAAATCTAATATTAATAAAAAGAAAAATCTGATATTAATAAGAAGAAAAATCTGATATTAATAAAAAAAAATCTAATTTTAATTAGAATAAAAATCTAGCTTCTGCTTTAATAAAAAAGAAAATCTAATTTTAATTAAAAAAAAATAAATAATAAAAAATAAGATTTTATTTTAAGAATATTTCTTATATAATTCAGAAAATAAACTAGTATTACAAAATTTTTTATAATTTATTATTAATTTTTAATAATTACTTTTTTTTTAATATATATAAATTTATACTGTTATAATATTATTTTAATTAATTAATAAAATCTTCTTTTCAGAATATAATTTATTATCTAATATATTTCTTAAAAATTTATTAGCTTTATTAAATTCTTTTTTTTTAAATTTATTAAATTAGTCTTGTCAAATATAATCTAATTCTAAATTATAAATTATATTTAATAAAAAATATAATAAAGCAGTATTTTTTAATAAAATATATATATAAATCTTTTTATTATAATAATATAATATAAAAACAGCAAGAATAATAATATTTATAAATATAAAATATAAATATTTCTAAGAATCTGCTGTTCAAAAAATATATATATAAAAAAATTTTCAGAAAATTACTTTATTATATAATAATATATCTAAGATTTATTATATTTATTATAAATAATATTTATTATATTTATTTTCTCAGGATTTCTATATTTTCTTAATATAATATTATTTATAGAGCAGATTATATATTAATAAAAATCTTAAAAAAATAATTATTTAATTATTTTTTATTAATTAATTAAAGATATATTATAATTCTAACTTAAGTTAGTTTTTAAAGAACTAATATTTTTTCTATTTCTAGACTTAGATTTTTACTTATATATTAAAGAATTTTATTAATTAAATTTTAAAATTTATTCTTACTATATAATTATTATTTAATATTATTAATTATTTATAATTTCAGTGATTATTATAAATAACTATTAATTTAGATTAATTAATTAAAATCTTAGATTACTATATAATTTATAATTAATTAATAAATAAATCTTATATTAAATAGCTAGAGATACTTGATAATATTCTAAATAATATTAAAATATTAATTACTCTTAATAATTAAATTAATTTATAGTAAAAATTCTTTATAATAATTACTAGTTATTTTATTAGTACTAATTAATAATATAAGAAAGTTCTTCTTAGATTTAAGTCTCTGAATAAAAGTTATATAAATAATTAAATAATAGAACTAATTATTAAAGTTCTTGTTTTTTTAATCTTAAAAATCAGATTCTTATAATTATAATAGATAATACTACTAATAATAATTTAATAATAAGAATTATTTAAGATTAGCTATATATCTAGTTTAAAAATTATAATTTAAATAAGTAGATTTTTAATCCAGCTTTTATTAAACTAGTTTAATTATAAATTTATATTTTTTATTTTATTTATATTCTATAACTTGTTTTAAAGAAATTTCTTATTTTTTTTAAAATTAAAGTAATAAATAATCAAATTAAAATAATATAAAAAAAAAAAAATTTATTAAAATATATAATAAATATTTTCTGAATAATTAAAAAAATATATATTCTATTTAAAATTAGAATTATATTAATAAACTCTTTTTATATAAATTTATAAAATTATAAAATTTATTAATACTAATTCTTTTTATAAAATATATTTTATAAAATATAAGATTAATATCTGAGATTTTAATTTTTTTTAAGATTATAAGACTTAATAAAACTTAATATATCTTATATTTTAATATATAATTACTTTTTAGATATTAATTAATTAATTTATTATAATATAAATATAAGAGAATCTTATATAATTATCTTTTATTTATACTAAATAAAAATAATATAAATATTTTCTTAATTTTATATTTTCTTTTTATAATTTTATCTTAGCTTTTTCTAGTTTTTAAGATTTAATTATAAATAAGATATTTAATATTTATAATATTTTTTTAATATTTAAAAGATATCAGTAAGCTTTTTTAAAATAAAAAAATTTTATAAAAATAATCTTTTTTAAAAATATTTAAAAAAATATAAGAAAAGCTTTATACTTATTATTCTAAGATTTATTATAATTAAAAATATATTTATATTATAATTATTTTTTTTTTATAATTAAAGATTTAGATTTTCAGCTCTGCTGACTAGGCTAATAAAAATAAAAATTAAAAATATAAATATTAAAACTTTTTTTAAAAGTTATATAAGTTTTATTTTACTTAATATTTTTATTTTATATAATTTATATTATTAATCTATTATTTAATTTATTAGATTAACTTATTTATATAAGAAAATACTCTTTTTCAGATTTAAAATATTTCTTAATTTATTAAATTAATAAAATTAATAAATATTTATAAAAAAATATATATATTATCTCTATAATTTATAATTTTATTTAAATATAAGATTTTAACTTAAATTAATTTTTAGATTCTATTAAGATATTTAATATTCTTAAATAATAAAAAAATAATATTTTTTAATTTTTAATTTTTATTATTATAGCTCAGGATTTTCTTTTTATTTTAATTAATAATATTAATATTAAATAATTATTTAATTTATTATATAATATTTATTATTATTATTATAATTATCTATTATTAAAAATTATTTATATTATTATAATTTAGATATATACTAAGAATTTTATTTTAAAATAAGATTTTTATATTATTAAAAATAATAATAATAATAATCTTAATTCAGAATTAAAGAATAATTTAGATAAATAAAATAAAATTTTAGATAAATATACTAAATATATTAATAAGAAGAAGAATTTAAAAAGAAAATTTAAAAATATTAAATATTTAGAATAATAATATAATAGAATAAAAAATTAAGTTTATTTATTTTATTTTATAATTTTTATTATTAATAATCTTAAGAATATTATCTTACTTAATTTTAATTTTATTATTATATTTATATTAATTTAGATAATTATAATAAAGATCTATAATCTATTTATTCAGATTTTTATTATAATTAAAAAAATTTATTTTATCTTTATATATATTTAATTTATAATTAATTATATATATTTTTTATATATTTTATATTTTTTATCTAAAATTAGTTTTTTTATAAAATATAAAGAATAGATAGATCTATTAATTTTAAAATTTTTATAATTATATATAATTTATTTATATAATATAAATATATTAAGCTAAGAGATAAAATCTAAGCTTATAAAATTTAATTTATTTAATCTAAGATAGATTTATTAATTTAATTAAGTCAAGCTCAAAAAATTTAAACCTGCCTGTTGAGCTTATTCACTCACTCGAGCGGGTTCTCTTGATAAGCCAACCCAAGCGAACCCCGAGCTGACAAGCGGGTAATGACAAGCCTAATTTAGCTTAGTTATTTTTTAATAATTTTTATTATTATATTCGCCGGCGCAGCTGTGATAATATATCTAATTTTTTATCTTATTAAGAATATAAGTATAATAAAATAGCAGAGAGATTCTGTATAATTAATAATTATATCTTTAAATTATAATAATATTAATAAAATAAAAAATAAACTTTCTATTCAGGGCTTTCTGAAAAATACTTTAAATTTATTAAAATTATATTAAATAAATTATTTAATATTGTAATTATATAAGTATATATATATAGTAAAATATTAATAGTTTAATTAATATATAATATATCAAAGAGCTAAACAACTGAGTTTATAAAGGATTTAGTAGCCTGATCTGTGATGCTGGCAGATAATCTGTTCTGAAGAAAATTGACTGCAAGAGGGAGTTGTAGGTGGGAAAGAAACTCAGAAATAATTTCTCTGCGGAGGGGGCTTTTATATTTCAAAGTCACAAGGAATTGATGAGGGAATTTTCCTTTATTCATAGTCAGCTGATGTCATTGACTGAAGGGTGAATCGCTGGCTGGTGATAGGGGTTAGTGATTCACAACTCCAGATTTCACTATTCATGTATTACATATTGGGGTTTTCATTGGAGGATCATACGAGCAATATATTTTACCAAGGGAATTAGAATAGTGAATATGATAGTTCCATTCACTGTTAGGTATCAAGTCTTGTCATTTGTGACTGGATAGTTTGGAGTAAAAAGATAAGAAAAAAAAATAAAAACAGCAATATTGAACATTATATTGTATCACGTCTTCACGTCATATATCTAGATGAAAAGGATCTTCTAGGTAGTAAGTATTCCAATCCCAAGACATTCTCTCCAACATATAATACACCCGTCCTGTGATTGTCCCATTCATGAAGAAGCTTTCCAGATTTGGTTGATTTGCTTTTTCCGGACCTATGAGAAATAATAATTAGTATGCGGTAGAAGAAGACAGAAAACAGAAAGAAGGATGGGGGAAGAAACGGAGGAAGGAAGAAAGAAAGAAAGGAAACATACCATCGGAGCCAAAACAGCCACACCGATACTCAACGCAACGATAGTCATGAGCAACTGCAGCTTAGAGAAACCCTTGCCCAGCACATCGAATGACTGGCTAGGGGTTGCTCTGGTAGCAAAGATATCTCCGCCAAAGGCGAAGATCAGACTCGTACTTTCCAAGAGAGTTGGGGTGGAGAGAACAGTTTTGATGCCGGCAACGTCGCGGGAGTGGGTGAGGAACCATTTGCCTTCGAACTGGAGAAAGGGGTTGTACTTGAAGAGACCTTCTTCGGCCTCGAGGGAGGTCGGGTCGCGGCCGACGGGGCGGCGGGCGTCGAGAACAGGACGGGGGATGCCGACGATGGCGTTGGAGAAAGGGAGGGTGCAGAGGAGGTGACGGACGGTGATGCCTTGGCGGGTCTGGGTGACGGCCATGTGGGAAATGGGCTCGGGGATGAGGAAGGCTTGGGCGATGACATGGGGGAGGGGGAGGTCCGTGATGCTGGAGTAGTTGGATGCGGAGTCGAGCGGGCCGCGATCGTTGGGGATGGATGATTCGTAGAGCTCTGAGATCACGAGCTGGTAGCCCTTAGCGTCGGTGGGGTCGACGACGTCGCCCCAGAAGGAGTAGGCGAACCAGTTCTCGGAGATGACGGAGGCAATGGGCTGGGTGGTGTCGACTCCCTGGTGGGCGCTGGTGTGGAGGATCCGCCCGGAGATGGCGTCGAGGAGATAGAACGTGGCCGAGTTGTCTCCCACGGCGGTGATGAGGGCGAGGTTGGGGCTGATGTACTTGTAAAGGACAGACCGGTCGCCGAGGACCTTGCCGATAGAGGCGATGGGGTCATGAGGGGGGCGCGCGGTGGCGTGGATGATCTTCTCGCCTGGGGCAGGGCGGAACTGCCAGGCAGGGTTCTGGTTGTCTCTGGCGAACCATCCAAGGACACTACCGTCATCGCTGAGGGTCACAAAGAACCCTTGGCCATCGACGGACTCCGTAGGCACGCCGTTCTCCTGGATTCCGACGGTGACCGGAGTAGTGCCATCGCTGGCGACGGCAACAGAGCGAATCTTCACGGTAGCGGGAGAGCGGTTGAGGACCTCACCAGACGTGACATCCAGAGTCACGGAGCTGCCGTCATCCACGTAGATGGTCGCGGAGCCTGGCTGGGTCAGGATCGCTTTGACATTCCACGACTCAGTTTCGGCCGCCTTGACCTTCCAAGACACGGCGCCGTGGTTGCCGGCATCAAGGGAGTAGACTCTCCCGTTCTCCGTAGCAACGACAACGGGCCTGACAATTCCGAATCCATCGAGGTTGGAGACCTCGTCCGTCAGAATACTAGTGAGAATGCGCTTAGGCAGCTCCTTCAGCCACTCCGGAAGATGTTGGAGGTCTCTAGCGTGGCGCTTGACACGATGCATGTAGGCACCATAGAGGGTCTCGTGGCCTTCAACTTGGAGTTGATGCGCCAGATCTTCTTGGATGTCCTCTTCAACCCAGGCAGCGGCCAGTGCACCTGCCAGCGCTTCGTACCTAGTCCATTCCGTCTGACCGTTGCGGATCAACTGCCAATCACCAGAGATCAGGGCAGCGGCCGACCGGACAGCGACAGTATCACCCCTGGCAACAACCTCCGACACAGAGTGCAACGCTTGTTCCATGGGAGGAGCCTGGTGAGTCCATCTTCCAAGAATTCCATGGGAGGCAGAGGAGACGACCGTAGTCTCTGACTGGGTGATGCGGGTGAAATACACATTTGCGTCCTTGTTGCTCGTCGAGAAGACAGACCATCCCTCCAGGCGAGGCAGCTCATATGCCTTAGACACAGAGGCTGACTTCAGATCGATGTGGTAAACCTCAGCCCATGTAGTGGAGTCCGTCTCGTAATGCACCAGGAAATGCGGCAGCGACTCGAGCTTCTTAGGGGCATGAATAGTGATTGAGCTGATGCTTTCCCCACTCGTGTTCTCGATATCGAAGGTATGTACCTGTTTCGTTCCGATCACGTTGACCTTGAGGGCCTTCCGGGATTGATCCGCCCAGGTGATCAACGGGGCTGCGGTGTTTGCGCCCACGAAGAGAACAGAGTCGGCGCTCGACACGTCGCTTTCCGAGCTGAGGACCTGCTGTTGGTTTTGCTGACCGGTCAGTGGATCCAAAGAGGTAACCTTGATCCTGTAGCCTTTCCGCGCGGATGATTGTAGGGAAACGTAGAAAACCTCGGTAGAGGAAGACGAGATCTGGATCGGGATGTCACCGCTATAGAGGCCTGTCAGCATGGAATCTCCAAAATAAATCAGCAAAGCAGTGAACCACACCTTTCATCCAAGTGCTCCCACTTGGTCTTTCCGGAATCCCCATCCAGCCTCCTGACGACAGCTGCCTTCCCGCCGAAAAGCGCCACTGTGTCTTTGGTCGGCGGAGAAGCACTGGCATCCTCCAGCTCCAGGAGCTCCAGATCGGCCACAGTTTCATCCACAAACCAGTTTTCCCAGATCAATTTGCCATCCAGAGCGGTCCAGGATGACAGGTAGTCGCCCGCGGCGCTGACCAGAGCATTTGTGCCTTCGGAGGCACGGAGGAGAGTGTGAGCATTGCCATCGGCGGGCAGCGCGGAGCGGGAGAGATTCTGTCTCCAGACGAGGGAGCCGTCTTTGGGGTTCACGGCGCCGAGAAGCGACTTCTCAGACAGCGTGTACAGCAAGGAGGCATTGGAGGAGGGGGAGGGCTTGAGGAAGAAGGTGGACTGGGCAGAGGGAAAGCCGAGTAGCGCGTGGTGGTAATCGACGTGGTTGACCTCGTCCGCGTAAATGGCGAGCGACGAGGGAACGCACGAGGCGAGCAGGAGGAGCGTCGCCTGTAGCCACATAGTTATGACCGGTGTGCTGGATCGGGCATCTGAAAGGGAGGGGTGGACGATAAGCTGGAGATGCTGGAAGTTGCTCCAGTCGATGAGGTTGCGGGCGGTGATGCCACTTGCGGCTAGCCCCTTCTGACATCAACAACAGCTGCCCATCCACTTCTACTTCTTCTTCCTTCTCCAACATGCTCGTTCACCTTTTCTGCTACGATGGACTACAACTCGAGGCATTGGATCCTCATATCCAAAAGACTACTTCATTCCTACTGAACAGTTGGCTTTTAGGTTTTCCCATGCAGGTATGGGGTACTTCTTTGCTCCAAAATCAGGCAGCATTCGACACTATAACGAATTGACGTTGATTTTCAACAAAATAGAGTTCCAATTCCCACATATACAGATGAATCTGTGACATACAGGAGCTTTTACGCTATGGCGAAAAAAGAATCTCAAGCTTGACCAAAGCATGCCTTGTTCGCAGCTTTGACAACTGCCTTCTCGCCCTCGCTCATATCTTCGGCAATCTTCCACGGGGAATTGCCCATACCCATGGCGCGCAGGCCATCTGGGCTGACGGTATTCCACTCCAAGGCTCCCTGAAAGCCGATTTCCCCGGGGCCACCGGCGCCAGGGAAATCCCATGGCGGGGAGTAAGCAAGCGCCGCCTGACGTTGCTTGAGCAGATAGTCCACATTCATGTCACACATGGGAGTGGCAGGAATGTAGAGTACGCTGGAGTCTCCCTTGCCTCGATGTTCTTTATCCACGGAGTGCAAGGAGTCACAGTGCCAGGCGACATAGTCCCCTGGCTCGACTTCAGGAACGGAGACCATCGTGGCTTCCAGTTCCAGGTGTGGGTGAGTAACCGGGTTGTACTCCTGACAGGCACCGGGTACGGAGCCAGGGAAAGTGTTGTCCAGCGCCGGCTGCAGGGTTTGCGTGTCGAAGAACGGCCGGAGGATAGTATAGGCTGTGCTGTGGGTGATCATGGGGCACACGTGCAGTGAGCCTTCCCCAGGAGCCGTGTTCGACATGGACAGCCACCCTTGGAAGAATCGCAACATCGAGCACGCACCGGCTCCGTTGTACAAGTCCATCTTGGCTGAGACACGATGCTTCGCATCCCAAGGGTCATATTGTTCCCACTTGCCCTCGAGAATCTTAGAATAGACCCTAGAATATTCGGGATCCTCCCAACGCTCGAGCGAGCCGCCGTCTATATGAGGACCGAGGGCGAACTTAGCATCACCGGGCTGTCTGATTCGAAGTCGGTCTGCATAGGTCAAGGGGTTCCTTGTGGAGATAGGCGTGTTGGGATCCGATGAATGCCACAGACGTTGCAAAAAGCGCTGTGTATCGAGCAGGTTCGGGTGTGCCCGAGCCTCTGCCTGTGACGGAGTCCAGTAAAGCTCGTATACTGCGGGCGAGTCGGGTGGGAAGGCCTTGACGCAGTCCTTGTTGGCAGCAGCATAGTCCTTGATCCTCTCCTTTAGGTCTAGAGCTTGTCGTCCAGGCAGTACGTTCCTAACCACCACGGAACCTCGGTGACGGATCTCTGCAAGGACATGGTCCGGAACCGTGCCATTAACCACGTCGGAATATCTCACCGACGGTATGATCTATAAATATCAGTGTCACTCTTTCGGATAGAATGGGCAATGTTTGGCTTACGTCGCTGCCTTTCGACTTGATCTGATGGACTTCCTCCTCTAAGCTGGGAAGGAGTCTCTCCCAGCTTTGCTTCAGTGCCTCTTCATTCGCCTGGAAGTATTGCAATTTCAGATCCTTGAACCGCGAAGGCAACGGCTCAGGCTTATAGTCAGGTCGCAGGCTCGGGAAGACACTGGAGATATCACCGGCAGCTTTGGTCATCGGAGAGGAGGCCGATGTCGATGTGGACGCTGCCCGAGCGGCCGTCTTGGAAAGTAATTTAGACATGGACATTGCATCCAAAATCAGGTAGATCCGTCAAGTTTAGAGCCCCCTTCAGCCCCCTTCTTCCCCTCACTTCCCCAGCCAGGGCTTCCCTGATATAATACTCGTCGGAAATCCCATTTGGTAAGGCGGCCCGATTGCCTGTTTCGGTAAGCAGCCGCCATCCCCGCAAAGCCGGCAATCCAAATATCCACGATTCCCCGGGACTCCCCCACTCCACAAAAGACGAGACACGCGGTCATTATTATTATGCGGTCTGGTTCGCGGTTGAGTCAGCTGGATGGAAGTTGATGGCAGCGGAGAAAAAGTCTGTGTGGACTGTTGCAGTGAGGAGTCTGGTATCGCCCACGAACGGCCCGACTACTACCAAGACAGCACAAGCACAATAGGAAGTGGACACGACAGCATGCGTGGTGGGATATCTAGTGGAATTCGGTGGATACTGTCTTCGACCTGTCAGACTTGGACCTGGTCGATCGGCACTTGTCCGATGCGGACAGCTCTGCCACCGCATCACTACTATCTATCGGTACTTGCTCGGATAATGAGCCCGCCAGGGATGTCGCCGTCGGCTGAATGCACAGTATGCTCTATCTATCATCTATGACCGGGAGTCGTGGCCATGATTTCTACACAGTCGACTAGTATTAGAAGGACGCCTAGTCGATAGCCAGCTGCATGAGCACATCGAAGGCACTAGTAGGAAGATAGAAAGCGCAATACTACCCCGAGCCGGCCGTCTTCCGGTCCCAAGTCACTTGCAGGTTACTGTCCTGGGCGCTGCACACGGGCGAGAAGGCCGACGCCGAGGAACTCGTATCACACCCCCTCACAGAATGCTATAAAGCTGCCTCCAAACATCTTGCGCTGAGACGGAAAGCACTACTCTCGAACTATTACCATCAACCTGCCACTCCTCATGTCTTTCTCTGTAAAAGGTCGATCTGCAATTGTGACGGGAGCGGGTTCAGGTGTGTATATGCGATGTAGTCCACAGCAGACACGCCTGGCTAAGTCAATGTAGGCATCAACCTGTGCTTTGCCAAACTCCTCCTCGAGCACGGATGCAATGTCCTGATCGCCGACCTAGCCCTGCGCCCAGAGGCACGGGTTGTCGTTGATCAGTACGCAATCCCATCGAGTGCTCCACGAGCTGTTTTCCAAAAAACCGATGTGACCGATTGGAGACAACTAGAACAAATGTTCGAAGTCGCGGAGCGGGAATTCGGAGAGCTGGACATTGTGTGCCCCGGAGCAGGAATCTTCGAGCCCGTAGGTTCTCCAGCCAGGTGCTAGGTGCCAGGTGTCCAAATGCGGCACTACGTAAGGGGTGCAGGGGCACGCACTTTGCTAACACCTGCCTGCCACAGCACTGGACCAATTTCTGGCGGCCTCCCGGTACGCCGGAGAGTCAAGACGCACGGCATGGAGGCCGATATGCCCTATTGGATATCAACTTGACACATCCGATCCGCACGACACAGCTAGCCATCTCCCACTTTCTCCGGTATGGGAACAATCAGCGACGCAAGCATATCATCCATATCTCCAGCATTGCCGGCCAAAATCCCAACCCGGGCGCCCCCATCTACGTGGCCACCAAACATGGCATCAGCGGCCTGGTTCGATCGTTGGCCATCCTTGACAGCCAACGTGGGATCCGCGTGACCGCAGTTGCGCCAGGAGTAATTAAGACACCTCTTTGGACCGAACATCCGGAAAAGTTGAAGATATTGGATGAGAAGACGGATGAATGGGTGACGCCCGAGGAAGTGGCCCAGGTCATGTTGGCGCTGATCCAACAGGACACGGTGGGTGCGACTATTGGGGATCAGAAGGCCCAGGGCGCCCAGTTCCCGGTCAGTGGAGGGACCATCCTGGAGGTTTCGAAGACGGTGCGTCCAGTGGAGGCGTTCAATGATCCGGGGCCGGGAGGACGGCCCGGCAATACGGTTTCTGAAGGCAAGGTGATATTGGACGAGGTTTATGGTCTGCTGTCGGAACGGGGATGGGGAGTGCCTAAGCTGTAGATCTGGTCAGTGATGCCAATAGCAGCCAGTCAGTGCTGTTTCTCCACACGTTGTACAAAGCAAGTGTAGTGCGTATCGAATGGCTGGAACCTGGCGGAGAAGTTCGTACTTTGAGAGTTCGTAAGTTCGTGTCCGCAAATAACAAACGCAACAAATCCGGGGAAGCGACTGGGATGATGACTGATTGCCGGCCCGTCGCACGCCATTGGGCGGGTGGCCAGTGGCATCTCGTCCATTGGATCCGCCGCCGCCTCACTGCCTCTCTGGCGACTCTTCTGCTTCTCCCCCCAACCCCTCCTGTTGTTCTACACTCTCCTCTCCTTGCGTGTCCGCCTCTATACCGCCATCTCTAGTCTTTCCCCAACAGGCGCGACGGGCTTGACTGGCTTCCAACTGACTATGGTTGATTGACCACCGCAGAATCCTGTCGTGTGGCCACCTTCAATCAATCCTTATCTCTCCCCAGAAGAATCTCTCCTCCGACCCGACCACCACCACCACAACCCCAACAACCACCTCTCGAATCGTCACGATGATGGACGATGAGGCATCTATCAGGGCCGGCTCCCCCCGACCCGGATCTCGAAGGTACGCGACATCCCCTGACCCTGACCCTGACGGGTGTCTCCCCGTGCTCCTTATCGCTAACCGCCGGCCGGTGTCGCAGAAACGGAGCCAGAGGGAAACGAGCCCCCGGGCACCATGGTGAAGCCACCTGGATCAGTTGTGTGATCAATCTGGTCAATACGAGTGAGTCGAACCGTGCAGCATCTTATCTCCGCGTTCGGTCCGTTCCTGACGAAGTGGTGGTCTCTTAGTTATCGGGGCCGGTGTTCTGGCCATGCCTCTCGCCATCTCGCACATGGGAATCGTCCTCGGCGTCTTTGTGATATTGTGGTCGGGAATTACGGCAGGGTTCGGTCTATATCTTCAGTCGCGGTGTGCGCAATACCTGGAACGGGGCACGGCGTCCTTTTTCGCCTTATCGCAACTCACCTACCCGAATGCGGCCGTGGTCTTCGATGCTGCTATCGCGATCAAGTGTTTTGGAGTCGGAGTTAGCTACCTCATCATCATTGGGGACCTGATGCCGGGTGTCGTTCAGGGGTTCGTTGGCGGGGCTCCGGATTACGATTTCTTGGTGGACCGGCATTTTTGGGTCACGGCTTTCATGTATGCGAGCGCCGCTGCTGATACTGATCTGGATTGTGCTGACTGATTGTGCTCAGGTTGATTGTCATCCCCCTCTCGTACCTCCGCCGATTGGATTCGCTCAAGTATACGAGTATTGCGGCTCTGGTCTCGATGGCCTACCTGGTGGTTTTGGTTGTATACCATTTCGTGAAGGGGGACACCACGACTGATCGGGGCCCCGTTCGCGTGATTCATTGGGCTGGCCCCGTTCCGACCCTCAGTAGCCTCCCGGTGATTGTCTTTGCATTTACTTGCCACCAAAATGTGAGCTCTGCCGTTCCATCCGCTGTTCCCTCGTATCTTTCTGACAAAAAGCGCAGATGTTCTCCATTCTGAACGAAATTGGCAACAACAGCCACTTCCGAACCACTGGCGTTGTTTTTGCCAGCATCGGCGGTGCTGCTGCCACCTACATCCTGGTTGCCATAACCGGTTACCTATCGTTCGGAAACAGTGTGGGTGGCAACATCGTGAGCATGTACCCCCCCGGGCTGTGGGCCACGATTGGACGGGCCGCTATCGTCATGCTTGTAATGTTCTCGTACCCTCTGCAGTGCCACCCATGTCGCGCCTCTGTCGACGCGGTGCTGCGTTGGAGACCTAAGTCTGCGTCTGCTAGCGACAATTCGCCGCACCGGCACCCTCTTCTGGGCTCGAAGGGAACCCGAACCCCAGAGCCGATGAGCGACCTTCGGTTCTCCGTCATCACGACCACCATTCTTGTCTTGAGTTACATTGTGGCCATGACAGTATCCTCTCTCGAGGCTGTACTTGCTTATGTTGGCAGTACTGGCAGTACCAGTATCAGCTTCATCCTCCCCGGCTTATTCTACTACAAGATCTCCTCTCCCGATTCGCCCCACCACCAGCGTCTGTTGAAAGAGGACGACGAGGCAGAAGACGGCATGATATCCGATGACAGCAACGATGACGCCGACGAGGAGAGCATCCAGGCCCGGCCACTGACGGAAAGCGGCATTCTTCGCCGTGGCACCCGCCAATGGCGCAGATCCCTGCTCCGCAAACTGAGCCTGGCGCTCGTAATATACGGCGTTGTGGTCATGGTCGTTTGCTTGATCACGAACTCTCTTTTTATCGCTTCTCACTAGAACTTCGAGACGGACAGGCACCCATCTCGCGCACAACTCTAACGTTGTGTGGCTTTTCTCCAACTTCCCTACTTTCCTTTGGCACTCTCGCATTGCACCGGGATGGACTCTTGCATTTTCCTTTTTGCATAACCTACACTCCTTGATTTTTCTTTCCCTTTCCCTTTCCCTTTCCCTTTTCCTTCTTCAATTTTTTTTCTTACATCTTCTTCCCTGGTTATCTTGTTTATCTAGATTTGAGATTTGACTCTCACCACGATCGATCGATTACAGTGTCGGGTTAGCAGCACCACCACCACCACTATACCATGGCAACGGCGTTGGGGATATTGTTGGTCCACTTTAGATATATCTTGCTTACGTCTACTGAATTCTTGGAATAAATCGATTGATTTCTCTGTCTGAGTTCTACAGCTGGTCCTTCTTGGTCTTATAGTTTTGTTGTAATTCGAGCTAACTATCATAAGGTCGAGTTTCGCCTTTTTCTTTCTTTTTTCTTCTTACTTGAGGCGTCTGGTTCTTGTTCTGGTTTTCTGTAGCAGATTGTTCTTGTTCTCTAAGAGAGAAGAAAGAAATACGTACGTGATACAGTGCTATGAATCCCGGATTTTCTTTTACTATCTTATTTATTTAGTCTTTCGCGTTTTCTTGGCTGGTTTGGTTGGGAGGGGTGCGGTGCGGAGTACATAGTCCGTGTGTAAAAGTAAGATTGCGTCCGCGATCAATATCCGAACGGGTTTACAATCCGAACATGTATACATAGGAGCTACTACTACATACAGATTGATGGATCTGATCGCCTAACTTTAACTTGTTACTTTATACGGAGTACCCATGGTACTTCCTATTCGCATGATTTACTTGATCTAGATAGTAAGGTTGAATTAAAGTAAATAACATCACATTCATAAGCTACCTACCTACCTATAAGCATAGCAAATACACGCATTGGGAGAGTTGTATCGGTAACGAACAGAGAAGAATGAGCAGGCTTCAGGAGGGTACTGTCATCAAGACAGGGAGACGGAAAGACAGAAAAAGTAACCAGTAAGGGGAAATACGTAATATAACAGAGCCGGGGATCATTAGAGACAGTAGAAGCCATCTCGGAGTTATTTATCGGGGCGCAGAGCAGAGCAGGGCAGACTCTCCTGCTCTCTCCACGTCGAGGCACATCCATTCTTAACCACCGCTGCCACAGCCACCGTCACCCCCCGACATCATCCACAGCCCCCACTTAGTTATTATTCTGGTTATTCAAGATCCTGAGAATAGCCAAAAACAAGTTCAAGATATCCAGGTACAGCGAAATAGACGCGGCGATCTCCTCCTCCACATGGTAATGCCTCATGACCAACTGGGTATCGACGAGAATATACCCAGAGAAGATCAACGCGGCCAGACCACCATAGATGAGCTCGATGGTGCTATTGGCGGGGATAAACACGGCGACGAAGCCGAATAGGATGAGGAACCACAGGGCGCCAAAGAGGTAGGGCATCCAGTTGGTGAAGTCATATTTGGTCTGGCAGGCGAAAAGGGTGAGGGCGACGAAGAGGCCGAGGGTCAGGACGAGGGCCTGCACGACGATGCGCGAGTCGTAGAACGAGACGGCGACGCTGATGGAGTAGCCTTCCAGTAGGGTGAAGCCGGAGAGGAAGAAGAGGTTCGCTGGGTAGGATTTGCGCTTCCAGTAGGTGAAGAGCATGAAGGCCAGGGCGCCGAAGACGGAGAGAACCATCAGCCAGGTGTTGGATTTGATCCATGTTCGGTAGGCGGGGCTGAAGAAGGAGATCGAGCTGAGGATTGTGGTGAGGAGGAGCTGGGCGGTTCTGGGGTTGGTTGAAGGATGGTTAGTTCGGTCATAATGAGATATAGGTGGGAAGGATGGAGGGCGTAGATAGTGTGGTGTTAATCAGGGTGGATGGATGAGATGGGCTTACAGAATGGAGTAGACCTTGCGGATGAACTGCATACGGATGGGCAGGGTGCCCTCCGCGACGGTGCCGCCGAACTGGAGGATATTGTCAGATTTTGTGACGTGATTTGAGGGGATGGTGATGGATGCGTACCTTGAAGTCATCCGGGACGTTGTCATCCTCGCTGCGTGGAGGCGCTTGCGAGAAGTCGTCGGTTGCCTGATAAGACGGCGGGGGCTGGGTGAAGGCGCGCTCCTCCTCGATGGAGTCTCGCTGCGGAGCGGGCTCGTATCTGGCGTTTGCAGCCATGGTGCTGGAGATGTTGGCGACGGGGTCAGGACGAAGGGATAGATGAGAGCGAGCGTGTTGATGGGGTGGTGGTGTAGATAGATAGTTACTACAAAGTAGATGGAGAAGGAGGCGAGTGGAGAAGTCGCGCGGGATCATGACCTCAGCCGCCGCCAATCAGGCGCCCGCGACTCAGCCGCGCCCCAACCGGGAGGGTCCCGTGATGGTCGCCGTATGAGGCTAGCGCTGTCGACACGCGCCGATCCCCGTTCGAGCCCGGGCGAGGCCTTTTCTTTTCGAACCCATCTTGGTTCCTCTGAGTCAAACAGTCTAAAATACTGGAAGTAATATCTTTAAGATGCAAACTCATGGGACGGTGAGAAATGAGGGACGAGAAGAGATAAAAAGGAGGTGATGATTATGGAGAAGTGAGATATTGCGGCGCAGCAGAATGGAGATGGTAACAGTTAAGTCAACAGGGCAGGCTCAAGTAAAGTATAAGTGTAGACAACAGCGCTAGCAGTAGTAAGCAGTTGAACATTGATCTAGCAAGTCAGATTTCATTCATTAGATAGGATTGATCTTGTAACGTAACGTCTATTAGGGTCAGTAGTACTATGTATTATATAAATCGTAATATATGCGACGAAAAAAGGATCGTGAGAATCATCTTGCATCCGTTACCAGAAGTTGTTTAATCCCATCTCTTACCATCTAATCGTCGTCACGGTAGGCATGCTCCTCCGCGATGACATCAGTCGCGTCCATGAACGTCCGGGCATCGTTCTCCTCCTCGTCAGTTGAATCTTCCGGAGAGTCCAGCCCATCGTGGACGACAGTGGACCCAGGCATCTGACCAGGCCGCTTCTTACGCTGGAAGTCCTGGGCGTGGGCGGCAGCGATCATGGATCCGACGCGCGTGAGGTTGCGGGCGCGAGCAGACATGCCAGGGGTGGACGGGGTTCCGTGCTCCATGTCGCCGAAGGACGGGATGGTCAGGGGTTGCTGTTCTTGCAGCGCCATGCCATCGGTGGGCTGCTCTGGCGGTGGGTGTGGCAGAGAGACCTGGTACGGGAGAGGCACATCCCGCGAAGCGCGGAACAGCAGCACGTTGGTGCAGTGCTCGTTTTCCACACGGAAGATAGTCCAAACGCCTCGTCGACACACCTCGGAAAGAGAGACTGCAAAGCTGAGCATCGCTGAATGCTGGATGTCGCGGGTGAAGATGGCGTAGAAGATCCAGTTGAACCGGATGACCACGTCAATAATCATGGCGACATAATAGACCCATGCTTGTCGGAATGCCAGAACCTCGCGCAGCATGGGGCGCTTGGCGTGGGGGTTTCCCAAACTCCAGTCCATGACAAGGTCCCAGACGGAACAATACACGGCGTTGAGCAGCGCGAATGTAATAAACGGAGCCTCGAAGCGAGCCACCTTGTCGACGCGGTACATGCTCAGTGTAGCGTAGTAGAGAACGGTGAACATGTATTTTCCGAAGTTCAGCAGATGGGGGAACGCGTTCCGAGTATCTGCAAAACGACGCAGACACTGCAGAGCTCTCCAGATGCCCGGGAGACAGGTGAAGAAACCAAGAAGCCTTGAGTGCGTGGAGTTGCACTGGGCAGGGTTGTTCCAATGTTGGGCATACAGGCAGAAAAATAGTTCAATGTTCTAGTTCTCGTAAGTCGTCACGCTGCTATGCAAGAGAATGAATCTGACTCACGCCCATCGAGTATGTCTGGGAGCAATACATATCTCCCAGGAAGAAATCGCGGAACTCGACCGGATAGAAGCCGGCGAGGAGTAGACGCCACTAATGCTGTCAGAGTAACTCCACAGTGCAAGAAGATGATTACTCACATTGGAGTATGCCCACCATTTGCGGCTGCGGTGGTACAGTATCCGCACAGGCATAAAAAGAACAGTGACCGTCATACCTATTAGAATGACGGGCCAATAGATATACATGGCGTTGATTGACATGAAGTTGAGCCACATGATTAGACCTAACAAAAATAGAAAACAGGCTGGCAACTGCATGATGTTAGAAAAAAACTAGGCCGTGGAATGGAAATACTTACCTCAGTGAGCTGGCGCCAGTCCAACGCATGTCTGGTGTCGTATTCAAAAACAAAGACATAGTTGATCTTGGCCCTCGTCCAAATCATACAGTCAAAGCAAAACAGCAAAACATGGAGCACGATGAGGAAGTAGCCCGCATATATCTATGGGGTGTTAGCTGGTGTCGAAATCTCTGGTCCATATAACTAACCTGAAGTAAGTACTGTGTGTTAGTCGCTGTCGTGGGATCGCGATCGTGAAGGTGCCGTTCGGCGTATACTAAAGCTTGAGCAGCAAACAGCACACCGCCCATCATGAGGATGCCTGCACGGAATGTATTTGGAGAATAATCTCCAGTCTTGGTGGTAGTGTGACGCAACTTCGAGATAGCGATTTTGCGGTTGCCACGCTCAAAATAACGAGCGTACAGATCTTCAGCAGAGGTCATTAGATTCTCCGTGACCTCACTCTGCACGAACCACGATTTATTGACCTTCTCCGACATGAACCGCATGGCGGGGCGGGAATTGGTCGCCTTGTCGTACTTCTTGTTGATCTTCCGAAAGGCCGTGCGATTTAGATAAGCGTAGGCCTTGAGCAGCTCGACACCGCGATAGTATTCCTGGAGAGCGTGCTTCAGTTTCCTCTTCGCAGAGCGATAGGAGACATCCGCAGTGGTCGGGTCTTCCGGACGGCGCGCGAAATCCCGACGGCTTACACTGGGATCATCTCTTGGCCTGTCCGCTGGGGTAGCCAACTCCGCCAGAGCCTTGGAATTCTTTCCAAAATGACGACCAGCCAAAGCGTCCCGTATGCGAGAGCCATTAAACCCAACAAAGCCATTGGCCTTATGGGTCCCTTGCGTCTCGGGCCGAGCCTGGCCCAAGACTTCCTGGGTGCGTTGGTCTCGCATGATATGAAGCTGGTGACGGAGCACCTTCAACCGTTCTGCAGCTTCCTGTTCCTTCATCTGATAGAAGGACTCTATCTTAGACAACTCCCCCTCCAGGAAGGCGAAGAATTCATCCTGTCGCTTTTCCACTTCTATCGAGCCCGCCGCGTTTGCACGCTTTTCGGGCGTATCCCAGTCCGCATGAGACAACACCCGCTGAAGTAAGGAGCTTCTCCTGGCAGATGGTCCCGAGATGGTGTTTCGTTTTGGGTCCTTATCCAAGGCAAATTGGGGCACCGTGGGGCTTCGATCGGTCGTCCCGCTGGGAGCTGTCTGCGTGCTTACACGCCGCGACATAACCGGAGAGGGACTTTCCGGCACGCTATTCCGCTCGCCATCCCTCTCTGACGGATAGTCTTCATCCTTTGGATCCATTGCTGGATCTGGCAGCTGGAAGGAACCCCCATCCGATGCGGCGCCATGCTGCGGTGGTGTGACAATAATGCTCCCATATCCTCCGATGACTCCCCCAGAGAACCGAGACCCTGGTAGACGCAGTGGCTGGCGCTCGCTCCGGCTGGAAGGGGAGCGCGGCGAGCGCGGCGAGCGCGGCGAGCGCGGTGTATGTGGTGTATGTGGTGTGCGCGGTGTAAAACCATAACTTTTGGCCGGGGGGGAGGGGTCGTGGGACGGATCGGTGGTGGTCTCGACTCTGCTATCCGTGCGGTGGAACGGCGAAGGGCGATCAGAGTCCAGAGGACGGTCGGGCGGAGCACCGTGTACAGAACTGCGACGGCGGAGGGAGGGATGGCTGGCACTTCGATTCGCCTTCTGGAGGGCGCGGGAGATGGCTTTGACTTTCTTCTTGCCGGTCTAAGACAGCGTAGGGCCAGTCAGTCACGGTGGGATGTGGCATCGCGACAGGCAAGACATACTAACCTTATAGTCTAGATATTTGGCCCGCCATTCCGGAACCAAGTCCTGTTCTAACTCCCTATTGCAATTGACGGGTTGGTTATCTTGCGCGGGTTGGAGATTTCCAGTGACATTGGGTGAACTAACTTGGCGAATTTCATCCTGAGAAGGTGAAGGTAGGAGTGAGCATGGTATTCAGGAAGGAGAAGCAGGCGGCGGGCCTGAATTAATTATATGCGGGCCCGGTGTCATCCGTGGTAAGTGACGGTGAGGGAAGGGATCAAAAGGCGTGGATGTGTTGTATGGAAGTATCCAGCCTAGGATGTATTGGATCGTCCTAAAGGGCTCGTAAAGCGCGCCTTTCTCATGAAGTCATCCAATAGTCCAGGACCCAAGTAGGCATACTAATCGAGATACGAGCAAACGGTTGCCGACCGACAGTGGAACAAACGCGATGAGCCAACCAAGATACGCCCACAAGGGGGGGAAAGTGAAAAAAGAGGAAACAGGAAAAAGCAAAGTCAAGTCCAGCAAAGTCCAGCACAGAAAAAAAAAAAAAAAAAAACACGAAAACCTTGAAGGGTTGATAGATCTCGTCATGCCTGTTGGGCGATCAACCCAATGGCAAGCAGTGGCCGAGACGTCCTGCAGCAGGGGCTCCTGATTGGCCCGGGGCCATGCACGTGCTGCACGCGATGAGCTCATTTGCAGCGCAGCGACTGACTTGGCATGGCCGCTTCCAGCTGCCTGATTGGCCGCTCACCCCCCCGGACTAATTCACCCGTTTGGGACATCGGCTTTCCACCGGGATTATCAGCGCCACGCCGCCACGCAGCCACACCGCCTCCGAGGATGCCTGAACGGTCAGGACAGCCGCGGTGGCTGGATCGGGCTGAATCTCACCCGTGGATCGTTCGCAAATTCCCCTGGCCGCTGTCGAGCTTCCCGGTAAACCCCCGATTTTCCGGGCTGCTGGATCTCCGTTCAGTCGCACTTCTCGGGACACACTCGCATCCATGGGGCATGGAAGACCCTTGCCTACCGTCAATGCATGATATTCCGCGAGCTTGCCCGAACGGGTGGAATCCTGCATAACCGTTCCCTGGGCAAGCCTGCTGTTATCGCTATCGGTATCCGCTCGCAATCACGGGTGTCGGTGTCTACGTTGGTGGGAGTGGATAGAAGAGTATTGGTCTTTCAGGTATCTAGTGGTTTGATATTTGCATTTCAGCAATAAATACATGCAGGAGACGCACTGTACAGGCTGTCTCATCAGATGATCAAATTCATTTCATGCCAACACATTCATTATCGCATCAACCCCGTCGACAGGTCCAACGCCAGTTTGTTCCCATCGCACACGCTTAGTACCAGCCGCGGCCACCAGGGCCGAAGCGGTCGTGAGGAGCGAAGCGGGGGTCGAACTCGGGGGCGCCGTGGCCGCGCTCGTAGTGCTCCTCGTACATGCGGTGGGCGTTCTCCTTGGCGTGCTTGTGGGCCTTGAGCTTGTCGATCTCGTCCATACCCTTGGTCTCGGCGAGCTTGTCGACCTCAGCGCCGACGAGGCCGGCAATGACCTCCTTGGCGAAGGCGTGGCTGACGGTCTTGCCTGTAGGATAGTGTCGTTAGCATACGGCTCGGCTTGGTGTACCCCTAGGACCAGGGGGAAGGAGGATTCATACCCTGCTTGCGCTGGTGGTCCTCGAAGAGCTTCATGCCCTCGAAGGAAGCAGCACCGGCGAGAAGCTCGTGAGAGAAGTGGCTCTCGTGCTTCTTCTCCCCACCGTAGACGTCACGGTGAGCGTCATCAGATTGGTCTGGATCGAAATCAGCGTCAGTTATCAAGCTGTTGGGCTGCGTGGAAAGCCGCAGGTGATCGCGTGTCGCGAGGCTGACGGCACAGGGGAGAGCCCTGTCCGGTCAGACAAGGATGAAGGTGTGAGAATAACTTACCCCAGCCCCAAGCCATTGTGATTGATGTATGAAGTAGTGGAAAGGGTAAGAAGAGAGGTAGAGGTGGTAGGAGTAGTGTGTGTGAGGATGAGAAGGAAAGAAGTCCAACGAGAGGGGACGAAGCATCTTATATACACGGTACCCAGGCAACCCACCTCAGCTCTTCAGCCATCTTCGGTAGCCCCTCCAAAGACCAGATTGACTGCCCCACTGCCGAATCTCACGGAATTACCTCAAAGTGTACTTACTACTTGGGGTACTGGCTGCGGCGCAACATGGTTCGCTCCCCACGTCTGGTGGTGTGGATCAAGGGCAGATCGCATCCAGTGATCAGGCTGGGCGCCACGCTGGCCGAAACTCCCCAATGGAGGCAGGGACAGCGACAGGCGCAGCATATGGGCCGATGTTTGATTGGAATCATCGGTAACGCTTACACGCGCCCCAGAGGGCCGAAAATCGAGAGCCGGCTGCCAATTGGGTTGGGGCCAGCGAGGTCTACTGACCTAGCCACAGCCTCGTATACGATGTGATGGGCGCGGGATTCCACTCAGGGGCGCTAGAGGGGCAGCTCGGGATCGAAACATCGGGTTCCAATGAGGTAAGACGGATAGCCAGGGGCCCGTGGTGAGGCTGTGTACATCTGCATCAGTCGTTACCCCTCCTTCCCCGGTCTTACGGCTGATGTAGACGCGGCGTTGCAGATGGACTCCCAGGCCGGACGACTTGAGTATCATCAATTTCCAGGCCCTCCTGGCCCCCATTCTGTTCCAGCGATCACCGGGATCATCGCAGGCAGGAGGTACGCGTCCCAGGGTCAGAACTACGATGTCCATTCTTGGCTATTGGGTCACGATGGGGGGGTCTCCTCAGCCTTAACTCTGGGCGAATCCATTTGAACCAAATTAGCGCCTCAGCCACAGCTTGCCCAGGCTTGGCGGGTGCGAAGCTGAGCCGGTCGAGCCGAGCGTGATCTTGGCCAAGAGTCGCTTGGTGAGGCTTGTTCGGAGGCCCTACGCTGGGCTGTGGGAGAGTGTTCATCCGCCTGATATCTGATATGATCACATCTTAGGCTAGATACGGAGTACTCAAGTGCGAGCTGTCAACGACTCAAAACAGCAAGGTGTCCAGGCTTGAAACGGCCTCCAAGGCCTCGGTTTTCGGGGATAATTTGCTAGCCAATGTGAATTGGATTCTATTTTGGTTGCAGCGGGTGGAGTGCGATCCACCATAAACCTCAATTGCCCGACATTTGAACCGAGGAAACCGCAACCTCAATAATAATAGTCCGGCTGCCCCTCATCCGTGGCGGTGCAAGGCCATCCCACTGAGGCGGTGGCTGTGCGGTGTGGTGTGGCTTGGCTGACGAGATGCGAGATGCAGGATGCGCGTTGGGCTACAGACGCCACGACATGGTCTGGAAGGGATGGATTGCATCATGCCGTTATAGATACGGAGTAGATAGACAGACACAAGGCTGCGGAGCTGATGAGTAGCGGTTTCATCTAGCGCCAAGGCACGTCATCTTGCCAGTACGCTTCATTGTATTTGCCTGATGGCCAGTCGTTGCTCTGGCGCAGATGATGCAGACAGAGTGTCAAGGAGGTAGTCGATATCACTTCAATTGCCGTTCCTGACACTGCCCACCATGAGGGAATCCGGTCAGTATTATCTACTAGGATGTACTTAGTTATGTGGTGTTGAATGGTCTCCGTGCATGTACCCCCAGAGGAAGCAGCCACGCTAGTTCCAAACAGGCAACCAACTGCAAGAGCTCTACAATTCTCTCTCCAACACCCCTCACGGGCTACAATCCCACCACCACCACCAGCAGCACCATCAATCTGCTCCCCTCAATTTACACCCCCCTCACAAATCTCTCAATCACAAACTGAACAGCCAAACAACCCCTACCACACCACACCACACCGAACCCCCCAAAATGCCCACTCCCCCCAAAAAATCCGACTTCCCCCCAACCTCACCCTAACCATCACCCCCCTCCCACCAGCACAACATCAACAACAACAACAACAACAACAACCACAACCCCGCACGCACCGCCCAACATCCTCCTCCTCCTGCACGGCCTCGGCGACCGCGCCCCCAACTTCACCCCGCTCGCCTCATCCCTCAACCTCCCCGAGACCATCGTCCTAACGATCCAAGCCCCCCTGCCTCTCCCCTTCGACCTGGGCGGCTTCCACTGGGGCGACGACGTGACCTTCTCCCCATCGGGGGATCTGGACATGGACGCGGGCTTCACGCGCTCGACGCGCATGCTCATGCAAGAGGTTATACTGGACACGCTGGTGGGGAAGTGCGGGTATCGGGTGCGCGATGTTATGGTTTTGGGGCTCGGGCAGGGAGGGATGGTTGGGTTGGAGGTGGCGAGGGGGTTGGCTGTGAAGGGGGAGGAGGGGTTGGCGGGGGTGGTTTCGATTGGGGCGCCGGTTGGGTTGGGGATGCCTGGTTCTACGGCTGGATCGGGGTCGGGGGTTGGGGTTGGGGTTGGGGTTGGGGATACAAAGGGGGATGCTGCGACGAAGGCCAAGGGGGGGAAGAGTCGGACGCCCGTGTTGGTTGTGGGTGGACGGGCGGATTCATCGGCTGTGGGTGAGGCGGGGGTGAGGCGGACGAAGGAGTGGTTTGAGTTCGTGGAGGTACATCGCTATGGGAGGAGGGGGGATGGGATGCCGCGCAGTCGAGACGAGATGTTTCCTGTCATGGCGTTTTTGGCGAGGAGGTTGAGGAGTTGGAAGGGGGTTCCGGAGGGGAGTGTGGAGATTAGTTGAGGGATATACGAAGGGATGGGAAGGGAAAGGGGAAGAGGGTGTGGGTGAAATGTGTTGTATTGTACAGTCAGTCATAGCTACTTGGTATATGGTCAGGCTATTGCAGCTCCTCGAGAGCTTTCCGGGCCCGGTCGATGGTTTCTCTGGCTTCCTTCTCGGCGGAGACATCCTCGACCCGCCGGCCGCCTTGTCGGGCCATCTCGTGCAGCTGCGCCTCCGTCTCCAGCAGGGCTGTCCGCCCGTCCTCGCGCACTTCCGCCTCCCACCAGGTCCGCGCGGAGTCCCACTTCCGCTGTTGGCTGCGCAGGGAGTAGATCAGGCCGATGGCAACCACGGTGCAGGTTTCGTAGACGGTGGCCGAGGGCAGCGAGACGTATGTCAGCGCGGACAGCGCAGAGGTCAGCGTGGTCGTGGACATGCTGAACAGGACGAGTCGTTGCGCCAATGCCTGCAGTGACGGCACCGTCGTCTCCGTGAGCCGGGCACGGCTTGCCGGGATTTGCGTAGGCCAGGCATCGTCCGTGGCAGGTGTTTTCTCGTCGGTCAGGCCGGCCTGCTGGAACCGGCCGGCAGTCCAAATCACCTCCTTCTCGGCCTTGCGCAAGAATTTGCGGTCCAGGATCTCCGACGTGATCATGCCCACGTCATCCACGCGCCAGAATAGCTTCCACCATGCCAGTCCTCTCCATTGCTTGCTGGCGAAACCTTCATCCAGCGAGCCGCGGAGCTCGGTGTGTGCTCTCTCCGCCCACTCGGACACGGACCGGTCGAGACCGTCACGAACCTCCCAGGGCACCAAGCCGGACTCTTGCTCCTGGATCTTCCTGGCTTCGACGGCAGCAGCACCGGCATCTGCCGCGTCAAGCAGAGACGTGATCAGCGTCCTCAAGGACGGATCCAGCGTCCCTTCGTCCGCCCGCAGCGACGCCAGCCAATCCACAACGGGCTGCACACCGCTACTGTTCCAGCCCCGTTCGTAGAGAGACGCATTCTGCACTGATTCCCGGAACTTGGACAACGCCTCGTCAGCCTTATCGATGTCCACGAAAGCGACCCGTCCGTTGTACTTCTGCGGCTCCGTGACCGCCAGCTCGATAGCCCCGTAGACCGATCCAGCCTCCTTCTTCAAATCCGATCGCGCCATCAAACCGCTGTACGCGAGAAAGCCGTCGACACCACTGCCGCACACGATAGTCCGGTGCACCGGATACCGCACCATGTTATGCCGTCCAGAATGTGATGTGCGGATGGTGACGGTGGGCACTAGGAACGTGTCTGCAGTGAACTGGGCGTTTGAAGAACCCGGCTCGGCCCCAAGACTGGTGACCAAGATTTCCAGGTTTCCCTTCTTCAGGATAGGCGCAGGGACCGAGATCGTAGGGAGAAGGTTGTTCGGGATGGTTTCGGATACCTCGCCGTACCTGTAAACCGTCGCGTCAGCCGATGCCCGCATTCATCTCGAATGTCTGTATACGTATGGCACATACCGAATCAGCAATCCCCTCTCCGTATCCTCGCCATAAGCATCCAGCGCATCTTCCCAGCCCTCCCGCGCATTCAACGGATCAGCCAGTAACAACCGGACGAGCCTGCGCGCCGCTGTCGCGTCATTCAGCCCCAGCACTACCACCAATATGACCATTAGCACGCTGCATCAGACGCAAACTCAAATTCACGGTATAGCATATGCACCCACCAGCAACCCGGATCAAAGGCGTCTCCGACTCCAACCCTCGCAACGCAAGCTGCAGCCGACTCAGATTGACCTGCTCTGTGGCGACATCCTTGACCTGGTTCAAAGCTTCGTGAAGCTCCTTCAGTCGGGGAGGGACGTGTCGTGCATGGACGACGGGGGAGGTCGCGATGGCGCGCTGGGAAGCGGCCCAGGGCAGTCGGGATTCGGCGAGAGAAGGGTTCGGACGCGTGGAGAGGGAGCGTCGCCAGGTGGCGCAGGACGGGCAGTAGAAGACGGCCGCAGAGTCCTTGGCGCGCAGCAGGCTCTTGGAGAGCGCGCCGCGGAGTTTGGGAGGCATTGACGGGGATGTGGGAGGAGACTGGCGAGGAGATGGAGATGGAGGAGGCTGCTCGGTCGGCCATCCTGCCCGGCGATAAGTTCGCCGGCGTCTTGGCGCCGGGGCGGATTGGTGTTGCGGAGTTCCTGCAAAGTACTACTACTATCTAGATCGGATGGATTGGCCAACCAACCATCCAACCCATATGCTATGGATGTATGAATATACTATGGTTGGATGGATGCATGTCTGATGTGTGAAAGTCTTGTGTTCCCAGGTATGATATATAATGTATGATGTATGAATGTAATGTAAAACAGGCCAATAATAGAAAACCCGAAAAGCACAATGCCTGCCTGCCTGTCTGCCTCTATTTTACCTCCCTGCTGCATCGCCATATCCAGATGATAGTCTATCCTTGACAGGGCCAGTTGACAAGAAATCAATCCTTAGAAGAAAAAGAACCGAACAGTACATGTAGGATGTATATAAGGTAGTGTTAAGAAAAAAAAAAAAGAGATGTGTAAAGAAAACAAAAAGTGATAAAATAGTCCACCGCGGAGAGTAGTTCTAGAATGCGCGCAGTTTGTATATGTGTAAGTGGTTAGGAAGTGGTAAATTATCTATTTGGGGGTGGGGGAGGATGAAAATGTGTTTGGGAATAAGACTGACAATGAGAATGAAGGGGAAAGGGAATCACTTGGGTGCCATGCGTGCGTTATAATTAGTATTTTGATTTGGGGATCAAGGGGTGTGCATATGGGGTGTGGTGTATATGAATGGAAAGCCAACGAAATAAAACGCAAAGAAAAGGTCCAAGAGATACCTAGATATGCAATGCATGCAGAGAGGAACTGAACTGAATCAAGCAGCCACCTGCACGGGGATGGAATCTCCATTAGCCGTTGCTGTCTCATTGTCAGACTTGGGGTCTTGAAGAAGAACCTTCTCGTTCGCATCGTCCTCCGCGCTGGCTTCGGAAGGCTGTTGCTCCTTTTCTTGCTCGACCGGGGCGCCGTTGTTAGAACTCGTTCCGGATGACGATGGTCCGACGGGCACATCTCGCTTGCGGTCCTTGCCGTCGACCTTGCCCAGGATCTGAACGTAGGAGTCCTTGAACAGAAGAGGACCCTTGATGAGACTGGGCCTGGTGTTGGTCTCTCCCTGGGAGGGAGCTTCCTCGAGGACTCCGACGAGCTTGCCGGCTTCTTCGTCCAGGTAGGGCATGTCGCCCCATGTCCAGTCCAGGTCGCCGCCGTACTGCTTGGGGATGCTGGAGGGGTCCATGAACGAGGTGAGGGTGGGCTTCACTTCGGCGGCGGAGAGGATGAAGATCTTCGAGGTGGTGCCGGGGTCGAACCAGCGCTTGATCCAGCCCCAGACGGTAGGGAAGAATGAGGGTGCTCCGATGATCTTTGTCGGATGTAGTTAGCGGGTGGTCTCGGTGTATTGCGGAAGGTTGTTAGTAGGTAGATAGATGGAGGGCTCACAAAAATCCGATCCAACGTCTCCGGGTAGTGCGCCGTCGCCAACACACTCGCATCCTGCATATGTCCCTTCAAGTTCCAGAACTGCTTCAGCCCGACTCCGCTGACGTCGACGATGTTGGTCGAGGTGACGATGGGAGTTTCGGGGTTGGGGCGGGGAAGGGCGGAGCACAAGGGCATGACGAAGTTTAGGAGGTTCTCGTAGAGGGCAAAGAGGCGCAGGAGACGTTGCGGGACTTTCGATGACTGGTGTGTCTCGGTGGTGGAAGTCGACGAGGACATGGTGGAGTTGTACGCAGCCATGTTCTTGCTGTTGAGGTGCTTGATCTCGAAGACGTAGACGGGGATACCGCGGCGGTCTCGGCGACCGGTCCATTGCGGATACTAGATGGTATGGTCACGTTAGCGACTTCGTTGCGATGCGATGCGATGCGATACGGCGATGAATGGATTCAACTGGATTCAGGGTTCAGGGTTCAGGGTCGGTTCACGGACCATGCGTCTGGCGGCATCGTAGGACTCCACGTCGATGTTCTCGTACAGCGCCTCAATGGCATTCTCCTTCCGCCAATCCTCCGTATCCTTGAACTGGCCCCAAGCTCCATCAATGTCGAACTTGCGCGCGCGAAGGAAACGGCTGTATACGAGATAGATAAAGTAGTCAGAGTCAGCGTTCTGTTTCTATCATATCACAGCGGCCCAATGAAGAGAGACGTGGGATAGTTGGGTAGATAGAGGGTATAAAGCATACAGCATCGTCGCATCCTCGTGGCTCGCCTTCTCGCCATCCTGCTCGGGCGTGTAGTATTTCTTTTCTTCGCAGAGCTTCTTGAATTCGGCCAATTTCTTCTCTTGGTCCTCCGTGAGATGGTTCAGGTGGCCGGCGAGCCAGGCGGTGCCCGATGCCTGCGACGCCGAGGCAACGGGGTCGTTCCTGGGGTCGGTTTCATCGTGCGTGGAGCTGGCGTCGCTCTCCGCCGGGGGTTGGGAAGACTTGGATCCCCAGAAAGGCATTGTGCTGGATGAGGAGAGGAGTTTGGGTGGAGGATGAGCGGACAATCAGGAATGTAAGCGCGAAGACGAAGATTGGGCGGGTCGCTTTACCAAAGCCGACGTCGGTTGAACTTCCGGCTCGCCCGGCCACCGCTTGGGGGCGGCCGGGGGGGGGTCTGGCCCTGCGCAGACAGATAGACACTGTGTTAGAGGGATGTCAACGGGAACATCTTTCAGGTAATATAGTCCTGAAAGTAACTTGAATACATCTCATCTCTGAGTACTATAATTTAAACTGTTGGTGACATTTCCAACCGCGATCATACTACTGGCCTACGTCATAGGCACAGCCTATCATATCGGGAGTACTATATTGCTTGCAACCTAAAGAAGATGCTAAAAAAAAAGACCAACACAACAAGAGCTTATCCTCTAGTTTCGTTCTACAAGAGCCGAGGACTCCGGAACTGTGTCTGGGTGGATTGTCACCGCTCACCATCACGACTGCTGCTAGCGCTGTGTAAGCAAGATGATGCTTGACGATGTGCAAATTCAGAAGAGTGAGTGCATTAAGCAGTGTGACGGCTATTGCGGGATGGGAAGGATTCGAGTGATGGTCTGCTGCGGCGAAGTGAACACATCCCACGGGCAAAGATTACACCCGCCTGGGCCTTCTACGCAGTCTCTCATGCGCGCAGCATAACCAACAGTGGACATATGGTAACCTAATTCAGAAATAATTGGAATATCCTAGACTAATAATCTAGCGCGTCTCATCAGAGACCTCGATGGAAGAATGCCCCAAGCCGTACATTTTTTTTCATCGCCCATGGAAATCAACATAAAGCACCGCGTGGAGAAAGGTATTTGTACAGGCATCATCCCCATCTGCCACGCCACCGCTCATAACAAAACATGACCTTGGGTTTGTTTGATCCCCTTAGTCCTCGGTAAGGTCACCGTACTCCCACATACCACGACGCTCCTGCTTGGCCTCATCCTCCACGGTGCGAAGGTGTGACAGCGTCTCCGAGGCAGACCGTTCCCAGGACTTCAGTTTCCGGGGGACCATGGCCAGACCCTCGCGAACAATCTCCGCGTTGATGCTGTGGTCCAGGTTCTTCGACTCGGACGGGTCCAGTAGGGTGACGTGCAGGAGTCCCTCGGGGGAGACGTAGTCGACGTTGGCGACGAGCTCACGGTTGTAGGCCTGGTCCTCGATGAAGCCGACGGCGTCCTGGAGGTAGTCCTCCGAGCCAGGGAATTGGACGAAGGAGAGTACCGCTTCCGTCGCCTGGGGACGAAGCTTCTGGACAGAGAACTGGGGCTGGCTCAAGGCTCTCAGGCGGGACCAGGGCAGGACTTCCGAGTTACCGAAGTCGATGTAGAGAACCTCCGCCTGCTGGTTGTCGCGGTCATTGCGACGCACCTTTGCGCGGTACCATTCGTTATCTTCGGTGAACTTGGCTGCCACGAAGTCACCGGCCTTGGGAGGACCAGGCAGCGGGGTATCGTTGGCCTTGTTGATGTGGAAGGAACGGAAAGCACTCATCAGTTCCGTCAAGGCCGACGTGCCGGTACCAATCTGCTGGATCTTGACGCGGGCGTTCGTCGGGTCGACATAGGTGACCATCACGTCGCGGTAGTCCTTGCGGCGCGAGGAAGCCTCGGTTTCCGTGCCGGTGCCACTGTTGACAGCTTCCTCCTCCTCCACGACATCCTTGCTAGGGTCCCAGTCGTGCCAGAGTCCCTTGCGGGCCTCCTTAGCTCTCTGCTCCGCGGCAAAGTACTCCGTCGCGTGGCCAGACTGTTCGGCGGAATAAGCGTGAACAGTGGCAAACCCCTCCTCAAGAAGGACCTTGGTGAAGTTCTCCTTGTTCACGTACAGGGTACCGATGAATCCACCGACCTTGTCGATGGTCTCCACATCGATCTCGACGTCACGCTGCATGCAGCGCTTGTTCGCCAGGTCGTGAGCCTCCTGGCCGCAGGGCTCGGACGCCTCACCAGGGTTGCGGGCGGACCGGGGAGCACGGATACCCGACAAGACCAGGGTCAACTTGGCATTCTCGCGAGGGACCAAGACCGTGAAGCGGGATCCGGACTTGACAAAGTCCACAACGGCGGGCACGCGCTTCTGGCGCTGAAGGATCGACACCTCCATCTTGGCCTTCTGAACGCTTTCGGAGTAGTCCTGGTACTGCTTGGGCTTGGGGGGCTTGGCCGCCCACATACCCTTGCCCTCCGACTGGGCCTCAGATTCGGCGAGCATCAGGTCGTCGTAGTCGGGAGACCGGTCGGTGTCATCCTGACGGTGGCGGATGACAGAGGCATAACCGGCTTGGACAAGGGCCAGAGCAATGTTGGTGTTTCCTTGGACGACGGTGGCCACGTCCCTCTCCTCGTATCCCTCGTTAGCCGGCTTCTTGCCGTTGATGGTAACCTTGACGTGCTTGCCAATGACCTTCTTGCGAACAAATTCCTTGGCGTCGGTGGCGAAGGGAGCCTGCTTGGGATCAGAGGGCTTGGGCTGTCTGATACTGCTGAGGCTGATTTTCTTCTCCTGACCGGCCTTATTCCGGACAAACAGGGTGTCCGCGTTCAGCACGCGGCTGACGATGTAGTCCTCGGCCCCGCCTGCAGGACCCTGGGCGGCAACCAGACCAGTGAAGAGACCCTTCCTGGCATCCTTTGCCGTCTTCTCGGCACGGCGGAAAGACGCCATCTCAGCGCCGAGCAGGGCCGAGTGGTGGTCGTGGCAACGAGCAAGACCGGCTTCCAGCAGGAACTTGGCAACATTACCATTGGGGTGGAGGAAACTGGCGATCAATTGGCCCTGAGGCGTGACGCCCAGTAGCGACACCTGGACCTTGCGCTGCAGGACTCTCGACTCAACGAACTGGAACGCCTCCTCGCCATAGGGCTCGGCAGGCTGCTCCTTGCCATCGGCAGTCACCCGCTTGGTCGAGGGCGCACGAACACCAGCCATGGCGGCAACCACCTGCAGGTGCTCCTCCGGGGAAATAAGCAAACGGACAATCAGTCGGTCGCCGGTGAAGACCTTCTCGACGATACCCTCGAGGTGCTGACCCTTCCACTCATCGACCAGAGCCTTGGGGTCCGACACCTCGTAGCTGGTCTCCGTGCGACCCTGCTCCGATCCCGCCCATGTACCCTTCTCTTCCGTCTTGGCGTGGTCCTCCAATGCGCGGAGCCGTTGCAGGTACGCCACTGTTTCCTCGGACTCGTCACTGCGCTTGCCGGCCTCTTCGCGGACGCGGGTCCAACCCTCCTGGACGCTGATGTCGGGCAACGAAACGTCGAAGGTCGGGAGCTTGATCGTACCATAATCGCGCTTTGCACCGGTCGGGATCGTGTACAGGACCTCGAATTGGACTACCTTTCCGACGAGGAGCTCGCGCAGGAATTCACGGGAATGGAAACCGTACGGCTAGAAGGAAGAGAAAGAAACGGGTTAGCGACATCATCGGAGGCCCAACTGAGTCGCGGTAGCTGAAGAGCGCATGGGTTTGAAGTAATGGGGCGAGGAATGTGAGATATCAGATGGAATGCGCTCAACTGTCTCCGGGTTGAGAGAGGCCACCTAGACAGGCAGTGGAACGATTGTCCGGGGGGCAATGGGATTGCGGCGAAAGAAAAAAGGCAAAAGACTCACCTCGTCCCCTTCTCTGCGCAGCCTCGGTGCTGAGACATATGCAAGACTGAGGATGCGTTCCTGTCCGGGGTTGGTGATATGTGACAGCACCACCGTGTCGCCGGACAGGACAGATTTCACACGGGCTTCCAGAGGCATGCTGGAAAGCAATAGGAAATCCTAGGAGGCGGCAAAGAGAATTACAAATAGCACAGTATCAATGGGTAACAAGATCAAAGGAAGAGATTATTAAAAAGGGGGGGGGATTAAAAAAGACAGTATTGATAGGGGAAGGGAGAATGGGATGGAAGAAGGACGTTCGTCCGCATGCTGGATGGATGAGGCCAGGTACAGCAGTCCGCGCAGCCAATCGCGGGCCGGCGGTCCGGCTTTGTGGGGGAGCCCCAGGCTGGCCACTTTCTGGCCGGGCTCGGAGAGGCAGCGGTGAGGGAGTCGGGATGCAGCGGTCACTATAGGGTTCAATTGAATCAGGGCTGTTTCTTTGTCCCTCTACAGCATTCATATGGAATTCCACTGTTAAATTGGTAGTGGTGGTGGTGGTGGTGGTGGTGGTGGTGATGGCGGCGGAGTGATTGATGCTGCTCCCCATGAGCTCTTTGGAGCTTCCCGAGTGAAACCACTGAGACATATATGCATTACACGGCAGAAGTACCACAGTGACTAACAAACTGGGACAGCTCACAATCCATTATCCATTCGTACTTGTTTGTTTGTTCCGGTTTCCAGGGTTCGTCTTCCCTCGATGCTATTCATTGTCTGGACCCTTCATTGAACATACTTGTTTTTGCCCCATGACTTCCCTCTTTTACCTCGGGTAGTATCAGTTCCCATACAGGTCTTCACTGTTCCATCTCTGATCATAAGGACTGGAGACATAGACCGATAGGAGATACCTCGAAGAGCTACTCTGTTCCATCACCAATGACATTCTATCAGACACTGATCTAGACGGGTTTATAAGCAGTTGAACAATCACATTCTGTGCTATTCGAAGCCAGGCGATTCATGGTTTTGGTACACTATGGTCAAATTGCTGGAAGCACAATGGTAGGCATCAAATCATTCATGCATTCATTTTACTCTTGACATCGACTGGACATTGGCAAACTACTTCCATTCAAATTTCGCCTTCCATATCCTAGACTGACAGCTTCATAGATTAAGTATGCATTTAAGCGGCAATGCCAATGACACCTGTGGAGAGAGAAGAGATCAGCGTCGGCCTCGACCATCGGTCTGGGAAGGGACAGGCTTACCGCAGGCGGGACGAGCACCAGCATTACCGGTCTTCTTGGACTCCTCGTTGCCACCACGGCCGAGGTCATCGGTACCGGCGTGAACGACCAGGGTCCGCTGTATTCATTGCGTTAGCACCGTATAAAAGGGGATTGGGAATGGGGCTGGGGGAAAGGAACGTACGCCCAGGACGCTCTCGGCACCGATGAGCTTCACCAGCTTGTCCTGCTTGGAGCCAACGGCGTTACCCTCGGCATCGGTCTTGAAGTTACCCAGGTCACCGACGTGACGGTCGGCATCCTCGGGGGCACCGTGGGTCTTGCCGAAGGGGTTGAAGTGAGGGCCAGCGGAAGTACAGCCGTTGGTGTTGTCACCGAACTGGTGGACGTGGAAGCCACGCTCGGCGTTGGCGTCGTGGCCAGTGATGTTCCACGAGATGGTGGTGGCAGTGTTCTCGTCGGCCTGCTCGAAGGTGACAGTGCCGGAGATCTTGGAGTCTCCACGAATAACAGCGACTACGAGACAGGGTCAGCGCATGATCTCATGGTGCGACACATGGCCTCCTCCAGCCGGTCTTAGTCGTGGAACTATTAATACCAGGACCAGGAGAAAGCCAGGTGGCCGGGGACGAATGAGCAGACAATGCGGAGCGAGTGCCTCTTGAGCTTGTCCTGAGCTTGTCTATCTGGCAAACAGGGTCCCCAGGCCGTGATAGGCGGAGGGGCTCAGGAGGGATCGCAAGGTGCTCAAATCTGCTCACTCAAGGTCCCCCCGGCCACGGTCGATCGTGGAGCCGTGGAGGGGAAAGGCCAATAACACGACGAGGAAAGCAGGAGGGCTGAAGAAACGCGCGGGGACCTACCGGCCTTGACCATTTTGACGGTTGTGAGATATGACTACCTTGGATCCAAAGGTGCGTACGGTTCGAGATGGAGGGAGGATGGTGATGGAGGGAGAGGAGAGAGGAAAGCGAGCGAGGGGTAAATGAGTGCGAGTCTTCTCAGCAGCGACTCGGCGCGAGCAGCTTTCCCCCCTCCCCCCCGTGAGCAGTGGATTCGATGGGCTTCCAACGTCGGCCTCCCCTTCGCTCGGACAAACCATCGGCGCTCACCAACCCCCACCAAGCGGGGTCTTCGGAATGACGTTTTGTTTGTGTATTCCCACCAGACCTTCCCGAACCAGCCTGGGACGGGCCCTTTTCCGGCGATTCATAAGCCATCGGGCCCAGACTCTATCATGGATGTCCTGGCGAGTGTAACCGCCAGCCAGTGCAACCGCGGGGGTCGATGAATAATAATGATGAACCTGTTGCCGTTGGTCGAGTCCAGTCCTCCGTCGCAGCAGCTAAGGTAGGGTCATGCCGCGGCTGTATTAATTACCACGTCCGCGCGTAATCTCGTTACCGGCTGGTCGAAACATCTCGAGAATCACCTCATCAGCCAGGCCTTAGTTAGTTACCTCTTTCGGATTAGTGATTAGTCTGCCATCTACATCGCTTCCCATCTCACTCTTGTACCTCTTGAGCACGCTGTACGAGGGTATCATTTAAGTTGCTGTTGGTCGCTGAATGTAGCTTTATCCAGTAGATCAAATCCTAGGGAACCCCATCTCCCGAGTGGCAATTACTTAAGATATAAAGTAGGTGTTGTCTGTCAGAAGCCATGTGCTTCTTTTGTAACGTCTAAAGTCCCTGGTTCTAGCTCCAGACAAACAGCAGCTGGATTGGCATGACTGGCATCTTCCAGTGTTCGACTGATGTCCCCCTAAGTCTTTATCCACTAACTACTCCGTACTTCTGCCTATTATTCACTGCTAGAAACCCTGTCTTAGTAGTCAGGGTCCGGCACGCCCCCTGCAGTCTTTAATTCAGCGAAATGCAGAAGCCAGCCTATCAACGCCATTCACCCTCTAGAGACCCTTTTCTTTGACGCCTTTTAAAAATGGCAGGTATCTTCTTTCACTTGTTGTCTTTTTATTCTTCATAATGGATACTACTTAGTACAGGAGTTTCCCGCGTATATCTATATACATATACCCCTTTTGGTCTCCCCTCCCGCACTTTCCGTATCCATCATATAGTAGTACATATGACTGCTTGACCAAGACTTATCATGTTAGCTTCCATAATAGTGCTGCACTCCTTGCTTTGAATATAGTCTGATGGTGGTTCATCAGTCCTATACTGCCAATAACTCTTTTTTTTCAATACCATCTCAATTCTATATATTTCTTGCCTCATTTCAATGAAATAATATATTCCCCATGTCTACGTGAGTTACTGGTTATAACCCATTTTCTCCCTCCTGCCCTCAGTTTGAAGACGAGTCAAGCTCTCCACTCCTAGAACATTACCCGAGGGCATTTGCAGGTTCCTCAGTGGGGGCAGTGCGATCCGGTCCAGACTATTAAAGTCATGATGATGAGGCACAGTTATCCAAGAAATCCGCCATCGACAGAAGGACCTTATAATAAGCACCAGCTGAGTTACGTCGACTGCAAAACGACAAATTGACATATTGGAAATGGCCCTCTCGGTTGAGAGATTTCATACAAATACAAGACGCAAGGTGTCTCGATTCCGCTCTCACTCTGGCTGTCCTCTCTCGCCAGACTGCGCACCATCCTCAACAACTCCCTCATCTGCCTTGCGGCGTTTCATCCATCGGTACGTTGTTTTAAACCCGATGCGGATGGGGTACAGTCCAGCTTTGGAAGCAGTATGGTGAAGCTCCGGCGGCATAACCAAGTCTAAACCACAAACCCCAACTACTGCCACTGTGATGATGAGGAAAGGCACAGCTTTGAATGAAGACTTCGCACATCTCATCTCATGCCTCAACGGATATCAGATGGGGCATTCTGTGCTGTTTCCACGCCCTGACAAAGGCTTCTGCAGAGCCTTGATACTTCTTTCCAAAGTGGTGGTTGTATACACCTTTCTATATCCAAGGATACGATAACGAAACGAACCTGAATCTATGGAACCATGAGTCCATGAGTCCATGGCCTCAGTCACTCCGTCGTTTGGGCTGCCTCGGTAAGGCGTTTCGTTTTGCATCCAATACCGCAGCGGGTGTCTTTCAAATGCCTGTTAAAGCAACCGCTCAACAACTCTTCCAGCATTAAAAGATGCATACAAGAGTTGTGCGAAGCTGGGAACTGCTCTTACGTTTTCATTCTGCCATTCATGGGGGGAATTCAGCTTGATCGCGGCAAAGGTCTGGCTCGCCAGGCAGTGTCTCGGGACGAGGTGTCTTGCCAGTCGCATCTGGGGTTTGATATCTCGTACGCGCTGCGTTCGGAAATATCAAGACATATTACCGAGATCATTAAAGGCCCAAGTTTCGATAACAGTTCCTTCCGTGCAAGTGGGGACGGATTTCAAGTTTTGACTTCTCATAAACCGAATACCCAGATGTCCATGTCGGGCTTCAAGGGCCCAAATGCGGCCATCTGATGGCATATAAGTGGAATTTGACTTTGGTCATCCAACAAAGTTAACATTATAGAAAATCCAGAATATCACAAGGGCCCTAACGCCTCGTAGATTGCAGGCTGATTCTCGTTGTGGTATCCGGCGCATCCCCGGAAGGTGCAGCTACAAATCGGCCAGCTATGTTGTACTTCCAGCCTTTCAGAATTACTGTGTTTTACGGCGAGTACATACATACAATGAGGAATTCTAATAGACAGGGAAAGTTTGGAATAGAAAATCATCAATTCGTATCTACCAAAAACGAATTTTTCCGGTCAGGTCATCAATTTTTACACACATGGGAATAATAATGGTCGTCACAAAAAAATGCACTATATCTCCAGTCTCCCGAAATCTAACTTAGGCCTGGATCTTCTCCTTGAGGATGTCCTTGAGGGTGACGGCATCGGCAGCGAACTTGGAGATACCCTCGCGGAGCTTCTCGACGGCCATGGCCTCCTCGTTGAAGTCGAAGCGGAAGAGAGCCTCGTCGTTGATGTAGGTCTTCTTGGGGATGTCAAGGGTGGCGGCGTTGGAGGCGGCCAGCTTCTTGGGGACGGCGGCGGTGGAGTTGAAGAGGTCCTCGAGGAGGTTGGGCTGCATTGCTTGTTAGCTTTCAATTCCCGGGTCGGACAGATGTCAAAAAACACATACGGAGATGGTCAGGTAGTCGCAACCGGCGAGCTCGGTGATTTCACCGGTGTTACGGAAAGAGGCACCCATGACGATGGTGTTGTAACCGTGCTTCTTGTAGTAGTTGAAGATGCTCTCGACGGACTTGACACCGGGGTCCTCCTGGGCGGTGTAGTCACGCTTGTGGGCGGCCTTGTACCAGTCGAGGATACGGCCGACGAAGGGGGAGATGAGGTAGGCACCGGCCTCGGCGGCAGCGATGGCCTGGACGGTGGAGAACATGAGGGTCAGGTTGCAGTTGATGCCGTACTTGGACTGGAGGACCTGGGCGGCCTTGATACCCTCCCAGGTAGAGGCGATCTTGATCAAGATACGGTCCTTGGAGATGCCGTTCTCCTCGTAGAGCTGTGGGGGTAACTTGTCAGCATGCTGTCGGGGCAACAGACGTCGGACTCGAATCAACAGCGTACCTTGATGATGTGAAGGGCCTTGTCGATGGAGGCCTGGGTGTCGAAGGAGAAACGAGCGTCGACCTCGGTGGAGACCTTGCCGGGGATGATCTCGAGGATCTTCTTGCCGAACTCAACCAGGAGACGGTCAAGGACGGCGTCAACCTTCTCGTCGAGGGTCTTGCCCTCCTCCTTGCCCTTGGCAACAGCAGCATCGATGAGGCTGGCGTATTCGGGCTTCTTGGAGGCGGCGAGGATCAGGGAAGGGTTGGTGGTGGCATCCTGAGGCTTGTACTTGCCAATGGTGGCGAAGTCACCGGAGTCGCAGACGACAACCTATGCAGGCGATGGATGATCAGCACCAGGAACGGCGACGGCTGACAGGGATGCTGAGCGCAGATACTTACGGTGCCGGTGGCCTTGAGCTGCTCGAGAGAAGAAGACATTGTGAATGAGGTGGTGGTGGGGTTGGGGGGGGGGGGGAGGGGAAAGATGGAAGAATTAAAGTGGTGTGGGTAGATAGATGAAGGAAGGGAAAGGGAAGAAACAGGAAGAGGCGAGGATTAAAAAGGAAGTTTAAATGGGGGAGGGGAAGAAGAAGCGCAGAGCAGCACCTCGCAGCACAGCAGGTGGGATGGTGGGGCAGCTCCCAGGCCGATGACGCTATGCGCCTTCCTCTCCTTCTCCCTCACCAAAAATCATCATCATCCACCCACTAACAAACACCCGACAAACAGCCCACAGCCCTCAGCCCTTTGCCTTTTCCCCCGTCTTCCGTTCGCCGCACCAGTCTCCTCCGGGCCCTGTTTCCATCAGCTTCTCCAGCCGGTGTTTCCAACTGCTCGTCCCTCCTCATCCGCGGTACTTCCGGCCCAGAGTGCTCCGGCAACGACCCCCTCCGCCTGGTCCACTCCTCCGGCTAATCACAGCCCGTCGACTGCGCTGCGATCCCCAGGAGGCCCTTTTTCCTTCACCGGCGCTTCCCAGCATTCCCGTGGGTGTTCCCCTGAAACACCACTGGGTGACAGATCCATCCCCGTGCTGATCCACCATACAGCAGCTTCCAGTCTGGCATTTAACCGTGTTTCTATTCAACATCCCTCGGGACTTTCTCGGGTTTTGGCCACCAGTAAGTATCTACAGAGACATCGCCTACATACAGTATACCACTACGCTACGACTCCGAATCTCCAGGGTATCCGGTCCGCTCAGCCCCCACGGCATATATGCTATATAGACTAAATACTCCGTCAAGTCTAGACGGGGGGGTCGCACCACCACCACTGGGTGGGCTCCGCTCCATCCCGGCCTCGTGATGGGACAAAGAAAAAACACAAGACAACAACGACTGGAATACGGGGCTAGTACAGAGCGTAATCCATATGGTCTCCAAATTTTCGGTCCCCCCGCAGAAAGGGCCCGGAAGGAACAGCCAGGATTATTCCGTAGCTTCTATCGGGCCTAGATACCCCACGAAGCTGACCGTGATGACGGGGAAACGATGCGTTGTCCTCACCGCCGCTGAACACAGCTCCACTCGTACTAGATAACAAGCTTAGCAAACTCACTCACCCACTCAACTCGAGACCAACAATAGGACACTTACCACTCTCCCGGCTTCGTCGCCAGTATAAACCACATGCGGCAGTGCAAAGATGCAGCTGATCCCTACCGAGATGTTGGCCCCGTTGTCGCGGTGGCTGTCCACATGGTGAAGTTGCCGGATCAGCTCCAACTCGAACCGTCCATGATGGACGATCTTGCTCCAGATCTAAAGCGTATCAGCATCTATTTACGGGGCAAGGATGCTTGGGGAATCTTACGTTAACCACTCCCCTTCGGTGGCCGGTGAAGAGCAGTTCTCGCTCTTGCCATTCGTTGTTGACCCCCTCGTAGAAGATGCAGGTCATGATACGATCATCCACCGAGTCACAAAGCACTTGCTCCAGCAATAGGGTCCCGTTCAATGTGTAAAGGCTGACGCGCTCTCGCCGACAGATCATGATCTCCCCGGTCACGTCGTTGATCCGAGCGCACTGGTTTGGATCAGTAAGGTCAGAAGGAAGGCGGTCGTGGCACCATAAAACTTACATCGACTGGTCCATTGGATGGAAGTTCCCTGATGAAGCATTGCCGGTTGAGATCCCAGAGCATGATTTGACCATCTGCGGATGCTGATAGAAGGGCACTGAAGGAGCGCGACACCGCAAGTAGCGTGACTGGCGAACGGTGTCCGAATAGAGACCCTGCCGGCTGAAGATCAACAGACTTAATCGACGAGGTAAAGGTCCATATCGCGACTGTGCAGTCGGTGCCCGCAGTCACCAACGTTCGGGAGTCTGCGAAGATTGCGCAGGAGAGTTGACCGATGTGTAAATGCTCAAAGTGTCCCAGTAACTATAGTCATGTCAGCAGCCGCATCCCTGGGGGGAGTATCCAAGCCGCGTGGTACCTTTCGGTTGTCTGCAGAGTAGAATCTCACGCTGCCGTCGAAAAATCCCCACTCCATATACTTGTCGTAGTTTGGGGGGATATTAAGCCGAAGCGCGGCAGCGCACAGCAGACGATCTTGTTTCATTGACAACGAGGCCACTCGTTCGCCGATATCTACCGTGAGTCAAGTTAGATCAGAGAAAAAGCGTGCCTTTTCGGCTTCAGTTCGGGAGTAACCCACCAAGAAGTGCAAGGGGCTGTTGAGTGAGAGACTCAGCCAGGCGATCGAGGCGTGGCATCTTCTGACCCGGGTCCTCTCTTTGTGCATGAGTTCGGTTGAAGATTTGATGAGGGGTCTGCCCGAAGTTGTGAATGATACCGATCGTGGCCAGTCGCTCCACCGGGTCATCAATGGTGTCTACATCTTTAGCTCCTTGGTAGGATAGATGGTGAAAGACGTTCACTGCCTCAACTGCGGCCTCTCCCTTTTGCTTGCATCCAAACACCAAATCGATCCAATGATGTAGATTTTGTGTCACATACGGACTCTCGAGGGCCTCCCGGTGTTTGGCAATGAAGATTCTGGGATCGCCTTTCGCCCATGGCGGCAGTTCTACTGAGTCAATTACAGTCGTCATATTTTGCAGGAGACCGAAATCGTATTTATTCGAGTTGACCAAAAACTCTGGGAGGTAGAAGAACTCGGGAATCAACTCTCTCACGTCAGACATGTTGCCTCGCGAGGCCGACTCCCAGGCCTTTCCTACCGAGTAGAAGAGACGATCGGCGTGGTCAAATGTACCTCCCTGAAGGAGGAGGTACGACTTGACGAATGGTTGGAGACGGATGAGGTATGAGCTAACAATCATCGCCGAGGAGTAATGAGTGCCGTAATGGAAAGGTGGGGAATCGTCGTCACCCATCTCTGCAAACGCATTGTACCGTTCTTTAAAGTCGACTTCTCGCTCGGGGTTTTGGCAGCCCATGGGTTTGGACAGGTCGCGGAACGTTTGAGGGTTCGTCAGGTCCAGCTCGTCGCTTGTGTAATCAGCAAGGACCCAGGGGAAGACTGGATACTGTGTGAGATCATTGAATGTTCGCCCAGCAAGTGTGTTGATCAGCATAAGGTAATGGAAGTTGGAGATTTCGCCCTTGATCCATTTGCGCGTGGCTGGATAGACCGGTGAATGGCCAAAGACGCTCGCAAACTTCGATCCGAGAGACTGCGGCGCATCTTCTTGGCTTTGGAGGGTTTCGAATCTCCAAATATCCTCAGGGCGCGCATGGCCAACGCTTCCAGTCACCTGGGGGGCTTTGGTAGCGAGCTGGCTGCATAGAACGTCTCGAGCTCGCGAGGAGATGAGCGTCAGCAGATAGCTGCTGCCATCTGTGAAGAAGATTTCGAGGGCAACGTCGCGGAATAGGAAGCGTCGCTTGGAGATACTGATTAGATCAGACCATTTCCAGCTTCTTGTTTCGTGCTCCTGCGCCTTGCGTTCGCTTGATTCTCGGCCAGCAATCATGCGAACGTAAGGATCTCGCTCGTCTGCTGGGGCTTGCCACACATTCAAAATCTCACCATCGGATCTCTGGAAGAAATTATCCAAGATGTAAATGTGATCTTTCCCTTGGATCAGAAGCCCTTCAAATGCCTCCAGTCCAATGATTCGCGACATATTGCACACTCCTTCAACCTGGTCTCCACGGTGTAAGGTTCGCATAACCTTCCGGTTCTTATCCTCGTATTCTTCGAGGTCCGCTTTGGGATCTTCAATCATTTCAAAGCTTTCTTCAATCACGCTCCTACCATCGACACCGATTCCCTGGGCAGCACCCTCCCCGGCCTCGTTCGCGACAGTGACTGTCAGACCAAGTGCATCGGCACTGGGAGGCGGCCGAGTCTCTGTTTCCACCACCTTCATTATTGGGGGTTCTGATGCCTTCCGCTTTGGCTGATAGTTCTGCCTCTCATCTGTCTCATCTGGAACGATGCGAAGACGCATGCGGCTGCGCCCTTCTGTTTGGTCAAGTCGCCATTTCCTGTCCTTGCTTTCGGCCAGGAGACCCCCAAAGCGGCGCAGGTCCACGGTCAGCTTGGAGAATGCAGTCCACATAAAGGCATAGTCGTCTTGTTGATCTTGGAGCGCTCGTTGATACTTCAGGAATTCAGAACCCGATATATTCGACGCCCAGTGGGGAAATGTCGCCACATGCTTGCGTGTTACTTCGTCATTGAACGTGTCTGTCTGCTTCCACTGCTTCAATCTCTCTTGGCGCTTGGAAATTCTGACTCGGGAGGAAGCCTCGATCTTGGTGTTTTCTTCTTGGACGAAATCCTCCCAATGTTTAGAAATGACGCCAAAAAATAGCGAGTGGAGATCGTCCTCTTGGTCATGGAACCACTTCAATAACGCAGTGTCTTCCATGCCCATCACAGTATCGAAGCCAGATGAAAGCCGCTTTTGCAAAGATACCGGCGCATGACTAAGAATGGTTGTCATTTCAGCAGGCTTTTGTACAAGCATGATCCTGAAGAGGCCGGCTGCTGCAAGGCATACTTCTTCGTTCCTGTCGTCTAGCTTGACGTAAAGAAGGTAACATAGGAGCTGCAAGTAGTTTGATTGGGCGTATCCAGAAAGAAGTACTACTTGCCAGTAGGACAAGCGGTTCAGAAAGGAAAGAGCCTCCGTGCCCTCGACCTCTGATAAACGAAGTAAGACGACGCGAAATACCGTTGAACGAATTGTCGCAACCGCTTGGCTACAGAGTCTAATGCTCTTCACGCAGGAAACGTCGGGCCGTTGAAGATACTCGAGAATTGTCCCTGCGAATTCCAGACTCGCAGCTGCTCCATCCGTGAACCAGCCTTCGTAAACTGCCTCCCCAAGATGTGTAGCAAATCGCCCCAAGTTGGTTAAGACACGTGGCTCCGCAAGTAGTTGAAGTTTTGTAAAGATCACATCTTTCAGTGTCGAAAGGAAAACCTTGAGCACCCAAGAGTTGAAGTATGTCCGATGTTCTAACGATGCAGGCGGTGTCTTCACGTATAGACCAAGACCAGAAAAGTCTTTTCGTTCTAGCAATTGCTCCGAGAAGACGGACAGGACCAGGCTAAGTATGCTTATGACGAAAGGGTGTTCGGAGACACCAGCATCCTCGATAGTTTTCGGATTACACGCATGAACAATGCGTGCAGAGGATGGTAGAGGCTTTCCTTTATCGGATGACACAAGAATAAACGATGACCCACGGCCAAGCGAGCCCCCAGGATCATCACGGACTCCAGGTTGTTCAACAGTAGTGGTCCGCAACTCAGCTACCCCTCTCGAGTGAGGGCGAATGACCAGATTGTGGTCACCGAAATCAAGACTACCTCCACGGGGATACAGTTCGGCATCTGTGCTTATCGCGTCGCAGCCAACAACGACAGGGAACAGCACCGAAAGCAGATGCTGAGTGTATTCAAATTGCGTCGTAAATTCGCGAAAGCTCTGAGACTTCACATGAAGTGCGGCGAAAAAATCAATGACGGTGCTAAAGAGCTGCTGCTCTTCAACTACCGTGCTCGCGGCTGTAGGAGAAAAGATGGTTCGTTGAGTTGTTTGGGTGGTGGAGTTCTGAAGGGGCCTTAGGCCATCCATGTCCGGCTCCAGGTTTGCACTTGTCGAAACAGACCTCTTTAAAGCGCTCTGCATCATCTCCGTAATGACTGGAAAAATCTCGGGGAATGTAACATGCAGAGGTGTGCCAGAAATGAAGGTCTCCGAAAGTCCGATATGGTCAAAGGGTCTGTCAACGGTGATTTTGCCCACGTCAAGGCTAAACAGCATGGCAAAGCAAATGGACCACATGGCCGGGACTCTCCACCATCTCTTTAGGCAGTGACGCATGATGATATAACCCCCTGTTTTCTCAGTGAACTTCTTGCTATAGCTGCTGCCATTGGTTGTCAAGAGGCGGGCTATAATCTTAGTGGCAAGCACAACTATTTCAGGCTCGTCTTCACATATCAGGTAGAGAAGCCACTAAATAGATATCAGCAATTTGCTCTGCGGAAAGGCAATATGGTTTGATCGAACCTTGTTCGTCACGGCTCGGGCAAACTTCTTGATAGGCCCGAGATCATGTGCATTACAGAGCAGAGAACAGTACATTCGAAGCATCTCTGTCGCGATTGCTGTGCTTGACAAGCATTTTTCCTTCGCTTCAGAGGTCGCTCGCTGACGTGCACCCGCATTAAATCGCATACTCTTTTTCTTCTGAAGCCTACTGGACTCCTTCGGTTTATGAAGAGCATATGTGATATAAAGAGCCAGTGAGCGAAGCAAGTCCGCAGATAAACAACTCTCCATCAGCGACCCAAAGGCGGCAGTAAAGAGAGGCAATGCTTCAGCCGTAAATTCCTCTGTTTTGAGGGCTTCTAGGAGCTTTTTATTGACACCTATTAACCATCAGTAAGCAAATTCAAATGACACAAATCATTAAACAAGAGAGACTCACGCATGCGAGCAAGTCGTTTCGCATTGAACCGGCGAAACTGACTTTCGCTGGCAAATATACAAAATTGGGAGTAGTACAGTTCAAGAAGAGCTACCTCCCCGTACCTCCATATTTCCAGGTCAACGAGAAGAACTCTGTACGCAAGAGGGTTCGTGATGATGGACCGGTTGGGTTGTTCAAAATCATATCCAACGAACTTCAGTGTCAAACGAAGAAGCTTCAAAGCCAACGCAGATCGCTCTTCGTAGCTAGGGCAAACGGTGGGCGTTTTGGAGGTCGTGTTGAGAGCCCCAGATGGCAAACCAAGCTTTTCACGTAATAAAGCTGCAAGGATTCCGTAGCCGTTCTCCTTTTCCATTGCTTCGCTATTCCTCCAGTTGTCCTGTACAGCCTCGTACAGTGCCTCGACGGCGAGCAGTGTTGACTCCGCGGTGTTAGCCGCGTGAAGCAAGCTCAAGTGTACTGCTGCACACCCGCCAATACGCCAGCTTGCATCATCTAGAGAATGCGGTACTGCAATGACAGGGTCGCCTGTCAGCACACCGATGCCGTGGGCCTGTGTCAGTGCATCGTTAATTGCAGGTGTGGCCCCATTGACCACTATTGCATTGCCTCCCGCCTTGGTAAGCTGGTGTAGATTTTTGGCAGCTTGCTTCGACAGAGACTTTATCAGTCTAGATTCATCCACGGCGTTATTGTCGTCATCGTCCAGAACAGAGAGTGGTGAGATGTTTAGTAGTATAGACCCCTCACGAACAAGGGTGCTTGCTTTCCGCCGGATGGCAACGACAATATCAGACTGCTCTTCTTTGCCAGGATGCAGATGCTCATTACGCAAGTTCAGAGCAGCGGAAGCTTTGTATGTCTGGAAAGAACCAAGACAATCCTGAAAGTTGCCGCAATAGCGAGGGCCAAGGTTATAGAAGACAGCAACCATGTCGTCGCTAAATGCATCCTCGAAAAGGATTGCACTCGCGAGGGACCATCGAGACAATGATACTCCCTTTCCCAATCGCATGGCCAAATCTTGAGGCGTACCAAAGAAAGCTTGGACCCGTGGTGGTCGGTTGGGTGCACTGGGGGTGGGCATAGATGGATACTCTATCTTCAGTTGCTCGACAAATTCACCATCTATGAACAAAGACGCGCGGGAATACGATGGCGGCCTGGGCTTCTTGTGAACAACACAGATATGGTACCAACGGCCAGGTTCAAAGACAATCGACTTAAACCGAACGCTGGGGCGCGCCCCCCTTATCGAGGTCTGCAATATGAAGTTGCTTGTGTCTTTCTCAAGGTATGCGAGCAAAAAACAAGTTTGGCTGGGGTCAAACGCCCCGAAGATTGTCGTATGCGTGCTTTTATCAAATTGGTCAAAGCGCGCCCATACTGAAAGAGTATAACCCGAAGAAGTCGCAGGGGGGAATGAACGTCCCAGAGTTGAGAACTCCAGAGAACAGTATCCATGGAGCGAGAGATCGAATTGTATGGATGCAGGTTCTTTGGAGGTTTTCAAGACATCGACGAGTAATCGTGATACCTTTGGGCAGCTGTGGGCTTTCTGATAAAGAAAGACTGCATCATCCAGATTGCTTACTCCTTGCGTGCAAAGCAATCGCGCGAGCTCCTGGTACAACAGTTTCTCGGGTTCTGGACACTCGTCACTGACTAGCAGTGGGAGAATCGAGGATAGCGCTCCAGTAGCGTGTAAAATGGTGATATTCCTCTTGGAATGGGAGGCAAGCTGACAGAGGCATGCAGGCACCGCCAGCCTTAGGATCCCATGGTCGGACGGGGAAGCATATGTCTGAGACAACCAAACCCGAATGAAAGGGCCCAGAATCTCAGGTGCTTCGATGGTTTCCGAGGTTCCTACGCATCGATCCACCTCTGCCTTGATTTCACTGGGTAGGGGCACCGAGGCTGTCCGGTGTTTCGCACCCAATGTTGTAAATATATTGGTGACGGCTTCCTGGCAGAGGACAGCCGCCAGAATACCACCATAGAACTGTTCTATATCACCCTGTACGCAGTCCACCTTTTTTGCCAAGGTTGCAAGAGCTTCCTGCAAAGCGACTCTCCCTCCCCCATGGATCCGAGAGGTGAAATACCGCTTGTTCCCGTAGTGTTCCTTCAATGCCTCTGCCAAAACCGCCAATGTATCCTTGAAGAGTGTTAAGAGACACTTCCTGTCTTCTTTCGACGAACGATCGGGAATATAGGAGTCGGACACCTTCCGAAGAAGATCCAGGAGTGTCTGGAAGCCATGTAGATGCCGGAAGTCCTCCTTCGCTTCTCGAGGGTGGTCATTGTCGATAAACGTGTGACGGAGCCGGAGCAGGCACTCGGTTGCCGTCGCAGCTAGCTGGGGGTCTATGTCATATTCGCCGCAGATGATTTTCAATTTCTCGATGACTGGAGTCAACTCCACAGCCGGTCGTTCGATTGACGAGGAAGGGGATGGCGAGAGAAGGGAGGTAGCCTGGTTCATCGCGCCGCTGAATCTTAACCCCGGCCACCTATCTGACGGCTAACGACCATCAGACACCATGAACCAGCACTTAGCGTAAGGATGGAGGCGGTCTGCATTGGTAGGTGTGGTGTGGTGTGTAGTAGTGGTTGCTAAGCGGGCTCGACCAATCCACGCACATTTGTCAGACGTGGAACAGCCGGAGTGGGAGGGAGGGGAAGACTGGAAGCAAGGACGGCGCAGGCCAGACGATCAGCGATTGTGCGTCGGCGAGGGTTTGAGGGAGCGAACAACCCGGTCAAGATCCACCATCAAGGCTAGGAGATACACTGGGCGTTCCGGGGGGGGGGGGACTGACTAGCTAAAGCGCACGTACTTTTCCGCGCCTGGGGACAGAGAAACAGTGAGAGCCGACGGATGGTCTTACACCAACGTCACCGACGACGGCACCATAGCGGGGGAGGGTAGATACGGGATGGTATCGGAGCAGTGAGGAGCAAGCACCTTCCTGCCGGGCGAAAATCACCTACCTTGCCTGTCTGGACTATGGGACTGTGAAGGAGCTGGCCTTCCATCTTGGGCAGGTGAGCAGTGCCGCCCTACGCTCTCACGCTGGAGGGGACAATCATCGGGCGGTCATCCGACCGGTGCTTCGTGTTTCGGCTGGACCGGCCCATGCCCATCTCTTCCCCACCATCCGCGCGGTGAACGGCCTTGATTGGGCTCTTGTTATCAATGACGGATGCTGCTTTTATTATTGCGTGCAGTGGATGTACTTCATAGCATGGAGTACTACAGAGTACTCTGTGGAAGCAGTATCTAGTATGTTCACAGTAGGAGTACACCTCGCAGGCAGCAGTCCAGGTTCGGGATCAGAGAACCAGAATGAGCATTAGTATTCTCCCCCCTCTTTCGCCCGCTGTGTATCAGCATTCACACCAAAAACCCCGATTACATCATGTCGAGTCCCAAGCAACAAACACCACATGACCCCTCATGAGGAGCAGCTGGCGGTCGCCAATCGAAGCACAGAGGCTGATCAAGACAGTTCAAAATGTACTGCATCCGTGGTTCTATACTCTTTGAGCATGGCATGAACGCCCTCCCTGGTAGTTGACGGGTAGTTAATGGATTCCAAAGCTAAAGACTCCAGTCGATAAGAATCACGACGCTGAGCAGAAGCTTCTGAGCCCGACTACGACCGAAGATGATCTAGATTGGGAGATCATAGATACCGATCCAGAGAAGACACCGTCCGCTGGTGGCTCTTCCTCTCACATGCGTTTCGATATCACGCTTGGGTGGGGACGATGGAAAACGAGCAATGTTCGTTCGAATATACTCCGACCATTACTGAAGAGCATCCTGGAGAGACGCAGGAAAATTCTGAAGACGTCGAGCATAAGTAGGAATAGCTGGTACATATATTACTATAGTGACAATCGGAAATGGTGGCCATATAAGCCCGTCGAAAATAATATCATCGTCACTCCTGTATATTCAAGTGGTGGCCATCCAGTAAACTGAAGATAGAGTATACACATCCGCAGCACGTAGAGCATCTAAGATTCTATTTCTTCACCCTTAGCAGTGCTACTGACACGGGGAGAACCATGCTTCTTATTTCAATACTAGCGAAGAGAACCCGAGTATTGGTAGAGCTCAACTAGTGACATGTGCAAAATGGAGGAAGGATCATATTAACTCTGGTAGTAGATTTATATCCCCTCTGACATTTTCGCGAGGGGCAAAGAAGGGGGAGGGCAAGGGAAGTTACATCCAGTCATATCACGCAGATCGCTCAATGTTTACTACTCGAGCACTCTTAATGATCCAGTGATATTACACGGTGACCCGGACGTTGCCTGACAACCTTATATGCCGTGACCCATAATAGATTGCGTCAATGAATAGGATCGCCCTTTATCTAATCCATTAGACTTAATTAAGGTTAACTTCTTACTGCAGATATTCATGATATGCATATATTAACAGTAATAACTGTTCTTTCTGGCCCTCACTACTAGAGACAGGGTATAGAGGAGTGCAGGGAATGGAATACCTGGAAAAGGAGGGAGGCACGCATGAATAAATATACCATGAAAGATCTTAATTTATAGATACCCAGCCGTAGTCATCTCAGAAACACCTAACATGATCCTTGAAAAGACTATAGAACCGAGCCACCTCGACGAAAACATATTGAATCGTCATTGCTCAGGAATGTTGCGACTGAAACAACCACAACCGACCTGGGTTGACGTGGTGGCTGTCCTTGATAGTTTTTGTAACAGTATGAAAGCCGGTTACAACACCAGATCCTTGTATAGGAATTGTTGATTGTTCATATGACCTGGAGACGAGACGACCACTGTCTGCCAGCGACCCAAGACCAATGACTCTTCTTGAGGGAGATTTGCCACTGGTTTTCAACCCTATCACAGCAGAGAAAGCCTATTCTGACTTGTTGAATGTATGACAAGGTCTTCATCGGAAACACAGCAAAGTTTATGGAAGAAAATGCGAAGGCCCCGTTCCAAGGTATATCCTGAGTGCTGGGCTTGGTCTTGTAAATGTGGCATCGCGTTATCAGTTGTTTCCATGGAGGCCAAGTGTCCTCAGAACTCAAAGATCCCGGACTTGACCGCATCTTCCTATTCTTAAGGTTCCCGGATCTGCGCCCACCCAAAGATGCATCACATCGGAGAATCAAGATACGCTTGATGGAGTCATGGATATGGCGAGTGGCGTGCGACAGCGCCTTGTTGATCAACCGGTTCTTCTTTCTGGGGGACCCATGGATGGAGGCCCCTATCCCTACTTCGGTAAGCACCAGGTGACAAAAGCGACCATCGGGCGGCCCGGCTGCGATTGGCCCAGCACCGACCCTGATAAGCGGCCGCCTTATCTAACGGAGCTCGGACCTGAAGGCCTGAGGTCAGACACAAGCCGCGGTAACGGACCTGTACAGCGTACAGCGGTAATCCCTGGTAACAGCCGTGACCGTACACGTCCGATCCTTTCCTGGTTCAGGAGGAGTCAGCCGAGCAATCCCATGGGCACCCGGAAGCACGCGACTCGGGGTTGCCTGGGAGCCGAACTCTCCCCGCTGGCAGGAGACAAGACATACCGTCCAGGTACCTGCAGTCCCCCGTCGCTCCTAGGAACCCGCCCGCGACGAGGAACGACTCCGTACGGAGCTCTCCGTACAACAGGTACACGCGCATGCAGGGTCATTTGATCCCGTCTCTGTCAATCCCTCCCTACAAGAGCGAGCTCTTCAGCAATGCTTGATTGAGTTGGAGGGTGCGGGAAGCTCTCTTCAGTCTTCCTATCTGAGACCTTGGTCAAATAGCTCGGCCGTCATAGCTGCTCCGTAGTAAGTTAGCACGTAGATAGCCGGGGCACGGTGTTCTTTCACGATTGTCACTTGAGTCACCGCTTGGATTCCTCCTCCTCCTGCCCTGCCCTGCCTTACAAGTTATGACGGAGGTACGTATCCTCCTGCAGGCTGCGCCCCAGTCGCTCGCCTCATTATCAGGATGAGAGCTAGTAGATAGATAGATACTACTATCTATCTCGTCGGGGACCGTAGGAAAGGTGTGGCTTGCTTACGTAGTGCACAAGATGAGCAAGTTTCCGGTATGTTGAGCCATCCCCCGGCGCTTATGGCACAGTGGCATACCGCCAGAGTCGGACGGTCCATCCAAGGCATCCATAGGATTACCCCAGGTCCCAGTTTCTCCGACCGCGCTAATCGGGGGGCGATCGACAACCAGTGGTTCTGCTGTGTCATCCGCCCGTACGCCGTAACATTACCGTATCCCGGTTGCATCATCACCTGCTGCCCTTGCCTCTTGCGACCCAGGTACTTCAATACAAGACCGTCTTTCATCCGCCGTCCTTCTCCTCTCCAGCTCCAACCTCCTCCTCTTCCCTCCCTCCCTCCCCATCGCTGCCTGTCCTATTTCTATCGTTCCATCGTCCATCTCTTTCCTCCTTCCTTCACAATCACTCCCTTCCACACCCTCTTTCTATCGGGCTGCTGCGGGTTTTATCATAGCTATCCATCATGAAGGGCATCCTCGGCCTTTCCTTGCTCCCGTTGCTGGCGGTTGCGTCACCCGTCTTCGTTGACTCCATCCACAATGAAGCTGCCCCGATCCTGTCTGCCTCCAACGCAAAGGAGATCCCAGACTCTTACATCGTTGTTTTCAAGAAGCACGTTTCGCTAGAGTCGGCCGCTGCTCATCACACTTGGGTGCAGGACATCCATGACTCCCAGAGCGGGCGCGTTGAGCTCAAGAAGCGGTCGCTCTTCGGGTTCGGTGAGGACACCTACCTTGGTCTGAAGAACACCTTCGATATCGCTGGCTCTCTTGTCGGCTACACTGGACACTTCCATGAGGATGTGATCGAGCAGGTCCGCAGACATCCCGATGTGAGTCCCCCTGATAAGCTCCCTTTGTTATTTCTTCCCCTTTGTTATCGGCATATGGGCAGCCCCGTTCTGACTTGGCAACGTAGGTCGACTACATCGAGAAGGACTCCGAAGTCCACACCATGGGAGAAGCCACCGAGAAGAACGCCCCTTGGGGTCTGGCACGTATCTCTCACCGGGACAGCCTTACGTTCGGTAACTTTAACAAATACCTGTTTGCCTCGGAGGGTGGCGAGGGCGTTGATGCCTACACCATTGACACTGGTATCAATGTCGACCACGCTGATTTCGAGGGCCGTGCTACCTGGGGCAAGACGATCCCTACCAACGATGAAGATGCCGATGGCAACGGCCACGGAACGCACTGCTCCGGAACCATGGCCGGTAAGAAGTACGGTGTTGCTAAGAAGGCCAACCTCTATGCCGTCAAGGTCTTGAGATCGAGCGGCTCTGGCACCATGTCCGATGTCGTTCAGGGTGTTGAGTGGGCTGTCCAGGCCCATCTTAAGAAGGCCAAGGATGCTAAGGACGGTAAGGTCAAGGGATTCAAGGGCAGTGTTGCCAACATGAGTCTCGGTGGTGGCAAGTCCAAGACCCTTGAGGATGCTGTCAACGCTGGTGTTGAGGCTGGTGTTCACTTCGCTGTTGCCGCTGGCAATGACAACGCCGATGCTTGCAACTACTCTCCCGCCGCTGCTGAGAACGCTATCACCGTTGGCGCCTCGACTCTCTCCGATGAGCGTGCCTACTTCTCCAACTACGGAAAGTGCACTGATATCTTTGCCCCTGGTCTTAACATCCTCTCGACCTGGATCGGCAGCGAGCACGCTACCAACGTCATCTCCGGCACTTCCATGGCTTCGCCTCACATTGCTGGCCTGTTGGCCTACTTTGTTTCTCTCCAGCCTTCCAAGGACTCTGCCTACGCTGTTGGCGAGCTCACTCCTGCCAAGCTGAAGAAGGACATCATTGCCATTGCGACCGAGGGTGCTCTTACTGACATTCCTTACGACACTCCCAACGTAAGTCATCCAGTCATTCCCTGTAATTACCAGGACGTGAAATGGCTAACATATATCTATAGCTCCTTGCCTGGAACGGTGGTGGCTCTGAGAACTACACCGACATTGTCACCAGCGGTGGCTACAAGGTCGCCACCTCGGTTCAGGACCGCGTCGAGGGTCTGGTCCACAAGGCCGAGAAGATGCTCACCGAGGAGCTGGGTGCCATCTACAGCGAGATCCAGGATGCTGTTGTCGCATAGATCAGAGTTCATGTTTCCCAGACGTAGATTGGAAGACATCCGGGTGCGGGATGGTTGATCGGACATTTTGGCGCTGGTCTCTTCATCATGTTTGGTCTCTTCGAAGAGGCCGATGCATTGACTGCATCGGCTGTATCACCCCGACACTGCTTTTGCCTGCTTGGTTCATTTTTATGCTAGTATACATGTCTGCAAAGAAAGGGTTTGCGCTATTTTAGAATTGTTATGGCTCTAACAAATTGGCAATCTTGATTCATTCATCTAGGATTTGCTATGTATTCTGTTTAAGCTGCAGTGGGTAGTCAAAACAACAGCCCTGTGCTACCCTGAGTCCCATGCATGTTGCACCAGCACCCACACACCCAAAGCCATTCTGCAAGATGGATCCCCAATAACCAGGATCCGTAGAGTTGGTTGGGCAGCTTGAGGCGATAGATAGATATTGTCGCCATCGACATTTCCAGCCCCGTACTCCGTAGTCAGTTACATACTGCCGCGCCACAAACCAAGCCTGCCATACCATACATGCATAGCGATAAAACAAGCCCAAAGCAGGCTCATAAATTTTTGAGGCTTGCTGGCTTTCTTTCTATCAGGGACGTATTTTCATGACAACACCCCGTCGACAACGAATAGTACTAGGTGGGTAATGATGTGGCAACGTCGGAATTCTCGCCGAGCTTCTCGTGAACGAACGCTGCGCTCTTTCCATGGTACGGGGCCGGATTTCATCTGAGGGGAGGGGTAATTATCTAACGGTTCCTTTCCCTCGGAGTGTATGCTGAAACTCTACGGTGGTAAGTAGTAGGACGCTCGCCTCGCCACTGGGGATAGGCGGCTTTATGGACTTGGTGGGTGAGACATAGAGAGGGAGGGGTGTGTTTTGTTGGGTTATTTTAACTATTCTTTTTTTTTTTTTTCGATATGATCAGTGGATGGGCTTATGTATGTGGGATTTTGGTTAGAATGGGGGATGGGGATTGTTCTATAGATACTAAGTAGAAAAGTACCAATTTGTAGCTTGGCAAGGATGAAGAGTCTCCCAGGCCGAATAATGTTTATCCTGGAGCCTTGGGTGTAGTTATTGTCTACTGTCTACTAGTCATGCGTGTTTGCTACATTTGCACCAGGATGGCGTTTAGTAGTTGTTCATTCAATGTTGTATGCATGCATGCCTTCTGATATGAAAGGAACAAATGCTTTGCCTCAACCAGTCAAAATGAAAAAAGAAAAAAAAAACATTCATAAGCCCGAAAAAAAGGTGCATAAGTTTGCTTCAATGGAACAAACACATGAAGCCTGCTGTAATAAGTATTAAGAGATACAGGACCGACGCTGATATTATGAACCCATCTGAATGCACCACCACGCTATGCCATGCCATGCCATAGAAGAGAATAACACCAAGCACCAAGAGATAAAAAAAATAATGGCGGACGGAAAGAAAATGAGGGGGAGAGAGCATGTAATGCACGTCTCACGGTGTCATCCCTAGGCTTGTTCATCCTCCTCCTCACTGCCTGTCTCCTGATCGTCGACGTCGAGGTCCTCGTCAGAGTCGCTGCCACCGAACACATCGTCGTCTACATCGCTCTCGGCCCAGAAGTCCGAATCGTCCTTCTCGACGGGCTTAGGCGGGGTGGTCGACTCGTGCGTGGGCATGACGAACCCCTCCGGGATATCGGCCTTCGACTCCTCCACGTTCTGGCGCACGATCTCCTTGTAGCGATCGAAATCCTTGCGCAACATCACCGAGGCGTCGACGTTGGCGGGCGAGGAAATCTCGGCGTCGTCGAGGAGCGAGATAATGGAGATAAGGACGGACTCGACACGTTGGGCCGGGGACCAGCGCTCGGAGGCCAGCTCGCCGGACATGGCATCCTCGCCAGGAGCGTGAAGAATGGAGATGCACAGTCTGCCGTCTTTGTAGATGTTCGGGTGATAGAGGGGGCGGAGGAATTGGAATTCTAACCGGTCAAGAAGGAGCATGGGGTCAGTAATGCCGCCGCACATTCCCAGGCAAAGGGGGGAGGGGGGTCACGGGCGCTTTTGCTCACCTGGAGGAGAGTAGGGGTAGTTGCTGGGAAATTTCATGACTGCCTTGAAGTAGCCGCCATAATAGAGAGAGTCGGGATTGAGCACGATCAGGCCGATCGTCCAGGTCAGTATGTTCTCCTCATTGATCTGGGATGGAACACCGATTAGCATTCTCGGGGGAAGGTAGATGGCTATCCCAAGGACCACCAGGACATGTGGCCTTTGAAATTGCGAGATGATGATGATGGTGTTAAGAATACCACATACCTCAATATTGACCCAGGGCTCTTGCGACAGTGCCTTGTATTCGTTCATCAAAATGCGTTCCGTCATGGTGAGGGTTAAAGAGGGGCGAAGGATGAAGGATTGCGCGTGCCGGGTATAAAGTGATGATGAGAACAGGAAGGAACGTGAGGATTCAGTAGGCAATATAGGCAACTATATGGCTGAAATAGCGACAGTGAACGGTGTTTCCTGAGGTGTGGGGGGGGGGGGTATTGCAGTTGGAACTGGATACTGGATAGACGCTGCACAGGTCAAACGGTTAAAAAGCGTTTGGGGGTGATCACACACTAGTCCCGCTGTGGCAAGCCATCCTATCCCACGCGCCGCGGATGGGGCCGGAGTGGCGTTTTATAACCACCGCATTGCACCGGCTTTTCAGGCGGGTGTTAGTAGTAGGAGAAACACCCCGTGGTTCTTTGTCTATTTAAGCAGTGAAAATGTCCTGGACCATAGTCAGCGAACCAGTGGTGGTGAAAGAAGACAAAGGCACGGTCTAAAGGGCTCCTGAGCATTCAATCTTGTTCCGGGTTCGCCGAAAGAGGAGAACATCAGTGGGGACTCGGGGAGCAGCCCAGCAAGTGGGGAACAATCCCCTTCACTTTCACCATTCACATCACAAGTACAAAGTAGATAGCCCCGGTCTTGATATTCACACCTGCATCCAGACGCTGGATAGATATAGAGGAGGCCCTGTGAATCCTGTTGTTCCGGTGTTTGAGTTCAAAGGGCTTATTATTTTTCTCACCCAGCAGGACTAACACCGCCGGAAAAAGAGCCATCCCGGCTATCAAGTTGTCCTCGTCCTTCTCTTCCGCATCGATTATTTCCCTTTACGCAATCAGCCGCCTTGCATTCGTCCTTATCTCGGAGAGTCGGATTGTCGAGGATTCCCGCATCTTAGGCCAGCCAGCCCGTCGTGATCTGTATATTTACCGTCTGTGGATTACTATAGTTATCTCGAACTGGATGACTCAGAGGTTCATGGAAATCCCCACTTTCAAAGCATGCCTGTCAACTGATCAGGCCGGCGACCGACTGTTTCCCCGACATTTTGACATCTGACTCATACAACGCGCGGCATTGATAGGCTGGAGGACGGCGAATTGCTTGTCTGAATTTGCAACAGAGGCGGATTTGCTTGCAGCCGAGTCGGTGTGACGGGCAAGGGGTATGCAGGATGCACGGACTTCACCCAAGCGCTCTGGAGGCATCGATCCTCAACCCCTCCCTCCATCATTCGAGTCACGGACTGGAATTGCACGGAAATGAGAAACAGGGGGGGCCGCGCTGGTCAGGTGGGCAAGCCATGTTCCGCTGGAGGGTATACACAACGGATCCGATCCGGTCAAGTGCTGTGACGGGTCCGTCCTGGCATGCCCGTCGCGTTGGCTTCCCCAGCTGGGGGCATATAGGAAGCCATCCCGATGCCACCTCCGCAACGTGGGATCGAGGTGGCACCGTGGAGGGTTTGTTAGACCGCGGGGAGACATGCCATATTACCGTCATACGGGCTGATCCGTGACACATCGTGTCCTTAAGAGTCATCGACACTGCACGCATCTGATAAATGGGGGGGGGGGCTTATCGGCAATGACCGAACGGAGCCAGAAGCGAGGAATAATAACCAGTATGATTGTTTTCCTCGTGTCTGGGCAGGCGGCAGCGAATCGGGGAAGGGGGGAGAGGGACCAGTGTCAGCAATTCGATAGGTGGCCGTTAGTGGTGGGTTAGCGAGTAGCGATAGCGAGAATGATTCAGAATAATAATAAGCAGAAAAGCCGAATAACCAGGCACGATAAGCGGAGACAGGCTAAGGTTCACTAATGGGAGATGAGAATTAACCTGAAAAGGGTAGGGCAGGGCCGATAGGACCGACTTGGAATGAGTGGAATCCTTCTGGAGGGACCCGACCGGGTCTAGCGCGGGCTGGGCTGTCCCACTGGCTCGCTCTGGCTCCCTCTGGCTTTCTGCCCGGCCCAGGTTGCCAGTCCAAACTCGTCATCGGCCGCCGCCGCCGCGGCTGTTTCTTCGCCCTCGTCGATTCTTTCGACCTACATAGTCTTCTCCGACTAGTCCTGCATCGCCAGGGTGCTGCGTTCTTGCTTACTCTCCCCTCCCAAGGCACCGTCAATACATTAATCCCTCGTCTGCACTCCCTTTTTCCCTCTCTTGCCTCCCCATCGACTGCCAAATTTCTTCGTTTCCCGCCTTATCAGTCCGGCGATGCTAGGCTTGTCCTGCATCTATATGCCGCAAAGCTACTCCCACAGCAACTGATTTTTTTCCCACCCAGCTCATTGCCCATCCTTTGGCACAGCTCAATTCCGCCAGTCTCGTGCAGATTGGTCGTCAACTTCACGCGCATGTGTTATCAAAGCTCGTGCTGCTACCTCCTCTTCTCCGTTCGCCCATCATGGCGATAGAATGTCACGGGCCCATCTGGGCTATTGATGATCTTTCCCGTTGCTTTCAACGCAAGTACGTCAGACCTGCCATGGTCTCCAATCCCCTCCACGCTCCGACTGGAATCACTCGCTAATTGCCCACTCTCGCGTAGCTATCTACAAGTTACATTTCCGCTCGTGGCCTGCGGGGTGTCATTGCTCTTCATCCTCCTCCGCGTCGCATACGGGTTTACGACTGCTCGAAAGGGGGTCTCCTACAAGATTCTGGAAAACAATGCATCCGACGAGGACACCCAAGTCGCATCTCTGGATGAACAGGGGGAGGAAACCGACCCAATGCTGAACAAAGCCGCGCAGTCCGAATTGCCGCATTTCGAAGTCGATCGCCCGAAGTGTGAAATCACCATCTTGATGCTCGAGATCATCGCCCTCGTGGGAGAGGTGGGCATATTCGTTGCAATCCTCTACACAGATGCTTGGGGACGCCAGGGTACTCTTCCCGCCATCGCCAAGTTAGTCTCCTGGAGTTACATCTTGTTCTTGGGATTGGTACGGCTGCTTCTTTCGACATTGGATCTGCACTCGTCCCCTAGACTATGGAACCATACCGCCTTTTTGTACGGACTGCAATGGCTGTTCACGATCCTCGTTTTCCGGTCTGCGGTTATCCATCCCTTGTCAAAACGCGCCATGATCTTCAGCTCGGTCGAGTTTTCCCTGTCTAGCTTTTTGTTGCTGGTTGCGATTACAACCCGGAGAGGGAACAAAGCGGTCCTGGTCTCGCATGATGATAACTTGGAACCTGCGAAACACCCACTCGCTAGTTTACTCTCTCTAGCCACCTTCTCTTGGCTGGACCCTCTTATCATGAAGGGTTACAGACAGCCATTGGAACTCGAGGATGTCTGGGATCTGACCGCGTCTGAGAAAGCTGCCACAGTTTTGGAAGATTTCCGCCGGAGACACTACCAAGGTTCGTTGGTGTGGAAGCTATGCCGGCACTTCTACCCCACCCTTCTTTGGCAGGGTGCATGGACTATTTTTTCAAATCTTTTCACATACCTACCCACCATCCTTCTCAGGGCAATTTTGCAGTACGTTGAGGATCCGAGGTCCTCCACCGCAAATGCCGCCTGGCTCTATGCCATCTTGCTGTTTTGCTCTGGAGCCATCCAAGGTGTTGCCGACGGGCAAGCTCTCTGGATCGGACGTAAGCTGGGAGTAAAACTCCGGGCTATCATCATTGGCGAAATTTACGCAAAGGCGCTCCGGAGAAAGGCCGGGTCAGCTGTAGAATCTGCCAAGAAACAGACGGAAGAACCGGCCAAGGACAAGAAAAAGGTATTCTTCTCCTTCGGCAAAAAGAAGAAGGCTGCGAATGACGCCGAATCAAACACTGCGAATAAAAAGGATTCCGGGGCAGAGGATGCCGAGCATACGGCTAACGTTGGTACTATCATTAACCTTATGGCCATCGACTCCTTCAAGGTCAGCGAAGTCGGCGCCTATCTGCACTTTTTGTGGGCTAGCGTGCCTGTCCAGATCATTATCGCTGTTACACTCCTGTACCGGCTTCTGGGATTCAGCTCGTTTGCTGGAATCGTCATCATGGTTTTTATGATGCCTATCAACCTTCTCATCGCCAAACAGTTCACGAAGGTGCAAAACCGGATTCTTAAAGGAACTGACGCTCGCATCCACAGCACGAATGAAATCTTGCAGAACATTAGGATTATCAAATACTTCGCCTGGGAGCAGCGGTTCCAAGACATTGTTAATGAGAAGCGAAAGGCGGAGTTGAAAGCATTGCGCTTCCGCTACATCATCTGGTCCACGGCGGCGACTGTTTGGTATGGCACGCCCATCTTCATTACCTTCGCTTCATTCTTCTTGTACACGGTGGTGGAAAAGAAGAGGTTGACCCCGTCCATCGCTTTCCCGGCCTTGTCGATGTTCTCTTTGCTCCGCGTTCCTCTCGACCAGCTGGCCGACATGGTAGCGCACGTCCAAGAGTCCAAGGTCTCTCTTGATCGTGTGGATAAGTATTTGAATGAAGACGAGACGGAGAAATACCAGCAGCTTGCGGATGAAAACGCCACCGAAGAGCCGCCGAAGATTGCGCTGGAGAAGGCTACGCTCACCTGGGGATCTTCTCAAGCACGGTATAAAGATGATCCATCGGAGGATGCCACGGAAGGTTTCCGTCTGATCAACATGGACGTGAATTTCCAGATTGGCAAGCTCAACATCATCACTGGTCCAACTGGCTCTGGAAAGACGTCGCTTCTGATGGCACTTTTGGGAGAAATGAACCTTCTGCGGGGCAAGGTCTACCTGCCCGGTGGGACGGCCAACCGGACAGAACTGCCGGTTGATCCTCAGACAGGGCTTATCGAAAGTGTTGCGTACTGCGCACAGGAAGCATGGCTCGTCAACGCAACTGTCAAGGAAAATATCGTATTCGCATCTCCTTATGACCAACGTCGGTATGACGCTGTGATCAAAGCCTGTGCCTTGGAGCGTGATTTGGCGATACTCGATGCAGGCGACCAGACCCTTGTGGGAGAGAAGGGAATCAGTCTGTCTGGAGGTCAAAAACAAAGAATATCTCTTGCTCGCGCAGTGTACAGCAGAGCGCGGCACTTACTTTTGGATGATTGTCTGAGCGCCGTTGACTCGCATACAGCGAAACACATCTTCAGACAGGCTTTGACGGGCCCTTTGATGCTGGACCGGTCATGTATCCTTGTGACGCACAACGTTGCGCTGACAGTCTCCCAGGCGGATCATGTCATTGTGCTTGATAATGGTAAAATCACCGCCCAAGGCCCTCCGGATGAGGTGGCCGCGTCGGGTGCTCTAGGTGATGAGCTTCTAAAATCTCGACCGACTTCCAGGACTACGACACCACGCCCGTCTCGCAGGGCATCAGATAATGGAGATGAAGATGAAGAATCTCACGCGAACGGAGTTGCAACCAATGGCTCTAATGGAAAGGCCCAAGAAGGAAAAAGCTCCGACTTGAAGCTGCAGGAGTCCAAAGCGACGGGCAGCATCAAACTTTCTACTGTTAAAATGTACCTTCAGTCGATGGGATCCTGGCGCTACTGGATCGTGGCTGTGACTGTATTTTGCTTACAACAGCTCGGATCCGTGTCGACTAACATCTGGATCAGACAGTGGGCCAATTCCTACCAAACTGAGGATGTTGGAGTAGAGGATACTGGCAACTATGCAGCCATGGCGAACTTGAAGTTTCCGTCCTTCAATGTTGGTAGCGTCCCTCGGACTTCTACGTTCAGTGCACCCCAGTTCGGCACGCGGTCGACATCTTCTAACGATGGCAACGTGAATGTCTCGTACTATCTCGGAGTCTATGCTCTCCTGGGATTTGGTTTCGTCGCAATTTCACTATTGAGGGAAGCTGTCTTGTTCTGGGGCTCTCTGCACGCGTCTTTTACCATCCACAGACGTCTTCTGAAGGCCGTCATGCATGCTAAGTTCAAGTTCTTTGATTCCACGCCTCTAGGTCAGTTGATGAACCGGTTCTCCAAAGATGTTGAATCGGTTGACCAGGAAGTGGCACCTGTGGCTATTGGTATGCTCCACAGTTTGGCATCGGTTGTGATGATTGTGATCCTTATATCGATTATCACCCCCGGTTTCTTGATCGCTGGAATCTTCATTCTTCTGGTTTACGTTGTCATCGGGGCCGTCTACGTGAAATCTTCTCGTGATCTCAAGAGACTCGAGTCTGTTCAGCGGAGCCCGCTGTATCAGCAATTTGGCGAGACATTGAATGGTATCGTGACCATACGTGCCTACGGTGATGGTCCGAGATTTCTTGTGGACAACCATCGTCGTATTAACTCCTACAACCGACCCCACATCTACCTTTGGGCTAGCAACCGCTGGCTTGCATTGCGAGTCGATGTCACAGGCGCTTTGGTTTCCTTCTTCACGGCAGTGTTTGTCCTCGCGAATATCGGAAAGATCGATGCCGGTGCTGCAGGTCTTTCGTTGACCTATGCAGTCACGTTTACGGAGAATGTCCTTTGGCTAGTCCGGCTGTACTCGGAGGTCCAACAGAACATGAATTCCGTCGAACGTGTCAAGGAGTATCTTGAAGTCGAACAGGAGGCGGACGCAGTCATTCCGGACTCCAGACCCCCGGCCAACTGGCCCAGTGGTGGCGCGGTCAACTTTGTTGGCTACAGTACTCGGTATAGACCCGACCTGGATCCCGTTCTCCGAAATGTCTCCTTCGCCGTGCAGCCTGGAGAGAAGGTCGGAATCGTGGGTCGTACTGGCGCTGGTAAGAGCTCTCTCGCTCTTGCGTTGTTCCGCGGTCTCGAAGCAGAAAAGGGCCGCATCGTGATCGATGATGTGGACATCAGCTCAATCGGCCTTCGTGACCTGCGTGAGTCGATTACCATTGTCCCTCAAGACCCTACTCTGTTCACCGGGACTATCCGCTCCAACCTCGATCCCTTTGACCTCTTCACCGACGAGCAGATATTCACGGCCCTGCGACGTGTGCATTTGATCGGCCTAGGAACCTCTGGTACAGCGACCCCGATGACAACCAGCAGTACCCTGGCAGAACCTGCCGCCGGAACTCCCAACGGTGTCACCGGTAGCGCCATCCTCGAGAACAAGAACATTTTCCTCAACCTGGATAGTGCGGTCTCGGAGTCTGGTTCCAACCTCTCCCAGGGTCAAAGACAGCTACTGTGCCTCGCACGGGCTCTACTCAAGAGCCCCAAGGTGCTGATGATGGACGAAGCTACAGCCTCCATCGATTACAACACCGACTCCAAAATCCAGGAGACTCTCCGCGAGCTCCGCGAGAGCACGATCATCACCATCGCGCACCGCCTGCAGACAATTATCGACTACGACAAGGTGCTGGTCCTCGATCACGGCCGAGTCGTCGAATTCGATCATCCTTGGAACCTGATCAACCGCGACGACGGTATTTTCCGAAGCATGTGTGACAACAGCGGAAACATGGATGCCCTTCTGGAAGGAGCTAAGAAGGCCTGGGAACAGAAAAGTCATGTTCATGAGCCATAGACCGCCTGCCTTTCCACCCACCCACCCGCCTTCTTGGATTTGCATACATACCCTACCTATACTATTAACATCTTGATGCACTGACACTAAGGTCGATCGCCTTCGACTTGTTTGTTTCATGACATCATTTTTTTATTTCTTTTTTTTGGGGTGGGGTCCAAAAGTCGTACATACTGAAAGCATTGCTACATACAGTACTTCTTATTGTTATTGTCATTGTTATTGTAGACATGGCGCTTGGGATAATTTTACTGTTACTTATCATTTGATGGATGTTCTTTTTTTTTTTTTTTTTTGTTCCCGATACATTGAGTATGCTTACATAGTTGAATATATTCGGTGCAAAAGTTGGCACTCCTTTTTTATATTAGTAGAATTAATTCTTGAGTACAATTGTAGCGATAAGCCAAAAAGAAAAAGAAGAAAAGTCAACTCTAGACCAAGGTTCCATGGAGAGAAGAGAAAACTCACGGTTGAGAACCAAGACACCCACATATCTACATAGGAAGAGTCAAGAGAATGAATGAGATCAAGCTCCAGCCTCGGCAACTTCGGCAGCTTCGGAAATCTCAACCTACCCTACCACACTCCACTCCGTAGTTAGTACTCAACCTCAACCCCACCAAACTACCCACACTCCTCAACAGCAGAGACTTTCCGACCACGAACAGTTTCTATCTATCTATCTGGCAACCAGCAGAAGAAATGCAATCATCCATCTCCATCTCTCCATCTATCTAGACCCAGCAGAGCAAAGCCAAAGATGTAACTACTATGTCACTAATGCTACAAGTAAAACAAGGTAGTCTTGGCACCTGCACCTTCTAACCGAACACAGTCTAGCGCGACATAGTTTATCTCCCGCCGAGATCCGCAGCGACTGGATGGGATGGATGACATTAACACTAGTTAGTGAATGACATGCAAATCATCATCGATCGTTCATGAATGATTTTCTTAATCAAAGTCAGAGAGAGAAAAGAAAGACCCGCCGCGGAGGTAACTGAATGAATGGTTCATCCGAGACTTTATCCTATGTACCAACCAACCCAACCAGATCTGACCCTCGCTCGGCCTTGAGTCCCACCTCCACCTACCTGCCTGCCTGCCTGCCTGCCTGCCTGCCTGCCTGCCTGCCCGCAACGCAACGTCCCGCTCATCCCCGGTGCTGGCTGGCTGGCTGGCTGGCTGGCTGGCTCGGTTCGGTTCGGTTCCCCCAATTCGATTCACCCTTCCTGTGAAAGATACATGAATTAATGAATGATCTCATCATATCCAAACTATCCGACCCGAGCGCAGCCGTCTCCGGTCGAGAAAAAAAACATTTTTAGTTATCGCTATCCTATACTTTCCATGTCCATGATATCACCGACACTTAGAACGAACTCCCCGGGACCGGGAGCCATGGTTCCCCCGAACCCTGGATCTAGAACTACAGTGGAATCGTACTTCCACTGACCTATCGACACCTGCGAACCACTCATTGTCACAAGGCAGTTACAGTTAGTTAACTGCTTTCTTTCATGCTCTGTTGGGCTGGGGGGGACAAGGTTCATGGTTCTCGATAGGCTTTGTCGGGGGTGAGGGGGGGGGGTGGTGATGCAAATGAAGGGTAAGGCCGCGCGTCGGATGGCTGGACGACTGGTCGGCTGGTCGGCTGGCTGGGCTGTGGGTTGGATTTCATCATATGGTTGCAACCGGGGTTTGGGTGTGCGATGAGGTGCTTTGGGGGTTGGGGTGGGGGGGAGGTAGGTGAGGTATAAGAATGGCAGAGGGAAGTGGAGGAAGACCTGTTTAATTTGGACGTCGGAACGCTTTCTTTTGCATCTATCTCTCTATCTGGAAGTGCATAATACTATTATATTGTTCGAACCCCTTAGCTCCTCTCTCCTGATACCCAGATAAAAAGCAGAAGATCAAAAGATAAAAAAAAAAAAGAGGGAGATATATATATACTACACCCGTCCGCCATCCACAATGCGCGTCTTCGCCACTCTAAGCCAGCTCCTCCTGGCAGGACTCGCTCTGAGCCAGAGCACCTCCTCCTCAAGCTGCTCTTTGCAGTCCTCTGACGACCAAGTAATCGACTACGGATACTCTCTCTCCTTCTTCCTGGACCGCTTCTACTCCTCCGTCCCGGTGAACCAAACCTTCCTCAACGATGCGCTAAACAGCTCGACGGGCGCCTACCTATCCAACTTCCAGGGTCTGCAGCGGCAGAACCGTCTGGGCGTGCGCGCCGTGCAGCAGCTCGGCGCCCGCGCCTCAGGCTTCAGCGCCCACAACTGCAGCTTCACGTACCCGACCGCCAGCGACGGGGAGGCTTTCATCCGGAACGCCCTGGAACTCGAATCCACCGTGGCGGGCGCATACATCGCGCTGGCGGGATACACTCAATCCCCGGAGGCGTCGTTCCTGTGGGCCAGGTTGGCGGCTGAACATACCGCCCACGCGTACTATATCGCGAGTCACCAGCAGTCGGTTCTGTTCCCGACTAACAGCTCGTCCCTGGTGCCCGCGTTTAGCCCGGGGTATGTGTTGTCGAATGCGACGGGGCACGGGCATCTGGGTCGGTATTTCCAGGGCTGTGTGACGGCGCCGCCCGTTCCCTGTGGTGAGACCCTGTTTATTGGCGGGTTGACGGCTACGCTGGGGGCCAATGTCTCGGCCAGTGCGGCGGCTTCGAGCTCCGCTTCTCTGTCTGCGTCGGCCACCCCTTCGCCGAGCTGGGCGAAGAGGGCTTTCTAAGGAAGGTGCTGGGTTCCTAACGGTTGAATGAGATGTTCGTGCTATGCTACCGACCAGGACGATGGTCTGGTTGATTGGCAAGGTGTGCGTCGAGGAACGTGTTGTGGCAAGGGTACTGGTGTGGATATCATGTTGACGGCAATATGTGTGGCCGATAATTCCTGTAATAATCTCATCCAATTGCGGATTAATGTAATGTGACAAATCTAGGGTTTGGTTGGAACTGTGCGATGCACACTCTCTTGTTGATTGTAAGCCTGTTTTAGGCGGGAAAGAAGAAAGTGATTCTGAGCACCTGCATAGACGCATAGCTTGGCCATAGTGGTCAGTCATTGAGGCCTGTTGTAGAAGACTATGTATGATATCATCCGAGTTTTACCCCCCGTCGAGGACCCGGAAGCTCCGGGAGTCGGACCCAGCACGAAATCTTATTACACGGTGACTCGAAGACTTTTGAGACCCGAAAGAAATCCTAGTGTCCCACGGAAATATCCGCCGCCGAAGCCAATTCCTATAAAAGTTGGACCTAGAGGGAAGATGGGTGGCCATGAGCTTGATTTGGCGCAGGCTAAAGGGTGTGTTCTCGGTAGATGAGTGTTCGTTTCTCTAAGCGCCTCGTTTCCATAGTCTCTTCATGAGTGGCAAAGACCCCTGCATTGGCCTACGTTGTAGACCGAAGCTTCGAAATGATTATCGAGTTTCCATGAGCCCGCTTTCAGTTGGCTGACGGCCAGAAGAGAGAGCTGAGCCAGGGTTGATTGAGTTCAATTCGTAGAAAAATCAAAAAGCTTTAGCCTGGTTGAATCAGGGCAAGATACCTGTCTAGACTCTGACCAAGTACATTTATGAAGGGCCATTGTGTGTTCTTTCGGAACAGACGAGCCCAGAGCTTTATGACAGCGAGGCCGAGGCTGCTGGGATCCTGGCTGGGGAACGTTTCACCTTCTTCCAGATCCATCGACTCGTACGCCTCTTGCACAATGCATCGCGTCCAATGCAAGATTCGGGTTTCATTTTCTGTAGACAATAAAAGTTAGTAATCATTCTAGTGTTAGAATCTACAACCACGCCAATTAGGGGTTGGTTCGTACCACTTAAGGCTTGATTGCCAGTTTCGGCCAGTGACATAAGCCACTTGCTAAGAAGAACAGCGCACTCTAGACTGGCAATTGAGTGGCGGACGCTCCAAAAGAAAGCCTGACTGCGCGCAACATGATCTATCCCTAACCGTACGGGAATACTCAATGCGTGTGCTGAATATATCAATGCAGGGGTAAGTCTATAACTCCTCCCTGGCCGTGGCGATCTGTGCATTGCAGTGGCAATGCGGTATGGATCTCGTGTCTCCAGTTGGCGATGAGGCCCAAGATTAAGAGACAGGCGAACGTAAGCAAGTCCTAAAAGCGAGCTTGATGTGAACGGAATAGGTCCATTCTCATTATGCGGGTCCAGACTTGATTCCGGTGCTTGCTGCCAAACAGAAGTCCATGATCGCAGGGCTCTCCTAAAAATGCTAGTAAGCAACTGATGACATGGAAAGAAGAAACATTCGTACTTACTCGAGCTTATTGAGTTCCTCTGTTGGGAGGGAAAATGAATGGTCTCCATTCGGTATAGACAGCTCACTGACCAGATGGATACGCTGAAGGAGACCATGGAGCAGAATGTAGTTTCCCAATGGTGCAGGGATTGGGTCCAGGAGGACAGGAGTCCGTGACTGCTGCAACAAGAGCCCCAACGCATCCTGGAAAAATAGCTGTTGAGACCCTACCTCCTTTTGGGCATCTTCCCAGTCGTGGACAGTAGCGGCTTTCCATTCCTTTGTAGAGCATGGTAGGCGCAGGTGAACCTCGCTGCTGCGAAGCACTGGGTAGATGTTGTATGCTATGCTATGAACATGAACAAAGCAGAAAGAGATGCATCGAGTGCGCCTGATGGATTCCTCTTCGGCCCACTCATGCCACTGCAAGGGGGAATGCCTCGGAGCAACTATAATGTTTTCCATCAAGCCGAACTCGCGCAAACACCGCACGAGCAAGGTTTGCAGACCGAAGGCCTCTTGAACCAGCTCGGCCGTTTCCCATGTCGAGTATCCCATCAATACCAGCAGAGTTCGAATATTCTCTATTTGCCTCCACGCATTCATCCCTGCAGCAAATTCTGACGGCGATAGCGATGGGTCTCGACCTGGCCGCTGAGATGAGTCCCGAATGCTGTTTAGAGGTATCTGAATAACAGCATTTAGCGACGGTGAATTCGATTCCTTCGACAGCTTATATAGTACTATCGACTTGGCTGCATGAAAAAGCCGCTGCGCATTGCGATGTTCGAAACGATACTGGGCCCCTATTGTCATAAAGGCTAGTATGAGCTCTGGAGCTCGACTATTGATCCGCAAGGTCGGTACATGTATAAAAGGGAGATGCGTATGAAAGCCAGCGAAAAAAGAGGTAAGATATCGGGTTAAAGTGTGTCGTGAAGGTAGGACAAAATCTTGAATGAGATATCGGTACTCTTCTAAGGAATTGGCAAGACGCTGTCTTTGCTCTTCGGTGACTTTCAACGGCGAAGGGTTTCTGGAAATCTGAGGAGGCTCTAAGCGCGTATTAGAACAGCTATACAAGCTTGAGCCTTTCAATCCAAATGCATACCGTAGTCAGACACAGACCCCAGACTCTGATCCGCGGGAGGTACAGATGGGAGCCACGTCCGGAAGGGCGAGTCGGCTCGCGACCGGTCTGTCTGGTGAGGGCGAGGCGGCTCATGTTGCTCTCTGGTATTCCTGCTAAACTCTGGAGCCTCGGCGGACAAGGAGTTGTGGATCTGAGGGATGTCACCAAAGGCCGGAACCCACTCCGACGGCAGACCGATTGAGTCCAGAAAGTGCGTAAAGTCCTGAAAGTGATTCAGATCTTCGGGTAAATACGGCAGTGGCTGGGCTTAACATACACCAGACATTAGCATAGGAAATTTCAGGTATCAACGAACAATGCTTTACCTGGAGGGGCAGCATGTCGATAGTTGCCTGGCAGAAGCAGGTGAGCAGCCTCTAAGATATCCGCATCATGGCCGACTGCACTAGCAGGGACAGTCAAGCCGCTCGCACCACTGTTCCCGGTATCAATCACTGTACTTCGGTCCTGTTCTAGATATGGTCCACGCTGCGGCCCAGTCCAAGGTTCCACAGCTGGCGGCACAGACAATGACGCATCTGGTCGCGACGCCGGAGGGAGGTTGTAATGCGGTTGGACTGCAGCAGGTTCCGAGGCTCGGGGTCTATGGACTGGATCTAGAGCTTCATTATCGGGCTGGGAATTCGGGGAAGCCAATCCACTGCTCTGGTGCGCAATGGTTGTGTGTCTCTTCAAGAGATCCCGGCGGGTGAATGCGGCCCCGCAGAAACAGATATACGGTTTTTCCTTCGTGTCTGGGGACGCATGATGGTTCAGCCTGGGCTTTTTCTGGGCGGAGCAAAGCATTCAAGCAGCACTAGGCCTGGGGGTTCCACTCACGCGTGCGAACATGTCGCTCCAAATGCTCGGTTCTTCTGAAGGTGCGCCCACAATGGACGCAAACACGAGATTTTGCTCCAACGCTGGAGCGACGGGAGCTCCGAGCCGATTGCGACGACGGTTGTGACAGCATCAAGACATTTGGAGGGAAAGCGGAAGGCGAGGGTGTTGGGATGAGGTGACTGCTCCAATTGGAGACGCCAGGCAGGGCAGAGGGCTAGTTCGAAGGGTGTTGGAGGAAGGATGAGCGAAGCCTTCGCGAGGAAGCGGGCGACTCCAACTTTCCCGTCGTTGCCGAACCGACTTACTTTTTTGGTCGGCCCCAACGCCACTTTGGGAAATGGGTTGGCTTCCCCACTCGCCGATAAGGAGGGGTTGCGTCTCCAACCAGTGATCCCATCCCTGCTATAAAGCCCATCGGCGCGATGATAGACGCTCCACGTTCTCGACTCGTGGGCTTCCCTTTCGTCCGGACCGTTGAAAATGACGATGACGCAAAGATATACCTTCCCGGGAGTTGCCGTCATCACGGGGGCCGGTGGTACAGGTACGAAGCCCCCCCCCCTGCGAGAGGAAACCCGTAATAGATACCCTGGAATTGACAAAGACTATCTAGGGATCGGTGCAGCCGTCGCAAAAAGCTTCGCGTCGACAGGATGCGAACGAATTGCCATTACAGACCTCAATCTCAACTCTTTGGATCAGACCCGACAGGCCATTCTTGCCTCTCACCCCCAAGCCCGCCTGGTGATCAAGGCGGGCGACATATCCGACGAGAGCTTTGTCGAGTCCTTCATCGATGAGGTGGTAGCTTCCTTCGGAAGGGTGGATTACGCCGTGAACTGTGCCGGGATCCTGGGAGACGCACTGCGATCAACCGAAACGCCCACGGCGATCTTCGATCAGATCAACAATGTCAATTATCGGGGCTCGTGGCTCTGCTCCCGAGCGGAATTGGGACAGATGGTGAGGCAAGATCCGTTAGCGAGCCATGATCCGACGCGTGCACCCCAACGAGGAGCTATAGTCAACGTCGCGAGCCAGCTGGGGATCGTCGGGCGTCCCAGCGCGCGTAAGTCTCCAGTCCCCCATGACTTCTACTGATAACAACACCCTGTACATTGAAGCTGACTAGTCTCCATCTAAGCTGCGTACTGTGGCTCCAAAGCTGCTGTGATTGCAATGACCCGTTCCGATGCAATTGACTATTCGGAGGATGGCATTCGGGTGAACTGTGTTTGCCCGGGGGTCATCGAAACGCCAATGACGACATACAGTGAAGAGGTCCGGGAGCGTCTCAGACCCGCGGTTGAGATTGCTCCTATGAAAAGAATGGGGAAGCCGGAAGAGGTTGCCGATGCGGTGCTCTTCTTATGTTCGCCTTTGGCATCGTTTGTGCAGGGCCATGCGCTTGTGGTGGACGGAGGGTATGTTATAAACTAGTTAAAGAGCCCTGACACTGGACTGGCGAGAACTTATGAAACTACTAATTTCGGTGAGAGACTAAATTGTAAACCGGCTCATGTCCATCTCTCGCCTTGTACTTACATCAACGCTGAGAATGGAAGAGGTTGATAAGCAAATAAAAGGTTCAACAATCATATTGATTACCTAGTGTACACCGAAGGGACAAGTCCAAGGAGGGCCTATAGTAGATCATGTACTAGTAGTTTGAGGTTATGCATTTCTTCTATAGTAACATTGCGGGAATGATTTCTATCAGGAAAACAGATATATGATATACCATCTCCTTATTTAAGAATGATCAAGGCCATTCTTCCAATTGCAGTTCTTTTCCCATGCAAATCCAGCTCTAAGCACCTTAGATTCCTGCCACAGCCCTCCAACTATTTGCATACCCACGGGTAGCTTGACCGTGGAGTCATCTTTAGCCGGTGCGAATCCCACTGGGATTGACATGGCGGGGTGTCCAGTCACATTGAAAACAGCCGTGTTGATGGTCAGCCCCATGCTGGGCTTCAGCGATTCGACCGGAAGTCCCCGGGCACCATGTCTGGGAGCAACAACCGGCGTGGTAGGCATAACAACGACATCATACGTCTGGAAAACCTCCTCGTATTGGTCCCGCAGCTTCCGACCGATGTTGACTGTCTTCCCGTATAGGTCAGGGAATCGCGAAGTCAGATAGAGGCCGTTAATAATAACGTTTTTGGTGGACGGGAAGGCTCTCCGGAACCCCTCCTTCGTCCACGGAAGACGCCCGCGCTCCATCTCGGTCATATGAAGCCCTCGCCTACCATGGGCCTGTCCCAGCAGTGTCATGGATCCTGATACGCGCTGCTGAATGGTCCAGATCGCAGGACCGTGGTAGTGGTCTGGAATTGAGATTTCCTCGACTGTTGCACCAAGATCTGCGAACTTTTCAACCGCTGCCATGACTGTGCTTCTGACTTCTGGGTCTACAGCAGCATGGTCAAAGCCTTCTTTGAGGATGCCGACTTTGAAGCCGTCGAGTCGTCTCTGAGTTCCTGCTTGAACCGAGGTCGCAAAGGAGGTAGAACCGTGTCGGGGGCTTCCCAGGCACCTATCGTCTATCCCATCGTAGCCGGCAATCGCATCTAGGCATGACGCCACGTCGAGAACGTTTCGAGCAAGGGGCCCCGCGTGGTCATCAATGGCGTCCCCGCTGGCAATGCCACTAAAGGGAACCAGTCCATAGGTAGGCTTCAACCCAACACCTGAGAGTAAGAAGACTTAGCCAAGATCCGCAGGACGAGTCAAAAGCGATCTCACATACAGCCGCATAACGCTGAGGGGACCCGAATACTGCCACCTTGGTCCCCACCGATCGTAATATCCACGATACCAGCCGTAACCAAGGCTGCACCTCCTGAGGTGCTCCCACCGGCCGAGTAGCCCGCCGCAAAAGGATTCTCTACTATACCCTGCGCACTCGTGAAGGACGATGTTGAATGACAGTAGTTCTCACAGGTAGACGTGCCATGGATATCTGCACCGGCATCGAGAACGCGAGTAACAACAGTCGCGTCTGTGACTGGGGTCCAGGAGGGAATTATGTCACTTCCAAGGAGCTGTGGCACCCCCGCCACGGCTATGCAGTCCTTCACGCTGACCGTCTTTCCTGCCAGAAATTCACCTTCGGGGTTGCCTCTGATCAGGAATTTATGAGCCCATGACTGTCCCAGGACCTGTTCTTCTGGCGATGGACGGCGTATGCTTTGCCGAGGGTATCGATCCAAGTCGGGGACTGGCTGGTAGTCCGGAAGACTCGCAACGGTTTCGGCGCAATCGTGGACCGCCGCCAGGAGAGTATGGTAGTCTTCTTCGTCTTCTTGCTCAACGGAAAGTCCTAGGGGACTGAGAAGAGCGCTGGCATCTTCCCTCTTGACCGGATTGTCCCTGTGGTTGATTTGTAAGGTTGTAGTTCGGGGACCTGGGCGGAGTGAACACGGAAGGTGGCAGTCAGTACATACGGGGAGATGGAAGTAAACAGAACCGACATAACGACCAGGCAGCTTCGCAGGCAACAGGAATGTACAGACAGAAACCTCTGCGATCGTAAGAAGAGGAAAAAAAGAAGGCCCTCGGTGGCATAATCCCCTGATCCCCCACACGCCAAGCCTTATCGGCGTTGGAGTAGGCAAGAGAGCGACTCCAACTGCCAGGCAGTGATCGCTGCGGCCTCGGGCCAGCGTTAAGGGCGGGGGTGATTGGGTCGGGGCATATCGAGTATCCGCCAGTCCCCACCAGCCACTATACTTACAGTGTACAACCCTCTCCCTATCAGTATCACCTGGCAACCTGCACCTATAACCGCACAAGCTCCCCTGCCGCCCCTGGCTTATCGCAAAGCACTCTCCAGCTACTCCAAATACTATCAGTCTGCATGGCCGATAGTGCAGGATGCCGTCTACTCCAACTGATATACCCCAAATCGCCCTCCAACAGAGATAGATATCTTTCCGCGATCTTATCACCAACATCTTCCAACCTCATCAGACCTGTCACTTGGATTACTTGATGCAGATCTTATCACTTTGCATGTCTCTTACCCTTGCATACTGCTGCAGTCGATGATGTAGCCCTCATAAAAATGTGAGACTCTCCCACCGGCCGGGGAGGCAGTTCCCATCCTCCCACACCCACTACACTCCCCTACATCCACCATGTCGTCGTGTCCCAACGAGGCCAAAGACCTTAAGGTCTCCCCAGCCGAGGGACCAAGCGAAGATATCGGAATTGCAACCTCCACAGACCTCAAGTCAGGCGAAGATGTCCACGAAGTCTTCAAACAAGGAGAGGGGCAGGTGGACTTCCGCACCGTCAGCTGGATCCGGGCTTCAGCAATCTTCCTCAAGAGTACGCACAATACCCCCCGCCCCCGCCCCAATATCCAACCCACACAGAACCCTAACAAAACACCAACCCAGTGCTATTCGCAACCGGCATCCTCTCCATCCCCTCAGTCATGTACGACCTGGGAGCCTTCCCCGGTGCCATCAACCTAGTAGGCTGGTGCGCGTTGAACGCCTACGGCGCCATAGTTCTGGGCAACTTCCGCACTCTCCACCCCCAATGCCACTCCGTCGCCGACATGGCCCAGCTCACAGGCGGGCCCATCTTCCGCGAACTCGTCGGCTTCATGTTCATCGTGACCTACGTGATCACCGCCTCGTCCGGGATAATCGGCGTCTCGGCAGCCTTCAACGCCCTGTCGCTGCACGCCACATGCACCGTATGGTGGTCACTGACTTCTACCGTGGTCATCGCCGGATGCGCAAGCGTCCGCAAATTCTCCCACATTGGCTGGCTCACCTGGGTCGGGTTCTTCAGTATCTTGGCCGCGGTATTCATCGTCGTGTACGTCCCATCCCATCCCATCTCATCCCCCTTCCTCCCACCTCCCCTCACAACCAACCATCCCAAGCATCCCTAACCCACCCCATCCTCAGAATCGGCGTAACAACCCGCACCCGCCCCGCCATCGCCCCCCAAACCGGGCCCTACACACTAGGCTACCACGCGATCGGCCACCCAACCTTCGCAGCAGGGATCACCGCGAGCGCGACGATCTTCGTCTCCAGCGCAGCCACGTCCGCCTTCCTGCCCGTAATCTCCGAGATGCGCAAACCCACAGACTACCCGAAAGCCGTGTACCTCTGCCTCTCCTTCGTGACGGCCTCCTACCTCGCCTTCAGCCTAGTGATCTACCGCTGGTGCGGTCAATGGATCGCGTCCCCCGCGCTCGGCAGCGCCGGCCCAACCGTCAAACGCATCGCCTACGGCATCGCCCTCCCCGGGCTAATCGTCAGCGGGTCTCTCTACGTGCACGTCGCCGCGAAGTACCTCTTCGTGCGGATCCTGCGACACTCGCGACATCTGCAGGCGAACACGCCCGTCCACTGGGGTACCTGGCTAGCGTGCGTATTCGGGTTGGCGGCCGTGTCGTTTATCTTGGCGTGTGCGATTCCAATCTTCACGTACGTGTTGGCGTTGGTGGGGAGCTTGTGTTTTGCGCCCCTGGCGATCAGTTTCCCGGCTTGGTTGTGGGTGTATAGTCATGGGCATTATTGGGGGGCCGGGGTGGGTGTGATGAGGAGGCTGGTGTTTGGGTTGCATGTTTTGATGATTGGATTGGGGGTTTTCATGATGGTTGGGGGGACGTATGGAGTTCTTGTGCAGATTATGGAGGCGTATAGCAGTGGGGAGGTGGATGGGGTGTTTTCCTGTGCGGATAATAGTGGGTCGAATTAGATAGATAGATGTTTCTTGATTAATTGATTGCTTGGTGTTTATCGGATGGAGAATGAGTAGGTAAAAAGCATAATGTGTATTCGTTATTCATAAAAAATCATTTCAAGACATGAGAGGGAAATAAGCACCATATTGTGAAAGCAAAACGCAATAATAACCTTCTCAAAGGGCTCAGCACGCATCGATATGATAACGATAAAATCATAAAAGTTCAACACAGAACAGAAAACCGTTGAATCTGCACGTTCGTTCCATTTTGTCCCTGCGCAACTGGAGCCCGACAACCACTAGGGCCCCAGCCTCCACAACTCCAATAGTACTGTTGCATCCGATATCACCAGAAAGCCGCACCGAGCAAGTTGACCCATTGTTTATCTCGACGATATACCCCAGGGCCCCACCGTTGAGAATCGCATCGTGGCAGGGGAGTGTGCCGTTTCCAAAGAAGAATGTCGTTTCACCAGTGCATTTTGAGTTTTGGTAAAGGGATATCTGCCAGGCGGGGGTTGGGGTGGGTGACTGGTTAGGAAGGGCCCGGACGTGGGTCAGGAGGAGGGCGGTAACGACGGTGAAGGTGCTTTTCATTTTGTTCGGTCGTCTGTAGCAGATAGTGTAGGAGATATGTGGGAGTTCAATGGTTTGAGGGGAGGGAAGATGGGTGTTATATGTCTGGTCCTTTGTAAGCGAGTAGGTTCATGTGGCTGAACCCTATGTAGAACTGTTGAGAAGGATGGTAGGGGGGAGAGATAAAAATTATGAGAGGCTGGAAACTGTGTAAAAGCAGAAATGGGCCGTTGGGTCATGGGCGTGCATTACTAACTTGCGCTGTTTGGGTGACTCTTGTGGCTGGGCATAGGTAAGGGGCACATAGGAGAGTTCCCCACAATGCCAACGGACAGGTCCCCGAAGTCTCATTTGACAAAAGAACCGGCGGAAACATGTGATATGATGTCAGGCCCTTGGGGACTCTTGTGGGCGACGAAATGAAAATATCTCTCGAGCCTGCACCTCTCTGACAAATTCAAGTAACCTGTTGGGGTTAGATCTGCAGGTATTGGAGAATGTCCTGGTCAAGAGCTTCCATCGACTTGTTGAGCAATTCCTGTGTTTCTGGAGTATTCAGCAGATCACCACCTCCCATAATAGGCAGTTCAGCTTGCACAGCTGGATTGGCGGTATCAACGATAGGTTGTCCTACAGGTCCAATATCATGGAAATCCACAACCTCAGAGTAGCTAGTATTGTGGTCAGCCAATAAAAATGATGGCTGAGAGGGCAGAACGCACATCATGATTTTCCACTCGTCTGTAGGGTGCTCGGCTTCACTGAAGGACCAGTCGAACTTTTGGTCGGCTATCGGTTCATCGTTGGGGTCGTGATACATCGCCATATAAGGATGCATTAGAGCGTCTGCAGCGGAAATCCGTTTGTTGGGGTCAATTATGAGCATCTTCCCAAGGAGATCAATAGCTGCATGGGGTTCAGCCATTAGTAACATAAACCAACGTTTGTATTTCCTCTCCCGAAGAGACGTAGTTACCATCATCATCAACACCCGGAAACAGGGATTTCCAAACAACTGGCTCCCGTTTCCCCAATGACTGCACGAGCTGCAGGGTCTAGAAACTTGGTGAGAGTTGAGCTAAAAGCGGAGACTTATCACCTTACAGTCTTGGTGGAGATTCTCTCGACTACCTCGTCAGGAGGGTTTCCGAGAGCCTCTGTGATCAAAAAGAATTGATTAATATGATCTTTCCCTGGAAACAGAGGCTTTCCACGGAGCATCTCGGCGATGATGCAACCTGCACTCCAGATGTCCGCTTCCACTCCGTACTTTTGCCATGTCAGCATGATCTCCGGTGCTCTGTAGTATCTGGTAGACACATAGCCTGTCATCTGTGGCTCCTGAAGTCGGGCGAGGCCAAAGTCGCAGATTTTCAAATCGCAGTTTTCGTTGATCAAGATGTTACTCGGCTTGAGATCGCGGTGAATCACGCCTGCCGAGTGAATGTATTTCAAGCCTCGCTGTGGCTGTTAGAATTTTCGGATGGCGCATTACCCAGCAGGCTTACCAGAAGTTGATATGCAAAATACTGCACGAACTTGCCCTCGAGGGGTGTTGCAGTAAGAATACGATGCAGATCGGTCCCCAGAAGTTCCGTCACCAGATATCTAAGTCCCCGCATCAGTATCCGGGCATGGAGCTCATGACTATCGACAACCGCGATCCCACGTACATGTCCTCTGAAGGCGAGATAAAGATATCACTCAGACCAATGAGCTGCCCTATGTTAGAATCCGACGGGTCTCACGGAAGCATATGGGTACGGACATTCTCGTGGTGCAAGTGTTTGAGCAGCTTGACCTCTCGGTAGGTACGCTTCGCGATGGTGGAATTGGCGAACGGCTTCATCATCTTCTTGATAGCCACCGCTTGGCGAGTAATCGAGTCATGTGCGGAGCTGATGCGGTTAGCCTGCTTGATCATGTTAGCATGAACGGAGGGGGGGGGCGGTACCAAACTAGCCCAAAGGCTCCGAGGCCGACAGGCTGGAGGTCCGCATATCTAGCTTAGAACTTTAGCTGCGGGTTCGACGTCAAGAGTGGATGCGGAACCACGACTTGCCGGCTGGTGGTTTCGAACGTGGTCCCGAGGATCTGAGCGCGAGAGAAATATGCCATCCTGTTGGCTGATCGAGGGGGGAGGGGGATGAGCGGAGAAGGGAAGGATGGGGTCGGAGGTGCCGAGGAAAGAGAATAATATATCTTTAGTAATGGGGTATGACAGCTAAACAAAGGGAGGGAAGCTGCATAATGAACGGCCACTAGTGTTAAGGGACCTCCGCGCAGTCCCGACTGCGAGTGGACAGAGGACAGAGGACAGAGGACAGGACAGAGGATAGGACAGAGGACAGGAAAGAGGACCGAGGACCGAGAGAAAGGAGAGGGACAAAATCGACTGCCTCTCTAGGCCGCCCTAGTACCTTCTAGGACCGTCTCAGGCCTTGACAGCAGGAGGTACTTCTGAGGTACCTGGGCCCGCAGGCCCCCAGACAGGGAAGGGAGGTACCTGGCGGGAGACCCCCAGCCGCGATTGGCGGGATGCCGGACCAGCCAGCAGCAGCAGCGGAGTGAATACCGGCGAGGTAACCGCTTCAGGCATCGTCCTTCACTGTGAGACTCATGGGCGGGTCCACGTTCCGGTGCCCTCCGAGTTTATACTCACCTCCGGGAGCGTTTCGTTCCCAGGAAGTCCATTCGTCGCCCTTCGCTTTTCACCTCTCACAGCACCATGCACAGGGCGACTTTGCGAACAAGGTTGCACGGGTGACCCCCGCCAGGTCACGTGTGCCCTCCCATACCCATAGATACTTAGCGCACAACCTGTGGACCCGGCCAGACTCACCGGAGTCGACGAGACAAAACGGGACGGGAGGAGCAAAGAAGTGTCGAGAAGCTCGAAGAATTGCTATCTACCCTTAGAACTGGGAATGCGGGGGCGCGGCCTTGGTGCGAGCGCCTCCTTGGAATCTCCGGACCAATCACCTTTCAACCCGACTTTTGACATCATCGCCATGTTCTGTTCTTTCAATTTGATATTACCTGCTGCCCTAACTAGATCGGGCGCCAGACTAAGAAATATTCCACCCGGAAAGAAAAAAAAAAAAAAAGAGAAAGAAAAAGCAAAAAGAAAAACAGTCTCCCGGTTTTCCGCATCCTAAGTAGCCATCATTCCGCCATCAGTCGTCCAGAAGATTCCCCTGCGGCACAGAAGCCCGGGTGGAGGTCGCCGCCTTCTCTCGACCCTCGGGCCGTTCCGGTCTTCCATTGGGTTGATAATCGAGCAGAAGATCATCAATCATACCGGGTCCTGCTGGCAGGGCTTGCGTTGCATCTATGGCTTGGGCTTTTCTCAGCATGAAAGCGTCATGCTCTTGAGCGCCTCCACTTGCAAATTCCTGGTACTGCTTGACCGCTTCCGTATAGGGATCTGGCCTTTCCAACATGGTACCTATCACCAATCCCTCATTTTCGAGACGTTGGCCCAGATCACACTTGCATGAACAGGTATGGCTTGTGGCGCAAGGTGTCTCGCAGATGTGATTGCAAGCCATCCGACGCCCACAAGTGTTATCGCATCGCACCTGGTCATGGGAAAACCTACTTTGCTATTAGTCTTTTCATCCGAGTCTCTCGGTTATTATCTGGCATACCTGTGGCAGAGAATGGGACAGGGATGACCACAATCTAATGCTTCATCGCAGGGCAGATCACATCCTCCATTGATTTTTTCCCAGTCGGGGGGACCTTGACTTCTCATTAGCATACTTATCTTTACAAGTATCTCAATGAAATACTGCAAACCTTTGATCGGAGTCCACCTCTTGTGCTTTGCACATGTCACTGGAATCACGTCTCTCAGGCGCCGCGGTTTGCTACTCTCCAGTGTCGTCAAAACTTTCTGCCAGAGCAGATTGCCATTGACAAGTGCCGTGGCGTTTCCAAACATGTAAAACCCGCGCCTTGCTCGCGATAGTGCCACGCAGACTCTGTTCTCGATGGAAAGGAAGCCAATATGTCCCCCTCCGCTTCGTACAAGTGAAAGGATGACGATCTCGTTCTCCTCTCCCTGATACGAGTCCACGGTAACAACCTTTACATAATTCCCTTGAATATATGGCTGTTGTTTCAAAGCCGACAAGATTCTCTTCCTCTGCCCATTGTAGAATGTTAGTATCGTTATGTCCTGGACGGGGTTGCCACTTTGCACCAAGTAAACAAAAAATCTTGCAATCATCTCCGCTTCTGTCTCGTTAAACTTAGATGCCAGACTGTCTCTGCTCTCTGGCCAGTGATGATGGAAGAAATAAGAACAAAGATTCCCCATGCCCGCCACCTTAGGACGGTTACAAACCGACTGGTGATCCTGTAATGTGCCGTATATCGGCTCTAGCAGCTGGCGGATCTCCGGTGCCATCCGTCTCTGTCTCTTTAGCGTTACAAAACGAATTCCATTTTTGACAAGTCGTTCAAACATCGATACGCCCAGGTTGAAGGGTGCGCTTTCAAGTTCCTGGACCGTGCAATGTCCTTTGAGTTGTTGGTGATCCCCCACGAGTATCATATGCTGAAGGGAATTGAAACATGCAGCAGTCAATGGTGCCTCAATCGCCTCGGCTGCCTCTTCGATGAGGACGATTCGCGGCTGGAGGCTCGATATAAGACCTCTGTATTTGCTAAGCCCTGTAGCAGTCATACCAATCACCTTCGCGTTTCCGAGGATATGGTAGTCTCTCTCCCATTTGCCTATTTGTAGGCTCTCACAGTTCTTGAAGTAGCAAGCCATCAAGCTCCGTAACTTTCCCATAATCTTCAGCTTCAATTGCTTCCGAAGAACATCGTAAACAGACCCGCGGGCTTCCCTTTTGATCTTCCATAAATCTGTGTGTTTGAGATATTCTAAGGCCGACGTCTCGGAATAGGAGGCACTACGACCACAAAAGCCGTCTCGAATACCGACAAACTGCCCTTTAAGAATTTCATAGTCGTCTTCTTCGATACCTTGTTCAGCCTCCAATTCCTTGAGCTGTTCGTACTCCAGGTCAATATCGTCCTCTGCAAACCCAAAATTCTCTGCCGCGTATCCCACTTCGAAAGGGATCAGTTCTTCCCCCAACCAGGCTACTAAGGGGTCGGTATCCTCTGCATCGGATGCGCGAACCCAGCCTTTGGCCCCCTTTATGAGAGAGTCGTATTGGGTCTCCGTCATCAAGCCATACTTGACGAAAAGAAATGCTGGCAGAGGTACGTCGGCGTTGTCTGCACTGAAAGGCTGCAGAAGTTCGAAGATTCCTCGCGACAAGTTCTTGTAATCTTTTCGAGCACTACCTAGCACGCTCCCATGAACAGGGACCGTGGATCCACTCTGCCTGACAGAATAGAGAGTGCGCCTCTTAATTTCAGGATCGCTGCTTCTTGAACCCAATCTGATATAGCTCCTCTCAAAGGTGGAGACAAGTCTCAGAATCTGGTCTAAAGCATGGTTTGTCTGGGATGCAATGATTATAGGAGGATCGCCAGGTTTCATATTGGAGAGCAAGATTTTCAAGGCAAGAACGGACACGTATGTCTTACCAGTTCCCGGAGGACCTTGAATAACAGAGAGCTGTTTGGTGAGCATTTCTCGAAGGGCATCCCATTGAGTGTGGTCCAGGTCTGCAGTTGGTAAATGAGGCCAGTCCTCAAGAATATTGACTTTGCCTTCTTGGCTGGTTCCATCAATCGCTGACTGTATATCGACAATAGGATGCTCTTTCACATAGTCCGGAGCCTGAACGTTTGGGTTGAGCAGGCAAATGTGCTCAGAAAGTGGAAACCTACAGGAGCAATTAGAATTTCACTTCCAAGGAACATCTTAAAGTATTTACTCACTGCTCCTGGCTCATTTTTTGTAGAGCTGTCATTGTGTGTCTTGCAGATTCATAATAGCCATCTTTCGCCTCCACCATGATCCATTCCTTCTGGGGGTCAAAATCAACGTCTTCGGGTCTGGTAAAGAAGATATCAATCTCCGATGGATACTGGGTAACAGTCTCCAGTGGCCTGGCTGCAACAATAGCAATGACGCATTTACTCTTGAACACATCATCGGCCGGACTGAGCGCAACCACGGAGCCGCTTATCAAACGCTTCGAGTATTCCCACGCGATACTTTTCCCCGCTCGACTGGTAGAGAACTGGATCCGGAATCCGAGGCCTCTCTGTGCAAAGGTGATTCCAGTAATGTAGACCTAAGGATAGTGAAGTGGTCAGAGAGTTGGCCTGAGAGAAAGCTTCTTGTTGGAAAGACAAGTTACCTTATCATAGATGGAAGCTACGTTGTTGTCCATCATCTGGGGGTCTTCTCTGACGTATGCCACAGCGTCTCGTAGAGGAGCTATAGAGTCCTCTCTTAAAAGTTCATAGTGAGCCTTCAAGTACGCTTCTTTCGATTCCCAAGGCCCAACAATCTGGTTCGGTCTCAAGTCGACATACTTCTCATCGTCATCAGCATCATCAAAGTCATAAGCGCCCATGATCTCTGCTGGAGGTGGAACCTCCGGCTTTAGAAGCCATCTCTCCGAGCCTTCAGGATAGTTTCGAACTAAATACGCCTTTATATCTTTATTGACGAGGACAGGCTTCTCCAGGTGGACCGCGCTCAGCCGTGAAAGTAACTCAGGATGGATGAAATCAGTTGTGCCTTCTCGATTCATATTGGCAAAAGATGATTATTTAAGAAAGTTCATCAAGATAAGTGAGTGAGTGGGGCGACATGAGCTTCAACCACGCCAATTATTGCAGGATGAAGGGGAAAGAAAGGTGGTAAACCGATTATGATGTTGAGAGTCTTAGGAGGATGGTTTTATGAGGAAAGAGGAAAGGAAGTTGGAGAGAAAGTTGAAAAGGGAAGGAAAGGAAAGGAAAAGTGAGGGCTCATTGACGGTTTGAAAAAGAGGGTGTGTCATTCACTGTAGGTCCCTCCTGCCATATTGGGAGTCACATACAATGGGCAGACAGGCAGGTCAATACCTGCTGTATCCTGTCTGGTAATAATACTTGATATTTTCCAGCCTTAGGCTCGATCGAAGCACTGCTGGCAGGTATAAAGTTCAAGACAGTAGGCAGTGGCATATTTTCTTCTTCTTCCTCCAATAATGGGTTGCTATACCACTGCCCGGCGTTGCTACAAACAAACGAGTCGATAGTTAAACTCTGTGCGACACTCATAGCCTAGGTAATTTCCACCCGGGTTATGCAGTGACACTCCTGGAATTGTGATGCTAAGAAACTATTCTTAGACCTTTCTCAAGGGTTGTGGATCATACATAAGCAAGAGACCGCAAGAAGTTGAGGGAGGAAGATTTTGGGGGCAGGAGGGACATTGATTGCTCCTCTGCCAGAATTCTGGTGAGCATAATTCGCGATGTTCTTCAAGAATTTGTTCCTCGAAGACGAAACCCAGACTAAGTCCTGTTACAGCACAGCATATTAGCTCCGGCTATCCGAGGCCACCTCCATTGACTGCCATGCCATTCCCTTGAGTTGAGTCCATGATGTTGTTTCTTCAGTGACTTCTCGACAGTGACGGAAGATGCGGAGCTGCGCTAACCTTTTGGAGACATTGTCTGCCTCAGGCAAAGGCGGGCGCGGAACGTGATCGAATCGGGGAAAGGAAAGAGCCATGGCGGGCATACGACCAAGATTACAACTTCCCCCAAAGTCTGGGAGCAATTCCCTGCCTACTGTCCTTCCTCCCTATAGCTTACGAGACTGCGCTCCCTTTCAAAGCAGCTGTGCGAGAGCCCAAGTCATGCGCCCTCCAACCTCGAGCTTGCCAATCATTCCTTAAGACTGACGCGCTTCTCAATCGCCGATACCCTCCCTTCCTCCTGCGACAACGGGCCGGGTATCTGGGTGGTAAATATCTCAACCTTTCAACCGGAACAATGGCTTCTATCGGAGAAGATGACGATGATCGCGATCTTGCAGGTGGGCTCCGTTGTCCATCCCCCGATGACCGCGAAGATACTAAATGATTGCCATTGCGATAGGCTCTCAAGACGGAAGCTCAGACAATGAAATGGACGATGCGCTTAGGGATGCAGATGATGGCGGTAACGACAACGAACCCGATGTCGACGCTGATGCCGATCAGGATGCTGAGAGTCAGTCCAATGTCAGCCACGCATCCGAAAGCGCCGGAGTCGCAGCTCAACCGAATCCTGATGTCGAAATGACCTCTTCAACCGTTGCAAACGCCGTATCCGATCCGTTGTCTGCATTCCATCCCAGCGTTCGCTCGGAGTGTCTAACAGCCTCAACGTTCGACATTGTCCCCACCACGGCCGCCCCTCACAGCACCTCGATCAATGCAGTAACGGCAACCGCGGATATGAGATGGGTCTTCAGTGGTGGTTCAGATGGATATGTCCGGAAGTTCAATTGGGTGGATTCGATCAACAGCAAGTTGATGCTCACTGTGGCACAAAGGCATCCCTTTGTGGATAGTGTTATCAAGGCGGGTGTGCTGATGACATACTGGGAGAACATGGACGGCAACGCGATATCACCGGTGTATTCTCTAGCCAGTCATAGCGAGGGACTGTGGCTGCTATCCGGACTGGAATCTGGCAGCATACGATTGCAGTCGGTTCGTCACGATGAAGGCAAAGAGATTGCTCTTCTACAACAGCACACTTCTGCGGTCTCGGTGTTGAACTTGACTTCGGACGAAAACTCCCTGCTTTCTGGAAGCTGGGATAAACGAGTGTTCGATTGGGATTTAAATACAGGGCAGACCAGACGCGCATTTGGCGGTAGTGCTGGGCAAATATCTGCAATCGAGATACGCCCGGAGTCCAGTCTGCCGGTTCCCCAAGATACCGCTGAGTTCCAGCAGCCAAATGGCACCTATTCATCCAATTACCAGTCGACTGGCAACGATAGTTTTAATTTCATGGATACTACGCATGATGGAGAAAACGGCACTGGATCCAATCCACAGGCTGGGTCGCCGGCGGATTCGCTCTTCGGTGGCGCCGACTCATTGTTTGGCGACGAGAATGGGAACGGCGGCGAAGATGCGGGCGCTTCGGGTAATGCGTTCGGCATTGACGATGACGACGAGTTTGGCAAAGCGCTCACAAACGGAGTCCTGCCGGATGCTGACGCCCCTGGCGAGCCTGAGCCTGAGCCAAGCCAAAACGGGGTTTCAGAGGCTCCTGCTCCAGGGGATCCTGGAGTCACGACAGCCCCAGAAACCAATGCAAACACGGCTCAGCATTTAAGTTCTACCGAGGTGGAAATGGCTAACGGCACTTCTCAGCCGATGGTAAATGGACTGCCGCATGCTGAAGAATTGGAACATTCAGCTCGGGCTCAGGATAGTGCCCTTCCAACGCAGTCCGAATCCGCATCCACAACAGATAATATTTTCCTTGCGGCCTCTATTGACGGTACGATTCGAGTTTGGGATAGAAGGCAACAGGAGGCCGTTGCACGCATTACCTCTCAAAACTCCCCTCCGTGGTGCATGAATGCCTGCTGGTCTCCGGACGGCAACTACATCTATGCAGGACGCCGCAACGGTACTGTGGAGGAGTATAGTCTTCACAAGGGCCTTCGAAACCCAGACCGGACGTTCAAATTCCCACAAGGAAGTGGACCAGTTACGGCACTTAAGGCGATGCCCAATGGCCGACATATTGTTTGGTACGGGCTTGCTATCTCCTTTTGCTCTGTTTTATTTGACCTATGAAATCAAGCTAACTAGTCGATTCTCAGCGCATCTCATGACATCCTTCGACTGTATGACCTCAAGCACGAGCAAGTTACTCGTCACTCAACGGTGCCTTTCCTAATCATCCCGGGACATCGGACCGGCACTGTATCTCAACTATATATTGACCAGGCGTGTCGTTACATGGTCTCCACAAGCGGTAACAGGGGCTGGGAAGGTAACACCACCGAAGTGCTGTTGGGGTACGAAATCGGTGTTCATCGGTGATCCTCCTGTCTGGTACCCTCCTGTGTGTCTGGTGTCTTGCATTTGAGGTGTGTTGGTTTCGTTTGCTTATAGACTCTTGATTGATTCATTAACAACAGAATTAGTATTTTTAATGATAGAGTGATGGTGTCATGTCGCGACATGATTGACGACTGGATGACCTGAACCTTTGCCCTTCCTGAGGCACTACACGAATCATATATATGAAACCATGTACTAATACCAATGGAGGTGTTTTGGAGATTCGTTCCTCGGCTCGAAGCGGTACAATACATATTTCATTTACACCATGGCTTCATATCTTCATACATCATAAATACACAAACAGATATTATCAAGGTCGTCATCATCATCACCACCATTCCATGTACCCCCGACTCCTGTCAGGACCCGCAATGACACCAGCCAGCCCTCGTGGGTCATCAAGGTTATCATGCAAACGCCCAATAAACAAGCCGACCAAACGCCCCATATCAGATACAAGAAAAGGAAAGGACTTTACAAATCCTATCTGTCGTGCATCGCATCATCCAAATCAAGACCCTCGCATACCTCATTTTGTCCGACTCGCCAGGGCCCGAAGAGTGGGTTCTGGGCCCATTGGACATGGCCATCCTCATCCTGTTCAAAGTATACATATCCCGGCTGTTCATCTGGAGAAAACTCCTCTGCCTCCTGCGAAAGCACGCCTCCGGGCCCTGTGACTAAGCTTCCAAATCCCGGAAGAGCCGTGTTCGGAATATGGCCACGAGCCTCGATATGGCCATTCTCCACGCTGTTAACCGTGATCAGATACACGGGAGGGAGGACCGCGTCCCTCTCTGGTCGCAGAGGCATTGGAATCCAGGCCTCATTGTTGAACGAATCGGGCCGGTTCTTGTCGTGCCTCAATGGCAACGGACGAGAATAAAGCATGGCATCCAGCTTCCCCGTGTCGAGCAGCAGCCCGGGCGTCTGGACATACAGGACACTGTCATACTGCATGAATTGGATCTGTCCCAGTCGCAGCAGCTTTGTATCCGTGGGCGCATAGCCCTCCGCTGTAGCCAGGGTCATGTCGATGGGGAGCAGCCAGATGCCGTACTCGAGACTCGCCGCTCGCAGGAGCGAAAGGGCGGTGGACACCGGCTCAGTGAGCTCCTTGGTCGGCATCAAGTCCCATTCCCGCGGGTACATGAATAAGCGGTCCTGGACGGCCGTGCCATTGGCTGCCAGCTGCTTAAAGAAAAGGATGGCGGAGCATATATTGGAGGGATCGGGAGTGGAGAGCAGCTGGAGGTATGCGAAGTTGCCTGGCGTTGGCTGTGGGGATTGAGAATGGGTAGTATCCCTCTTCTGTTGCTTATCGGTCGCGTCATTGGACAGAAGAAGCTCCTGCTCAGCACCGTGGAATGACGGTCCAGGCATTCCATGCCCTACCACGGGGTCCGGGGGTGGAGGCGGTCGGATGGCATGCTGGATGCTTCGGACGGATTGCTGCTGCAGCACGTACCCCGATAGGAAGAGCAGAAACGTGAAGGTACAAATAACACCCGTGGATATGATCACCGACACCGTCGAGGAAGTAAGAAGCACCATACTCCTTTCCGTACTTTGCACCGGTTCCCTTAGACCGCGTATGCCTATAGCCGTCGTACGTAGCCTGGTGGAGACAGGATCGCAGGCAGCACTGTTTAGTCCTGCACTAAGTGTATGTATGTATGTATGTATTGTATGTAATCACGATCAGACCTCGACAGGAAGAGTTGTATGGCAGCGACAACAACAAAGCGAAAAAAACGCATCAGTGTAAAGCTGATAGATAGATGACAACCATCACGATGGAAAGGCACCGAGACGAGACGAGACCCCCCGGGTCTCTCTCCTTCTACACAAACAAGGCCCGATGTCTCAGGCTGCCACACGCCACAGTCGATCGCGCGGCCCGTTGGCGGCGCGACTATCGATAAGCAGCCCTTCCAAGTAAAGTAAGGATCTTGGTTCTTGGCACCCATCCATCGCCCGCCAAGAGTTCCAGACCTGCAAATCCATCCCATCCATCTATGCCATCATAATCACCCACCACTCTACCCAACCACCTCACCTCACCTCACCTCACCTCACCTCACCTCCTCTCCCCTCCCACCCAACCATGACGAGCACCTCCCACCGCGCCGACGCGAGCACCTTCCTCGACAACCGGGGATACACCGGCCCGCTGGTCCGCGGCGTGAACCCGCTCACGCTCTTCGAAAAGCCGGTGCGCGACCGCATCACCGACTCCTACTACTGGAAAGAGCAATGTTTCGGGCTGAACGCCGCGACACTGTGCGATCGGGCGGTGGAATTGACCTCCATCGGGGGCGTGTACGGGGTGGCTGAGAAACCGTCGCCGTTTCTGTGTCTCGCGTTCAAGTTGCTGCAGCTTAGTCCGGACCGGGATGTTATTTTGGAGTATTTGAATTTTACAGACGACGAGGATGAGGACGAGGATGGTCACAATAGGAATGGCAATGAGGAGGAAGGGGAGACGCCCACACATACACATACACATACACACACCGATGACAACGAAGAGCGAGACCCCAACGCCAACGTGGTCAAAACGCGCGGCTCCTTCAAATACCTGCGGGCGCTGGCGGCGTTCTACGTGCGACTGACCTTCGAGCCGGCGGAGGTGTACAAGACGCTGGAGCCGCTGTTGCTGGATTACCGGAAGCTGAAGAGGCGGATGCGGGAGTCGTTTACGCTCACGTACGTGGATCAGTTTGTCGATGAGCTGTTGACGAAGGAGAGAGTGTGCGGGACGAGTTTGTGGAAGTTGCCGGCAAGGCAGTTGCTGGAGGATCTGGATTTGTTGGAGGTGAGGGAGAGTCCCTTGCAGGAGGAGCTGGAGGAGATGGAGAGGAGTGATGAGGATGGTGGGGAGGGGGGATATGAGGAAGGGGAGAGAGGGGATGGGGAGGATTGAAGAGGAGTTTGAGATGGTGTTGATTTGATGGCTTTTGGTTGGTCTCTCTCTCTTTCTCTCTTCCTCCGGGTTGGGGGTGAGGGTGAAAGTGAGGCAGTGGGAAAGGAAGAGGAAACGGATCAGATGCTGGCTGGCTGGCTGGCTGGCTGGTTAGCTCAAGCTCCTTCGAGCTAACGAGCCAGCTAGCCAGCTACTATATCCTACGGGACAGGGATCGTTCATTGCTTACTCCAAGCGGGATGGATCGGGATACATCCCTGAATCTCGCGCTGGCTGGGGCGCGTCCGTGAGAAACAGGCACCGCACGCGTTTTAAGGGTCTGATGAACTGGACAGGACAGGGCCACATGGCTGACATGAGCTTATCCTGCCTCTCTCTCTCTCTCTCTCTCTCTCTCTCTCTCTCTCTCTCTCTCTCTCGAGCTGGAGTTTGCGATGACGAAATTCAGTGGGAGACGAAAACGTCGTTTACCCTGCGGATTCGCGGCTATGGAGATACATACACACTGTTGATCGGTACGCAATGGCGACGGCATATAACTGGAAATACGGTTCGCATGTACTTTGAGATACCCTGGGAGCATGATATAGATAGACACCAATGTGTGGTCTAGTGGAATCAAAAGGAATTGAAGAAAGGAAAGAAACGAAACGAAATCAAATTAGCCTCCCAACATATGTGCAAGTCTCATCCATCATCATGTGCAATCTAAGTACGGGAAAGACCAATTAGTACCCCTGTTGGCGATGCCACTTCTCCTGCCAGCCACTGTACCAAGGACTGTCATCCAAGGTTGACACCTCCCAACCCTTAGGGACTAGCCCTTTATCCTCCTGCTCTTGCGCCCATTTCTCGAGGTTCGGAACCACGACGTGTTCCACGTGCCATGTGCCCTTGTAATCCATGAGATTCTTTTTGCCTTCCTTCAGGACCTTGGCCGCCAATGCAGGCACCCCGGGTTCGTCGCGAAACTCTGTCACGGGCGTGAAGAGGGCCTTGAAGTTGAACACAACAGCCGCGGAGAAGGGGAGACGTCGGAGAGTTTGCCAATCGACGCGCAGGTTGCAATCTTCCAGTCGGAGAGCAGGGTCCTGGGACAGTCGAAGAGTCTCATGAGGGTCCCCTTGGGGCATGTATAGAGGCTGGCCCACTTCCATGCCCCAGGACCCTCGCTGGATGGGCTTGTCCACCGGCATCTTGGTGAAGAATCTAGACAGAGAATTTGAATATGAATATAGGTGAACGAAAAATGGGCGCGTTGTTGGAAACTTACCGATCCATAGAGAATTGCATCTTCTCCTTATAGTCGGGGATTGTTTCATGGATCTGATGTAATTGAAGGCCAATCTTGGTCCCGACGTTCCATCCTAGGGACGAACAGATGACACCAGCGCGTAGGAAGTAATACCCAGTCTTCTCATCTCGCAGCATGATCCCAAAGTCTTCAGGCACGTTGTCGATCAGAATTTCCAGCGGATGCTTGGACTTGACATCCTGCTTCGTGCCCAGGATCTTGTTGTGTAGAATTCGCTTGTCTTCCAGGAAGAAGTACTGCGGATACCGGGCACAGATGAACTGTAGCACCATTTCCATAAGCTCCTTGCAGGCCAATTCTGAGCCAGGTAGATACCCAAGCACTGCGCTGCCATGCTTGGCGTACAATTCCCTACGCTGTGCGACTCTTTCCCGGTAGGTATTCTCGAGCTCGATCCACCAATCGGTTTCCAGTTTCGTCAGGGCTGTGTGATTAGTGAGACGGATATTCGTATTGATAACGGTTACGAAAGGGCATAAGGGGCAGAGAACATACACATTGTCTGGTGGTACGACCATCTAAATGGGCGATACGGTCGAGGCAGGGCCTTATCGATGTCAAACTCATGGTATGGCTGGGGTAAGGGCACGCCGCTGAGCTCTGCATAGTCTGGAAAATCCCCCAAGGCTCTGACTTCTGCTGCAGAGAACCCGGTTGGTGTATACTTCTCGTCCGTACATTCTCTATAGTCTGCTGTCATGGGCAGCATGTGTTGTCCGACCTCCTTCTCACTAACCTCCTTGTATGAAAGCACATCCGGGAACGAAGCAAGAGTATGGCGACGTTGTGGTGGAAGGATATCCACATAAGGAGGTGGGGAAGAAGCAGTGGACGGCTTCTCCGCCGAAGACGCCGACCATGACTGCAACCTGCCATTTGAGATTTTGACCTTGTGGTCGCAAAAGCGGCTCATAAAAGAGCTTCCTCGCACAGCAAGGTAGAGTCCTGTGAGCGCGACCAGGAACAGGCCAGCCAGCAATAGGCTGGCCTGATTATTCAGTGCATCCATCATGAATTGTAGCACATTGAAGGGCTGACAGGATGAGAAGGAGTCCTCCTAAATTGTATCAGGGGGTCGAATAAAGCAGCAGGTTAAAGATTAAGTGGATGGTAAGTAAATTGGTATCATAGCCATCGCGGGGAGAGGGCATTGCATTAATAGATCAGAAAGCAACCAAGGGCCTTAGCCACCTACGGCAATGGAAGGCCATTTTGGGACGCAACAGCACGACAGTAGTAGGGAGCAGGTCGGATTTTCCGACCTGCCCGCCTGCTGGATCGAACGTCTTTCTTCTGAGAGGTAGCAGAGCTTCGACTGCTTTTACTCTGTTTGGTGCGGAGACGCAGATAAAAAGATAAGGCCGGCATGAAGGAGATATGGTCTGGCCTGGCAGCGATGATTACCGACTCAGGCTCAGGGCAGACGCAGGGTTGATTCGCCAGCCCAGTTACGTTCAAGACCTGCCTGGACAGCGCAGTGTCTCACCGATGCGATTGTCTTGTGCGACGGTTCTTTGGAGGCTACTGGGTCGATGACGTTCAAGAAGACGGGGAACATCCGCCGTGATGTAACCTCTGCTATACCAACTCAAGTGTACTCGCAGGCCAGATCGTTATACAAGAACGAAGAACTGCCCGCGACGCTTTGTTCTGCATGCAGGCAAGCAGGTGAGGCAGAAAGGAGTGCTGGACCGACCTGACCGAAGGGGAAAGGGGAAGGTGACCGACCGCATTGCCCAGAAGGGCAAAACTATCCCGCCGAGGGGAGGTCATGTGCCACCGGCTCGAGTCTTGGGAATTGACAACTATCAGTCAGTTTGTATAATTACTCTCTCACATCCAATATCTGCCAGCGACCAGACATCAGCTTATCGGCATACGCCTGCTCTGGCAATTCCAACTAACTACCCATATACCCAGCCAGTCAGCCGGACAATACATGCTAACAATGTAAAAGAAAGGTCCACCGCACTTCCTGTACAATATTTCTCCATTCCCCAAAGATACGGAGTACATCTCGAAGCAATGGTGACCCGCCCAAGAAGCCCTCAAGACCCCCCTACCCTACCTTAACATCCTTCGTATCTCCAGCAGTTTCCCTACGCACATCCACTCGCTACAGGGGTCATCCAAAAAAGCAAGACACCACCTATTGCAGAGAATAGACAAAATAAACAAGACAGACTGCATATCCTGCAAGACGATCACCAATCAATCAACTCTCTTCCTAACAAAAAATAAACCCTTAATTGAACTGGCATACCAAGTCCATCAGCACCAAAACATACAAGCCCATCTCAAAGTAACCACCACGGCATCTATCCGCCCACAAACCTACATAAGTACTCCGTAGCAGAATTTCAACCCAACCCAACCAACCCATTATGCACACATGCACACACACACACACACACACACACACACACAGCAAGCAGAATGTGGCCAAGCCAGCCATCCAGCCCGAATCTCAATCCCAATCCCAATAAGCAGCCAACCCTATCACCACCCATGCAATACCACACACACACCCCCCCCCCCCACCCCGCCCTACTTACTCCCTGCATCTAGTACATAGTACGTAGTCAGTATATACCTGGTAGGTACTCCGTACTCCATACAACCATCACCCTTTCCTCCACCCCACAACACCACAATCACACACCTTACCCTCGTATATACATAGTATCTACCCTACCCACCCACCACATAGTAATCCTTCAAAATTCAAACGAAAAGAACTTGGAAGCTGGAAGTTGGAACCCGGAACCCGGTAAACAGACCCCTTAGTCCCTAATCAAATCAATGTTACTACCAAGTCCGGTTCGCGCGCCCATCAACCACGTTTCAACCCCCCCCCTCCCCCCCCCGACCCCATCCGAAAACCTGAAACGGTGGCAAATACATGGATGAAGTGGATGGGATGGGTGGATGGGGATGACAAAATAAACAATGCAGGTACCCGCCGAGATAAAGTAAGTAAAGTAGTTCCATGCCTGCCGCAGGAACCAACACCCACCCACCCACCTACCCTTTCTCAAAGTGGGTTTTCGCGGGAGTGGCAAAAAAAAATATGTATGCGTTTGATTGGCACAGCAGTCATCGATCGGGTTCGAGGTGCGGCGGTGCGTCATCGGCATCTGTTTGTGACTTTGTGTGGGGGGGGGGGGTTCAGGTTCAAGAACAGGTTGGTTGCATGGATGATGCAGTGCTACACTGAGTTGAGTTGGGTTGAGTTGAGCTGAGCTGGATTTCAATCTGCAAGATCAGTGCGTTGAGATTATACTTGGGCTGGGCTGACAAAGGGAATAGATGAATGATGTTCTGAGCGGGAAAAAAAAAAAGCTTTTTTGAGGCTGATCTTATTCTTTCGAGTATTTTAAGCCCATCTCAACACATCAACTATTGCATCTCTAACTATCAGAACAGCTGGCTCCATCATTAATAAGATTACATGCTGGGTGATTCTCCCGTGACAGCAGCATCCCACCAACCGATCTTTCAATGCAATCCATGCAAATTTCAAAATGACGCTCCATGTAACCTTGACACTAATAAAAGCACAGCAAAGAAAAAACGGACGGAATGATGAGAGGATTGGGTAGAACAGAAAAAGAAAAAACGAGTGAGGGTAAGGATTCTGAGGATCCATTAGAGTATGTACTTCAGCTTGTAGCACAGGTCCCCGTGCTTCAATATACACGAATGTCGACGGACAGGAAAGGCCAATGGAACCGGGTGAAGCGACGTCAAGGGGATGACGTGGGGTGTGTGAAGTGTGGTAATTCCACCTTGCAAGGGCGGATGGTGGTAGTCGTTGGAGTTTCTTTTCGCTTTCCCCGCCTCGTACCCGGTGTGACGCGTAGACAAGACGACGGTCAGGGTCAGGGTTGGCGGGGTGGGTCGGTCGAGTCCATCGTCTCTCCTGTAGTCGAATGAAAATGAAGTCAAGGATTATGTGACAAATGGGTATCATAACACCGCTGTTTTCGCCGAAACACGCAAATTGAGAAGACATAGGAGATTCAAATGCAAAACGCAAGGAGATTGGCTTCCGCCAAGGCCCCGCAATTAATCATCGGGGTTCGTGAGCTGCCGTGAGGGTTAGCATGCGGAACACGAGGGAAGAGGGGTGGCACTGACCCGCAAAACAGGCCGAGAATAATCTTCGTTGTCTTGAAGCGATGCATCGCTGTCTCGACGACCATTTGCGAAGAGGACGGTATCGGTTTTCATGCGGTTGTCCGTAAACGTCGGCATGCGGTTGGCGGCTATCGACGACCCGGCAGACAAGGTATGGCTATGGTTGTCGGAAAACATTCCCTTCATGAAACTCATCTGTGAGCCTTTGCTTTGCCTTCCATCCAGTAAGATGTTCTGTACACTTGGATCAGGGCTGCTCGCACGCGTCTTGCGTCTTGCGAAGAAAAACACGAAAATCAGGGCGATGATCGCGAGGGCACCACCAACAGAGCCTACCACAACGCCAGCAATCGTTCCCGAACTCATACCCGAGCTACTCTGTTTGGATGAAACTTTGTCGGCCGATGCAGATGTTGCGGTTGTCTGCGAGTTGGCAACGGTCACTGTCTTCACCACACCCGAGTCCGTTTCCACTGCAACGGTTTTTCCCGTAGTGGTAGCATCGGTGGTAGTTGCAGAGGTTTCCGTGGACGACGTCTAAGAAGAGTCAGATATGGCAAGACAAAATATGTAAATGCTCCATATTAACAGGTCCGTGCACACTTCAATAGCCGAAGTATTTGTGGCATGGATAGCCATCGCAACACCATCAACAACCTCCCTCCTCGTGCAAGACCATCCGTGCGAGTAACAACGTACTGGCAACGATCCGGTCTTTCACGTTTGAGACTCGATATGTCGACGGTGTGCATCACGAAGCGGAGGCTTGAAATTGACATCCAGATCTAGGAAAGGACTCTACTGACCGAGGTTGAAGAAGTCGACGTTGTTGACACGGTCGCTGTTCCTGAGGGTTGCTGGCCAACGATCGCCACATATCCATAGAGGCCCTTCGAAGTACTTCCACAGCTATCATCGGGATAGCCGGGACAGTCCTGGCTGCAATCGGATGTGTTTACATTGGTCGCTGAGTTGGGGGCGATGTTCGAGCACCAGCAATCGTACCCCTGTAGAATTCCGAATGCATAGGTGCTGCAATGATCTTCGCATAAGCCGTTGGACTGGAAGGTACTTTCGTCTGCATGAAGTTAGTGACAGCACCCGGGGCATACATCACCATCACATACTTGCAGCTTGGGAAGACCCTGTATTTGCCGAAGAACAGTAGGTAAGGGAGGATGCGACAGAAACCGGCCAGGCAAGCAAGGCGACCACACCCAGCAGCGGTGGAAGATAGACGCCGGCACGCATAACGGCGAAAATAACACCAGCAATCGTGTGGGCAATAGCGGATGTTTCGAACTCGGTTGTTTGCTGTGCGAGGTCGTCGTACTCCAGCAGATGCAGATAGGCGTGCGTTGCTTTATGGCGACGTCAAAAATCAATGACCTCCCCACTCGGTTTAGATGGCTGGAGTCGAAAGGTGACTGAGCTCCACCACTGAAGATTCGGTTGTTGACTATCAGTCAGTCGGATTGAATGTGTCGAAAAAAATCCCAGGTCTATAAGTCCCAAGTCGAACGATTCATCCGTCAGGCCCGTGCCAACGAAATATGAGTAGCGAGAGCTATAATGCCCGGTATTCAGGTAGATGTCCCGCAGAAGATCGTTCTGAACTCAGAAGGGTAGCTGATGCCGATCAGCCACGGACCTCAGCGACACCGCCCGTCGACTCCGAAATTGGTACGTACCAGAGGATTAGATGGACAGATTATTCACTGTCGGAATTGGAAGTGACCGGATCAATAAAGGGGCGTTCTCAACTGCGAGGGGACGCCCAACCAGACATTGGAGGAGGGTTACGGGATCAACACGGCGCCGGTAGGATCAGAGGGTATCCGGCATGTTCACCTCCGACCAAGAACAGGGGAGGGGGAGCGAATGGCCTGCTACCGGGGCGAGCGAGATACAGGGGGCAAAGGCGAACGAAGGCGCAGGAGGTTGAGGTTGAACGAGAGACGAAAGAAGGACAGGAGGGGAAGAAAGAGACGGTCGAGGTTGGAGGAGCAGCGTCTCCTCAGGCGTCGGTCGAGCAGGCGAGAGGGAGATGGATGGTCGGGTGAATGGGGAGAGTTCAGACTTACGAGACAACAGGAAGCCTGCAGTGGGAGCCGGAGTGGGAAGTAAGAGCAGTAAGTAAGAGTAAGTACCAGAATGGAACCAGGCCGGGCCCAGTCCCGATGTCCCACCAGCGCGGCCAGTAACCGTTCTAGAAACCTGCACCTGGAAATTTCAATTCTCAGGTCAGGTCCGGTATGTATGGATGGATGAGACTACCTACGTACGTACTCCGCGGGGCGTGCTGCAGCAGTTGCAGCAGTCGCAGGAAGCAGCAGAATAATGAATATTACTCACCCCGGTCCTGGTGAAATGGGTAATGGAAGAAAGGTGCGAGGTACGGTACTCGGTACTCATGCTGTATGGAGTATGGGGAAAAAGCAAGCAAGCAAGTTAAAAAAAAATAAAATAAAATAAAATAAAAAGAATTAAAAATAAAAATAAAAATCCGGCTTACCCGCTTCGCTGTGGGCCGCTGTTGCCCGGTTTGGGTCTAGTGGACTCACCACCATCGGGTCCATACGCGTCACTGTACGGAGTATTATTCCCATTGCTTGACTTGTTCCTGACCCGGCAGAGTTTGGATACTGCGGGAGGTACCATGGAGGTAGCAGTACCTACTTAAGCTACTTGCTTGCTACAAAATATGTCTTGCGAGACTGGAGTTCCGTCATGTTTCTGATATTCCAGTGTTTATATTGAATGCTTTCTCGCTTTTTTATCATCGCCCGGAGCTCGCAACTTCGGTAGTTACGTCCGAGGAGGCCACAGCACCACCTCATACACTCCCGCCCCCAGTGGGCAAGCCGACGCCGGGAGTCACGTATTTGGTAAGAATCGGTCTAGGACAAAATACACAGTACAAACTCCGATCTGGTAGGGAGTCCTCGCCAGTATGCTTACGGTATGGCGCCACCGCCGCAAAGGAATTGCAAATAATAGCAGATGTCTGGCCAGAGCAACCCCGTCCGTCCACTGCGATCAGGGGAAAGGGCCGGAAAGAAAGAGCATAGAACGACGATTTGAAAAGCGCTCTCGAGGCCGCAGGCATTGTGCCTAGTATTTGAAGGGAGCTGGTCAAAGGAACAATTAAAAGCAACAAACTCTATCTTTGTGGTCAATGGAATGTAACCTTTTAGCTTCTAAGCTCATGACAAACAAGATCCCGGTCCTGAAACAATCCTTGGGGCCGCGATAGATGGAGGCCCATTACTTAAGTACCTCCGTACCGGCTCGGTACGAAGCCAACCGGGGGATGGGCAACTGTGTATCAAAGTCGGTACCTACACCGTCGCTGCCTCTTTGTCGCCTGCGTCACTTTGTCTGACACAGCGGGCGGGCACACGGCGTGCGTAGTACGGCGGGCAAGTGGGCATCGATGCTGGAATTACCCAAGGAAAAGGGATCTACCGGTTCAGCCACTTTGGGCTCCGTAGCCGAGCCAGGTATTCAGCGTTTGAGACAAGGCCACGGACGCAGATCCTGGCCCGATGATTGGTTGTGGCTGGGCCAGCGCTGCGTGGCCCATGTACCTGTATGGAGTCGCAGTCGCAGTCGCACTCAGACGTACGTCGTCAGTGACCATTGATTGATCCGATCCCACTTGGTGCGTACGGAGGACAGACTACAGACATTTAACGAGATCGTTGCCGTTGACCCCGGAGACAGAATCATGGCCGGGAGTCGAGTCAGGGGCGGGGAAGAAGTTCAGAGCATGTTCAATTGAATAGGAATTACTGGCTCGGAGGGGTATCAGGACCAAACCTAAGCGTTTGCTTTGCCATGATAAGGTTACCTGCTCACTTATATACCTACTCAGTAGTACCACCTACGTAATTAGGACTTACATTAGGAGTGCCTACGATGGATGGTGGGGATTGCAGGAGGTTTGTACTACTACTAGTACCCTTAGGTACACCCTTTTCCAAACTTACCACTACTCTGGACAATTAGTACTGCTGGTAGATAGGGAGTGATACTCTTCAGGGCTAGGGCAGTACGGTAACAAGGCATACCGCACTCGCCACCGCACGGGACAACTCCTGGTCTTCCTTCCCAGTCCGCACCGGTGGAGATGGCGATGCAGCCCGGCAGGAAGGAGTGGTCTAGAAGGGATCGGAGGTGCGCAGACTCGATTCCCGCGTGTGTTAATTATGATTCGAGTGCCTGTCTGGCTTGGCTCAGTTGCGTCGAGTTGTCGCTGCTGTTCTGGCCGTGGCTGGAACCGCAGGTCAGCAAAAGCCAAGGACGGTCGCAATTCGCGAGGTCAAGCAGACTCGCAGACTCGCACACAGGAGATAACAGTGGACCGACGGTTTCAGCCGGCCTATCCCGTCTGCCCTCCCAAGGATGCCTGTCGACTAAGGGATCCACGGACGTCCGAGAGTTGGCAAGGTAGGCAGTGACAAATCACGCGCCCGCATCTCCAGCCTCTTCCACGGTTGGTAACCCTCGTGTCAGGCCCAGGCACCGCGTACAATTGGGTACACGCCTGGGAAGGGCCAGTCAAGCTTTGCGCTATGTCGGCATCTTGGTTGCTTCGGTGCACGAATCTGCCAGCATCGTGATTACCAGATACTACTACTTACGTGGGGTGATGATACTGCGGAGTACTTTACTCTGTGGTAGACTCCTCCTTCCGGCCAGTCACTGGCATGGGTCGGGCCAACGGCGGCCACGGATCTAGGCAGCAAGGTGCGCTCGCCGACTGTGTACGGAGTACAGTAAGGTACACACCCATCCATCGGATGTCCGTCCGAGCAATTCAAATACCTGCTGCGCGAGGTGGTACGGGGCATTTGCTGTCGTGCAACTCCTGCCTCGATTTGATCCCAAAAATGGCGGTCGCATCGCCCGCAGAGACCAGCTATATAGCTACTTCACCTATCGATGATGATCGACGGTCTCTCATTATTATCAGAGAACACAAGCTTTTCGATCACCGTCAGCTCGATTACGACATGTGTTCCATGCTCCGGACTGTGTATGAAATGCTGGGTTGCACCATCGCCCCCTGTCAGCAGGCCATATCGCCAAGTATGCAGACCCGAGAATGCCTTGCTACGAGTCAGGCCAGCGGGGTTTTGACGGATGGAAGGAGTGGCTGGCTGATAATTCCTGCTTACCAGGAACATTGTCCCAGAGCTATGGACCCAAAGGCCTTCCTTCGGTCGCATTGTGCGTTGCCCTAGCACCGGAGACTGTCAGTTGAGATACAACTAGACGAGCGTACGGATCGGGGCGCCGTCGATGAAGCTCAACGTACCTGGTACATGCATATACATCCCTGGGGTTGCGCTCTGCCGCGGTGCTAGATAGGCGTGCATCCTAAGTCCCGACCAATGAGACGTGCAAAGACCATCTACCCAGGCGAGCTAGAGCGATAATGACGCCAGTATCCTGACTATCTGAAACCCCGCCTTTCAGGTTCTCCTTTACGATGCGATAGCACGCTTGACGCAGTCGGATCTTGGTCATATGCTTTGCAGCTGGACTACTGCCTGGCATCTGACTCTATCTCTACAGTTCAGAGCAACAAGAGGCCATTGCATGTTGCCGGAACGGAGTATCATTTGCCCCTGTCAGTGCAATTCTGGACGTGCATTTTTCAGAGCTCTGTACCAACAGGGATTAGCAGGTAAAGGCCGGCCCGTTGCTGTCTCACAGTGGAATGTCTTTGCGGTAGCTTCACCAGCAAATATGAAGGGGCCTTCAACGGGAACTACGGTACGGAAGTGCCGACTGCCAGATCGCTAGCCTTATCTGTGAAACAGTCAAACAATCCCCAAGGGCCCAAGGGGCGCGGCGCGGGTGGTGATAACAACGATATTGCGATGCGAAGCGAGGGTACAGGTGAACCATGGAAGCGAACTGTGGCTGGTGCTTCGCCCAGATCTAAAGGCGTAGTAGAGAAACACATGAATGCCGGGTTAAGGCTGGCCAGCACCAGCCGACCCAAAGATTACAAAGTCCAATGCGCAGCGAGGACTCCGAGATCCGAGGAAGAATCGGCATTCCCTTGGATTATTATTACCCCATACAGCAACCTCGATCGTATCCCTCCTATCTCCCGAGAATCAATAATTGTGGCTGAGGGGAGGAAGAATGAAAGGTGGAATGGGGCTGCGCTTAGTCACATGTCGATCCCTCCTCGTCTGAATCGACCGATTCGTCCTCTTTTCGTCTTGTCAAGCGAAGTGTCAAAGAGACACCACTAGACTCCGTACGGAGTACCACCACCACCACCACCACCACCGCCGCCATCATCATCCTCATCATCATCATCAAACAACTGAGTGTCATCGATTCCTCTAGAAAACAAAACAAACAAATAAACAAACAAGCCTCTCCGACCCCAAAATCCAACACACAAAGAGAATCGCTGACAGACGCCATCCTCCGCGCACCAAAATAGCAGCCCACCCCCCCCTTGTGGGAACTTTAATCTACCTTAGTGGCGTAATTTTGATGTCATGCCAATTTCCCCGTCCCTAATTTTGGTACTCTGTAAACGGTAAGCAATATTTAGCAGCCCGCACCCAGGGCATTACTAGTTCCTCACTAGGTGGTGGGTTTTTTTGCGGGTGATTTTAGCTGTCATTTTATATTAATATTCGATGTCTAGTCTCTAGTCTCTGGGACTGGAGTGAGGAGTCTGGTCAGTCATCGGTCCGACTTATTTATAGATATACTTATGTACAATGAATGTATGGCTGGACAGGTTGCATATCTAGGTGATGGATGGATGGATGGATTAGTTTTCAGGTACAAGTGCATATCATCACACAAGGATAATGCCCTACTAATCGCGCACTCGATCGGCCTGTTCACCTACTTACTTATCAGACTCCGTCCATCTGCGTGATCTCATATTTGAGCTACAATCTGCGGGAGTATACGGAGTAGAACTGCGCCTTGTTCTTTCTGTGTTGGGAGGTATAAAGAGTCCGCCTACTAACTGGTCCGCCCTCCGCCTGACAAATCCCACCATACGTACCTACCTACCTACCTACATAACCACAACCCCAATCCCCAATCCCCGTATCTACAACCTCCTCTACCTACCGACCTTACCCACCAGTAGACCCAGTATAACACATAAGTATGGCCGCAGGTCGGTCGATAAATAGATAGATAGATAGATAGATAGATACCTCATCCTATTCCCTAGTACCCAGATCGCGGATCCACTGCAAAGGAACGGAACGGAAAGGAAAGAAAATGACCAGTCAGCTGGGATGGGGGCGATCTGAAACATTGGACATGGCTATGGACATGGATGGATATGGACATGGGTACTCGACTGAGCTGTATCTACAGAGTATGGTATATAGGTAAGTAACTACCAATACCCAGTAGATAGTTAAGCTGAGGAGGATTTTCCCATCCTGCATCTACCTTACCTTAACATGCTGTAGTAGTAGTAGTTAGCACCTAAGCAGTAGTTACTGTCGTACGGAGTAACCAACCATGCATGGGAGCTGCATGGACGGGTGCGAGGCTGAGTGCAGTGTTATGTACCATCCATGCAGCATTGTTAGTTACCTACTTAGGTAAACTACTGTAGATGAGTAAGTATTGTTTGCTTGCTTGCTTATTCGCTTGTTTGCTTGCTTGTTAACTAGTCAACTAATTGCTAATTACTTATATAAGCTGTGTAGAAGTGGTTCAATTCAATAGATACCCAAGGTAAGGTACCTTAGATGGGTGGTATTAACCAGGGCGTATTTTAATATTCGGTATGTGATATTCCGTACCTACCTGGGTATGTTCTCATGGGAAATTGGATTGGGGTACAGAAAACGGGGCTTGAGGAGTGAGGCGCAGTGTTGGTTTGGGGGTTGGTTTGTTTATGTTGTGTTTTATGTTTTGCAGGGGTTACGGAGAAAGACTTCGATATACTATAGGTACTACGGTACTCCATACTCCATACTCCATAACACTATGTTCCCATAAATAGGGAGATATAGGGGAGTGTGCGACGGAGATTAATAATATAATAATGAAGTGTGTGTGTCGTGTCCCCTGAGAGGAATAATAGCCATCTGTCCTTTTGTATAGGTTTGCAGTCTTGATGGTAGTTGTAGGTGGGGTGGTAGTAGGGAAAACAACATCAACATGGGGTATATGCAAGCAAATACACAGGTATATAGGTAGGTATACGCGGAGATATGAACAAGCAAAGGCTGATAGATAGATAGATGGATAGATAAATCGTGCCTCGTTCCGTTTCGTTTCGTTTTACCACCACTCCGAGCGCGGAGGGGGCCTCCGGCGGCCGCCCTCGACGGCCAAATCCCGCTCTTTCTTTCTCCGCTCATCCCGGAAGAAGCGTGGAGGGGGAGGAGGGGGGTGGTGGTCCAGAAGCAGGGGGGGTGCTTTCTCCGCTGCAGGCAATGGCATTAACGGAGGAGGCCGAGAGGGGGCAGGAGGCATGGACTCTCGCTCGCGGTGGATCTCCAGGATCCGTCGGCGGCGTGCACGCCGAATTTCTTCCGAGCGCTCGATGAGTGCATCCACATCGCCCTGTGCAGGTTGTCTGTCAGTAGGGGATACTAGCATATGCAGTACTGAGTGATGGCCAGCGAGACGTACCTGCTCGAGATACGAAAATATGTAGTAGAAAGAGTCCGTCTCCTCGTACTCATACCCAGAACGGTCGAGCGCTTCCTTCACGACCAGGTCCTTGGTGATCTCAGTCCAGAGGTTTTCTCGACGGTCCTTGATGCCAACGTAGCGTCGTCCTATTTTCCCAGGTTGTCGGTCGGGTTCATCGTCAGACTCTCTCACGTCATTTATGACAAGCTTGGACTCACGATCTGCATATCGTGGAGGCTTGATTTCTTGGGTTACTATCTCAGTCCTGGCTAAGGGCTTTGGCCTGGGGGGTCCTCTTGCGATATCCATTTCTTCCATGGCTTTGACATCCTTCCTGAGGAGGGGACGGCGACCGGGAGGTCCGTAAGAGTCCTCTTGGATGATTTCTTCTTCCTCAAGTGATTCTCGGCTTCCATCCCGGCGTACTAAGGTTAACATATCCTTTTCGCGTTCCAGTGACCGCGGCTTAGGTGGCTCGGTTGGAATAGGTCTCTCTCGTCTGTATGGCTCTGGCGAAAGGCGACGAGCTGGGACAGGGGCTGGGGGAGGAACTTCCTTCTCTTCCCGCCGTACAATGAATATTTCTTCCTCTGACTTGGATTTCCGTCCTCGTTCACTACCACAAAGTTAGCGGCGCATACCTGAAGTGTTTCTCGGCAGACATACCGATGGCGAGGCTCTGGCTCCATGAATTCGATATCGGGGCTAGGAGCTCGAGGTGGAAGAACTTTCCGACGCCCTGAAGACAGGTTAGCAGGTACAATTGGATAGAGGCAACAGCAATTCATACTCTCGCGCATATGTTTCTCGCGCACAGGGGGCATGTCAACCGGTGACGGCGCCCTGGGAACTGTCATCTCCGGAGACGACGACCTTTCTCGACTCTCGAAAATAATATCTTCTTCCTCAACACTTCTGCCGGGCCTTCGCTTTCTGGCTTCTCGGAACAAGATCTTCTTGTCAACTTCCTCGTCCAGCTCATCATCGGCATCCTCGAGGTTCTTGTGTCGATGAAACCTGTGTCGATGCCGTGAGTGCGAGGATCTTGCATAGAACGGCCCACTCCGATGTCTCCTGTGAGGCCCATTCAATTCTTCTTTTCTAGACAACTCATCACGCTCGAATTCCATTTCTCGCAGCCTGCTATCCTCCAGCAGACTCTTACTGCGGGGTTTAGGCTCGTCCGGAAGGTCGAGCTCTCGTCGACGCAGCAGCCGTTCCTTCCTGGGTACAACAACCATATCCCCATCTGACTCACTATCAGTGTATTCTCTATCTGACTCCTCGCGAAAGACAATTTCTTCCTCCATATCCAACTCCCTGGGACGTGGTCTTCCGCGACGGCTCGAGGCGTCATCTCTTCCAAGCGCGCGCAATCTTTCCCGCGGGGGTAAATCGAAATCTTCTGGTTCGCGTCGTGGTGGCATTGGCGCCGGTGTCAATTCCCGAGGATAATCGTGAGCCTCACGGGCAATCTCAGGACCGCGCTGTGCTTGAAGATGCATACGCTCAAGCTTCTCAAGGGGGGTCATATCGGGTCCACGACGTTTGTGCCGGATATCTTCTTCGAAAAGTCGCTCATCTCTTCTCCGTCGTGGGTGCACATCGCGCTCCACTTCGTACATGCTCTCTTCATCGTATTCACTGCGGGCGCGGCCCCGTCGAGGCATATTTGCGTGAGTATCCTCGTGAGTAGAAAGAGGAGTGGCCACAGGAAGACGCTGTACGGCTGTGATCTATCGCTTGTATTGTGTAACTCCTCATCGGGCGTCAAGAATGCTGGAGGAGTGCGCGGCAACCGAACGAGGCTTTAGAACACCACCTGGTCAGTCTATGATGAAAGGTCAGCGATGGAAAGAGACCATCTGATCTCAGGGGTAGCAACCCAGCGATATAAATCTGAGAGCAGTGAAACGCGTGTGTCGATGACGGAAAAGGTTGATCTGCAGAAGGATGGTCGGCGTCAGAGCAAGTCCAGCCTGGCCACGACCCCGCGGCTGAGTCGGCTGATGTCATGCTGCAGGACGGGGCCTCACTGCCCGAGTTCCCTCAAATACGAGCCAGGTTTCTTTTCTGAAAGGCTCTGGTTTAATTTCTATTGGGAGTACTTATGAAGGGACACTAAATAGAGAGCTAAGTTGAGTACTACTTAGATCTGGTGGTTCCATGGTACAGCTGGCGGCGTGAGCCGATATGTGGGATGGTTTGGGCTGCCATTATATATATATTATACATATTTGCCCCTGCTATGAAGACCCAGCCAGCACGAACTAATGCTTCGTATCCACTAAAATAGCTGGCCTGTGATATGACAGTCCTCAGAAGAAACACTTACATGCATACATAATGCACGAACAATATTTATACGCCACAGCAGTGAATATAATCTGCACCAGCACAGCTATCTCGCAAGAAGGGACACCAACCCCCAGAAAACGCCAGAAATGGCTGAGATTATCTCCGTGGGAGACTATTGCTATGGGATTGAGCATGTTACTAGATACCTCTCACACCAAGCAAGCTCGCTATATACGGCAAAGCCTATCCAAAGGTGAGACGGGTCTGCCCCTTCTCTGGCTTACCACGACTGCTACGATTAGCCTTGTTACGTGAATTAGATGCACCCGCATGGGTTGGCGGTCCTCGAGCCTGCTGGTGGGTACCAGTTGTTGGCCTTTCTTCATCCGCTAGGTCTTTGGCAAAGTGCCAATCATCATGCTCGCCTCTCTCATGCTCTGATAGCACGCTCCCGCACCTACCGCATGTATAGAGTCCCGGGGCCAGTTCTGCTGGCTGAGGTGAATTCTCTTCTGACTGGGGCATCGGAGTTGCGTGTTCGTCCAGCCTCTCCGTTGAATCTCCTGTTTTAGCATTATCTGGGTCGGGCTGAGGGTTGGTCCCGGAAGGCTTGGAGAAAAACCTCTTGATGCCACTGTCGTCAATCTTCCTGCGTTTTCCACTTGGCTGCTGGACCACAGACGGCCCTTCTGACGTCCACTCCCTCGCCGCAGATTTCCCTGCATCCTTGGCCTGCTCTCCTCGCAGTAGGAAGCTGTCTATTGCCCGGTTTTTTGTGACGCCATCCTCAAATCCGCCAACACTCAGGGAAAGATTTGCACAGGGCCATGCCCGCCCGTCTGTTATGACCTGCCGAAACAGCGTCTTTCCCAGCTCAAAAAGTAATGTTTCGTCAATTGGTGTCGCCCCAGGGATGGGGATTTGACGGGAGCGGACCTGGGACCCTTGTCTATGATGCAGGGCAACTGTTCTTGGACGGCGCTTATGCTCGAGGACACCATCTTCCACGAGGCGACCGTAGATATCAGCCGCAAAAATCCTCAGCCATTTGTCTGCCTGATCAATGGTATTGATACTTGGTCTGAAAGACTTGGCTGACAGCATCGACTTAATTTGCGTCCTCGAGTTGACCTCACTTCTATCCTCCCCGCGGATGATACCAAACAGCCAGTTAGCAGTATCATCATCCAATTTAGCCCGCATTTGCTCCAAAGGGACCTTTAGGAGGTCACTCACTTGCTCTGTTCCAAACAGTGCAGTGACCTGGTCCCCAAGTTTGCCTCCCAGCATTCTGATTTTCGTAAACTTATAGCCACCGAGGAAATTCTGCATCGCGCGATTCCGTACAATGGTTTGTTTGTTCGGTTTGTTGCAAGCGCTACCCAGTTTCGCCGTCATCTTGTTCCTTGCAACGCCCGCGGAGCACGTGTAGCTGAGCTTGTCCCAAACAGCTGTTCGAACCGATCGGACAATCTCAGAGCCTATCAGCGTCGCGACATCATCCCAGTCGGGATCATCAACTTCCGTTTCATTCTCGTCCAAGTCAATTAGACAGTCTTCCGTGTTCCATTCCAGCGCAGTGGTAGGCGGGGCAGGCAGTGGCGTAATTCGATCATCATCGTGCGGTTCAGCGCGTAATTCGGGATACCGTTGAAGGAGGACGCCGTACACGAGAGGCGACAGGTCGATGAAGACTTCGTCGACGCTGGCTTTTTCAAGACCAGCATACTGCGTCGAAGAGGGCGAACCGACTCCCTGTCCACCACCGTTGATCTCCGTGTGCCACCTGGATATCTCGTCCTTCATCACTTTCAGGATCTTGCGCGACTCAGCCCGGTATGGATCCAGACACACTTTATCGGTATTCATCCTTCTGAAGGCATCTTCTCGGTACGCCCATTTCCCGCCCTCGCCTTCTCGGAAGGTCGCGACATGTTGTAGCACAATCTCCGGGCAAAGCTTCTTGGCCTCCCCTGCCGATATCATTCGCGTTATGCCGAAGGACCGGGCCGGATAATTTATCGCAATGAGCGAGTCCCACTGTCGCACAGCGAGGGGCACGGTGCGGGGTGTGTCCAGCCGCACCATCTCGCATTGTGCGTAGAAGGCATCGAGGTCGATATGAGCGATCACTCGAAGAGGCGTCGCGGTTGAGCTCTGCCGGAGAAGCTGAAGGTGGCGGTAGGTGTAGCGAGATTCATGCGTCGGGTTGTTGGACGAAAAGGTCGACGGGGAGGGTTCGGGGGAAGAGCGTGACATGTCGACAACGTTAGTGTTATAGTCATTGCGTATTCCAAGGCGTTGGGTATAGGGCTGGCAGCATGTTGGGTGTAGTGCCTGCCTGCTTCAATGAGTGAAGACGCAGCAGAAGTTGAGGTATCGCGGCCGCCGCGATCCTCCGGGTACCCTATCTGCCTCAGGCTTGCGTATTTCCCAAAATGGCTAGTCCACAGAGCATACAACGGCAAGTCTTCTGGGCGGCATCATCATCCGTGTTCGATGCCTCACCATGAACCTATCTACACCGTACTATCTAGTGGGCTTCTGTTGGCGCTTCTCTTTCCTTGAAAGCTTGCTCTATTAGTTCCTATTTGGTCCTTCTGGTTTATACTTTCACTATCTGTACAATACACCGATTTTATCTATTACCAGCCCAAGCACTCCATGGCTAGCCAGATATATAGAGGGATGGATTTGGGTTCTTATACATTTATTGATGGACATACAGATACCCTGTACAGGTGGCATCACATTACTTGCGGTAGAAATAAGGATCATTTAGGTAGCGTGAGTCGTGCATCTAATGAAACCTTCATTCGATGGAAGCTGACTACATGCCAGCCATGGACAATGATCATGAGATGCATTCGGACATCTGATCAATGAAAGATGATATCATTGCACGCGAGTTCTGAGTAGATCGCATGGCTAGTGGCCACATGGGTCAATGAAAGCTGCAATGCCGCTGCTATCGTTCATTGGCACGCCGGTACGGGCTTTGAAGCGGAAATGACAAGGAACTATCGGGCAGCCATTTTTGCCTCCCCAGGATGTCCGGCAAGATGATAGCCATCGAGTCGGTGCCGAGTGGCCGTAAGCTATCCAGAGACTTGAGACCCGAACTGAATCTCAGACTGAGACTGCAATTTCTGGGTGATCCTTGCTGGCCTCGGACTAATAAGCGTACGGCATTCGGTGAGCCCAGACGAGATCTGATTCGCGCAACGGCGTATGCATCCTTAATTGCTATGGATATCAATCAGTTCATAGCACTTTCTTCACCTGTGGACTCGGCCATTATGGAGACGGCGCGGCAAAGTAGACACCTGGACAGATTTCATTCGAGCACCAAAATGGGTCCAAAGCCTGATATTCTCACCGCCATGCAGGTATTCCTAGATATTGATTGACAGGGGCCATGGACGCCTTGTTGGTCTCTGGAAGGGGGTCGAAAGTGTGTGACTTTCCACGCCTGGCACGGTTGGTTTGATCGAAGGAGGGTGACAGCCGCGCGAAGCAAAGTCAAAAAAGAAAGCAGCCAAAGGGGGATCTGGTCGTGTTACCGAGACATGCTTCGACTCCTTCGAGGCCTCAACAAAGGCCGGTCAGGTCATGTTGGTAGTATTTCGTGTGTGCGAATCAAGGAACATCCGACCAGTAGCTGTAAGGGAATCGAGATGGTCGATCATGCAGCTGGCCGAGTATGGCCAAGCGGAAGTTGTTGAGTGCGGCACGAAGGCTGGGTGAAGGCCCTTTACTCCGTACACAGTTCGGAGGTATACGAGGAGGTTTGACTTTGGGGATTCTACGGCTCTTGCTGCACCTACCGTAAATTCTTTTCTTTTTCTTTGCTCCGGATATCTGGGTTGCTTCCTTCCCATGTTGCGGTTTTCTGCTCTTGTCTTCATTTCCTCCGGGGCATTTCCCCCCTTGCGATCCCTGTTTAATAAACCACGACCTATGGTCTGCACCGACCTGGAGGATGTCACTCAGCTTTACTCCGTAACAGTGACTGCGGCCCGGGCGGTTTGAGATTCTTCCTGGGTTGGCTTGAATGGAGGCTTGGGGGAAATACTGAAGTCGGGTAACCTTTCAGGTCAGTGAAGGGATAATTAGTGGCAGGGACGCAACGGGCTGATGAGTGCCCAATTCCGCCACGCATTCCTGCCCAACCTGCAACGTCTCCCCTCAGCGTTCGATGTGAGTGGCTGTGACACTGATGATTTCGGCAGCGAGAGATCGATGGGTCCTTTAGCTGCATGCCTAAAGGAACCGGAGCAGGGAGCACAAAGTACTCCGTAGTGGTACACCCTGAGCTACTCGCCCTCGCGGGTGGCGGCCAGAGATAGCCCATCCATGCAGCCTTGCCTACCTGTAGGTACGGGCGACGCCGTAATTAGGTACTTCGGTGCTAGCTCCCAACAGCCCTGTCCGTGGCGAATTGCGCCTTGGTACTTTGGCTGGCAGGACAGGATAGAGTATCATAGGGCAGCGAACGCTTCCCTTCGGATGCGCAGTCAGGTAGGCAGGTCACTTTGAAGATCTGGAAGGTGCAGGTGATAGTGCCCTGTTCATGTACGGAGTAGCTTCCAATAACCTAAAAACTAACAATCTCGAGCTTCATCAACGAATTGAGAATCAAACCCAGCAAAAAGTTCCCACTGCCGTATCCTGGCATGACAGTCACCGCATATGGGCATGAGGCGTGGATGCTTCGTGGTATTTCTGTGCCTGTATGTAATATGTACGGGCTGGACTGCGGGGATAACCGAGAAGTTCGCCCGGTAGTTAACTAGTTAGTTAGTTAACTTACGCCCTCGGCTGAGTCATCCCTCCCGCGGTGAGGCGGCCGCGTTATGCTCGTTATGTTCATTATTATACCACGGACTACGGTCCGTAGAAAGACCACGTACAATATTCCGTACGGAGGCGAGTACTCCGGATGGAGCCCTACAACAGTTTCTGCCACTAGATATTGCTCCGTATCTGTATCTACTACCACAACATGATTAGTTGGTGCGTGGATTGTCTCCTGACTCTTCAATAATAACGAGGCTATCCCGGATCCCTGGATTGGAAGGGGGGATTTCGTGTATTATGTTCAATGATGTTGACCTTCCCGCAGGGAGACCGTCCATGGCTCGCTAGCCGAACGCCCAAACGGGCACGATTCTTTCTCCGCGGGTCAACCGTGGCTCGTGATCTCCGACGAGACGGTACCTTATTATTATGGAGTAGAGAAAAGGCACCAGAATAACAGTGATTGATGTACCAACAGGCCAATCTGATAGCACCCAGTACTCTCCGTGTCAGGATGGAAGCCAGACAGACGATCCCTGGGGGACATGATCATGATTTTATTTACATTTACCATTAATCATCCATGTTTGCCGCCCGGATCGAGATCGTCGTCGCCATCCGCATCCTCGTCCGGCGCCTCTGACTCTGGCTCTGGCTCATCCTGGAAGATGGAATATTCACAACCAAGCCGCACGGGTAGAGGCAGGATAATCGTCTGCACCCTCGCCTTCCATGACCCCGGCTGCGGGCTCCCATTAGTCGCTGCAGGATTCTAGTGGGAGTCATCTCTCGCTCATCGTGCTGCTGAGCCTGCCGGGGAGGGTCTAATCGTCGCGCGGGTGGAGTCAGTCGTGGCACCAGACATGGCCAGGCAGCCCAAAGCCGGCCCAACAGCCCAATCATCCCGCCCACCACCGCCCTCCCCAAACCCACTCCCCCTCCCACTCTCCCTCCGTTGCTGTCTGAGTCCCCTCCTCTCTCTCTCCCTCCTGCACTCCTTCGCCCTCCCTCTAGTCAATCCGAGTCTTATCTCCCCCCAGCCGGCTGTCTCATTTTTCCCTTCCCCTTCCCTTCGTCGCCTCCTTTCTGTCTCCCTCCCTCTCCTCGCCGGTTTCACCTCTCCCTCTTCTTCTTCTTCTTCTTCCTACCTCACCCGCTCCTCCTTCCCCCACCCCCCCCCTCCTCCCTCTCTCTTCAACCTCTTCTGTCCTGGCATCCCCCCCCCGCCAGCTTCGAAAGGTAGCAGAGCCTGTGTTCGGGAGTGTTCCAGCAAAGACCACCGTTCAAAAGAGGCGGAGATCCCTCCCAGGAGAGAAAAAAAAAAAAAACCAGGACCATTCACACACCCAATTCCGAGATTTGAGTTCTCATCTCTCTCTCTCGGCCTTGTTTAAGGACTTTACTGTCTCTTTCGTTTGCGACTTGCTTAATGCTGGAAGTGACCTGTATTCCTTGAACCCATCCTTACAACTGCCGTGGACAAGCAACGCTCTCGCCGGGATTTGTTTCTTTTCTTCCTCCGGAAATAAAGAGCCCTATAACCCACCCTTGGATCCGAGCTCTTTCGTCGCCTTCCTGTTCTGCTTCTGTGCTTGTGTCAACCGGAACGCGGATTTGCCCTAGTGGATCAGCCTTGGACTTCCTGGACGCCGTCTCATAGAACTGTACTTGGTGCTGTTTCTTGTTTCAAACAACCCCATCTACCGTCATCCTCTGGACCCGTCGGCTATTCCTGCTTCTCCGGACTTCTTTTGGCCACTTGGACCCGTTGACCATATACATTAATATACTGGAAACCATTTTCCCTGGACAAAATGACTGGCCGTCATGGATTTGAGGGGCGCCCGGAGCGTCAAAACGAATATTTCATTCCTGGCGATGGTATCAGCCGCGAAGTTATCCAAGCAGACATATGCCGTTACCTTGGAAATGATGCGCTCGTAAGACCTGGAAACCACAATGTCTGTGCCCCGATGTTTTCTTATGCCGATTCTAAAAACCCTTGATGAAATGACGGATCATGTTGGCTGGATCTAGAATGTCTAGCGAGGCTCGGTGACTGACTTGATGCAAAACAGGGTCGTCAAGGCTTCTTCATCCGTGCCTACCGGAATCTTACAACCGTATGTTTTTCTCCCACCATCGGAGTTCCCAGATGCAAGCCGGACAGGTCAAGACTAACGCTGTTTTGTGATCCAGGAAATGATTGCTGACCTCAAAGCCGACTCTTCTCGGTGGGAGGCGGATGTGCTACGTCGGGCTGACCAGGGTTATCCCAGAGGTAGCTACATTCAAGACTACAGTTATTCCCAGGCACCACCTAACATGGCCTCAGCGAGCTATGCAGCCTCGACTATCCATGAAGCGCGGCCGCAACAGGGAGGGCCATCTCCTCCGCCGACCTACTCTGCCCCTCCCCCCCCTCAGCAGTTTGTGGACCCGTATGCTCAGCCTGTGTACGCGGCGACTCAAAGTCCCCCGTACCCAACCCCGGCATCATACCCTGCAAACCACTCTCCCTTTGGATCTGGCCAAAACCCGTATCCTCCCCCGCAGATCCCATACTCTGCTCCCAGCCAGCCCGCAGTGACGTCTGCTGAGATGCATCCTTCGTCATACACATATGGAACCGGCTATGGCTACGAAAATGGGAGAAACAATGCCCCCAGATACCCTGGGCCTGGCTATGAGCCCGAAGCGGACTATCCCACAGTTACTTCCGGAATAGCCTATCCTCCTACCACAGCCCCGGACCCTCGGATAGGACTGGACCCCAGATATACTCCTGAGTCGACATACTCAGACCGCAGTAGGCCACAACCAGCCCGAGGCGGGGAAGCCCCACGCCGAACGAGGTAAAGAAAGTTAATGTCCACTTTCTGCCTGTGAGCCGCGGCGTATATTCTCATCCACTTTCTCTCCCGAGAAGGCCTCACCACCCTCAGATGCGCTGGGCACCTCCTATCTTTGCCTGTATCTCGAGAGCCTTTTACGGATCCATCTCCATTTTTTTTAGCCTACAGGAACACCAGACCGGAAAGAAAAAGCGTGCATAACTTTTCGTGGGAAACAAATTGCAATTATGCCGGAGCCAGATGCGAGGATCACTGGATATTATTTGCCCTGGACGCCATTCACCTTATACCTGATTTATTTCGATTTCCGTTCGGCGTCGCTACCGACGTTGTCTCGTGCTTGAGTTGACCTGGATGCCACCTCGTGCGAGGTCACCTTGAGCAGATGTGATGTAAAGATTGGTCGACCCAACCTTTTACGTGATGGTTTATGAGGAGGCATTTTGGCTTTGTTGTAATGCCAGCCATTGCTGTGCTTGATCTCCTTTTTTTCTCCTTTTTGGATTGCGATTCCATTGTCTTGGTTTTCCTATGTGGTGTACTGGCTGTGGTATTCTGATTGCTTTTTGTGCCACTGTTCTATTTTTCTTTCTCTTTTTCTTTCCCGATCGGTGTTTTCGACCATCTCCTACGTTTTGAGTCCAATGGGAGCGCCAACTGATTTCTGGAAAATATCAGCTAGGGGCTTCAGTGACACGGTGATGCTATGTTGTCCATGAGCTATATGTAGATATGAGCATACACGGCGTTATTCTTTGTTCTGCTCTGGTTATTTGATGGCTATGACATTGCTCCCAGGGTTGTTTAATAATCGATATACCGTCCACTGAAGAAGTGTTCTCTTGTATTAGCCTCCTGTGTTTGCTCTGTTCTTGGATGTCTGTCTTGTCTTACGGCATATCTTGCGTGCAGCTCTGGCGTCTTGGTTGCTATTATGCTAGGCTGACTTCTGAATCCATAGAAGGTCATTTCCTCAATCCACATACTATACAAGACTTGATTGTCTCCCTATAACGCCCGCCGTACTTAAATCCACTAGGGATCCATCATGCCCCAGCTACCGCTGTCATCGAGAGATTAATTTTGCATGTTTGCTTGTTCTTTAACCCCCTTGGCAGTGAATGTTGTGTTCTATGTTATATTAGCTGTCAGCAGCTATGAGTCGCTCCAGGGTCCCGATGAAAGTAATTGAACAGTCACCGCTTGACCACAACACACTGCTGACCTGGGATATGAGTCCAAGGCCGTTCTCTCATTCACTGCAAAGCATCGCGTTGTTACCAGCCTGGCTGGAAAGAATCCAGACAATAATAATGTCATTTCTCCGCTTTCAACCTCTCAGCGTGTTGCCGGCGCGGGGCCTTTGGCATCAAAGATACTGCGAGAAGCGGGCGTCCCAGCGTCGCTGGAGTTATTCAGGATGAGCGCGGCTTCATCCTTCCCGCATTTCATCGACGGCGATGTGAGAATCCATATCCAGCCGGATGTCTACCAACTCCACTCTGTCGTGCTTGCTGGCTACTCCAGAGTCCTGGGAGAACTGGTGGCCCCGTTCTATGCCTTGGATCCCTTGCCCTATCTGCAGGGACTCAATCACCTCGGCATGCGCGAGATCAATCTAGTCGGCGCGGTTGGTCGCAAGAATGGCATCTTTCAAATCCAGGTATGTTGTTGATATGACATGATTGTGGACCGACCACAAACATAGGCGTGGCCATTCTGATAGCGGTTATAGGAACCAAGACAAATTGATCCAGATACCTTGGAGTTCACAACCATAAGTGGCGTCTTTCCCATCTGGCCTGAAGAGACCCGTCGGTGCTGGAACAACCTCTTCAAGATATTCTACCGGCTGAAGCCCAACCTTCGCGATCTTTATGGCCTTCCCATTCTGCTAGACCGTGGTCTGGAGCTGATCGGATTGGCAGAAGAGATTGATGCGACGGATGATGTTTTCCACGCCATTGATAGTGCGCTCGTGGGGTTCGACCAGGAACTGTATCACCGCATCTCCACGGACCCGGTCGCCTGGGTCAATCTGGCAGTGAGGATCCATTCGGGGACGATCTTCCAGGAGGCCATCATCCACTTGGTGGGAAGATGGAACTCTCTTACTGAATGCGGCTTCAGAGCTCTGCCCGAGAGTGTTCGTCGTGTGTGCATCGAGAAGCACGCCGAGCTGGACCTCAAGAAGACGGCCACGGAAAAGCAGCTCCTGAAGTACCATCCTGCCCCCGTAGCTCCGCACGCCGTCATCCACGAGACCAACCACCCCGAGGGTTCTGGGTCTGGGTCCGGGTCTGGGTCTGGGTTTGGAGGTGTCGACGTTGCCAAAGACCGAGACGCTCATCTGTGGATGGCTGTCGCCGTCTACCGCCAGTGGATCGGCCAGTGCATGGCAGACGGCCAGAACCACCAAGCCCTCGACGGCGGCACCTCCTTCTACCGCACGATCAGCGAAGGAGGAAATGCGTACTTGTGGGCCATTGACCGGACCTCGCTCGTCTTGCTTCCCCCACTCGGCGAAGCCGAGATCCAGACCGTCCAAGCGAAACTGTCCGAGGTGAAGAACGACGCCAAGCGCATTGTCGCCCCTCTGTTGCTCAACCGCAGCCAGTACGACCCGACTATCTGGGGCGAACTTCCCTACCTGACCTGCTGCGAGTTCCGCGACGTTGATATCCCCTGGTATGTGCCCGCGCCTGTGCCTGGCCCTGTTCCTGTGCCTCCAGCGGTCGTCGTTCCCGTGATCCCCGATCCGAACAACAATGCCCCGGCAGATGAAGGCATCCAAGCAGAGGCAGAGGCGGCGGCGGATGATGATGATGATGATGATGATGAGGATGAGGATGCTCCGGGGGATATCATAGAACCGGCAGCTCCAGCACATCAGGACGGTATGGTGGCCAACCCTACCTCCGACTGTCTCTACCTCAACCCGACGCTGACCACATTGGACGCCATCAACCGATTTTCTAGCTCGCAGAGTGCCGCTTGGAGCGGTCCCGAGGCGGAGACCGATCGCATGAACATGCAAGGAACGTTCGACCCCTTCGATCTGGGGGATACCGATCCCGCGTGCACCGGTTTCGTGACCTATCAGACCCAGTTCCCGGCTAATGACGAAAATGACTCCTACGAGAATACCCTGTTCCCTCTCCCTGCGTGTCTTCAGGATCATCCAGACGCTTCGCAGGGGCGTGGTCCTCTTGAGCAGCAGCGGGGTTCTTCTACTCGGGACGGCCCTTATGAGGGCTCTTCTACGGAGGACCCTACTGAGGGCCGTCGTACTAAGCAGGATTCTGACCCGACTGACTGACTGACTGACATCTCTATCTATCTACCTACCTTAACGATTGGCGTCTTTCGCGTTCTATCCGTTTCTCGATATTCCCCATTTATGCTTTGGATTGTTTTCTTTCTTTCTTTCTTTCTTTCCTTTGTCTGTTCCCTGGGAACATATTTTAATCAACAATTATCCACCCGCTGCGGTCCTATGTGGCCGGTATTTAATCAATTCAACCTCTTGGATAGGCAGGCAGCTCATATTGCACCCACGGTCACAGCCAAGTGATATTTTCAGGAATGAGGCGTTTTCTGGGCCCCAATGGACAATTTACCCGCAATATATCCTAACACCCAGATCGGGAGGAAAGGGAAAAGGCCTGTAAATAAGGTGAAATAATAAAAAAAAAATTGAAAGGATGACATTAATCTCCGCTCCGTAGCCATTTTCATATACAATACACCAACAACAGTAAACGCTTGACAACACTCACTCACTCACTACCCGTGCGGACCTATCCAGGCATAAGGGTATAAGGGAGACACCTGAAAGGGAAGGCAGGCAGACAGGCAGGCAGACAGGCAGGCAGGGCATGTTGCAGAGAGAAAGATAGATAGATAGATACGACCAGAGATAAGGCTTCGACCGGGAAAAAGCCCGTTTCCATCGAGGTAGAGTGCGCCGTGCCGACACGGACACCACGAGCTACCGCCCCTGCCCCTTGAGTATCACTTCCCTTCCTATTTGCTCAGCGGAGCTCCACGGATCCAACCAAAAGATGGAATCGGCAAAGCACATGGATTGCTTGCTTGCATGCATGTGGTGTCTGATTTACTCGTCATCGTAACCCTTGGGGAATGTCCGGGGTCCGGCGGGAACTGGAAAGAGGGAAAATGACGGGTCAGTCAAGAGAGCCCCAGGAATGATATCGAGTTCAAGCGAGAGGGCGGGCTCTTACTGGGGTAGGTCAATGGGATGGGCTCCGGGTCAACATCGCCCAGGGCGCGTCTGATCGGCGGCAGGCCGACCAGGAAGACGGGGCCCATGGAACCCACAACGATGGAGTAGAAGATGGCAGGTCTCTCGTGGGAGGCCCAGCGGAGGTAGCGGAGGGGAGTCGACCAGAACTGAGGGACAGACATGATTGCGGGCTTGCGATGGAGGAGAGGCGTCGGATGAAGGGTTTTTTAAGCGGAGGCCGGGGAGGGCGGACAATTGCGGGTGGGGGGATTGATTGAATTAAGTGGTTGCGGTGGGAGCGGTATAGCGGAGTCGAGTAGGCGTGCGGAGATGATCTCGAGGAGGAGGGGGGGGGGTGGATGTGGCAGGCCGATGCGACGAGGAGGGGGAGCGATAGCAGCAGCAGGAGGAGGAGGAGGTTGGACCGAAGTTCAGTTAGTGCCGGTCGGGGACGAAGGTGACGAAAGCCGAAGTGGATGCGGCGACCGGGCGAGGCTTGGCACTCGGTCCAAACACGTCGCCCGTTTGATGGAGTGCACGGAGTAGCTTCAAACAAGAACCCATTCATTCATTCTCCTTCTCGACACCATCACCCTCGAAGTGGATTCTTCGCTGGTTCCCCCATCTCCGTTGTCGACTGCCCGCCCGCTCCGCTGTGCGGAATCACTGCAAGATGCGGTGGTGCCTTTCCTTCTTTCTGTTCAGCTTCTTGGCTGTGGTACATGCGCTGAGTAGTTCGGGGAACCGTCTGCTGGTCGTCCTGGAGGATGGCTCCGAAAGGGAGCTCTACTCCATGTTCTGGAGTGACCTTGAAGGTTCGTCCTTGCGTGGCAATTGGGGATGCGATTCGTGCTCATACTGGATATTTAGCTCGTGGATACGACCTGGTCTTTGAATCGCCCAAGAGCGACAAGCTCTCTCTCTTCGACCTCGGAGAGAAGGCCTACGACCACCTTCTCATTCTTCCCCCCAGGTCCAAAGGTAAGCGGTGGCTTGAACCATGGGAACTCAATGGTATATGTGCAGGCAATTGACCTCATCTCGTAGGATTCGGACCTGCCCTGAGCCCCAAGAACATTGTCAACTTCATCAACCAGGACGGCAACGTCCTTCTCGCCCTCTCCGGCAAGTCCACCACCCCCAGCGCCATCAGCTCGCTGCTCCTGGAACTCGACCTACACCTTGCCACCGACCGGTCCTCCGTTGTTCTCGACCACTTCAACTACGACACCCTGTCGGCATCTGAAAAGCACGATGTTCTGCTTCTCCAGCGCCCCGGTCAATTGAGACCTGATACCAAGGATTTCTTCGGCGGGGAAGGCGTTTTGGCTCTCCCCCGGACCGCTCCCCACACTCTGGGTGACACGGCTCTCCTGACGCCTATCCTACGCGCCCCGGTGACTGCCTACAGCTACAACCCGAAGGAGGACTTGTCTGCGGATGACGATGTTTGGGCCACCGGCTCTCAGCTGGCTCTCGTCTCAGCCATGCAGTCCCGAAGCTCTTCTCGCTTCACCCTGCTGGGCTCTGCGGAGAGTCTCCAGGACCAGTGGTTCTCTGCGACCGTCAAGGTGCCCGGAAGTGAACAGGAGACGGGCACCGCCAACCAGGAGTTTGCCAAGCAGCTGACTGCCTGGACGTTCAAGGAGACTGGAGTTCTGAAGGTTGGAAAGATCGAGCACCACCTGGCCCAGGCCGACATTACCGCCGAGGACTTGAACCCCGCGATCTACCGCATCAAGAATGAGACTGTAAGCGCCAACGGCGAGCAACATAGACGACAACTGCTGACGTGTCCTATAGGTTTTCAGCATCGAGATCTCCGAGTACAGCAATGACAAGTTCGTGCCCTTTGAGGTCCCCGCCAACGACGCCCTGCAGCTCGAATTCTCCATGCTCTCCCCCTTCCAGCGTTTGAAGCTGGAGCCTTCCTCCCGCACCGAGAACAGCACCATCTACACCACGCAATTTACCGTTCCCGACCAGCACGGTATCTTCTCCTTCCGGGTCAACTACAAGCGCCCGTTCCTCACCAACATCGAGGAAAAGCACGAGGTGACCGTCCGTCACTTCGCCCACGACGAGTACCCCCGCAGCTGGAAGATCAGCGGAGGATGGGTCTGGATCGCTGGCCTGTGGTCTGTGATCGGCGGCTTTCTGGCGTTCGTGTTTGTGTGGCTCTACTCGGAGCCCACCTCGGCGAAGACCAAGAAGACGCAGTAATGTATCAACACCTGAAAGATCAATAAATGACGTCTTGCACATTGCGTTGATGGCGCCTTTGATGATGCCAGATCGTAGACCCCCGTCGTCAGTTCTAGTAGGCCAGGAGTAATAGTCACACAAAACCGCTTGCATATGTACAACCCTAGTATGTAGTATAAACCGACAACGATAGCAGAGTGGTTCCCAAACTCCAAGCCATGCCAGCAAAGCAAAAAGCAGAAACTCCACAGACAAGATCGATGATGTTACAGTGCGGAAAAAAACAAGTCTGTGTCACCATCCATCATCACAACGGGGACCAGAAGCCGCCGCCTTTCTGTCCCACTCACACTCGCACTCGCACTCGCACTCGCACCCGCTCACAGACCTCTGGTCTTCTCAGGGTCCATCTGCACCTCATTCCCACTAATCTCCTTGACCGACTCGAAGGCCGGCTTTCCGGCGTAGAGTTGCTGAGACGAACCCGAGCTACTACCGCCCTCAAGCTCCTTGGATACCGCGATGGGCTGATTTCCGCGGAACCGCTTGCGCATATCGACTAACCCGCGCCTGTCGGAGAGTAAAACGTTAGAACATGGGGCTTTTCTCAGTGTCGGGTCGGATGATGATGATGATGGGCGGTGATGATAGGATATGATAACGGGTATGTATGACTCACTTGCACTCGCCGAATCCCTTCCGCAGCTGTTGGCATCGCATGGGCAGTCCCTCGACGTACGGATCACTTAGGCACTCGCGGGGCGTGCGCCGTTGGACCATAATGCAATCGGATTCCTGGAGGCATTGCGCCAGGGCGTTTCCTAGTGACAGAGGTAATCAACATGCGTCAGAATGCAGGTCCATTGCAATGCAGTTTGGTGGTGAGACAAGGGCATCCCCGTCTAGGATTGAATTCGACCAGTCGCATTGGGGGAGAAGGAGGGGGAAGGTGGGAGGGGGAGGCAGATGATGACATACTGATATCTTGGCAGGAACTCGGCATCTTGAGATCAGATACAGCAAGGGTCGTCCAATTGCTGGGGCAAGGGACACCGGGGGACGGACGCAAGCAGGGTCAAGAGATGGGCGGCGGCGGATGATGATGATGGCAATGGCAAAATCCCACCCTGCCCCGGATTAGATAAGCATCACATGAAGACCGGCGGCGCCGTCCGTCCCGTCCCCATGACGTCTTGGGGGAGAGGGCCTGCCTGACTGACCCTTTTTCTTTCTCTCTCCGACAAACAATAAGAGAGAGGGTCATGCAGACGGCTGGCCTCCACTGCTGCATTGCTTCCTCTGTGCGCATCATGAAACACCGCTGACCGCCCTGCTACGCCGTCGTTTCTATCCTGCAGGACTGCAATTTTGGTCGTCGTCATGGCGCGCGTCCCCGTTATTGGACGCCTGTTCTGGTTCGAGTACTTGGCTCTGTTTGGATCGCTGATTTTGGTGCTTCTGGAATGGGTCATTCACATCATTACCTTCTGCCTGCGTACGTAATGTTCACTGAGGAGCGATGCTCTACTGTTACGGGGGGGGGGGGTATGAGAGCTAACAGGAGCAGCTGAACCGATTATTCGCTTCTGTTACGATCGGTCCAAGAACATCTTCAACCTCTTCATCTCGCCTGAGGATCTGGGCAAGCGCGGGAAGGAAGAGCAGGTTGCGGCGGCAGTTGCGCAGGCGTCGGACTTTACGGATATTTGCGCGTTGTTCGGGTATGAGGCTGAGGAACACATCGTCCAGACGGGGGATGGCTATCTGCTGGGGTTGCATCGGTTGCCCAATCGAAAGGGCGAGGAGGGGCAGACGGTGAACCAAGGCGAGAAGAGCATCAAGAAGAAGGTCGTCTATCTCCACCACGGCCTGATGATGTGCAGTGAGGTCTGGGTCTGTCTGTCGGAGGAGCAGCGGTGTCTGCCCTTCCAATTGGTGGAACGGGGCTATGACGTGTGGCTGGGAAACAATCGAGGGAACAAGTACTCGAAAAAGTCCATTAAGCACTCGCCGCTGTCGCACGAATTTTGGGATTTCTCGATCGACCAGTTCTCGTTTCATGATATCCCCGACAGTATCAAGTATATCCTCGAAGTGACTGGGCAGCCGTCGTTGTCCTATGTGGGGTTCTCCCAGGGGACGGCACAGGCCTTTGCGACGCTCTCCATCCATCCTTTGCTGAACCAGAAGATCGATGTCTTTGTGGCCCTCGCGCCGGCTATGGCCCCCACCGGTCTACCGAATCACCTCGTGGATTCGCTCATGAAGGCCTCGCCGAACTTCCTGTTTCTGCTTTTCGGCAGACGCAGCATACTTAGCTCGACCACGATGTGGCAGACGATTCTCTACCCCCCGATCTTTGTGCGGATTATTGACACGTCACTTCGGCTTCTGTTCAACTGGCGGTGCAAGAACATCAGCCGCTGGCAGAAGCTGGCAGGGTACCTGCATCTGTTTTCCTTCACCAGCACCAAGTCGGTGGTCCATTGGTTCCAGATCATTCGACACCGAAACTTCCAATTCTACGATGACGAGATCCACGCACCGCTGAGCATTGTGGCGAGCGAGCGATTCTACAAGCCGGTCAAGTACCCGACCAAGAACATCAAGACCCCGATCGTGCTGCTGTATGGCGGCAGCGACAGCCTAGTCGATATCAATGTGATGCTGTCCGAGCTCCCTCGCGGGACCGTGGCGAAAAAGATCCCTCAGTACGAGCATCTAGATTTCCTCTGGGCACATGATGTAGACCAATTGGTATTTAGCCATGTTTTTGGGGCGCTCGAGCAGTACAGTCCCCGGCGCGAAGACCAGACTGTCAGTGAACAAGTCAATGGCGTCAAAACACCTGTACTGGCGTGAGGCATCCCAACCCCACCCACCCTACCCTGTTGGATAGATACCCCTCGAGACATGTATCACAACCACACATGTAATTTCCATATATCCTGCATGAAGATCCTAACGAGAGAGATGCCCCCCCCCCCCGAGATCATTTAATAATTTCGCCTTGTGCTGTACATTTGTTTGCTTTCCACGCGGAAGTTATCTTTGATAGCATTTTGATTCATCGATGGGATGTTTTTTCCAGTACAGCACATTATATCAAAGCCTGCTATAGCCTTGACACCCACCCACCAGCCAATATTAATACAGGGGTTGGATCACTGGAGGACCTCAACAGTGTTGCCTAGATCCCATGCTGTGGCATACGTCATATGTGCCGTCAGCACCTTCTTTACTGACGGTAGATCCGTATGCAGGGCGGTGCGAAGTGTCTGATGTGCGAATGCCGCTGCGACGCCTCACCTACATGTGATGCATAGACGTGGGACTTGTAATCTGAGCCCAAAACCAATGTTTGCTCGCCATTGCTCCACGGCCCATCCCTAATCCCAATCCCCCTTCCCCGGCGGTAACTGAAGTAGAGATACATAGATAGAAGATAACAATTAGTCCATGCCCATCAACCCTGAGATGATGCATCCAACCGCCCATCCTTTCATCCTGAATTTCTGATACACACACACACAAACACACACAAACACACACACACACACACACCTCTCCCCCTGATCAGGAGGTGATCTGACCTTACAGTAGGTACTAGGTATCTACCTACCTACCATCCATCTACGTATCTAGCCACCATACTCTCCCTACCTAAGTACACTAACTACCTACACTACTCCGTACCTATCTATCTACTACCTACCAACCCTCTTCTGGCGCGCCAGGCGCAGGATCCGCGTACTTTTGCCCTCGCTACCTCCCTTCAGTTAGTTACTAGTGCTGACTGTGCAGAAAGTACCGTAGTTAGTTAACTACCTACCTCCTTACCCATCTCCCTGGTCAGGCCCAGGGACTTATCTAGGTACAGCGTACCTGCCGAGTACCTAGCCGCTTAGCTTCGGAATTCGATCCGTCCCTGGCAGCAAGCAGGCCAGTGCCCGTGTGCCACACCAGACACCGGTACCCGGTCTCTAAGTCCTAGATAGATACTAGATATCTAGATAGATCCCATCCCGGACGCGAGGTGGTTCGGAATCAGCTTCCGGTTCCTGGAATCCGGTAGACTGTGCGCACAAACCCTGGGCTGATGATTTTGGCATTTTTCGTTTCTTTCCTTTTGTGTGTGTGTGTGTGTGTGTGTGTGGAGGGGTGCTTTGGATGGATAGGTCTTTGAGGGGGGTTTGGAGGATTGGATGTGTTTTGGGTGACCTACCTATGGGCACGGGGAAGTAAAGGATAAGTGGATAGATGTTTTTTTTTTTTAATTGTTATTATGATTATTCTCTCTTTTGTGGTGGTGATAGAAGGGGGATGTCAGAGAGTGTGTGAGGGGAGTGGATGTGGGTTTGGGTTTGGGACTTTTGTAGATGGCAGATGCATACACATAGATACACATACAGGTACACATAGTACACATACACACCACACCACCAGGACACTAAGTACTCAGTAGGGCCTGGAATTGGATAGAGCCTGATAGGAGGGTCATATATATTGTCGGGGGGTCACCAGGGTCGCGACGGGGTCTGCTGGGCTGTTCCTGTCTTGTCTTCTCATCCCAATGGTGTACTACTATGCTGGTGATCCCCCCTCCTCCTGTTGGTGAAGCGTGAGGGCCGAAAGTGAGTGTTTCTTTCCTGTGTCATCCATCCTTTTCGCCCTCGCCCCCCCCTTCCCCCCCTCCCATCCCCATTCTCTCCCCCCCTTCTTCATCGTCGTCGTCTTCGTCGTCTGGTGAGGCTCTACCAGGCTGGTTGGCGCAGCAGATCCGGGGCCAGGATGATTTCGAGGCCTCAGATCCATCCGTGGATCAACCACCGGATGGAGGAGGGGGAGGTGCGAGTGTCAATTATTGGCCAAGCCATGCCGCCCCTTCCCTGCGATGAGATGCTGCGATTTCTGCCCCCATCCGCATCGCGTCGTCCACGGCTCACGGCCTAGCCTAGTCGTATGGGGCGAGAGAGGCGAGAACAGAGACAGGAGACAGGGGACAGGGAGGGAATGATGGGATGAGATGAGATGATCTGATCTGATCTGATCTGATCTCAGACTCGCGACGTGAGGTTGTTCTGCCCCCATCCATCACGAACACACGTCCGTCCGGCTGAGCCGAACTGGCCTCTTCCCCCCCCCATGGTCTATAACAGCGCCTGCTATACCGGCTGCTGGAACTTGATAACCGGGACAAGAACCTCATTCTAGTATCGCCAAACTGAGGGATCCCCAACCAGATGCTAACTCGACTGCACTAGGACCTTAAGGTTTTAGAGCGGCCGCACAACAAATCGCCCTTCCACTCGAGTCTCACCGCCGCCATCGTTGCTTTTTGAGCACCGCTTGAGATTCAATCGCCTACATCCCCGGGGGATAAGGGAGAGAGAAAAAAAAACAACAATAACAGAAGGAAAAAGAAAAGAGACGAAATTTCCACCCAATTGATCGTCCCCCGCCTGGCCGTTATTGCATCACTGCTGCCGCCGGTAAGAACTTCGAGGGTTCAATTCCTCCCCACAAACCGAACCAAACCAGTCCCAGTCCACCCCGTCCGCTGACTTAGCCTGTCTGGCCTCTCTTGCAGTCTCACCCTCATTCTCTCGCTCCTAGTGTCTATCCCCCCCCCCCCCCCCCCGACCTCGCCCTCCGATATCTCCAAACCGACCGTCCTCCCTACCCTCCGGTCCGCGCCCCTCCGCAGCCTTGCTTCAGACTTTTTTCCGTCTGGCGCTTCCATCCTGCCAGCTCCCGGGGAATTGGTCCGGAATTGATTGGCATTGAGACCGATGTAACGGATCGCGTGTTGCTGCCCTTGCTCTCCCAGCACACCTCCCCGCCCCCCTCAAAGGGACCCAGCCCATTCCACCACCACCCCCCCCCTCCCCCCCCCAACCCAGTCCGTCCGCCTATTCGCCTTGATCGACCGGCGCGCATTGGGACCGAAACAATACCTCCTTCGATATCCTCTGATCAAGGAAGTGTCCTTTTTTTTAACCCGAATCAATCTCCGGATTGGGTCTACGCCGACATCGACCACCCATTCGGCCCCCTAGGATCAGACGATATAATTGGCGTCTGCAGTGACCGCAAGCTCATCGGATCCGACCCATTTACTTCGCCCCAAATACCATTCTCTATCGATAGTCCGATTCACAGCCACCGTTACTATGCGGCCGCAGTAAGTCCCGCCCCGGGCTGTTGCCCCATGATAAGCACTGGATGGTTTCGCGGCAGATGCTGACGGTTCGCTATCAACGTTAGGCGGGAATATCATATCGTCGTTCTAGGCGCTGGTAGGCACATACTCTGTCATGGATATCGGAAGGTTCACTGACGATGGGTCGTTCTCGGCGCAATAGGAGGTGTGGGCAAGAGCTGTCTTACTGGTATGGGTCTGGTCGCGTAGCTCTGCTATTGTCGCGCATGCTTTCTGACGACCGTCGCTGACGCTGGATAGCTCAATTCGTACAGAATGTTTGGATCGAGAGCTACGACCCGACAATTGAAGACTCCTATCGAAAGCAGATTGAGGTGGATGTAAGACAACCCACCCCCGAGCTCTCATTCGTTGCTAAACTTCTCAGGGTCGGCAATGCATCCTGGAAATGTATGTACCCTGTGCGGCGGAATGAACCCAGATGTCACCACTCGGTGGATGCCGCTGACTCCCGGCGAACACAGATTGGATACTGCAGGCACAGAACAGTTCAGTAAGTTTGCCAACCCAGTCACCCGTATAAGCTCGTGAACTAACGACTCTCTAGCGGCAATGAGGTAAACCAAACGCCCATCTTCCTGAATTCCCCTATCTGCCCAGCCACACCGAACGTTTCCAACGCTTGATTATGCGGCCTCATTGCTGACGTTGGACCACCCTCCAGAGAGTTGTACATGAAACAAGGCCAAGGATTTCTGCTCGTATTCTCGATTACGAGCATGTCCTCGCTGAACGAGCTATCCGAGCTACGAGAGCAAATCATCCGCATCAAAGAGGACGAGAAAGTCCCCATTGTCATTGTCGGCAACAAGTCCGACCTCGAAGAGGACCGCGCCGTGCCGCGCGCTCGCGCCTTCGCCCTCTCCCAGACCTGGGGCAACGCCCCGTACTATGAGACATCGGCCCGTCGTCGAGCCAACGTCAACGAGGTCTTCATTGATCTCTGCCGCCAGATCATCCGAAAGGACCTGCAAGGCAACTCGAAGAGCTCCGATTCGGACCGTAAACGGGACAACGCCAATCGGCAGGACCGGCGAAAGGAGAAGAAGCGTCAAACCCGGCGCAAGGGTCCTTGCGTGATTCTATAATGGCGCCAGAACCCGACCATGGAGATGAACGAAAGCAACTACCATTGAACGAGAACGCTCACCGCTCCCTTGACTTACTTACTTCACACATGACTTAACTGCTGCGCTGCACATACCCCGTCTGTCTACAAAGCCTGTCTTGTCTAATGTCGAACTGACCCATTGATTGAATTCCATTCACCCCCACCCCCCACGTTTCATCATACGCCTGTCTCACGTGCTCCAACGATAGATATATGTGATTTATAGCCAAATCTTTCTCTCTATTCGATTCGTCTCTCATAACGAAATGTTCCCCTGCCCTATTCAGCTTACTTTATGTCTTCAGGAGTGGAAAAGTGTAAATCTCTTTTTTTCTCTTTCTTTCTTTTCATGTCCTTTTTTAACCCACGAATTTGTTCTTCTTTTCTTGTCCTGTATGTGCCCAAGAGCGATCGGAAGCTTTCTATTTCTATTTCTATATTTTTTTTACACATTTTTGTATGTTTTCTGTGTTTTTTTCTATGGAGGATGTGTGTTTGTGTTTGTGTGTTTCTCTCTCTCTCTCTCTCTCTCTCTCTCTCTATGTGTGTGTGTGTGTGCGTCTGGAAATGGAGTATCGAGTGGGATGGATGGATGGATAGATAGATTGCGTGTGATGTTCAACTGAATCTGCGAGGATGAATCATTCCTTAACATGGCACAAATACCTACTATAGATTTTGATTATTATTGATATTGTTCTGGATCAATCTTAATGGTCTTCTGCTGATGTCTACCATACATACCACCTTCCTTGCTATTTTTTTATATTGAATTTCTAGTTAGAGTATCCTGTTTTCTTTCTTTTCTTTCTTTTCTTCTTTGGGATTGGTTTTTGTTTCTGAAAATACCGAGGTGGATTGATGTGATGTGATGTCTAGCTGGGTTTGTTTTTGGTCTACTGGGGTAGTGTTATATAACTTATTAGGCTCATGGTTCAGTTTGGTGAAGGGTTGATGATAGATAGATGCCTAGGATGTAAGGATGTTGGGATGTAGGGCTATTCGGGATTGTGATTTTCAAGGAAGATGGAAGATGGAAGATGGAGGGAACTAAGTATGTCTTTGGTTGGATCGTTCATTCATTTTTCTTTCTTGACAGTCACGGTAATCTAAAAGATAACAAACCAAGTAAACTCAGTACTTAGGTAACCAAGTGAGTAGTTAAGGTAAGTAGGTAAGTCATCAATGCCGCATGCATGGTAACTAAAACACAATATAACCCCAGTCCTAGAGAAGCTTACGCCTCGAACGCAAGCATCTCCAATTGCCACCTTCTCACCCAACCATCTACAAAGCATAACCAACCATAGACATAAGATATACCCCACCACTCATCTATCCAGCTAGCCTACATCCTAAAAACGCCAAACCGCGTCTGCACATCGGCATCGACCTTCCCGCCGACGGCAGCCGCCAGCCCCAAACCCAGGAACCGTCTCGTCTGCGCCGGGGGGATCACGCCATCGTCCCAGAGTCGCGCGGAGGAGAAAACGGCCTCGGATTCGCGATCGATGCGCGTCTTCAGGGCCGGATCCGCCGTGCGGCCTACGGCTTCCATCACGGCGGAGAGTTGCTCGGAGCCCATCACCCCGATCTTGGCGTTGGGCCACATGAACATGAAACGGGGGGAGTAGGCGCGGCCGCTGTCGAGCGTTTTTTTTTTCATTGTATTAGTGGATTGTTCTTGTTTTTGAACTTGGTCTTGTTCCTGATGGCAGAGGGAGGTTGGGAAATGAAGACTCACCACATTCCGTAGTTGCCCGCGCCGGCGCTGGACCCGAACACGACGGTGAACTTGGGCACGTCGGCGCAAGCGACGGCCGTGACGAGCTTGGCGCCGTTCTTAGCGATTCCGCCCTTTTCGGCGTCGGCGCCGACCATGAAGCCGGAGATGTTTTGGAGGAAGACGAGGGGAATCTTGCGTTGGGCGCAGAGCTCGATGAAGTGGGCGCCTTTGAGGGAGGACTCGGAGAATAAGATGCCGTTGTTGGCGACGATGCCGACCTGGTGGCCGAAGATGCGTGCGAAGCCGGTGACCAAGGTGGTGCCGTAGTCGCGTTTGAATTCGGCGAATTCGCTGCCGTCGACGATGCGGGCGATGACTTCGTGAACGGGGATCTGGCGGCGGAGGTTGGTGCCGACGATACCGTTGAGCTCGGTGGGGTCGTAGAGGGGTTCTTTGATAGTGTCGCTGGGGAGACCTTTCAGGGGGAGCGAGGTCTGGGGGTAGTTTAGGTTGGAGATGGAGCGGCGGGCGAGGATGAGGGCGTGGGCGTCGTCCACGGCCAGGTAGTCGGTTACGCCGGAGATGGTGCTGTGGAGGTGACCGCCACCGAGGTCTTCGGCGGAGACCTCCTCGCCGGTGGCGGCTTTGACTAGAGGAGGACCAGCGAGGAAGATGGTGCCTTGGTTCTCGACGATGATAGTCTCGTCGCTCATGGCGGGGACGTAGGCGCCTCCGGCCGTGCAGGGGCCCATGACGACGGAGATTTGGGGGATGCCCAGGGAGCTCATTCGGGCCTGGTTGAAGAAGATGCGGCCAAAGTGGTCTCGATCTGGGAAGACGTCTGCCTGATGCGGGAGGTTTGCGCCGCCGGAATCGACGAGATAGAGACAGGGGAGCTTGTTTTCCTGGGCGATCGCCTGGGCGCGGAGATGCTTCTTCACAGTGATGGGGTAGTATGTGCCTCCTTTGACGGTGCTGTCGTTGGCCACGATCATACAGGTGACGCCTTCGACGGTGCCAATGCCGGTGATGATACCTCCTGCTGGGACGTCTTCACCGGGATAGACTTCGTGGCCGGCTAGCGGGGAGAGTTCCAGGAACGAGGTGCCTGGGTCGATCAGAGCCGTGACGCGGTCACGGGGGAGCATTTTCCCTCGCGCGAGGTGCTTGTCCTTTGCTTTTTGGGGGCCTCCGTGAGAGATGGTGCTATGGAGGTTGGTCATTCGGTCGAGCAGCTCCTGCATTTGCTGGGCGTTCTCTCTGAAGTCCGAGGATGAGGTGTCCACCGCGGTGGGAAGAACGGATATAGCGGAAGCATGGTGCGGATGTGTATAGCTTGCGGCGGCTCTGGAGACTGGCTCAAAGGGTGTTTTGTTCAGGAGTTGGTGTCGAGGCAGACGTCGTGAAGGAAGGGCGGGTCTCAGACTCCGCAGGAGCGGAGACGGAGCGCGCATTGCGGGGATGCTGCTGGGCGAGGATGATCTGCTGCGGATTGAGGCAGAATGGAGGAAATTCGAACGGGAGATTGTGGTGTGTAGGCTATGACATGCCCCGTCTTGTAGGATGATGAGGACGAAGCAGTTTGGACGTGAAGAGAGGGAAGATGCAGGAAAAAGAAAGACCGTCGCAAGGCCGCAGGTGACATTGCGGAGAAGGAAGATCGCGATGATTGCCGCGGGTAGCCGTCTGCACCCCCCGGCCCTGCTGTTTACTTAGCATCGATAGACTCGCACATCCGAGGCTGCATCCTTCCTCCGCTGCCCGCCCGAGTTGCTTTTCCTTCTTCTCTCATCCCATCGTGTTTCTCTTCGCGGTGTACCTAGCAAGATGGCCGCCCTTCCCAGATTCCCTCTCTTTGTTCGCACGTCGTCCCGGACTCTGGGCCGATGGAGGAAACCCCTCATCCAGCCCCCCGCATTTCGAACTCTGGTCACCAAGCACCCCAAGGACTTTGTGCCTCCCACGGAGGATGATTTGCTGGAGCTGCGTGAGCGTGTTCAGGAATTTACCCGTATGCAGTGGCCCCGATTCTTCCCCGTTCGCTTCTCACTAACGATCGTTGCGAATCAAGGGCGGGAAATCCCCGAGGACGTCGCCGCGCAAACAGACGCACAGAATGAGTTCCCGGCGGAGATGTGGAAGAAATTAGGTGAAGCAGGGTGCGATCGATCTATAGTGGGAAACTCGGGGTGCTTGTGCTCCTGCCAGGCTAACTCGTGGCAGGTTTCTCGGTATCACGGCGAATGAAGAGTATGGCGGTCTGGGGATGGGATACCAGGCTCACTGTATCGTGATGGAAGAAATAAGTCGCGCATCTGGTTTGTACCATTCTTACACTTTGTGCTGTCGGACAATGGCCTAATTCATTGGGGGAAAAAAAGGCAGCATTGCTCTGTCATATGCCGCGCACTCCCAACTTTGTGTCAACCAGCTCTCCTTGAACGGTACCGCGGAGCAAAAAGAACGCTTCCTTCCTGGTCTTCTATCCGGTGAAAAGGTTGGTGCCCTTGCGATGTCAGAACACTCAGCGGGATCCGACGTGGTCAGCATGAAGACCACTGCAAAGGCCGTCGACGGTGGGTGGCTATTAAACGGAACGAAGATGTGGATTACCAACGTGAGTTTCTGTCCTGGTCTTTTATAACATGACATATGTCTGATCTAACGTTATGTCGTCTCTCCAGGGCCCCGATGCAGACTTTATCGTCGTATACGCAAAGACAGAGCCCGAAAAAGCCTCCAAGGGCATCACAGCCTTTGTCGTAGAAAAGACCTTCAAGGGGTTCTCATGTGCCCGCAAGCTCGATAAGCTGGGCATGCGCGGCTCCAACACCGGTGAGCTGGTCTTCGAGGATGTCTTCGTGCCCAAGGAGAATGTCATCGGGGAGGTGAACCGCGGTGTGAAGGTCTTGATGGAGGGATTGGATTTGGAGCGTCTTGTTCTTAGCGCTGGTCCGTTGGGGTATGCAATCTCTCGTTCTTGTGGAGAACATCGATGCTAAACAGCTGCAGAATCATGCAAGCCGCTCTCGACCTTGTCCTCCCCTATACTCACGTCCGCAAGCAATTCGGTATGCCCATTGCCCACAACCAGCTAATCCAGGGTAAACTGGCGGACATGTATACCAAGCTTGCGGCCTCTCGTGCCTACACATACGCCACTGCGCGACAGATCGACAACTCGGCTGCAGAGTCATCCGGGGCCTTGATCCGGACGCAGGATTGCGCCGGAGCTATTCTCTATGCCGCGGAGAGGGCAACGGAGTGTACCCTAGATGCTATCCAGCTTATGGGCGGGAACGGATACATCAACGAGATCCCCGCGGGACGTCTCCTGCGGGATGCAAAACTATATGAGATCGGGGCTGGGACGAGCGAGATCAGACGGATGGTCATTGGGCGGGCGTTCAACAAGGAGTTCTCATAGGTAGTAGACCTTCAATGATCCCTTAAAAATATACCATCTCTACATTACATGCGTTCAGGATGCAAATATCAAGTATGTTCATGTTCGCATATTATCGTTTCTATACAATTTACTTTTTGTTCCTCGCGGACCTCCGCACAGGTCCCGAGGATGCCGGATGTGTCTCTTTCGTCTCGCCCACTTTCTGGGTCGCGATCCTCTTCGATCGGGGGTTGCCGGTAAGTTCCGGGGCAGGCTCATCTGCATCCTCAGCCTTGCGTTTCCGTCCTTTTGTCGTCGGCTTCTCGACGCCGTTGGCTTTCGACTCTTTCAAGGGTTGCGACTGTATCGGCTCTGCCGCATCAGGAGCGTCTTCCGCCCCGTTCACTTCCGAACCCAGCCCATTCGACAACTCCGAAGACACCTTCACCACCCCATCCTCAACGCCTCCAACCCCGGAATCATAATCCCCATCCGCCCCCCCTTCTCCCTCATCTGCCTCTTCGTCTTCGTCTTCATATTCGTATTCCTCCTCCCCCTCATACCCATCCCCATCCTCTGTCTCCTCCCTACTCCCTGCACCCACACCATCACCCCCAATTCTAGCCCTCACCCTCCCAATCGCCGGGTGCGAATTCCGAAACACCTCCCTCCAATTCTTCAGCAGCGCAACCTTCTCCCCCTCCCCAGGCTCATGCACCGCGATCTTCACCTCATCGCTCGGACTCTTCCACACCGTGCCCTGGAACGCCGCGATATCAAACTTGGGCACCTTTGATGCGGGGACTCGGGGCTTGTTCGGGAGGGTCACGGGTCGGGATAATAGGTTCAGGGCGCGTTGACGCTTAACGGCGGTGGAGTCATCGTCGAAGTAGTCGTCGGAGAGGTCGTCCCAGTCGCTGAAGAACTCTTCGGCTTCCAGGGCGGGGTCATCGTAGAATATGGCGTCGTTGGTTATAGTTGCGGTCGCGGCGAGATCGTCCTGTTTGCAGGGGATGATAGGTTAGGGGGTGGGACTGAGTGAGAGGGGAAAGGATGGACCGGGGGGTGGAGGGGGGGCTTACAGCAACGGTTGGGTCGGGTTCCTCGACCCAGAAAACATCCTCATCGTAGTCGTCGTAGTACTCTTCGTCGTCGGACATGGTGAGGGGGTGTGAATGTGGTGTAGTAAGCTTGTGCTTATGTGTCGCGAAGTTGACGAGTTGAGAATGACGTGGTGTGAGATGAAGAAGATCCACACAGAAACTGCAGAGTCGGAAGTAAAACGGTAAAGAACTAAGCGAGTGTTATCAAGGTCGCAAACGGGAAACTATCCAGCGCAGATCTATATAGAACCAGGCGCGGCCGTGGAGTGATGCAATCGACGGAGAGAGTCTCGGTCGGCGTCGAAAAAAACCGGCGGGTGGATCGGGCGGATCACGTGCCGGGCGCTTCCCCGCAGCCGTCGCTTTGCGTCGGCTCAAGGGGTGCGTCGGAGGCCCGTACAAGAAGCTGAGCGGCTGGTCGTCGTCACTGATAATTCTGGCTCCGTGACCCTTCGCCTTTTCTGCTCATTTGAATATGCGACTTGGCCTCTCTACACACTCTGTTTGTGGTGTTGACCCAATCTTGCAGTAGCAGAAGTACTAGCATCAGCGCCATCCTCGACCATGCCGCTCTCGTCTCTTCTCCGCACTTCGACCCGCCTGGGGCCGACCGTTGCTCGGAGATCCAGAAGAGCGGCCTCCACCGTGTCTTCCGCAACCCCCAAGGCCCCAAAGTCGCTGGATTCCATTCTGATAGCCAATAGAGGAGAAATCGCACTGTGTGTATGACTGCTTTTGTGTGTTTTCCTTACTAACCATGTGTTACTTGTCGCAGACGAGTCGGACAGACCGCCGCTAAACATGGGATCCGAGTAACCACCCTCTACACCGACCCGGATAGCCGGGCGCAGCATGCGCTGAGCTCGCCCTTTGCATACAATCTGGGGTCGGTCTCTGCCTACCTCGATGGAGACCGGATTATCGAGATTGCCAAGAAGGAAGGCTGCCAAGGGATACACCCGGGCTACGGCTTTGTGAGTGGTGTCTCGCTGTATCTTGGCTGCTGGGGTACTAATGGCTCGCGTGATGCCAGCTGAGTGAAAATGCAGCCTTTGCACGGAAATGTACAGAGGCAGGGTTGGTCTTTATTGGCCCGCCCTGGAAAGCTATCGAGGACATGGGAGACAAGAGGTATGCTCGGCCTGGCGCATTTCTTGGAACTATCACTGATGATCTGTAGTCAGTCAAAGAAGATCATGACGGCGGCTGGGGTGCCTTGTGTGCCAGGCTATCACGGTGATAACCAGGATGTCAACTTCCTCGAGGCCGAGGCCGACAAAATCAAGTACCCCGTGCTCATCAAGGCCATCAAAGGTGGCGGTGGTAAGGGGATGCGTATCGCTCAAACCAAGGCCGAGTTCCAAGCGCAGTTACAATCCGCGAAGTCGGAAGCTATGAACTCATTTGGGGATGACCACGTATTGGTGGAGAAGTACATCACTACACCCCGGCACATTGAAGTTCAAGTCTTCGCAGACAAGCACGGAAACAGCGTTGCACTGGGGGAGAGAGATTGCAGTATCCAAAGAAGACACCAAAAGATTCTGGAAGAGTCTCCTGCTCCGCATCTGCCTGCCGCGACCAGGAAAGACATCTGGACCAAAGCCCGATCCGCCGCGCTGGCTGTGGGCTACGAAGGCGCCGGCACCGTCGAGTTCATCTTTGACAACGACACCGGCGAGTTTTTCTTCATGGAGATGAACACCCGACTCCAGGTGGAACACCCTGTAACCGAGATGGTTACCGGACAGGATCTAGTGCACTGGCAGCTCAAGGTAGCGGAAGGCGCCCCACTTCCCTTGACCCAGGAGGAAGTGGAGGCCTACATGGCGAGCCGAGGGCATGCGATTGAAGCGCGAATCTACGCGGAGAACCCTGACCAAGGGTTCATCCCGGACTCCGGCACTCTGCTCCATGTTCGGACCCCCGCAATTACCGATGATGTTCGGATAGATGCGGGTTTCGCCGCAGGCGACGAAGTCTCAGCACATTACGACCCGATGATTGCGAAGCTGATTGTGAGAGGCAGCACGCGAGAAGAGGCAATCCGCAAACTTGCAGCCGCACTGGAGGAGTACGAGATCGCGGGTCCCATCACCAACATTGAGTTCTTGAAGTCCATTTGCAGAAGTTCCGATTTTATCACGGGAGACGTGGAGACCGGGTATATCGAGAAGCACCGGGAAGAGCTGTTCACAAAGGAACCAATTGAACCTGAAGTGTTGGCACAGGTGGCCCTGGCCTGTCTTCACCACGACTCTGACCCGAGATCTCGGACGCAAGCCAGCTTTGAAGGCTCCGCTGTCGGCTTCGGTCCCGGATACCAGGCACGCCAGATTTCGTTCGCAGAACTGACACCCGGAACAAAGAATGACTCGAAGTTTGACGTTCGGGTACAACAAACAGGCGACGATACATTCAACATTGACGTCGGGGGAAGCGTGTTTGAGCAAGTAGTGAGCCATAGCGACCCAGCCTCGAGCGTTATTACCTCCTTCTTCCCGCATACCCGTCTGGACACGACGGTTGTTCGCGATGGGGACACAATCATTGCCTTCCAACGAGGCACGCAGTACCGGTTGACGATCCCGCGGGCCAAGTGGATGGAGAAAGCGCTCGGGATGAAGGACGTCAAAAACAGCGTTCTAGCCCCGATGCCGTGCAAGGTGCTCCGGGTGGAAGTTGCGGCCGGTGATGTGGTGGAAAAGGATCAGCCACTGGTGGTGATTGAGAGTATGAAAATGGAAACGGTCATCCGCAGCCCACACCGGGGAACAATTTCCAAGGTGGTACATCAACAAGGAGTAAGTCACGCGGTCCCCTCCTCTCCCCTGCCCCTTTATTGCCCAGCCAGTCGATCAGGCCTCGTCCCTGTGCGCTTAGCAACGGGTTTGACCCTGGGGTCTGGAGCAGCCAGACCTGTCCAGGTCGGTCAGGACTCCGGGCTCGAAGAGTGAGGCACCGGGGTTTCCCCTTGAAGCCACGGACACGGAAAGCCGGCCCGTGCACAGACCAGACCCTGGGCTCAAGCTTCCATGGTCTTTCCTTCGAGCTTCGAAACCCCCCATCATTGCCATTCCCAGCCGATGACTAACAGGTACCTTGCAGGACCAGTGCAAGAGCGGGACACCGCTGGTTGAGTTCGCGGAAGAGGGCGGTGAGTGAAGGCATACGTAGTCCACGCAGTCATAGGTAGATAGCTCAAATGTATACGAGTCCAGTATCTACAAGTAGTCGGTAGACCATTGGTTTGACCAATAATGAATGGAGTCATACCAAGCACACGAATCAACTGCAATGAATGGCCCCATCCTCATCCCCATCAAATCGGGGCAGAAGACGACGCCCACCGAAGCTCAATTCAAGCCATGTCATGTGGACAACACACACTCATTCTTACTTTTGCCTATCCCCAAAACAGATTATGTTGGGATGGGCATGCCCTCTGGAGGCAAAACAACCGCGCCTGCCAGCGAGTGCAAGTGAGTGATGAAGGGTTAGTAAACCTTTATTTTGATAGTCAATTTGGATGGATCCAGGAAGCAGCCCGCCCCATGCCACCCGAGATGCCCCACATCTCTCCCGGAGGAAAGTGGTTCAGGCTACCACCCCAGCTCCCTGGGCTGTGGGACCCCCATCTTGATTAGTGGGTTTGACGTTTTGTGGAGTGTGGACGGGCCGGGTAGATAAGTATTGTACCATCTATACGGATTACGGTTGGAGTCATGTCAAACCCACACACACACACACATTGTATATATTGGAGTGCAGGGGACTACGACACACTTACATATGTGGGTAGGTAAGTGGGCAATTGACATGAGGGATTGGCTCACATCCTCGGGATCATCTGCATGTTGAAAGTACGTGCAGGTTACTGTTGGTGTTAGAGCGTATCGCACCCATGGTTTGGGGCCGGGGGAGAGTTTGGGTGGTTGGCGCGGCGTCGAGAAGTCAATTCCATCGGGCAATCGATGGCTGATAATACGGGGTAAGGGGACAAAGCGAGGTAGGGTAGGGAGGAATGCATCATCGGATATCTGAGGAGTCCGATGATGGAGTGGAAGGTGGAAGAGTCACACGGGGGGGGGGCGAAGAATCAGGCAGGCGTTGGCTGGGGACTCCACCCGAAGGCAGATCCCGTCTGATCGCTGCATGGCGGTTGGGGCCTGGCCCAGACAACTTACATCACTGCGGCCATGAAGGAAGAACAAAAAGAAAAATCCTCCGTCCAGACCACGGATATTCCTACTGGGATGTGACGGGGATGCGGGCATCCATCGCCATTGAGGGCGATAATCCATTCCTCTCTGGCAGCCAGCCAGTCCCTCAGCTGTTGTCCCTTGGCGTCCCCATTTTCACCGCTACCACTCACATTCCCAGCTCCGTGTTCACCTCCCTGGAGCTGCGTTCTATTCCCAGATCCATTTCCTGTTGATCCCACCGTTTGCCGCCGTGTGTGGACGCATTGTCCTGACCAGAACCCGAATCTGTTATAAGTCCTCTACACCCCTTCTCGACGCAAAGGCGATCCCCAACTCTTTTCTGTCACCCACACGGGTCCACTGTATACAGACACAAAGCAGTACATAAGGTACATATGTCCGCGCGTCCCGTCCATCCCGTCTTCCACCCCATCGCTACCGTGGTCGCCATTCTCCACTACTGACTCCAATCTCATAGTTGTTCCATAGCCGTCCCTCTTTCGGCATACAAAATGTTCAAATCCGTGGTCGCTCGTCAAGCCGCGAAGGCAGTCTCCCAATCCTCCGCATCTACCGCGCGACCGGCCCTGAACACCTTCTTCCGCTCCCTCTCCTCCACCGCTTCTCGCGCCAATAATGACAATGAAAAGGTCAAGAAGGATCCGTTCCTGTCGGCCACCACCAAAGCTCCCGATGACACCCTCGAGACAGAAGGCCGCTTCGCCCGGACAGACGAGAGGGTTAAGATCGAATACCCCGATGACTCGCATATGCCCCGTTCGCCGATCGTGCAAGGCCGTGGTGGGATGCACTTCAAGCGCACCCTCGCTCAATTTTCTCTAGAGAACAGGGTCACCCTTGTGACCGGGGGTGCTCGTGGGTTGGGTCTGGCGATGGCCCAGGGCATCGTGGCCTCGGGATCCGATCTTGCTATTGTCGACCTAAACAGTACGCCATTACCCTATCATCCACGTAATTGGCCAAGTAAGACTAATAATGTTCTACAGAGGAGGAAGCCCAAGAACAAGCCCAAGGGCTTGTAGAGCAGTTCAGGAAGGAAAACCCGGGGTTAGAGCCAGATCAGTATGTCAGTTGATCGCGAATCTCAAGGATTGACGGCTAATCACATATCAGGCTACCCAGTGTCACCGCTCACTACGCCGACGTGTCGAATCCACAATCCGTGAGTGCAGCTATCGAAGAGGTCATCGCAAAGCATGGCCAGATTGACCACCTCGTCACCTCCGCTGGTTTCGCGGAGAACTTTGATGCGATCTCCTACCCCTATGATCGCATCAAGAAGCTGTGGGGCGTCAATGTGGACGGGACATACCTGTTCGCGACTGGTGTCGCGAAGCACTTGATGGAGCGCAATGCTTCCGGCAGCATGGTCATGATCGGTAGCATGTCCGGTGCCATAGTGAACATCCCTCAACCACAGAGCCCCTACAACGCTTCCAAGGCAGCTATCCGCCAGCTGGCTGCATCCCTCGCCGTCGAGTGGGCTTGCTACGATATCCGCGTCAACTGCATCAGCCCTGGATACATGCTGACCGCTCTGTAAGTGTCCCGCACGCATGAAGCACGCTGGGAAGCGGCCACTAACATGATGGCTATAGCACCCGCAAGATCCTAGACGAGAACCCCGAGCTTCGCGACAAGTGGATCTCGCTCATCCCCACCGGCAAGATGGGCACGCCCGAGGATCTGATGGGCGCTGTGACCTTCCTCCTCAGTGATGCTTCCCGCTATGTTACGGGCACCGATCTTCGCGTTGACGGTGGTTACACCCTGACCTGATTCAAACGTCCTGGTTTGATTTGATTTGATGTTTTCCTACGCGACATGATTTACGGAATTTTCTAGTCTTGGTTTGGTAATATAGACCGGTGTGTTGCTTATTTTTCTAGTAGCGTGTCCATTCAATCGTCCTGTTATTAAGCTCTGCAATGTTTTTTTTTTTTTTTTTTTTTTTTTTTTGTTTCTTGATCCCTGACTCTGTTACCGATAGGTCGGTGAGACAGAGACAGATCAGACCCATCGCGTTGCACTGTGACGAATAGTTCTTTTTCTTTTGATTTTCTCTGATTTGATTTGGTGACTGGGACTCTCTCTCCCCCGACGAGTACAAAAAATCACCACTGCGATAGATTTGGCGCTGTATACCCATGATGTCATTGTCATATTCCTTTAATTGACCGTTGTCCCTGTACACAGACCAAGATCATGGAAATGGATTGTCATAACAGCCAGTCTTATCAATCTCATCGAATCACATCGAGGACCGTTTATTTACAGTCTGATATAGTAACCTTATGGACATTAGTAAATGGTATGTTGTGTTGTAGTTATGGGTTGTTGTCCCTGTTGCATGTCATGAAAATGTGGAACACGATCTACGCCCTCCCCCCACACACATGATATACTATATTAGTTGTTCTGGAAACAGTGGGGAAAGCCCCGTCATCTCTACAGTCCACAGTACTATGTATACTTACTAGATACCTACCTATGTACGTTCAGTTACCAGATCAGGTAATCAATGTATCAATTCCTAGAATGATGATATAAGAAAGGTCTGATTCTACGATACTGCTGCGCAGGCAGCTGGGCTATATAGACATAGAATCAGGCAGAAACAAGGCATACATGAAGTCATATATGGGGTCATATATGGGCTGATTCAGGTGATCGTCGGGGTTACGTCAACCAAGGGGCAAAAAACCAACTGTTCCGTTATCATGCCAAGCCCCCATTCCAATCAATACAATGTAATGGCTAGGAACTTGTAAAATTGTGATACAATAATGAAGTCTGATTCTACAGTACTGCAGGCAGACTATATAGATATAGAAACATGGCAGAAATCAGGCAAACTTAACATGAACCTATAGCGAAACCGGCCGACCGCTGAGACACGAGACAGGGTGAGCGGATGAGCCATTGAAGCTCCATACTTTTTGTCGGCAAGCTCATCATACCTTACCAACTGAACCTGGTAGATCTGGATAGAGTTTCGAATAACCTAACCAGATACAGGAGGCGGTAGCAAGCGCTTATATGTATATCCATAACTAACCCAACCAGTACGCAATTAATATTCCTGGCCGAAACCTCCAGCTATCCTACTCCTATCCATCTACGGAGTACATCTCTCTACCCATCACGACAATCCAACCCTGACACCTCTCCCACCCTCGAAAATGTCTAGCACAGACTGTCTGCGTACGTTATCTATCTACCTAATAGACTGCATATTGCAGTAAACAAGCACTTGAACCAACTACCCACACCTACACATACACATATACATGCACATGCTGACACTGTACGTACAGAGCCCCCCCTCACCCCACCCCAGCGCGAAATCGTCAAGAGATATGGCGGATGGACCCAGTTCATGCATAGTTTTGGGCTGAAGCCTTGGGATGAAGAGGATGCTGAGGAGGGGTTGAGGATTCTGGTTGCGTTTGAGCATGATGATGATGAGTAGAAGAGGGGGGGGTGTCAAACCTAGTATCATTCAGTATCATGCCTACTCAGGTGTCTGGACACCTTTTTAGTCGAGTGGTCTGTTTGGTCTGTCAGGAGAGAAGCTTGGGACGGATGTCTAGTTATAATCCAGGTAGGGTTATTTCAGGATGATGGCATCTGGATATCGTGATTGCCGGGATATGGCTCCAGCAGTTAGAATCCATATCAGAAATAATGGATGTGCTTTGTTCGGTCTTTTTACTTACCATGTTGACTTGATTTACTACCTACCGTAGTATGAGGTGAATGCTTGATTGAGACACCCGACACCCGGGGGAGCCTAACCATCCAATCAACGCAAGAGAGGGGGGGAGGGGGGGGAAGGCGTGGGCGGGAATTTCAGAGTGAGATTGACACTGACACTGACACTGACACTTATCTTGTCGAACTAAATTACTTCCATTATCCCTGGATTCCTGGAAATCTTCAATCCCCAAGGTCTCACAATCTTCGCTGTCTATCGACTAACGCAGCCAAAACCACAACAACCTAACTGTGACACTTATCAAGTTTACCAAAATGTCTAGCATGGACTGTCTACGTACGCTATGCCACTGGACACACTGCCATGAAATAAGCACTGTACTAACCACAGACACATCCTATACAGAGCCCCCTCTTACCCCGCCCCAGCGCGAAATCGTCAAGAGCTATGGCGGATGGACTCAGTTCATGCTTGCCTTTGGATTGAAACCCTGGGAACGAGAGGATGAGGAGGAGGGACTGCGGATTTTGGTGGCGCTCACAGATAATGATGACGATGATGACGAGGAGGATGAGGATGAGAATTAAAGTGAGGGTTGATTGTACGATGATGGGGTGTCCTGCAACTCGATGCTGACAGATGGAAAAGAGGGTAAACTCGTCCCTGGAACTGCATATGAGGCAGAGATAGATCGCTAACTGTGGGTACTAGGTGCCTGGTTGTGTTGGCTATCATAATGCTGGGTATAGATGGGAGTTACGGATGGATGCAGTTGTTTTGAGATAGGCAACAGACTTGAAGATGATACGTAGTACACCGAATAAACGAATTTCCGGATCTAGGCCCGGATATCCAACCAAACAGGTACATTGTTAAGGTAGACAGACATATAATTGTTGCTCTATCTAGTCTTCCTTCCTCGATAATGAAAATCCCGCCCGAAGAAAATCCGAACCCGAACCCGAACCCGAAACAGCCATCCAAACCCAAGAAAACAATACAAAACAAAACAAAACAAAAACCTGTAAGAATTAATAACCCAATAAGAAAGAAACCCCCTTTATGCACTTATATTTGTTCCCCCCCCCCCCCCCCCCCTCTCCGGTTCGAGCATACTTTTGAGATCCGCCCAATTTTCAGATCCCCATCCATCCATCCATCCATCCATCCATCCATCACATGCACGCACGCTATATCCGATGTCCCAATTTACAGAACACCCACCCACCCACCCACACAAGCACAAGTGAAACCCCAGATAACCAGGCAAGGTAGGTAGGTAGGTAGGTAGGCAAGCTATGTTAGCTGGCTGTCGGGTAAGCCGATGCTAAGCTTTTCGCGCGCCGTCGATCGTGTTTTGTGCCGGGAAACGAAATTAGATTGTGCGTGCGCCTTGGGTCGCGGGATTGCTTGGTTTGTGGGATTACTTAATTTATAAGATTGCTTGGTTCGTGTCGTGGGAATTGCTTATTTCATAAGATAGGCGGTTGAAGGGAAAGCTTGGTTTTGGGTGAAGATTAGGTATTATGGGATGGGATGAGATGGGATTGCTGGCTGGGAATTGGGGCTTGTTGAAGATTGAGAGTAGGTAGGTACTCTGTAACTGGTAGGGGGCTCTGGGGGGGTCTCTCTCGCCTTGCTTTGCTTTACCTAGCTATAAGTAGCGGTTGCTGTTGCTGTTGCTGTTGCTGTTATGGAATGGAATGGAATGAAATGAATGGTTGCTGGCTCTGGTACGCTCGTGACAGCGATTCATGATCATCGCCAAGGAAGTCTTGTTGATGTTGCACGATCTATAACATAACATGACATAACATAACCAGGACACACAAATGGCCTCGTAGGTAGTAGGTAGTAGGTAATAGGTAATAGGTAGTAGGTAGTATATCTCTATCTCTTTATATCTATCTATCATCCAACACCTAAAAACAGAAAATCATAAAACATCGTCGAAATCTTGATTCTTTACACATATATGCATCAGCTTCGCTTCACTCTATTTCCTCGATGGTGGCCTTCTCTTCCAAGACCCGCTCCACAGTCCGGTCTCCGACAGGGAGGGTTTTCGACATGGACACGGCAGCGAAGATCGAGGGCGCGTCGCGGAAGATCTCATCCAGTTCTTCGAGGGACCGGCCCTTGGTTTCGGGGTAGAAGAGGTAGATGACGGGAGGGATGAGGCCGGCGATGACGGCGTACACGATGTAGTATCGGTAGCCGATGTCGTCGATGGCGACGGGAGTGATCATTGCGACGACGAACATCCTGGAAGGAAGGGAACGGGTTAGCGGGGATGGATTGATGAGGAAGAGGGGAGGAGGAAGGACGTACCAGAGCCATTGGTTTGCAATGGAGATGGCTTGCATGGCGACACGAAGACGGGCGGGTGCAACTTCAGCCGGGTACAGGAAGTTGGCACCGAGGAAGCCGACGGGGAGGAAGAAATTGTAGATGAAAATGAACAGGGCCGAGATGATGGAGGCGGTATGGTTGTTGGAGAAAGAGTTGGAAACTGCCAGCGCCACCATGCAGATGGCCATGCCGCCGCCACTGACCATGAATGCGCTGCGCCGTCCCATCCGGTCGATGATAGCGAAGCCAACGAAACAGGACAGGAATTTCCACGTCAGCGCACAGGCAGCCAGGATCTTGGACAGACTGGCGCCCAGTCCGAGGTCCGTCTCGAAGATCATGGGGATGTAGACTGAAATCAGGGTACCGCCGCTCATTTGCTGGAAGAACTGCAGGGTGAAGCAGAGCAGGAACCGGTATAGGAGCTTTTCCTCTCCCATGGTGAAGATGTCCTTCAGCCTCAGGTTGTTGTTTGAGGAGTCTTCCAGGGAGATCTCGTACCCGCGAAGCTCGGCGACAATTTCAATCGAGTCGATCCCTTTGCCTCTCAGACGCGCAAGCGTAGACTGAGCTAGGTCGGACCTGTTCTTCATGACCAGCCAACGAGGAGACTCCGGGAGGAAGAAGATGCTGCCCATGATGATGAAAGAAAACAAGGCCGGGATGGCAAGGGAGCCCCTCCAGGCAGCAGCAGAGTACTCAATCTGATAGAACCCGAAGTTGACCCACTGGGTCAGAGCAAAGCCGAAGGCGATGAACATGCCTGTGAGCACCACGTTTCGTCCTCTTTGAGCAGCAGGGGAACACTCGGACTGCCAGACCGGCACCGTGGCACTCAGCATGCCGACACCGAAACCCAATACCACTCTCCCGACCACGAACTGGGCCAGAGAGTATGCAGTACATTCGAGTGCTTGACCAACCAATGCAATGGTTGCTCCTGAAAAGATCGTGCGGCGACGACCGAGGATATCACCAACAATCATGCATATCAGGGAGCCGAACAGCGCACCAATTGTGTAGCAAGCTACCACGGCGCCTTGGACGGTGGCATTGTGAGATTTCTGATTGCCAGTTGTGTTTATTGTGTCGATCTCCGGGAAGATCTTGACCCACGAGGGGAAATCATCGAGACCTCCAACACCAGATTGATTGTAACCGAAGAGGATAAAGGCGGGACAGGCGACCAAGAAGATTTGAGCGTAACGAAGTGCTGGGCCCTGCATGATGCTCAGTGTCCTACAGCCCAAGAGACTTGGAGATTTGCACGAGGGACACTGGAGAGCAGATGGTAGAGGATTGAAAAAGAAAATGCGACTGCGGCCTCTGCCTCTTCATGGGGTCAGCTCGTAGAAAAGTAAAAGTCCCCAGGCACTAGTCCCCAGAAGTACTCAACCCCTCGTGGGGGGTTGTGGAGGTGTACATGGGCTGATGACCTTCAGCCAGCTGTTTCACCCCTCTGGGCATCGGACTGCTGCCGACCGACCTGGCCGGGGGTACCGTCCAGCAGTGGCCCGTAGTCCCGCAAACAAGAGCGACCACAGGTAGATGAACGGGAGCAGCGATGCCGACGGCCGGGTGGCTGCCCAGCACGGGGTACGGCAGGGAAAGGCGATACCTCGCAGTCTCACCGGAGAGGTGGCCCTCAACAGTACGGCGTATGCGTCTCGTAATGGCATCGATATTCCACCAGTCGCCACATGGCTAGGCCCGATGCTTATCATCCTTTTCGCAGTGTCGTACTAGCGGCAACCCCCCCGACGGCCGGGGTCCCGGTTAGTCGGGTTTAGTCGTGGTTGGGCGCCCGTCGATTGGCCAGGGGCTCCTGGGGCACGCCAACCATGGTTCCATTATCTCCGCAATAAGCACCCCAGGCTTTCTAGCCCCGCGTCCTGGATGTCCAATAATACGCTGATACCAGTTCGGTATCGAGGGCTGGAATCCATTCTCCGAAGAAGAAGGCGACGGATGTTGTCCGATGTGCCCATCCACTAACAGCCGTCCTTTTTGGGAGAGGGTTGGTTCAAGGGGTTGATTGGGAGGCGGCTATACTAAGGTTAGAACAGCAGACGCAGTATGAACTCATGGGGGGGAGGCTCACTCTGTGTTACTTTGTCGACAGTTCATCCATGCATCCCGCGGCCCTAGTGTGTAGGAGGGATGTGGGCATGCATGCCTTACCTCCACCCCACTGGTGACGGTCCATTCCATAGATGTAGGCAGTACGGAGTAGTAAATGGTAGAGAATTTCCTTCCCCTGACCCAGCTGAAGCGGTCAGGCCATCTGGTCGGAACCGTGGAAGATGTCATATGCCGCGTGACACGGCGAATCCCCACCGCGGCTAACAAACAGTCGCTCAGTCAGCAGTCCAGGATCTGGCCAAGAGCGGATGGTCCGATCGGGGGTGTCAGAGTCTCGGAGTTTTTCCCAAGGGCCTGGCAATGCTTAGCTTTGCTTGGGGTTTGCCGTGGCCATTCCGCTGCCACTCAATGGCCAACGCCATTGCGGTATTTATTGATCGCCCTTCTCGACACCTCCTGGCCCATGGTTACCTGCGTGTTGGTGTAACCAGTTCAGCGAGCTCAGCTGATGCTTTCTTTGCATTCCTGAATTATTTGTCGGAGTACCCAGTATCTAACTAACTAGTAGTCGTCGGGTTTGTAATGTCATCCTGCATGACCAATGCATAACAGCAGGGGGTGGGACAGAAAACCCCGCCGAGGCAATTTAGCCGGGCTCGCCCAATGGCTTTCTTTTTGAGGCTTACACTGAAACCCACCCAGTCGATCCTCCACCTGCGGTATCTGAGCTGTTTCGGGGGGGAAAAAAATTGGGCGGGCGATAAGACAGGACGAAAAACATCGCACATCGAGTTGGCGGAATTTCCTCATAGGATCAGGCCAGAGGCATACCTAGATACTGTGCGTGGGGCATGGTGAGCAAGGGAGAATCAAGGCGCACTGCCGGTAAGCGACAGTCCGCGGGTAAGCAATTACACCCCGAGCAGGCTAACAGTAAGTAAACAGCCGGCATCGTCCCATCTTCACAGTCTAGGTAGGTACCGCTTCCTGCAGTGCGCCATTTCCCAACAAATGTAAGGAGCGCCAGGCGCACTAATATTACTAATGGTCTGGCCTTCTCTCGCTTCTACTCCGTACGGATTCTACCTATCAGAACAAATTCTATCCCCCAGAAGACGCCACGCAGCCACTGTCCTCTTGAGCAACAGCCTTACCGGGACGCCGATGCTTACAGCCCCCGGGGACCCCTCTTCATGTTTTATGCTCCTTCGAGCTTTCTCGGGTGACCTGCCGGCAAATCTCACCTCACGTCTGACCTGCCTTGGGGCTTAAGATCCGTCTCGTCACATCTGGTTCTAGGTACTCAGTCCCTCGTAACTTGCGACCCGATTCGAGGGGACTCTTTCAAGGAGACACCCACCCATGAGGGACGGATATGTGAGGATGGCGCAAAAGGCAGTGCGGGATGACTCGGGCCCTCTGCCAACATGCAGCCACCCCACCGTAACCTGTTATGAGCTGGCGAATGGTGTCTATCAAAATGTTGCACGGCGCAGATCCGGCAGTGAGAGATAGCGCATGTTGCTTATCTGGATGCAACCATCCCTCAGAGGGCAGAGCAGGGCTTCTCACAACACGAACGTGTGTATGAGAGGTTCCGCTGTGGGCTTCGATGTAAGCAACCTTCGGACGCAGGGATGGCACTTCCTGAATAACTAGTGGCCTGGGTGACCAGTGACTGTCTGTTAATGATGGGTCATCTTTCGAGAATCGGCTTGGTTTGATTGTAAGTTGTAAGTAATGTACCGGTATTCCCGATGAGGCAACCCGGATGAGACGGTCTAGACTAAGTAGTACTCCGCAAAGCCCGATTGTTTAAAATTTGCTCAACAACGTCAAGTATACTACCTCAGTACTGCAAAGTCATTACCAAGTTGGAAGGAGCAAATATCTAGGTATACATATCACATACCTAGGTATAGCAAGTTATAATTCGAGTATATCAAGGATTGGCCCTGCTTCTTAAATCTGCAGGTACAAATGAATATTTCGGTAGATATTGGATAATAACCAAGACCCTGAACACTATTCTGCAGTCATAATATCCGAGATGTGGGCCTTGAAATTAGCACTGACTGATAATATCTGAAGCATCTCTTTGCGGTGAAGCATCTGTAGGTATGGAGGGCAGTGAGCACGCACAGGAAATCTGAGCCCCCTAAGCGAACTTACACCGTCAATCTATTACAAAGGTAACAAACAACAATAAGTTTTTTTTAAAAAAAAAAAAGCGGGTTGAACCTTGGAAGGGAAATTTACAGCCTCGCTTTGGGACGGCAGGGTCAATGAGGGAGGGGGTTGGTTTCTTTACCCCGGATTTATAGTACCCCGCAGCCCCGTCCGTCCCCGTCCGCTCTCTCGCGGTCATTTCCGCAAGCGAATCTGGCGGCTGGCGGTCGGTGGTCACGTCACTGATCGTCCTGCTCATGGCTCCCACGCCATGTTTCTTTTACCTTTTTACCAGGGCACCGCGGTCTTCCATGCTATGCGTTGGGCAGCTGATGGACAATCAATCGGGCCGGCCGGCTGGCCCCAGTAATCGCTGTTCCATGGGCCATGCATGCATGCATGCATGGGTGGAAGGACACTGACTTACTAGGGAGGTACCTCTCTCCTTTTCACGCATGCATTGACTTCCGTCATCAGGTAGGTAACATTGCTAAGACTAATCATCGTATGTCTCACTCTCGACTGAGCGGGGGCCTCACATCACAGCCATCGGAATCTTTCCGGGTAATCAGCCCCCGGTGCCGCCGGACAATCTCTTGGAGCGCTCATCGCAGAACCTGAACGTGCACTGAATGATCTCCGGCTCGGTGGTCCTGGGAGCAAAAGGCCTATCTACCTATGGGACTGGCAGTGAGTGCTCTTACACTGCGTGTTCTGTGCCCAACAACAACAACTACTACTACTCATGATAAGTCAACAATTGATCCACACTACCTATGCGACAGAGATAGGATTTCCTTTCCTATCAACGAAGAGACTCAGATGACTTTATGTTACTATCTATCTGACTCTAGGCTTCCCCGGTGGAGAACATGGAATCTGAATTGCAGCGACGCCTATTGTCCATCCCAGCCCTATCATCCTCTGCAGCCAGTCCGCCCGAGCGGATGGTACCACTCTTACCTTTACATATATCTTAATAACTCCATCATCACCAATCTTATCCCCAACTCAGGGATTCCGGCAATCATCAACGAAAAACTGACTATGCACAAAACGACTTGGCTTCGGTTTCCCAGGCAGACCTGTGGCTGCAGCAGCCCCAACATGACTGATGAAACCCATCTAATCTGCATGCGAAAACCCCGCCCAGATTTTTCAAGTAGGTAAGCTAGCTATCCTGTCAACGAAATTACTGACTCAGGGTCAGGCGGACCCTTCATATATATATATATATATAACTATATATTTCACCCTCGACAGTTCCAGGATATTGTATTGGAGATCTCATAGTATGAGTTTACCGCTAAGGGCATAAATATAAATATCGACAAGCTTGATGCATAGAGAAGAGTATGTGCCGTATATTGACATTATTTGAAGAAAGCAAGATATCTTTTCGAGGTGAATATACCCGGGACACTACAGAATGACTCCAGCTAGTTAATCTGACGAATGATCAACAGGGGCAAACAGCCAAGAGAGCCTAGCCTGTAAGGGACTAGCTAAAAACAAGCAGTGTTTATCAACACATCACCGCGTCGCGAACCAAACCAAATTAAAAAAAAAAAAACACTGGTGCATCGCATGAGCATGTGCCGAAGCTGACTGGCTAAAGCTCCAAGTCAGGAGTGACTGTGTTACACCCCTCATGCCAAGACCAGCCAGCCAGCCAGCCTGCCAGCCTGCCAGCCACGTCAACTCTTGGATGGATGGGTCGGTTCAGTATTAGCTACTTATGTACAGTATACTCTTTATGAATGAGGAGGATCTGTTTGCGCAATGAGATAAGATATTCTGTGCTCCGCCAACCTCACTGGTATGTTGAAGAAAGGTGACATGTACATAAACAAGTCTGCATGATTCATGTTTACTGTACTATAGCATACTTGAGTATGTAGTAGCGGGACTTGTCCCTGATTCATTCCCCTGTATGTGGGGGGGGGGGGGGGTCCATATTTCGTGCAGATCAGCGGATGCGGGGAAGGGGGAAGCCGGGACCCGGTGATGGATCCCTTGATTTCGTAAGCTCATCCCGGTCTCATGAATAGCTGTATGTAGCTGTTGTCAGTTGCAGTGTACCTAATCCAGCTGATAGACATGTCAGCTGCATTACTAGGGGAATTGATAGTGTTATAAGCTAGCCCCCCCCTGCGTATTGGCGGACCGGAACATTCTTGGCCGCTATACAGCGGATAGAATGTGGATCCCGCCATCACAGCGCACCCTCTTTCGGACAAAGCCCCGCAGGCCAAGCCCTGATAGCTTGGACTTGAGCTGGTTTATTGCAAATTTGAAGCTCGGCTGAGGAGGCCAGTGCCTGGCTTGACTATTGGCATGCACGGGACCACCACAGGGTCTGTCTGTATATGCATGCCGTATGTGCAGCCCGGTTGATCCATCTTATAACACATAAATAGGTCCGTTGCGCCAGATGAGCTCAGTCCCCGAGAGGGAAGCGTGGGTTACCTTCCCTGTTTTGAGCCATCGGCTGCAGCTTGTATCATGCGTCTTTTCGGGAGCCTGGTAGCCACGCTACCCTTCTCTCTGCTGTCTGCTGCGATTTCCTTTGACGGAGAGCCGGATGTTAACAGCAGTGCGGTGGAGCGGCATATGCAGTCTCGCTCTGCGATGATCACGTTGGAGAAGAGACAGCGGCAGGGTCAGTATAGCTCAATTCTTTTATGGTGGGATCCTGACTGACACGACCAGATCATGATTTCCGGCAGAATCTGTCCCCGGTTGCTCAGCAGGCAGACACCATTGTCGAGGCTATCCGACGGTATGAGACCGAAAATTACTGGCGGGTAGCTGGAACACCCGAGGATGAAGAAGCCGAGAGGTTTGCGGGCGAGGTCTTTCCGAAAGCTAAGCCACTTATTCCTGCCACGCAGCTGTGGAATATCATCAAGCGCATGCCGAAAGGCGCCCTTCTGCATGCGCACCTTTCCGCTATGTTCCCGTTCGAGACCATCCTCGACATCATAATGAACACTGAAGGAATGGTTATCTCGGCCTCGCAACCTGTTCTGACTGAGGCAGAATGGGCGAACGCAACTATCGCATTTGCGCACGTCAATCACACGATCGCTGCGTCGGGCCCATCAATCGACTCTGTGGACTATGTACCAAACACACAACTCCCTATCCAATATGCGGCATCCTCCTTCTCGGGAGGGGAGACAAACTTTACAGACTTTGTCATGTCCAAGTTGGAGATTCCACCACAGGAGTCAATCCGTCACGAGCTTGGCGTTGACGAAATCTGGCGAATCTTTCAAGCATGCTTCGGCCCGGCTGACACTATGTTGAGCTATGAGCCTGTTGTGAGAACTTTCTATCAGAGGCTCTTTGGGGCTTTGAAGGACGACGGCATCAACTGGGTTGAGATCCGCGCCGGAGGGTCAAGCGGTAAGCTGGTGCACGAGGGCGAGGAGGTTGTGGATCCAGATCTTGACATCTGGTGGCAGGTAATGGTCGACGAGCTGGACAACTTCAAGAACAGTGATCAGGGGAAAGATTTCTGGGGCGCGCGAGTCATCTGGTCTGACACCAGGAGCAAGGATCGTGCGTCACTTACGAAGAGTAGGTCGTTCATGCTATGTGAGCTGATATAGAAGCTGTCTTTGCTAAGATGTCCGGACCAGGTATGAAGATTGCCCTTGAGCGAAAGACCAAATTTCCCGAGCTCTTCAGTGGCTATGATGTGGTGGGACAAGAAGACCTTGGGCGTCCACTTGCCGACATGGCACCGGAGCTGCTCTGGTTCCGAGAACAGACAGACGAGCTAAACCTTACGGTCCCCTTTTTCTTCCATGCCGGAGAGACACTTGGGGACGGCAATTCGACCGATCTCAATCTTGTTGACGCAATTCTATTCAACACCCGCCGGGTCGGTCATGGCTTCAGCTTGTATAAGCACCCAAAGCTCATCGATGAGGTCGTCGACAACGCCATCATGGTCGAAGTTTGTCCTATCTCAAATGAGGTCCTCCGCTTGGCGACCGATATTCTCCATCACCCGTTGCCAGCCATGATCGCGCATGGAATTCCCACTGCAATAAGCAACGATGATCCCGCCATCCTTGGCCAGGATGCCGCCGGACTAAGCTATGACTTCTATCAAACCATTCAGGCTTTCGATAACCTTGGCCTGGCCGGATTAGTCAGTATCCCGTCATTACTTTCTGTTCTTTCTGGGCATGACTAACACTTTTGTGCAGGGAGCACTCGCGCAGAATAGTCTCCGATGGGCCAATTTTGAGGATCAGTCCGATGGAGATTGGCTGCGGGATATCGACCTCGGTGAGCACGGTACCGGGACCAAAGCGACATATATCCAAGCCTGGAACGAGCAATGGGAGTCATTCTGCCAGTGGATTGTGGACGAATACGGAGTTCAGTGGAACGTGACGGCCGGACTCTGAATGGAGAAGAATCAGTTAGCGACAGACCTATATAGCATCAATTAGAATGCCAGGCGCCTCCAGACGGGTTCCGCAATTTCGAAGAGACAGTGGCTAGAAAGCATTTCTTAAGTGAGGCCAAGGCAATGACACGGGCCTCTACCAAACCTCGGAGCCGCTGAGGCCCGGCACTTAAACGACTCTATACGAATGAGCGGAAAATTCATCCGATATGGGTTGAGGGAATTGAGCCCTTGCGGCCCGAGCCTAAATAAAACCCCGCTACGAACCAAGTTCCGGTAGAGCCAAAACGGCCGACTGTACTCCAGAAGCTTGCCCGATAGCAGGTGAGTGACCTGCTTCCGTGCATATTCTCTCCTTCAATATGTAAGTCGTCTCGCGCTAAGGTTGAGTTGTAGAGGTAGCCTGGACACGTGTGGATATGGTCAAGAGCTGCCTGTTTGTCACACTGTAGATCAATGCAGACAGCGGCAACCGAGTCTCCAGGGCCACGAGGTGCCCGGCTTTACGGACATCGAAGTACAGCCAAACCAGTGTCGCTGGATTAGATCCCGAAAGCTCTGGAGATGTAACACTTAGTGCGCAGGTGGGTAACGAGGCGCGATGGCGGAAAAGAGGAGATAGACCACGCTTAGATCCGATGGCAGAGAGAATCTCCGAGAAACTTCTGCATAACTAAACCAGCAGGAACCCATTGTCCCACTCAAGTATTGCAATGGTTGCAATTGTCAGAGCGATGGCGCCCCGAAGAGCCAATAACGCGAGCTGCAGGATGGCTGACAGGCAGGTGGTGGGACTCTGATCCCAGATTGTGGCAGGTAAGCTGAGCTGAGCTGACCTCACCTCGTGTAAGTAGTTAGTTAGCAGCACAGGAGCTTAGTCAGGGATGGCCACAGGCAAACATCTCATCAGGCATCAATGGCGCCCCCCTGCCACTTGGTCCTTTCAGCCTCGGCGCCTTGCAAGGCCAAAATCCCCCAGGAGGATCGATTAGCCGGTCTCTCGCTAGTTAAAAGCCTCTCAGCTGGCCCTGAGTCACGGGGAGCGCTACTAGTAGTTAATCCCTGATCAGTGCCGAAACAGTGATGGTGTTGTGTTGCTGAAAGGAATAGTCCAGCATCCCTGCGGAACATCCGGGTAAAAGATGATCTGACACCTCATTCATTGTCATCGTATCTTGCCGGCTGGCCGGATTATTGGCAGTGATTTGGATGTAGCTGCGATTCCCTGTGACCTGGGCAATGTGGCGATGGTTTCTTTTGCGCGGCACCTTCACCGTCACCATGACTGGGCAGCAGCGGTTAGCCCCCGGGGTCATAGGGCAGCAAAATGGACAGGTCCAAGATGCTCTGGAATGATTCCCCCCCTCCGAAGGCAAACCGTCCGGGGCTGCGAATAGCTAGCTGCCTGGATGGGCCCGTGGGGTCACCTGCTCCAGGCTGCTGCAGGCTGGAGATCCCCGGCCTGTCTTCAGTCCTGCCCTTGCAGCTGATCCCTTCCCCGGGCCTTCCCACCAACCATCGCCGTCTTCAAATACAAAGAACTCCCCTGGCTTGCCAGCGGCCCTGTTTGTCTTTCTGCTGTCTCTCGTCGTCGTTCATTCTTCCCGTCCCTCGCCCCCCTCCCCCACCCCCTGCGTTTGCCCGGCCATCTTGCCCCTCGCCCCCTCAATTCACCGCCAGACGCAACACTGACAACATTCACCGGCCGGTGCTGACGCTGATCTCAACTCCCTCCCCGCCCAGATGCTCTCTCTGACCATGTAGCTGCCTGGCGCAGGCAACATATTGCAAGCCTCGTCTTACCTCCGCGCCTGAACCCCGTCTGGGTACTTCTCGCCATGGAGAGGCTTCCCGAGGGGCTGCTGTCCACCGCGACGAAGGTATCGACGGAGATGGACGGGATGGGGGCGGTCGACATCGGTGACGTCGTGCAGCTTTGGAGAGGTGCGCATGTCCGCGCCTTCCCGCGTAACAAGTCTCACCGTACAGCAGTCTACAGCACCAACCCTTCCGCGCACCATGACGATCTGGGATACCGCCTCGAGAACCTATTCTGGAGGATTTGGAGTAGCCATTGCCTACACCACACTCTCCAGGGGTCGACACTGGCCACCCTCTTCCTGCACATTTCGGAGCCCAGCTCACTCTGTCTTGAAGACTTGAATAAGGTGAGCGCGCCTCGGGACTTGCTTGGTGGACGAATCTTCTAACCCCAGCAGGCGGAGAAGGAAGCGCGGGCGTCCAAAAAACACAACGAAGAGAAGCCCATGGGAAAGTCCACCACTGGCAACGTCAAAGCACCACTTCATCCAATCCTCAAAAAGCCTCGTAACGGGGTCCCCAACGGCGAGCCGCACAAAACGACTCGTCTGCTTCTGACGGGCATCGACGGTCAGAGCACCACCCGCAAACCATCGTACCCCCTTACCCCGGTGCCACCGGCCGTGCCCACGATGGGGGACACTGCCCCTCGGCAGACGCAGAAGAAAGCGTTTGTTGTGGCGAGCAAGGCCAAACATATCAAGCGTCGGCCGGTACTCCTGCGACGCAAGTCCTCGCAGCAGTCGTCCAGTACCAATTCTACCCGTGCCCAAAGCCCGCAGCCGAATCCACCATCGCTGACTCTAGACCTTACTGAAAAATACCCCACGACGGAAGAATGTAGTGTGTCGCAGACTGTTGATGGTAAGTGCATCCACACATGAGACTTCTAGAAACGTACAGTGCTTACTCTGGTCAGAACTGGCTACCTTCCTTGAGGATACCAAAGACGAGCCTTCCGATACAGTTGCTCCTACTGAGAAAGAGAACCCTGGTCATGCAGAGATCCCCCAGGACACGGGAAAGCCCCAAGACGAGCAGGGGCCCTCAGAAGAAAAAGCGCACCAGGTTGAAGAGAATCCCGTCCTGCCTGAGGACTTTGTATCCGATCTGGTGGAGCTCCTTGACATTGACCGTCCACCGGAGGTGCATGTCCCACCGCCACGACCGCGGTATCGCGGGTTTTATTTCATCAAGCCCACGCTCCCTAAGCCGAACTTCTTCTCGTATAATGCGCTCCGTCGCTTGGATCCACGATTCCTATATACGGAGAACTATGTACAGCCATCATCAATGAAGCTAGTTGACAAGAACTTTCGGCAGCGGTTCTCCGAAAGAGTACGCCAGGAGCAGATCATGTTTTCTACCCTGGGGGCTCCTGAACCCGAATCCGAACCAGCAGCAAGGCCCCCCGAGCCGATCCGGGCAGAATCCAGCAGCACCATCATCACCAATGACACGCCATCACCCTCTCAATTTGGGGACTCCCATGGGAATGTATCCACGGCGCCAAGCTCCGCCATGCCGCTGCAGACACTCTCCCTCGGCAGTGGCTCGGACTTTTCCACCGACAGCCAGGGCACCCCGGAGGAGGAGGCGCCAGCTCTAGCGACCCCGATTTCGGGCCCGCCTGGACCCAGTCAACTCAGCGTGATGATTGAGCGTAGCCGACACGAGGGGACGGAGGAGAACGCGCAGATCCGCTATCGCCCCGAGGAAAACCAGCAGGAGATTGATGAAATCCTATTCTAGTCAAACAGACACAGCCAGACAGCTGAAATGAGAAAGCAATATGCAACATAACATGACTTCAAATAATCTTCTTAATCACCGCACGAGTACAGGGTAGTGTAGTCCAAGCAAGTCCATAATACAAAATCATATCCCTCCCTCCCTCCCTCCCTCTCTCCTCACAAACCGACCCCTTCCCCTTCCCCCACCCCCCATCATCAAACCCCTCCACCTCCTTCCCCCCTCCACCCCTCCACCCCATCCACCCCCAGCACGTCCCTCTCCGCCCTCTCCCCCCTCCACCACCTGACCCCCTTCCACGTCGCCCCTCCCACCCACAGCCCCAAATTAACCAAATCCACCCACACGGCATGCCTCATCCTGGCCACCTTGCCCCCACCCGCATGATCCCCAATATACATCTCCCCAAAGATGCCGAACAGGGTCAGCCAAAACACGCACAGCACGCCCTCCCACACAAACAGGGGCAGGTTCCAGCGCGTGCGCGCCGCCAGCGGCGTCCGCCTCTTCAGCATCCACCCGATCAGCAGCAGGTAGAGCAATGCGGTCCCGCTGCCCAGCATGCCCGTTATGAGCGCGTACACCCAGCGCGCGTCCGCGTGCTCGTTGCTCTGGTGTGCGTGGTGCACGTCTTTCCCGTATAGGCCCAGCACGGTCAGTCCGAAGATCAGTTGGCTGCTGTGGAGCAGGAGTTCTGTGTAGTGTTTGAAGATGTTGCGCTGGGGGGGTTGGGGTTTGGTGGGTGGCGCGGGGAAGGTCATGTTTATGGAGTTGGAGGTGGGGTCGGCGGCTTTGCGCTGTTTGTTGGCGTTCAGGCCGAGTTTGAGGAGGCGGAGGAGGACGAAGGCCATTTTGCAGGATTGGGTGGTGCGTTGGGGAGGTTAGGTAGTTAGGTTGTGGTGTCGTGTGGTGGATTAGAGTTGTGTGTTGTGTGTTAGTTGTGTGTTGTTTGTTGTGTTATTCGGATTATTGAATAGAAGATTAACGTAGTAAATATGCGTGAGCGTGCTGCGTAAACCGTATGGATGTGTGTATATCGGCGTGGGCGAGAGCGAGGGTGAGGGTGTTGATATATGCGCCAGCACAAAGTCTCAAACTCAATAAATGCTCAACAGCCAAAATAAGATGGGAATGCTTCCTGCGCAGCAGGCATATAAAGCACCAACAATAGATAGAGAGATAGTAGTAGTAGTAGTAGTAGTAGTAGTAGGAATGTCCAACAAAGAAGACAATGAATCAGAGAGAGAGAGAGAGAGAGAATAAAAAGAAAAGAAAATGAGAATAGAAGAATCCCAGACAAGGAACGATTGATTGAATGCTGCTATTGCTGTTGCGGTAGCTGTTTCTGCTAAACAAACCCACAAAGACCAAGTATCTGGCACCTCTTTATAGTAGTCTCTTCCGGTTCAGAGACAATAGTTTCTTGAGAGACGCGGATGCAAGACACCTACCTCCTGTCACATACTCCGTACAACACAACATCGCTGTCCTGCTATTTTTATCATCCTCAAGACAAAACCAAACACCTCTCTGCCCAATCGAAGCGCCAGAATCACAAAGAGCATGGATGCGCTGAAACCTCGTCTCTTGGGATCAACTTGCGCGCGCGAAGCCGTGCAGATATGGTTTCAGGGCTGCAGCGGTTCGATCGGTCGGCGGGTTGACAATGGCGGTTGTGGGTGGTTTCGATTTGATTGGCCGGGTTGTCGCGCGTCGAAGCGCCGGGTCAGGGTTTGGGGGCGGAGCTGGGCTTTGGCTGGTTAGGAGGGAGTTTGCTCTACACTTGGCAGCCGGAGATCTTCACTCCCTCAGAGCAGAACATGGATTTTCATCTCTACATTAGCGCCCTTGGGATCACCCTGTCGTGCTGCCCCCCCCCCCCCCCCCCAGGCTAGCTCTGCATACACCAAGGCCATACCATCAGTCTGAGTACTTCTGCAACCCATCCATTCGTCCAACCAACCAACCAACCAATCATCCATCCATCCTTCCATCCACATCCTTTAAACTACTGACCCCCCGACTATCATTCCAACCTGACCAGAAATTCATGTGCAACGCTGACGTGACATTCATCGACCGGAGCGGGGATTCGTTTATGCAAATGATCGGCAATAGACGCAAACAAAGAAACAAGGACAAAGAAACGAGGCTAACACTCAACCATGCGACGGGGGAAAAAAGCACTAATACGGAATGGACAAAGAACTGAAACCAACAGATGCAACGGCCTATCACCGCTTCCGAGCTCGATAGCCGTTGCCCCATGGTCAGGGCGGCCTCGTCCCTCCGTCCGTTGCACTCTTAGCGCCCGAGGCTGGAACGGCTGCCACTGGGGGAGCGTGTCCCGGCGGTGGTCCGCCCTTGACGGCGTTCGGAGGTGCAGGAGGTGGGGTTGGCACCGAATCCTCCTCATACTCGTTGCCTAAATACTCCTCGTCATGCACCCCGGCCCCTCCTCCCGCCGAAGAGTGGTCTGCCGAAGCTCGATCGTATCCCTGGTCATAGGCTGCCTGCTGCGCCGCGGCGTGCTTGCTCGCGTTCTTGGTGGCCTTCTTGCCCTTGCGGCCCTTCATCTTCGCCTTCTCGAGAAGTCGCTTCTTCTCCGCCAATCGCTTCCGCTCTTTGCGGTCTTTGATCTCGTACTGTCGAATGAGAGCCTCGGGCGGGTGGCCGAAGATGCTCTCGTACTCACAGAACTCACAGATCCAGATATCCTCCATACTGGGCGGGTGGTGCAGATTGGAATACTGCTGCTGGATTTTGCGCTGACGTGCGGCCAGAGCGTAGATGCTGCCCGGCGACCGCTTCTTTTTCCGTCCCGCCGGGGCTGGCTCGGTTCCTGCACTCGGCGATTGTTGTTGCTGCGCCTGCTGAGAAGACCCTGCCTGGTTCGCTGGCGAGGCAACTTTGGGGCTGGTCTGCGTGCCCTGTGAGTAGCCCCGTTGGCTCTGAACAGCGGCAGCAATTGTACCGGGCGAGCGGTGCTGTGCGGGGTACGGGTTCTGGGCTTGTAGCGCCATCCCCTTTGACGAGTCGGATTCGCAGGTGAAGGTGAACTGGGTCGGGGTCGGGGTCTGGATAGGGGCCTGTCGTTCGAGCATGCTGACATTTGCGGGACCCGGATGGGGAGCAGCAAATGCCGACGCGGCAGCGCTCGCAATGGCAGCGGAGATGATACCCTGGTCTGGTTTGGCGGTGGGGTCACCTGAGTACGGAGTGAGCGAAACCCGAGCGGCGTTGAGGACTGACAAACACGTACCTGCTGGGCCCGGGGATGACAACAGGCCATCGCGTCGGGTAGGATCCGCGGCCAACTAATGGGAGAATGAAGGGACAAAGAGTTCCTCCCGACGCTGCTGCGAGCTGGATGGCGCCCAAGCCGGCCTCGTCCCGCCCCGGACATCCCGCTGGAGATCGGAGACGCGGGGCTTCCCGTACCATAGAAGGTGCTCACATGGCTGCCTTCGCCTGGTGTCGACGCAGGTTGCACCGAGGTCGCCAAACCCATGGTGGAAAATTCAGGGGAGAGTGTGGAGTGGTGACTACCTAGAGTGCCGGGGGTAGGGATTTTGCGTTTCTTTTGTTGTTGGTGTTTTCAAACGCATCGTACCCGTCGGGTCCTGCCGAGGAAGGCTTCACCAGCGGACCTTCACTGTTGCTGTTGCTGGGCAGTGTTTGGGGAGGAGCGTTGGAGACCGACGGCGACAGGGACGACCCGCGGAAACCGGCACTCCGACGCACCACCACTGGCCCGTCCTCATCACCACTTTCCAACTCCACTCCGTTCTCATACGGTAGATGGTCCCGCTCGGGGCTCTCGTCACGATCGTCGCTCTGCTGCACATACACTTTGGTGTCATTTACAATATCTCCACTATCCACGGAAGTGCCGTAGAACAGTTGGGTGGCAGGAGGGGCCGGTGGGAAAAGAATCGAGTCGGCCGCTTCAGAGGACAGGCGAGAGCGGAGGGTGCGCTTGGGCAGAGGACGGATCAGCCTATCCGGATAGACAGGAGACGGTGTATCTGGGACCGAGTTGAACATCCCATCTGCGGGTGAGCGGTATCAGCAACTGAGCAGCCAAGAGACCCTGGATTCGATCCGCCCCAGGGGTTTGCAGATCCAGCTTTCGGGGGGGCTCCCGGTCAATTGTACGCACCAAGGCCAGACGCTACTTCCCCGGAGGAACAGACATCCTTGGTAAAAGACATACTCAACGTAGCGGTCATTATGCAAGTCTCTCCGCTCTCTCGACCTCCACAGCCACAGCCAAATGGCGGGTTGCTCCTGTTAGCCCAACCCGACGATGCCTCCGGCTGCTTCCTTTAAGTTTAAACTCCCCGGTTATTTTATTCTCCCACACGGTAATCTAAATCCCAGCTCTTCTAGGGGGGCGTGGGAACGGAGGGGAGGGGGGCAGAGGACGCAGTACGGCGAGGATCTCGACTGGATTGACACCACACAGTCAGTTGTCATGTTTCCCAACGCTGGCAGTCACCCGGAACCACACAGAGTTTGGAGGGAGGGCAGCCCCCGGTGCATCCAAGGTTTCCGCCAGGCTCAGCCGCCAGAGTAAGGCCAGAAGGAACCCTGGGATAGAGCAAGGGACTTACGCAGTAGACTGGGCACCGATATCGAGCATGCAGACTTTTTGACGACTGAACCCGAGATGTCGGTAGGGGAAGGACCGAGAATCGACACCAGCCCAACCCCGGGACCACACACAAGAGGGACAGGGGGAAGAGTGTAAAACAAATCCAACGATAGACGGGGCGGTCAAAATCCAACCGGTGGTGATTACCAGCCAGGGACAATCCGGGGAGGGGGGGGCAATAGGGGACGAAGAGGGCAGAGGGGTGGGAATCGAATCGCCGTCGATAATTATTATGATGAATAAGGCATTCCCTCCCCATAACTAATCCGCTTGCCTCTCTGGGCCCAGCGGATACCCGGTGCGGCCTGAGGCGTCAACAGCTAGTCCCCTTCGGGCAAAGCTCCCCCCCAAAGCCTCAACTGGTTCTCTTCCTCCCCGAGCGCGTTGCCCTCGCGTCTCAGCGGTATGACCACCGAGGGGCACGGCTCCTGCTCTACGGAGTACACCATCCACCATACACTCTTCCATGCGATAGTCTATTGTTCTCGGACAGGACCCGCGGATCCGCTCCCGCTTGTCCTGCATACTCCTTCATGGGCCGCCATTTCCTCGCTGCAAGGTCCTGGAATCCCCAAAACTACCTATTGACAGAGTAGGTAGCGTCTGCCTCTGTTCTCGGTCAGATTCCTGGTACCCTGTAAGCACCAAACCTTTTACAGCCTCTATCCGGCACGCCTTGCGTCATTATCATCCCAGCTGCTCGTGAGCCACACGTGCTTTCGCCCGTTCCTTCACTCGTCAGGTGCTCAACTATCCTTCCCAGATCCATTGTACCCTACACACCAAGTATTATCGTGCCGTGTGAAGAACGGTATTAGGGGACCTATGTAGTAGAACTGTCCTTCCACTGTATCTCGGTCCATACAACCATCAATCCGAGGCTGTCATATAAAGGCTGGCACTCGTTCTCAGAGAAGCGGTGGGCTGTACGAAAAAAAAAATAGCCCCAGGGTACTGGAATCGTTCGAGTGGTGTCATTCTGTAGTTAAAGAGGTTTGATGGACGTGTGGATGCCACTGGGACCTGTAAGTTGAAAAGCTCCTCCTGGGTTGAACAAGGAACATTGGTTAGTCAGCACTGCCTCGATTGCCTTGGTTATCCAGGTCGGTAGCAACCGCACAGATCACCATTCCGAGTGGAAGGAATCAAGAATCGTAGACACACGAAAGGAGCCCTCTACTTTCTTGAGAAGTATAGTAACAGCGAAGGGAGAGAACCCTCGGGATGTACTCCGTACTTGCTAGCGAGCGCTGGGAGGGAAGCGGGGTTTGAGAGACGCAGCGGGAACGGCATCATCACATTCCTCCACGCCTTATCACCAGCCGGGCGGGCGCTGGTGAGAGACGTCGATCGAGGAGGGATGCCCTCAAATGCCTGTGAGTAAGAGCGCACATTATCGCCGCAGTGAGACGAGGTCGACGGGGAGTTGCTGGGGGGTGGAGGGGGAGGCGGGCGAGGGCAGAGAACGACCAGAAGAAAGAAAGAGGGAGCGGGGAAAGGCCAGGCCAATGCGCGTTGACCGCAAAGGCGCGCAACAGCAGCAGCAGCAGCTCAAACCCGTTCCGGCGGCCGGCCGTCACTCACGCAGTCCGCTTCCCTCGTCTCGCTCCTCCTCTTCCCTTTTTTCTCCTCCCCACCATCCTCTTCTCCAATCCGCAGACTATGTAGGCCTCGGTCCATGTTCGAGCTTGCAGGCGCCGTTCTTGCATGTCTTCCCTCCTTGGTCTCAATTGCCAGTCCACCTCTCCTTCACTTGCCGGCTTTTTCTCTCTGCTGGGTCTCTTGTCATCCTTAACTCTCCGAGTCGCTGTCGACCCCCAGCTCCTCCACCCGTGTGCGACAACTCGCCCACGGGCAGGCTGCTCCTGCTTGATCTCGGACTCGCTTTCTCCTCCTATTTATAAAACCTTTCTCGATAGCCTTATCTATACGGCCGTGGTCCTGGCCGAGTTCTACGCTATTTTTATCCCACCTGCTGCCACCCTCCTCCCTCCTCCACTACCATGACGCCTCGTCGCTCCTCTCGAGCCCGCAACTCCCAACCCTCTCCTGCCATCCTCCCGCATACAAACTCCTCCAGCTCCTCCAATTCCATGACTCGAGAACGAAGTACCCGCTCGAACCACAAGATCTCCTCCCCTCAGCGCTCTTCGAACCGATCCCAGTCGATCGACGATGCCGACACGGCCTCGAAAAGCGACTTTCGAGAGACGCGGCAACGCCAGCGTGCTCGAGGGGAGGATGATAACGACCAACACATCAGACAAGGGGATGGCGACGAAGATGATGGAGACGACGACGATGACGAAGAGGAGGAGATTACCCGCTGTCTCTGTGGGCAGCAGGAATACCCGGGTCTTCCTCCTTCACGTCGTGAGGCTGTTGGTCGCAGTGGTTTACGTACCGCCATCAAGGATGAGAACGTTTTCAATCTCTCCACAGAACCATCAGACCTGATGTCAGACGATATTGGGAGCATGTTTATCCAATGTGATTCGTGCAAAGTCTGGCAGCATGGTGGCTGTGTTGGCATCATGGACGAGGCCATGAGCCCCGAAGAGTATTATTGTGAGCATTGCCGCAAAGATCTTCATAAGGTCACCAATGAACCGAATGGGTACGTATAACAGGATTTTTCTGGTTTCTTTGTTGCCGTTGCTACGTGGTTGGATTCTGCCTTTCTCCCATATCCACCCTGGGCCTTCCTACCAAGTTCGAATTTTCGTGCCATGGCCACTTTCGAGGTTTTCTCACAAGCACCCCTTAATACTCTATCAATTTCAACAACCATCGTTTCCTTCGGAATGTGGCGTGTTCGCTTACGGTCTCACAGACAATACTCGTCCCAGTACCTTCCTGTCCTTCCCCCGTCGTCCACCGTGGTATCCTCGCGAGAATCGTCGCGCGATACTGCCAGGCGCGCAAAAGACACTAAACAGCGGCAGAATGACTCGACCGCCAATCCTAAACGCCGATCAACAATGAATAGCCGGGACGCTGCGTATGATGAAGAAGAGCAAATTCGGCGAGCTATCGAGGAGAGCAAGGAAGAAACACTTCCGGCTGAAGATGAGGTTGTGGCCCGGAGGCCTAAGAGAAGCCGGAGTGATAGTGAAGCGTATGTCCATGGCCATCCCACGTTTCTGAGTCGGTCCTGGGATGCGGGCTAACGATACAGACTTAGTCACAAGCACACGACCAAACGACCGCGAACGAGTTCCCCATCCCCGGGCCTGGTTTCGAAGAGTAACCCGGCGTCTCGCCCGGCCTCGGACGACGAGTCAAAAGCCAAGCCGGTCACCAATGGGGCCCGAAGACAAAGAGCTGCATCCCGGGGGCAGCGTGATAAGGAAACAAAAGAGCCGGAGGAGCCGGAGCCGGAGCAAGCCGATGTTACAAGTCGTCGCAAAGGAAGATCTGAGAGACGGAAAGGTGATGGTGAGTAGCTCTGCGCTATTATTACCTTGGTGATGGGGACTAATCCGCGAAGATGCCGAATCCGATCACGAGGCCGCCTCACCCATCAAGCCCGCTGCGACCGAGCCCGAACCCAAGCAACCGAGTCCCGAGGAAACACCTGCTCCGGTCCAAGAGCCTGTCCCTGTCCGTCCCTCCACTCGCAAATCGGGCCGTCCTCCCGCTCGTCGTGGCGGTCGGGTCGGACGGAATCAATATACTCGGGATCGTGATACCAACGGCACCGACTCGACGACTCGATCCCCGCGGCGTGGACAGTCGCATGACCTCGGTGGGGATTCCCCGCGAGTGGGCGGTCCTAATGGGACGCACATAAATAGCAATGAGTCCGGGAAACCCAGCCGTCCTCGCTATGTGAACCAACGAGCCACACTGAACGAAATGAGAAGACGAGTGACTGCGATTCTGGAGTTTATCTCCCGCATGCAGGTCGAAATGGCGGTGGCAGGGGAGAGTATCACCCCGCCTGGCAATGGCCATCGAGCCAACGGCATTTTGCCCGAACTTCTGGGCGATAACCCGCTGGTGTCTATGGCCAGCGAGAGCGGCGCTGCGGTGGGGCAAGCACCCACGGAGAAAGACTTCAAGGACCTCAGCAGCGTGGAGATGATGGATGTATTAACCCGTCATCTCCTCAAGTGGCAACAGGAGTATGGCAAATTCGGGGAAAGGTGACCAGCCGCGCCCCGCACATGCTACCCTTCCCAGACCTATTTCCTCTTTAGCAGATCCCCTTTCGTCGGGGAGTTTTCGATACGCACGATACCCGGTTCGTCTCTTCTCAACGTGTGGGCATGTATAATATGGCTTCTGGAGCATCTTGACGGATCAAGTCGGCGTTACGAGTGTCTTGCTCATATAGTATGATTTGCTTGGTTGTTCGGGCGCGAATTGGATAGTGCTTTGAATGTTTATCGGTATACTAACTTTGGGGAGTTTGCTGGCGTGATGCTGTCTGTACCTTTGACCTGCTTTAGCTCTTCGCCTATAAGATTTGTACGACCATGGCTTTTTATCTGTTCCATCCCCCCAGGCGGAGCTGGGTTTCTTGCTGGCGGGCTGGCGGGACTTTTCCTGATAATCAGAGCCTGGCTTTCCTTCTACTCCAAATACTTTCCCGACTTGCGGCACGAAGATTAATGTTTGACTTCTTGTGGATAGTATAATATGAACAATTCCCTTGTGCCTGCGGTTGATTATATAGACAGTGTATGAATGTGTATGCATGGCTCCCCACCTCCTCGTCTTCACCTCCTCTACAACGCCATCCCCCCATTCGCGCGCACGACCTGCCCCGTCATCCACGAACTCCCCTCTCCAGACAAGAACGCAATCACCCCCGCGATCTCCTCGGGCTGCCCAATCCTCCCAAACGGACTCGCGGCCGCAATCCCCTTCAGCAGGTCCTCCGACTTCCCCCTCAGGAACAGCTCCGTCTGCGTCGGCCCCGGCGCCACCGCATTGACCGTGATGCCCTTCTTCGCCAGATCCTTGGCCATGACCCTCGTCATCTGCTCGATCGCGCCCTTGGTCGCTGCATAGAGCAGATACGCCGGCGCCACTGCCGAAAACGAGGTCACCGACGACGAGATAAACACGACCCGTCCCCCGGCCGGCATATGCTTCACCACCTCCTGGGCCAGAAAGTACGGCCCCTTGACATTCATGGCGAACGTCGCGTCAAAGTCGGCCTCGGTGGTGCTGGCGAGGTCTCTCATGGGCAGCACGCCCGCGTTGGGGATGACGACGTCGATCCGACCGAACGTCGATACGGCTGTGTCGACTAGCCGTTGGATTTCGGTGGGCTTGGAGACGTCCGCTTGCACGGCGAGGGCGCGCGAGGACCCGATCTCGTTGACCAGCGCGTTGGCCGAGGCCGCGTCTCGCAGGTAGTTGATGATGATGGTTGCGCCGGCGGCGGCAAGCTGTTGGGCAACGGATTTCCCGATGCCGTTGGAGGCGCCGGTTATGAGGATGATGCGGTTGGCGAGAGACATTTTGGGGTGGGTTTTTGGGAGGGTTTGTTCTTGCTTGAGAGGTTGATAATGAGGATTGTGTTGATGATGGGGGATGGTGATAGTACGGCTGAGCGGGGTTGTTATATAGATGTGGGGGGGGCCGGACGAACAGCACGGAGACCGAGCGCGCTCGGTCTTCGCGATCTTCTCAGCCTTCAACCTTCAACCTTGTGACGATGCTGACTCGGACATGGACGTGACTCGGACACGGACTTTATTCTTCCCCTCTCCAAGGACGGATTTACTTTCATAGTTCGGATATCTATTCCTGCAAATGATCTCCGGACGTCATCAACGCAAATCCGGCCCACTTCAACCCCGTCGCGCTTCCACGGATCGGATCTCAGTTCCGGCTGCACGCAGAACATGTGGTCGAGGACGACTCCTGGAAGGCCTGACCGGCGGCATGACAGTCCTACAGATGCTATCATCATGTCCTCCATGAGTCGTTGCACAAACATGACCAGGATGATGCAGTTCCACTAGGCAGGATCAGCAATACTGGCATGGCTACTACGGGTGTCCACCAAATTATATTTCCGAACAACGCCATTGAAAAAAAAAAAAAAAAAAAAAAGAGGCCTTGCGACATTCTTCCGACAGTGCGGGGAAAGAGGCCGTCTTGGACCAGACTTGGTTCCTGAATATTTTGAATCTAAATTCGCTACGCCGGAGCTTAAAGCTGTCTCGATTAAGAGATCGTCATAACTCGGCGATGATCGAGCTTGTCATTGACTTACTTATTGAGCTCATGTCGTTGCAACCATCCGTCCTCTCAAGGCCTACAAAGACAAAATGCGACTCCTCATCTCTCAGCTGCTCCCCCTTCTCCTTCTAGGGCGCGCAAATGCGATCATAGCCCAGGACCCTGGGGTGTTCGGGCCCCAGTTGGAGCTCGTCCACAAATATTTTGACGAGTGGCCTACAGGTATACCATCCCACTCGACATGTTCTAGGCTGGACTAAATGACTGCAGGTGTTGCTGTGTCCTCCACGGGCCGCATATTTTCCTGCTATCCTCTTGGCATGGATTCCAACAATACTCGGTACCAAGTGGCTGAACTGACAAGCGCAACAACCGAGTCGCCCTATCCCTCTGCTGACTTCAATTTCCCTCCTGGTGGAGCCGTCAACTACTCTACCTTTCCACCGGTCTGTCCTCCCAGTCCCATTATATATTCTGCCCATGTCTAAACAATATGGTCATGTTCAGACAACGGCAAACTACGTCGATCATCTAATAAGCGTTCAAAGCGTCTACATCGATGCTAAGGATCGCCTGTGGATTCTCGATACCGGTCGTGCGCAGACAACCAACGGGACTCTCCTCTTATCCTCTTATGGTGGCCCTAAGCTCGTCGGAGTGGACCTAAACATCAACAAGGTCTTCAAAACAATCATCTTCCCCCGAGATGTCGTCTTCCCTGACTCGGTATGTCTTTATTCCCCCGCCAGATAGATTTGCGCATCTGACGGATAAATAAAAAAAAAAAATCAGTATCCCAACGACGTCCGATTCGATCTCCGTTCCGACCTCAGTGGCTCGTCTGGCCAGGGCATTGCCTACCTTACAGACTCCAGCCCAGAAGGCCGCAACGGCCTCATTGTTGTGGATATTGGAACAGGGGGGGCCTGGCGTCAGCTTGACGGTCTACCCTTGACCAAAGCGGAACCTAATTTCAAGGCATTTATCTGGGGAGATGTGGTCTCCGTGTCCATCGGAACCGATGGAATCACGGTCTCGGCTGATGGGGAAACGCTCTACTTTGGCGTTGTGAGCGGACGAAACCTTCACTCGATCCCGACTGCCATACTGCGGGATTCATCCCCGGCGGGACAGGCGCTGGCGCTGCAGAGCGTGACCACCTTGACGCAGAAGGGAGTAAGTGACGGATACGAGGTTGACTCTTTGGGAAGAATCTATGTGGGAAGCTTCGAGTCGAACGCCATCAATGTCTTCTATCCTGGGAATTCCAGCGTGCAGACGTTCGTGAGGGACCCGCGGATCGGATGGACGGATTCGATGAGCGTGGTGACTTTGAAGAAGAATCTGACCGACAAAGGGTATGTGTATTTCACGGAGAATCAACTCTGGAGAGCAGAGAAGGTGAGACCCTTTGCACTGTTTCGGGTGGAATTGCCTGCGGGGGCCGGGAAGGTCATTCTAACCTAATCCTGTGCTACCTCCTCTTGAGTATATCGTGGGATTTGCCCGGGGTTTTACTCGGGACTGTCCGGAGGGGACAGCTAATTTGATTGATCATTACCCTTTCCCTAATAGTTCATCGATAGGAATATGAGAATGGCCATGCACTCCTCGTATCATGAGATATTGGGAGTTAGCCGGAGTTAGGGCTTATTAGCGTCTCCCAAAACCCTAAACCCGACAAGTATGAGATGCATCTGCGAGAGATGATTATCAATCTCTCTCGAAGCCTTCTCGAGTTGACATCCGTATGGAATAGCCCCAGGGGCAGGTATAAAAAGGGCCCGAAAAGCCCAAGCCCCAAGATCAGTCTAATCCACAAAGTCCGCTATTGTGCAATCATATCACAATCTATACCCCTCCCCCATTCTACAAGCCAAATGATCCAACCCACAATGGCCGCAACATCAGCCCCCTCCCCCCAAGAGCCTCTTAGGACGACACCGTCTCCTCTCCCCCAGTGCCTTCATCCGCGTAAGCCCTCTCTCCCTCGGCGGAATGAGCCTCGGCACGGCATGGGCGCAGCGCCTCGGGACCGTGACGCAAGAAACCGCCTTCACGCTCCTAGACATCTACTACGCGCTGGGGGGGGAGGGGGGGGGGGGGGGGGGGGGCAACTTCATCGACACGGCCAACGCGTACCAAGCGGGACAATCGGAGCAATGGATCGGCGAATGGATGGAGCAGCGGGGGCGACGATCCGAGATGGTGCTGGCGACCAAAATACACGCTGTCGCCGATGACGGGCCAGCGCGTGCAGGAGAGAGCAACTGGGGCGGTAACGGCAGCAAGAGTCTGCATCTAGATGTCCGTGCGGAACAGCCTGAAGAACCTGCGTACGGATTATATCGACATCCTGTACGTCCATGCGTGGGACTACAGCACAGCACCCAGATCCCGGAGTTCATGCAAGTCCCTTAACCATCTGGTCGCGCAGGGGGAAGGTCCTGTATCTGGGTATCAGCGACACGCCGGCGTGGGTGGTCACCACAAGGCCAATACAATACGTATGCGCACGCGCATGGCCTGCGCCCGTTTTCCGTCTACCAAGGGGGAGATACTCGGCGCTGTGTCGGGATCTCGAGAGGGATGGATGTTATTCCGATGTGTCGGGATGAGGGCATGGCGGTTCATGCTTGGGGGGGTTCTGGGTTCTTGGTAGTGGTGATTCTCCCCAATTCCCCCCCCCCTTCCCCTTCCCCTCTCAGACTCTCAGACAAAAAAAAAACAAGAATATCTATATCAAACATCCCCACAACAACAAACAAAAAAACAAAAAAAACAAAAAAAAAAACCAATCAAATCAGGCTCCATCCGCTCCCCCACCACCCCACCAACCGAAACCGAAACCGACTCCGTCCGCACCTCCCCCCTCACGCTCCTCGGCCACGAAGCGCAAGTCTCCGCGGTCCTCGACGTCGTCGCCCTGGCCTACGCCATGCAAAAGACCCCGTACTTCTTCCCCGTGGTCGGGGGGGGGCGCAAGGTCGAGCATCTCCGGGCTAATGTGGAGGCTCTCAGTCTGGAACTCACCCCCCCCCCCCCCGGGAGGATGTGAAGGAGATTGAGACCGGCTATGCGTTTGACTTTGGCTTTCCGCACCAGTTCCTGTGTCCGGGGGGACATGCGGCCAGAGGGCCGCAGGATGTGGGGTTGTTTTGATTATGTGGAGGCGCAGGGGGGCGATTAGGCCGTTTAAAGAAGAGTAAGGGTGTCAGTATCTAAGTAGGGGGTGGGGTGGCTGGAGGGAGTGGGTAAGGCTGTTGTGGATGGATGAACTCTGAAGAAAGGGTGTTGGGGTGGGTAGATAGGTAGTTTGGAAATGTTATCAAATCTTTAGGATCTGACTATAAGTAATGGAGCACCGAGCAATTGTTTAGATGGTAGATATGATACGTTGGTGACCCACCCATTCTGCTCCATGTCTCAAGAAACGGATACTCCATCCCATGATGATCCTCATCCTCATCTTAGTTCGATCGGATAGTCAGCCCTATAGTACTAGTAAGTGGAACCCCCTGTTCCCAGTACACACACGTGTACACATGATAGCGATAGCGATATATATATAGAGTACTAGTAGACTGACTCAGTCTCCACCCGCATGAAGACTGGCTCTGTACCCCGTACACAGAAAATGCATCGTCGCCCGGATGGTCTAGTGGTATGATTCTTGCTGTGAGTTACCCTGCTATTACACGTTGGGAAAAACGTCAACTAATAACTTCTTCCAGTTGGGATCCCAAGTCTGAAATGCAAGAGGCCCCGCGTTCGAATCGCGGTTCGGGCCTGTCTTTTTTTTTATTTTTATTTATTTATTTTTTTTATTTTTGATATCGGCGGTATGGGGTGGGGGTTTATAATAGCCGATAGAGAGAGAGAGAGAGAACAATTTCTCTATTTCAAAAAAGTCAAAGCGGCCAGACACAAGGCATCCACGCCCGCTTTCATAGTTGGCTGGATCACTGGGGCGAAAAGCGCCGAGTGATTGCCCGGGATGTCGGCCATAAGAGAGTCATTCGCCTGGGCTTTATCCCAGACGTGGGGATCCACGCCCCCCACGAACCAAAAGCAGCACGGAAGATCCTGCGAAGTACCCAGGGTCGAGAAGTCTTCACTGACATTGGTTCTGGGGGTATCAGGATCAAAGGCGTCCTCGAAATGGGCCCCAAAGGACGCAGCCAGCTTCGACGCCACTGCTTGATCGTTCGACGTGGGCGGAAACCGCCTCGTCGGGGTGAACACAGGCGGCTTGGGCGAGCCACTGGCCATGCACTCCGCCTCGACAACGCGCTTCACGGCTGAGATGATCTTCTGCCTGGTCTCGGGCTTCACGGTGCGGAAATCGATCCCAATCTCGGCGCGATCCGCGATGATATTCTCTGTTTGGCCGGCTTGCAGGCTCCCGACCGTCAAGACGGCGAGATCGGTGGGATCGATCTCCCTGCTCACGATGCTCTGCAGGCGAACCACCACATGGGCCGCCAGAAGCACCGGATCGACGGTCTGGTGCGGCTGGGAGCCATGTCCCCCGCGGCCGAACAGGGTGATTCTCATGCTATCCGCCGCCGCCATGATCGTGCCGGGACGCGAGCCCACGCTCCCCGCCCGCAACCGCATCACATGCTGCCCAAAGACGTAGTCCGGGAGAGGAACCTTCGAGTACAGCCCATCATCGACCATGGCCTGCGCGCCGCCGCCCCGTTCTTCATCCGGCTGGAACAGCACGAGCAGCGTCCCGCGCCACGCGTGCCGGGTCCTCGCCAGCAGCTCCGCCGCGGCCAGAAGACAGGTGATGTGCATGTCGTGTCCGCACGCATGCATCACGGGCTTCTCGACCCCGTCGCGGTCGCGCATCGTCACTGTGCTCGCGTACGGCAGCCCCGTGAGTTCTTTGACCGGCAGCGCATCCATGTCCGCCCTCAGGAGAACGGTCTTTCCGTCGCCGTTCTTGAGCACCCCGACCAGCCCATGGCCGCCGATGTGGGTGTGGATTTCGTACGCCTGGAGCGAGGATAGATGCGCGGCGATCTTCTCGGACGTCGCTTTCTCTTGCAGGGATAGCTCGGGGTGCGAGTGGAAATGCTTGTAGAGGTCCTCGTATGGCGCGAGATCGATGCTCCCGGCTTGGAGGATGGAGGATAGGCTTGGTTGTGGTGTCATGTTGTGGGATTGTGGGGGTGGGGGGTGCGTATTTCTTGTCTTTTTTTTTTTTTTTTTTTTTTTTGATAAGAATCTGGAGAGGTGGAAAACCCTGTCGACTTAATATAGTCAAGGTAGATCGGTTCGTTGGTTGACTAGATTGATTAAGTTGATTCCATGAGTCATGAGTCATTCATCTCTTGAGTCAGCCTCTTGACTAACTAATTAACTAACTAACCACCCGACTATCTCTCCGCGGAGTAGGAATATAGAACGGATCACATTGGGATGAAAAATACCCGTGTAGATTTGGTAGGCTCGAGAGAGGACAATGGATGGTTATGTCACAAATAGATGTGCCCAGCACGGCTTACTCAGACATGCGCCGATGGACTGGGATAGTGTAGTGGTATGTTGATCGATCATCGGAATGTGTCAGAAGAATGCATAAATCTCGGATCGGATGGGGAATGCGTCACATCTGGGTGGTGGGTAACCCGGAATGTGTCAAATACTCAATTCCAAGTCCACATCATGCACAATCCAAGGGCATAGATCAAATTCAATCTACAAGTCCATTATTGCTAAATACAGACAGGGCCATGAGACATCAACATCAACATCAATTTAACGAAGTTCATTTTCAACGGCCATTCTCATCGACATACATAATCCATCAGATACAAAAAAAAAAAAAAGAAAAGAAAAACAAAGTCAGGTCATGAGATCGTTCGCTTCAAAGAGACGGGACGGTACGGTGGTGACGGTACAACCCCTGGTCGGCACCCGTGGTTCAAGCATCCTCGGTGCCATGGATGGGAACCATGACATCCGGGGGTGGAACCACCGGGTACGATACCCGCGGGAGAGTGGGGTTTACAGGCGGGAAGCGTGGATCACCTTGTAGTCGACGACCAGCTCGCGACCGCCGTCGTTGATGACGAGGGCGCGGACGCTGCCGCGGCCGTCCTCGAAGGCCTCGCGGATGCGGCGGAACAGATGGCCCTGGGGCACGACGGGCAGGCCCTGCTTGACGTCACCGGTCTCGGTCATGGCGACGACCAGGCCGTCGTCACGGAGGTCCAGGATGCGGTAGGTCTTGTAGACGGGACCGAGCATGGTCTGGACGACGACGGAGGGCGAGGGGTTGGAGATGAAGCTGGACTCCTCCTGCAGCTCGCGGGTGAAGAGATCGACACCGAGGTAGCGGTGCTGGCCGGTCTGCGGGGAGACGGAGATGCGGATGACCTGGCACGGGCGACCCTGGAGGATCAGGATGTCGCCGATGCGGATGAAGTGGACGGGGATCGGCACGGTCTCGGCATTCGAGGAGCCACCGCCGGAACGGGGCTCGACGATGCGGACGTTCTCGCGAACACCCTCACGGAATTGAACTGGGCCCCGTTCGTCAGCGACGGCTACTTCCTCGTGGTCGCGAGAACCATGGTGGTGGGAGGGGTGCAGGACGCGGTCGGCGGCGCGCTGCACACCGCGACGGAAGGAGTGATAGTTACCGTCGTCGTCGTAGTAGCCCATCTTGCGAGAAGGGGGAGAATCAATCACAGTCTTAGACTTGAGAACCTTGACGTTGGTCTGGTCAAGGGGAGGCTGAGGTTGGCGGACGGGCTCAACGTTCAGCTGTTGGTGGCCGTGGGAGTCGCGACGGGAGGTCTCGACGGGCTTGGGCTGATACGCACGGTCGTACGAGACGTCGAACTCGGATTGGACAGTGCGGTCGTACGAGACGTCCTGGACTGGCTGGCGGGGGCCGTAGGCGTTTACAGGGGGCGGGGCCTGGGAGCGGCGATCGTGCGAGGGGGTGACGTCGTAGGTAGGGTTGACCCGACGACGGTACTCACGCTCGGTGATATCGAGCTGGTTCTGCAGAGACTGATCGTAGGTGGGAGACGGACGAGCTGGGTAGCGGGCCGCAGGTTCACGATAACTGGAGCGAGTCAGAGGCAATAGGCAAGGGAAGGGATAAGGTAGGGTTCAGGTAGGGCGGAGAGGTGATTGGGTGGGCAGGACTTAATACTTTTGGGTTGGGGGGGGGGTGAGTGGGTGGGTGGGCAGGAAGGTCAACAGTGGACAGTGTGGACGGGTAGCTAAGCTGGGTCCAGTTGGGGATGGGATGGGGAAGGGAAGGGGAAAGTAAGGGAAGGAAACAGAAAAGCAGGCTGGGGGGGAGGGGAGGGAGGAAACGAGAATAGAAAAGCCCGTGGGCTTGTTTGTTTTGGTGCCACGTAATGAAGTGGAGGACGCGACTAGATCGCCCTAGACCGGGGAGCAGCTGAAGCCACGCCGTGACACCGCTTCTTGTCTCTCCACTTGGTCGCATTTTGGGGCCGAATTGGCGCCCGTGCCAACCATAGTAGTGCCAGCCAGGCAGAGACATAAAAAGGGAAAAAAAAAAAGAAAATGGAGAAAAGAAAAAGCAAAAAGAAAAGAAAGAAAGACCGTCGGACTCACCGTTCACGCGCTAGAGCAACTTCGGGATACCGGGGCTGGGGAGCAGCTGGCGCAAAGGAAGACGGGCCTTGCTGATGGTGACCAAAGGACGGGCCGGGAGCAGCAGCAGTAGCAAGAGGAGGAGGAACGGTTTGCACACGTTCGTCGAAGGAGACAGTAACGTCCTGTTGAACAACACGGGGGTCACGACCACCGGCAGCAGCAGCAAAACGGTCCTGCTCGAGCAAACGAAAGTCGACTTCTTCCTTTCCGTAGACACGCGGGTCGGGGAGAGGAGCCGAGGTTCGAGTATCTTCCCGTTCGACGTGCGAAGTGCGATCGAGATTGACTTCTTCCTCTACTCTGGCGGGCCCAAGAGTAGCTTCAGGAACAGCGTCACTCCGGTACGACGACGGGAAGACACTGAAGGGGATGGGGACGCGGGCGTCGAAGTCCAGATTGGCTGGCCGTCGGGCGTCTTTTCTCGAATCCCTTTCGAACTGTTGGATAACAACTCGAAAGGCGAGACAAGAAAAGACTTGTTACGGGGGAGAAGTCTTTCTCGTGGTGGGAGGAGGAGGCGGGGGGGGATGTGGTATCTGGATCGATAGATCGATCTCAGGCCGGGCGGGGGTGGAATGGGTTGAGGAATGTGAGATAGACTTAAGCTTAACGGGGAAAGGGGGAAAAGGTGGAGGGGGGGATGGAGGGAAAGAGATAGATAGATGGATGGATGGAGATGGAGAGAAGAAGGAGATGAGATGAAGAGGGAGCGAGAGACTGAACTGAAATACGGCGACAATTAATGGCTTGCAGGCCCGCACGCGTTTGTTTACCGCACCTTGCCGCTTTGGGGGGGGGGGGATTTGAGTGTTTACGTTTTTTTTTTTTTTTTGCCTTTAGCACTATCTATCAGCTTGACTCTCAACTTTCGACTGTCTCATCCTATCTCCTAGAGACCTGCTCTCCGTGCAGGAACACAATATTCAGCCCTTCTTTCTATCTCCCCCTCCAACCATCATCCGAGGTCAATTCCCTCCCCCGTCTATTTGTAGACTGGTGGGAAGCCCCCTCCCTGACGCCATGGCCTGCTAGTCCTGATAGAGATCCACCCGATCATCACCACCTCTCCAATTTAATATTCACATGCAGCATCGCCCATCGCCATCTCATCACCATGAATGAGATGAGGCTGGCCAGCCCCTCCGAACGACAGATGGATCCCCATGGCAACTGGCGACTGTCCGGGTCCCCTCGGACCCTCAATCTCCCGATCGTCCCGTTTCGTGCTGTGCTGTGCTGTGCTCTGTGCTTCCCATCTCATCTCATCTTATCTTGTTCTCCATGTTGATAACCTCAATTCCCCCAATTGACCACAATGTAGCTAAGTAAATAGCTACGCTACGCACAGTAAACCTCTTCCCGAAGGAAAGAAAGGAAGCAACCCCCAACCCCCAACCCCGGAAGTCGCCAGTTGCAACATACGTACTCCGTATCCATCCATCACATCACATCGGCTCGCTGCAGCTCGTGCCGCCGTGCGCCGTGCGCCGTGCACCCCCCCTCTCCCCGTGGTGGCCCGCGATTGGCGATGACCCAATTCAGCCCGCGCCCGGCGACTCCACCGCACGAGTCCTGATTGCCCGGGATTCAGGCCGCGAGATTGATTGATTTGCCCAGCCTCCCTCCTCTGCCTCCTCCTGCTCCTTCCTTGCTGGGCCTTGCTTTTGTTTTGCTTGGACTGGGTTCTCGCCAGCTCGCCAGCCCAGCACCCAGCAGCCAGTAGCCAGCTCGCTTGGCTTGGCTTGGCTTGGCTTGCAGCTGGAGCTAGATAGATAGATGGAGCTACCTGATTAGCTGGATGGAGCTGGAGCTTTCTCCCAGTCTCCCTCCCTCCCTCGGCACGTTTCACTTTTGTTGATCGGAGGAGAGGGGGTTGGGCCAGTCGGTCGGTGATGTCGACGGTTGTTTGGGGTGGAGCAGACGATCGGACTGGAGGGAGTGGAGTCTAGTCATCGTGTCCATGGATCATTGTACCCAGATAGATAGAACACCGATACGAGAGAAACATGACATGACATGCAATGCCGCTGGTCGCTACCAGTGGCTGCGGTCGGATAATAATTAATTATTGATCGAGGGAGATGAAGAGGAGACCTCTCACATGGGTGTGCGATCTGTCTACGGGGTACTTACTCCGGACTTTTGTAGTATCTGGTGGGGATTGTCGGGCATAATTCGCTCTCCGATCGATACCTGACAAAGGAAAGACAGCTAGCGAGACCTCAAAGTCAAATTCATTCCAAGCGTATTCCCCATGGGAAACGCGAAATTAAATATAGGCAAGTGTACGGAGTAGTCCGCAGAGAGTAGTTATACTATGTATCTCTGCCCATCCCGTGCCACAAAGTCCCAGGCCGACCAGACACAGGCCAGCCGGAATGGCAATCAAGCGAGGGTATCAATCAATCCATCCATCCAAGTCCAAGTCCAAGTCCAAAATGAAATCCAAATGATGGTAATATGGTCAGTCGGTCGGTGTTAAGTAGTCAGTGGTATCACCCGAGTCGCCATTCTTCGGCGTCCCGGTGATTGTGCGCAATCCGTGTCCTCGTAAATAATAATAATAATAAGTCAAAAACCTTTTCCCATCCCATCCTGTCCCGTCCGTTTCCTGCTTGCTTGCTCCTTTTCGGCCCTCCCCTTCTTCTATCCGGATCGGATCCTCGACCCCGACCCGGACAAGAGGCGCGGCGCCGTGATTATGATTAGTCTGATCGGAACGGTCGTAAAGAAATGCCAAAAAAATGTCAAAAAAAATACAACAATTACATCGAAGGGCGAGAAGCGAGATCAACACGCGCTAGATAGTATGTATGTATATGAAAAGAGAGAGAGGCGAATGAATCCACCTAACTGCGCAGGCCGAATGCCTTCCGTAGTCGCGGGAATCGTTTCTTTCGTCCGGACGGGGTGATCACCACGTCCGACGCGTTGGGTCCCTCGCCCTTGACCCCGGATGCCGCATGCTGCGGGTTTTCGTTCTCCTTCGCGACGGGCGCCGACGCAGGGGCGACGGTGACGGCCGCTGCACTGCCGTTCTGACAGGCCTCATTCACCGTGGACAGTGGTCCGCCGGGAGGGACGGATGAGGACTCGCCCCCCGCCCCCGATTCGTTGTTGGGTTCGGAGCGCAACGGCCAGCTGTTGTCGCCGCGAGTGGACCGCTGAGAAGGTCGGCGCAGGAGCTTGGAGGGGGTCGGAGGCGGCGCGTTGGTCGCCGTGATGGTGGTGACAATGTTCGCTTCGGCACCAGGAAGGGGAGGGTCTCCCCGTGCGGCATCGTGCTCGGGGATGACGCCGTTCCGCGCAGAAGCCTCCGCGTGGGCTTTCGTGGAAAGACGCCGATTGACGGGTGACTTGGACTTGCGGATGCTGAAGCGGTGGAACAGCCCGGGCTTGCGTCCGCGGTTCGACTGGCGTAGGAAGTCATCCATTTCCTCATCCGTCATCCCGCGGTTCTTCGCGATCGCTGCTAATGCAGGATCCCGAGAGGGGGTTGACTTGCCAGGGGACTGGGGCGCAGCTCGCGGGGTGGCGCTGCGGTCGTCGTCGGAACTGTCTTCTAGCTCCGTCGAGTCCCCGTCGCGCGCGCCCTGCCGACGAGGGATGCCCCGAACAGGTCGCAAGGTGTTGCTGTTAGGGCCCCGCTCGCCGTCATCGCTGGAATCGTCATAGCGGTGCTGAGACTTCCAGGCCTCGTACCCCTCGTCGTCGGAGTCGGAATCCGGGAACCGGGTCGTAAACTGACCAGCGGGGGTCTTCGTGAGCTTAGCCTTGGACGCCTTGCCGGTGGAGAAGAACGAGGCTTTCTCGCGCTTCGGGGCGTTCCCTCTCAGGGTCGTGCGCATGCTGCCGCCCCCCGACTCCGATGATATCGGCCGGATTTCCGCCTGCGGGGACGTCGCCCGAGGGGCCAGGCGGCCTGGAGGGCTCCCCCGCATGGTTCGTCGCATAGTATAATTCGACTGCGCCCGAGAGGGCCGACTGGCCCGTTTGAAACTGCTCGAGGAGTCGCTGCCGCTAGACAACGGTCTCGAGGAAGCTGGCGAGCTCTTGCCATTGGCCTGACCCTCCTTCCCAAGAGCCGGGCTCCATGAGACAGGCCTCATTCGGGCCCCGTCTTGGGCACGCTGCTGCTGAACTTGAGAGGCTCCAGCCACTGATGCCCCGGGCATGGATCCGGTCCCATCGACAGAAGGCAGGGCTCTGTCACCGGGACTCGGGCCTTCGTTGGCTCTTGCCAGCAGAGATTGTCGGGCAGGCTTCACCGGGACTGAAGATGAGCGTGAAACATCACCATTTTGGGGACGTTTATCCGTCGACTGGATGGGAAACGGGGGGTATGGCGACGAGAACGGAAGCAGTTCATTCGAAGACCCTGGCGATTCGGGGATCGGCGCCATCGCATGAGGCACAGTATTCACTCTGCCGCCGATCTGGCAGGTCTCGGGGAAGTCAGGCCAATCCGGCTTCTGAGACGGCTTGTCATTGCTCTCCGAGTCAGGGGTCGTCGGGCTCGGCGTCTGGGAGGCTTGCCCTTCACCGTCCACAATAGCGTTGATAGAACCAAAGCCGTTTCCGTCGAAGTCCTCTTCGGCATCACTGTAGATACTTGCACCGGACTCGTCGTCACTCTCCCCGTCATCGACTGCATCCACATCCATGTCATTGGCAGGCACGTACTGGTCCTTCGCTTTCGCCTTGCTAGCCTTCGGGTCGAATTCCAGCGAGGACCGCGGGAAGCCGCCGGGAACCTCGTACCACTCGAGACTGTGGCGTTCCTTTTTAAGTTCCGGAGATGCGGGCAGGACCTTGATATCGGGGACTTCCAAAGGTGCCTTGGAAATGCGCGCCTCAGTATCGCGAGGCTCATCCGCCGCCAAGTCATCCGACGCAGCTTGCTGGGCGGATCGAGCAGGAAAGTGATCCTGCTGCGGTGATTTCTCCACTTCGGACTCACTCTCCGCTGCATTAGCGAGCATCAGCGGCGCTACATGGGTCTGTCTTTCGTCAGATTCGGTATTGGCAATGACGCCCCCAATCGCGTGGTCATTCGAGAAAGACCACCCTAAGGCCTCCGCGGGGGAGTCAGATGAAGTCGTTGACTCATTGTCGCTCTGCTCGGGAGCCTTATCTTGTACATCCCCCTGTCGGTCGGCCCTGATGCTGCCAAACGAAGGCAGAGCTCGCCGGGGTTTCAGCACTTCATCGAACTCGTCGACCCTCGTATTCAGTGGGCTCGGTTTCCGCTTGGCACTGAACCAACTGCTCTTGGATTTCGGCTTCGAGGGGGGTGACTCTGGGAGGGCCTCTTCTGGCGACGTGGGAGGGCTCGCCGCCACCCCCACGACTTCCGCTTCGTCGTCAAAGCTGACCTTTGTAGGCTTTCTCCGGGCCCCTTGCTTGAGCCCATCATCGGACGCCACAGACATGGCATCGGAGAGTTCGCTGAGAGGCGGGCCAGGCCGTAGAATCGACTCGGTGCGGCCTTCCGGGGAGAGCGAGCTCTTCCGCGGGGCTTTCATGGCCGATTTCGCGGGCGACAGTGACCGAGGCGGAGGTTGGTGTAGCTGCTCGCCTGCAAACGCGGCCACCAACAAATGGCGAGAAAAGCGGGCTGACCTCGCGGGGCTACCCGACTGACGCATACTCGACTGGCCATCTCGACCGACTTCTACTGATTTATTCGAGTCTGGCGGGCTTATCGGCGGACTGAGCAACTGGTCCTTGCCTGTGTCGGGCGTTGGCGGCAACTTGACGATAGGTTGTACATCTGGCGTCACGCTGCCTCCCCGTGGTGCATTATTATTCTTCTGCAGTGGATTTGACTCCGCACGCTGTTCGCCCTGAGCATCTTCCGTCACCGTTGATGGCCTTTTGATCAGATTGGGGCGGTTTAGCTGCCTGTGATCCGCCGATGCCACTGGTTGGCTCGGGGCCTGGTCGGGGACGATGAGCTCGCGGGGCAGGGCGATGCGAGGGCTCACGGATGGAGAACTGGCGTCTGGACTGCGTGGTACAATGGCGGCCTGCGCTGCAGCAACGGCAGTGCCTGCGGAGGGCACGCCCCGGGCAGGACTCCCCGGGGCAACTTTGGCCTTGGCAATTTTCGCCGCCCGAGGGCTCGCGTTCTTTGTCTTGGGCGGATCCGCGGACGACAGATGGCCAGTGATCGAGATGTCACGTCTATCCGACGGGCTGCGAGGCGCGGAGGGGCTCGTCGGGCGAGAGGTCATCGGGTATGAGAAATTGACCGAGTTCCGGCTTGCGGGTCGTCGAAGATCCGGGGACGGAGTCGATCCGTGGGCCGGGTTGCGATCGACGCTCGTTCCCCGTTGGGGGGTCGGTTTTGCGCGGGGACTGGATCGCATGGGCGGCCCAATACTGGAGGAGCGTTGGGCCTGAGTATTACGCGCAGAATATGCGCGGGGGATGGAAGGGAGTGGCGGTGCGGAATCGGTTGGACCGGAACTGGAGGCAGGTCGGCGCGGCGACTGGTCCCGGAACGTGCGGGTGCCCATAGACGCCGAGCTGCTGGACCGACGGAGGCCATTCCCGCTGGTTGGGCGCAGGCTGGGCGCTCCGCCCTGCTGGGACGAGACGGAGGCCCGACGCTGCATCATGCGCTTTGTTTGGACATTTTCGACGGAGGTCGGTGTCGGGGTGAGGCTCCGCAGGGCGGCGGCTGCGGCGGCGGAGGACAGGCTGCTGGAGGAGGGCTGGGATTTGAGAAAGGCATGGCTGGCAGCGGATTGCGCCGATTGCGACGAGGAGTGTGAGAGAGGGACCTAACCGGTCAGCTCGGGGCGAGTTCACGCAAAGGGGGGGGGGAGTGAATAGGAGAGGAGGCACACCTGATGTTGCGAGGAACTCCTCTTTCTGCGGAACATGGCTCAGGCTGAGTGCCCGAGAAATGGGATCGGGGCGTGCAATTGCGGTCTTATGGGTCGTGGGCAGCGTAACAGAGAGAGGAAAGAAGGGTGGACGCGAAGAATGGAGGGTCGGTAAGTAGTATCGGAGGTGTTTGTTGACGGGAATGGAGGGCGAGCCAGCGAAATGCCCGGGGAACGAGTGAAGGCCAGGGGCGGCCCGAAAAGGAGGGTGAGGAGGGTGGAGAGGGGGAGAGGGGGGGAGGAAAGGGGCGTAGGGAGGGCGACGGGCGGAGGAGGAGGAGAAGCGGGCGAAATTAACGATGCAGGAAGGGAAGCCGGAGAGGGAGAAAGGAATGAATATCGCGAGGTCGAGCAGGAAGTAGAGAGAGAGAGAGGGAGTGACGAACGAACAGGAGAAAAAGCGACGAGCCGATCGGAGTTAGAGTTGGGCACTTGCGTCATGAGCCAAGCCCGCCTTGGAAACCCGCCTGGCCTGGGCCGCTAGTCCCAAGAACCCAATAATGGCCTCGACCGAGTCAGTCCACGAGGCATCCATCGATCGATGATGCATCCTCCGATATCTATGACCCATCGTTCTTCCCTGCCCCGTTCTGTTCTCAGATCCGAGATCGATTCTCCCTCCGCCGACCACCACAACCATCTGCAATGACGACCCCCCAGCCTAACAACCCACATCCTAGAATCCGGCCCTTCCACCGCCCCCTCATCCTGCTGCTGCACGGGTTCCCTTGGAGGTGCTGCTGGGGAGAAGAAGACAGGTAGAGGCACCTGCGGGCGACAGATAATACCCGGGTATAGATTATTATCAAGGCCGGTAGTCTTCAATATAAAGAGGATAAAATTCCTTATATTCAGGAGAATAGTACCTTATTTAATCTTAATATAGATAAGGCAGTCTTATGACCGTGGAACTAGCCTGATTATAGGATAATAGCATCACTAGTAACAAGCTATTCAATATAATTATAAGAGATAGCCATACCGCCGCCTGGACGATCAAGTCAGTTCGGTCTATTATTCTTGATAAATACAAGATAAGAAGAGAGTAGACTGGAGAGAGGAAAGCGCGAAGAGAAGAAGAGCAGTAGTATAACTCTATATATACACAGTAGTAATACTGTAATCGTAGTAGAAGCCTTTATCCGGCCCCGCCCAATCAGAACCCCGAACCCCCCACTTACCGCCCACGTTCGCGATCGATCTTTTTTCCATCCAATAATTCCATGCAGCTTTCCTCTCTCTCGCATCCCCTCCCTCAATCCCAACCAGGATACATACTATCTACCCGACAGTTCCTACAATCATGCCCCACAGCTCCCGCAAAAAGCCTTCCCCCTCCAACCACAAACGGCAGCAAATCACCGACTCGTCAGGCTGGACGCACGTCACCACCAACCAAAACGCCCGTCGCTGTGCGCGCACCACCAGTACCACCAGCTCTCCCAACTCCAACTCCAACCCCAACCCCAATCCCAACTCCCACCCCCAGAAACACCAAACCCAACAACAACAACAGCAACAACAACAACAAGAACAACAACAAGAACAACAAGCCATAACCCTCCACCCCGCCTCCGCCCCTCCGAACCTCACCCTCCCCGACCTCCAATCCCAACTAACCCACTACACGCGCAAATATGCCTCCTCGGCGACCAGCCGCGCCGTGACGGAGACACTTTGCGGCCAGCGCGCGCTCCTACAATCGGTGGATAATATCGTGTGCATCGGACTGGGGAGTCTCAGTGGGTTGCTGCGCGGGGGATGGGTCGATCGCCGGAATGTTTCGCTATTTCAACTGGCCGCGTTGGTGGGGGTGGGGGGGTGTTTTGTTGGTGAGTTTTCCTTCTTCTTCTTCTTCTTCTTCTTCTTGGGTTTAGGTATAGGTAGCTAGCTATCTACCTATCCATCCCTACTCTTTATCTTTCTCTTCATCCACTACATGCCTGCCACTTGCCAGCTGCCTATGGTATGGTATGGTCTGCTATGCATGCTACGACCATTCCATCCTACCACCCCCCCCCCCCTCTAGCCCCCCTCTAACATCCACATTACCACTCACAGACCAACCCCCCAAACCACCAACACCAACTTACGCACAAGACCCCGTCTTCAACACCCTCGACACCACCCTCCTAACGACCCTCTCCATAACCGTCCTCTCGCACCCCCACGCCTTCAAAAAAGTGACCCCCAACACCCTGCTCTTCTGCCCCGGCGCAGAACGCACCCATCTCGAGCAACTGCTCGTTCATAAGCCCGCGATCGTGTTCGGGGGACCACTGGAGGACGTCGAGTCCGAGGTGATCCAGGGGTTTGTGCGCGAGAGGGCCTCGACGCGGTTGCCGGTTTTTGAGGAGCTGGAGGCCGCGTTTTGGGGGATGAGGGTTTATTATAGGGTTGATGTGGAGGAGGAGGATTAGATTGAGGGGGAAATGAGAAAAATGGGGGGAGAGCGAAAGGGGAGGATTATAATTGAGGGGGGGAATGGGGGGAGCGAAAGGGGAGGAATATAATTGAGGGGGGAAATGGGGAGAGCGAAAGGGGATATGGAGGAGGAGGATTAGAATTGAGGGGAGGAGGAGGAGGAGGACTATAATTGAGGGAGAAATGGGGGGAGGGGAATTGCAGTCTACATACTGCTTTCGCTTTCATCGTAGATAGAGTAAGTAGAGTTGGGATGTTTTGCTTGGTTGGTGGGACTTGATGGTGTGGTATGGTGTGTGTGGTGAGGTGTGGTGTAGTCTGCAACCGAAAGGAAGACTACGATTTACGATAATGATAACGACTACGATGACACGAAACTGATACCGATACTGAAACTGCATGTGTGCGCTGCATCGCAGCAGACTCAACTCACATCCTCGTCTCGTCTCGTCTCGTCTCGTCTCGTCACAAGTAATCGCATTTCTACCTAAACGGGATGGAACAGAGTACAGACCATCGACACGAAACGCTCAACACGCTATATACAGGGACAGACAGGGACAGACAGGGATGGAGAACATCGCAGCATGACCGGCATCCGCAGGCCCGGCGAGAGGCAAGAAGAAAAAAAAAAAAAAAAAAGAACAAGAGTGCAATCAGCCGGCCCACGCAGAAACCCATAGAATACAAGTCCAGGTCCATCGGGAAGGGGAAGTCGAAGTCGAAGTCGAAGAAGTCGCAGGGAACAAAAAAACCACGCAAGAATCCTATCTAGTAAAAGCCATAAGCCGTAATGCATCGTAAGACATGGTATGGTGTATGTCGAGATCATGTATACATTGAAAACCATCATCACAGTTGTCATCAGTCGGGGTCGTACGAAGGAAGGAGGGAGATCAAGTAGCGGTCTTGCCGCCGCAGTCGGGGATCGTGAGACCGGGCTTCAGCTTGCGCGCGGAATCCATCAAGCCCCATTTATCTTCCCAGTCCTGGCCGTCCGTGTCGTATTGGATCTTCCACGGCTCGTCGAAGGCCTCGAACCTGTGGGTCGGTTAGCAAGTAAAATTACATAGGAGGGCAGTCAAACTGTCAGAGACAAAAAAAGCGAGTAGTAGGACAGACAGACTTACCAGAAATACTCCGTCCCATTCTCCAACGCTTGACAGACCCAGTCGGAGAGGAACTTGTTCACTTGGTCAATACCGGCCACGGCGCCCTGCTGGTCATTCTGGCACTTGTTGTTCGCTCCGCAGTCGTTCCCTCCTCCACTCGGCCATCCCACCTCGGAGATGATCTGCTGCTTGTTCGTCCCGGCAGTGAGCAAGGCATCGTGCGACTGCCAGAAAGTCCACGTCCAGCTGGCAGCATTGTCGATCTCCACACCTCCGAAGAACGGATGGATGTTCGACATCACAAAGTCGGCTGCGCTGACCAGTTCCTGGTTCCAGTTGTCACCCAGGTCCGAAGTGCCCACGGGAATGTCGATGCTGTGATTCTTGAAATGATCCTTCACGTCATTCATAAACCCGATCAGATTCTTCTCTGCGCTCGCGACGTCGGAGCCGGCACGGTACAGGGCTTCGTTGCCGACAATCGCGCCTTTGAAAACCGAAGTACTGTTGGCATTGTCCACGATCTTATACAACTGGTCAATCTGTCGGTCCGTCGTGGTCTGGTTGCTGTCGATCCACACGCCAAGCCAGACCTTCATGTCCGTCAGCTCCAGGCGTTCGATGGCGTCGAGGACCATCTCTGTTTGATTGCAGTCCGTGCCGTAGAGTCGAATGTTGTTGGTCAATTGAGTCAGAACGGCGAGGTCGCGCGTCACGTTATTCTGCGAAGGGGGGTATTTGAGGCAGAGCGGGTACTGCACACCCCAGGGAGTATAGTCGATGCCGGGAAACACTTTATGGAGGTCTTTATTGTTCATCAGCGCCTTGATCTCCGCGGAGTTCTTATCGAGCAATCCATCGTTGCTGTCCGAACCAGAACTACCCGATGTCGACGCCGTCGAATCACCACCATCATGCTGCTGATGACCTACAGTCCCCCCAACAGCACCTCCGACAATGGCACCAACGATGAGCGCGGCAAGGACAAGCCCGACAATCCAACCGCGCTTCCGGCTCCCTCCACCGATGATATGGCTGCCTCGTTGACCTTTCTCCACCGCCTCTAGACCAACAGGCCCATACGGGGAATATGAATCCGGCTCCTTCTTTCCCTTTCCCTTGAACAACGCCCTCAATCCACCAAACATTCCCACAGTTGCCGCGCCCCCCGCCGCAGCCGGCCCCGCCCCGTCCAGCCCGCGATCTTCAACCCCCTTCGGCACAACAGCAAATCCATCATCGCCATCATCCGCAATATCATCCGGGTTGATAACCAACGGATAGTCATGCGAACTATACGCCGAATGCCTATGGTACGGGCCGGCATCGACGCCCTGATACGGACTATCAAAGAAACTGCGTTGGGACGGCGTCGTCCCGGGTGTACTCTGCGCCAGTCCGACATTCGAACCATATGAATCGCGAAACCGCGCCGTATCCGAGGTCGAGTACATGCCCATGCCCATACTCATGCCCCCATCCGGCGGAGTGGCAGGCACGTACGGGTTATCCGAACCGGCGGTATGAAAGTCGCGTTCACCGTAGGAAAACCGAGCACCGTCTGTGGCAGTATCTATATCCCTAAAAGCGTCAACGCCACTCTGACGATCATGCGTGTTTGCAATCCCGAGAGCGATACCACTGATTCCGCCTCCCACCGCCGCCGGGCCCAAATTGTCCATCCCTGGCGTGGCGGTGTACATGCGTTCCAGACGTTGACCTTCAGGCACGGAGGCGAGGCTCGTCCTGTCTCCGCTGCCGCTGCCGCTGCCGGAGACTCGATTCTGGGCGTGGCTTTGATCGTCGGCGTGGTTGAGGGATAGATTTAGGCTTCCGTTGGGGGAGCGCATTGGTGGAGCGATTTCGCGCGCTTCGGACCCGACTAGCCCATCATCCCCGCGGGTGTAACTGAATGACCGGTAGAGACCGGCCATAGTGGTTGGATGGGTTGGTTTTGCAGGTGGATGCGTGAGGATCGAGGTAATTTGATTGATGAATTAGGTGTATGGCGTTGGGGTAGGTGTAGTAGGTAGGTGTAGCTGGTATAGTAAGTATCTAGGTAGTAAAAATAGATTGCCGGCAGGTAAGCTGACAGCCGCGATAGGTAGAGTAGGTTAGGTTAGGTTAGGGTAGAGTATGGTAGTAGGGACCAGGGAAACAAACGAGTGGAGGAGAAGAGACGAGACGAGACGAGATGAAATCAGGCCAGGTTGGAGCTTCTAGGCGAAGAGTCTGGAGAGAGCTGGTGAGGCAAGGGCAGAAAAGCGGTCGACGGACAGGCAGGTAGGCAGTAGGTGGGAGCACTAAGTAAGTACCACGAGTTACTGTAGTACTAAGAGTGGCAATGGGTGTCGCTTCTGAAACGAGAACAGTCTGCCAGGCAGGCAGGCAGTCCTGGCTGGGGGGCCGGGCCTGACCCACGGATGAATGGCTCTTTGGCAGTGATCCAGCGAGCGACGGCCGGATCGATGCTGAGGCAACTGCGACATCCGCGGAGTAGTCAGCATACCAGGGTAGACAGGTCAGAGTCAGACAGCGGACTCGATCATACATGGGATCTCAAACTAGGTTTCTGCGATGTCTTGGATGCGGGACGTGAGGGGTCGACAGGCAGCACAGTACGGTGTTGTGTTGAACACGAGAGACAGGGAGAGAGAGAGAGAGAGAGAGAGAGACATTCACAGGGAGGGATGGATGAATGGATGGATGGATGGAAGGAAGGAAGGAAGGAAGGCAGGAGAGGGGCGATGCGATGAAAGAATCAACAAGCGGAGTCCTGTCAGAGTGCACTGTACGAGGCAGCGAGCCACAAAGTGACGTCTGCATCCGGAATCAAAGAAGTCGACGGGGTGTTAGTGCTAAGTATACTTACCAACCAAGTCAGTCAGTCACTTCGCAGCGTCGCACTAATCCCAGGGTCCAACTGCCCTAGACCAGATGCGGTCTAGCCCGCTCCCCATCCGGCCGGGCTAGCCCGAATCGGGGTTCCTGGAGAAACCCTTGGGTCCGAGGCACGTGCCCCGCTGCGGCACCAATCACACCGCGGAGACCCTGGATGCGGCAACCAGGCCTGTCCACTAAGTCCTACTACTGTACTTAGTTGATAGTACATGTCTGCACTCGGTTAAGGTTGGCGCACCAGAAGATGCAGAAGGTTTTGATTTCCAGGATCAGGGCTAACAGTCAATAATAGTAATCATCAATCATCATTGCATGGCATATTTTTCTTTTCACAGTGAAGGAGGTAGGAGGAGGCTGCCGTAAATCGTCACAATCATGTCACACACAAGCACAAGCACAAGCACAAGCACACAAGCACACAAGCACACAAAAAAATCCATCAGACCGCCATATCCGTTCCCATATCCCATATCCATATCCCTTGCCCCTCGATCATGATCCTTCCCTCGTATCTATTACATTTACATAGCATAGCATAGCGGCCCATGATTCACAGTCGTTCCGGCATTAACATCAATCAACAGAGACAGTCGAGAGAAAGGGAGGAGGAAGGGAAGAAGAAGAAGAAGAAGAAGAAGAAGAAGAAGAAGAAGAAGAAGAAGAAGAAGGCAAGAATAAAGAGCGAGCGGGGACGTAGAATGAAAGAACGTGAAGAAAAAGAAGAAAGAGAAAGGTAATCTCTGGCTAGAAGCCAGGAACCGTGGCCGTGAATATCGCCTACCATCCTATCATATCATATGTATCCCGATGATAACGATAATGGTGGTGATCAGGCTTCGACTTCCTCGGCGCTGCGTTGGGAAGCAGACACGGTACCCTGAGCCGACGACCCCCCGGGGGCCCGTCGATTGCGCTCGAGAAACCGTCGCTTGCCCGGTCGGGTCTCGAAGTGTCGGGGGATCGTGGATGTCTCCTGGCCCGCAGCGAGCATCGTACTGCGCATTTTGTTCCGGTACGCGTCAACTAGACGATCACAAAGGTCAGTACTCCGTACAATTGTACAATACTGCATCGAGTGCAGCCCTCGCGTCACTGTGGGGCAATGGGGATAGGGAAACGCCAATCAGGGATCTACCGATGAACATCCCACATGCAGACGACGCAAGGGGGATCGGAGGGTAGGGTTTGGGGGATGATGGATCACGCACGCGATCGCTGCAGGAACAGCATTCGGCCGGCGAATACTCGGCTCTGACTCCAGCTCATTCGATAGCCCAGATCATTCAAGAGGACCTCCGTCTTCCGTCGTCCGCGCGACAGTCTGGGAACCGCAATCTCACCGTCCCCGTCGATCTGCGGAGCGGGGACCATGGTCTTGCCCACGGTCGGGCTTTCGTCGTCATCGTCGAGTCCAGAGACATCCTTCATGTACCGGTTGCCGGGAAGGACTCGGCCCGGAGGATCCCTCATCTGAACGGGGAAGTAGGTCCGAGGGTATACAGAGTTGGACATGCGGTAGGAGTCCGGGATCTCATCCATGTCGACCTGATCCAACATGACCTTGACGCGGACGCGGCATCCCCGTTGGTTGTCGTCCACGAGGATGAACTTGCGGCGTTTGCCTTCGGGAAGCGTGCCGAAGAGGGCTTCGTTGCTTGGGTTTCGTTCGTCGTCGTCTTCGTCCACGTCGTCCATTCGGGTCGAGGAGGTGGCCACGGCTGGGTGGCGTCCTAAGGTCCCGATCCCGCTATCCCGAAGAAGTGGTGGTATCGAAGGGCCTCGGGAGCCCCCTGAAGCACTCGCGGAAGTCGGGTAGGAGGGATAGCCGTGGAACACCTGCGCCGTGCGGTGGTCCGTTGGCAAATGTCCAGGTTGCAGAAGAACGTCAGGGGCGGGTGCACGGCTGGTACCGTTCGTAAAATCGGAGGTGCCTAGTAGGTAGGATAGGACAATATATAAAATTAGCCTACGCGAAACTGCAGGTGGCACGTCATGTTTGAAAGCACAGCGGGGTACAGTATGACACGCAAAACATGAATTGGGTATGGCTGAAACAAAGAAAGACAAAGACCTCCCAAACCAGGTAGAAATACATAAAATCCGGGTATCCGTCATTCAGAAGAAAGCACGTCGAGTCCTTCAGCGGCGATCCTTAGATGTGGACCGGGAACAGGATGAAAAGAAAGAAAAGGGAATACACAGCAAGTCGATATGACCACCATTATTGTTTAAAAGCAGCGTCAAAAACGAGCATATCATACGTGGTGGAACATACCGCTAACTTCCTCATGGCCAGCTTCAGGTTGGTGGTGATGGTGGAGCTGGGGGGGACCCATAGACAGGGGCCCTAGAGTGGGGCGTGGGACAGGTGCCGCCATAGTGGGAGTTGGAACCCCCGGAGCAACCGGGGTGGAGGGAGCCATGTGAGATGACTGTGCTGGGATTCCCTGTCGCCGACTAATTTTGGCCATCCTCCGCACGCGCCTGCTTCGAAGTCGGGGGTCCTGGTTGCTGTTTCTCCAGCTATCAACGGCACGTTGGATTAGACCACGCTTCCCTCTCAAGGCAGGGTTAAGCTCTGCCAACGCCCACCCAACAGCGTTACATTCGGTCTCGTATACCAACCGGTTACCTTTGTATTGATCCTTGCTGCAACAGGCTCGGGGATAGACGCAGTTCTCTGTCTTGAAGTCCTGGCTAAGATTATCCACGTTAACTGATTCGACATCGCACCTGATGGTATACTCCATCTTCACCCGGTCCCGGGAGTATTCGAACGCAATCCATTGGACTCCGTTGCTATCTTGCCGTACAACCAATGGCGTCGTTGCTGGAATTGGGCCAGGTGCGGCACTAGAGCTGGCCCCGACACTGGGGCTCTGGTGGTGGACAGTACTGGTTGAGAGAGGAGCCCCCGTACTGGTAGGATGTGGCGGGTTCAACATCGTCCTCTGTGGCGGGGTTGGCTGTTGTGCTGTGGCTGTCGTGGGGCTTCCTCCGATGGGCCCAATGGGAGCCTGGGCCGGATGATGTGGCAATTGCGCGGTGCTTGTCTGATGGGGAATCATCATCGATTGCGAGGTGAGAGGGTGCTGTTGGGGAGATGTATTCGGCCCGTACGGCGGAGGCTGCACCGGGTTCATAGCTGGGTAGGGTGGGTATCCATACATCTGGGACGTCATTTGGGGAGATTGCGTAAAGAGACTTCGATTATGTTGTTCATGCGTTTGAGAGGCCACCGACGCAGGCGAGCTAGACTGGGGGGTATGGTAAATTGGAGGATATGGCCGTTGCATTTGCGTGGCTGTAGCCATCATTTCAGATGGTCCTGGTAATTATCAGCGCCCGTCTTCTTTCGGTTCTAAAAGTGACCACCTATGGAGAAGTTTATTTCCCAACAGTGGACAGAACATCACTCTCCTGCACTCAATAGACCCAACAAGTCTGATAAGAAAATTTAAACCGTGACTTACCACTAGATGAATACTGGCTCGGCGCACTGGCTGTCGTATAAGAAGAATGAGAAGTATAGTACGGTTGCTCGGAAGGTTGGCCGTAAGGGTGCTGGTGATGCAAAACCCCGTTTGCCAGCGCGTGGGGTGCGTATGATCCAGGGGGCAATGTACTTGGGGGTTGGTGTGGTGAGCCTGGCTGCTTCTGAGGCTGAACTAGGGTTGGTCTGGGATGCTGGAGATGTGGGTGTTGTGGGCCTTGATGCCGATGCTGAATCAAATCACCGTGTTAGCGCTGGCATTTGTAGAGCAATGAAGTGCTTGTGGCTTGTGTCGACGATTTATGGGCATAGATAGGTAGTGAATATTGAAAGAAAAAGATGGCAACAGGCAATAAACAACAAGGCAGTACATGAGGAGGCAATGAGAGGGGCAAGGAGTTCCAATAATCTTTCCCATTCTGGAGCCTTCAAATGACAAACTGGGGCATGCCCATTCGAAACCTAAGCCGCGACAGGCACACAGTATGCGAACGAGCCACGTATTCAGGCATGTGTATTCCACGGGAGACGTCTGATGCGCCTGCAGTGAAAGGCAGCATCCGAAGCACCGAGAAGAGATATTTGTGGTTGACAACGCGGAAGTTGGGTCAGCGAGTCGGAGTTTCCATGGCTTTGACGACATGATCCTTGAGATCCCGGGTAAATCAAGACCTGAACAAATCCCGGTGGATGTCTCCCACAGGGGATCAGGATGACATAGGGAATATGAGCACGTGGCGTTTCAATGGAGCGTGTTCAAGTTGTAGACGCAGCCAAGGGGGTAAGCGATGATTCTCTGCGAACGCGCTCAGGGAACGTGGCGGAATCGGAACAAGACCGTGTGATGGCCCTGTAGCCTCATTGAAAGCTCCGATGCCATAGGGCGTATTTTCTGATGAGCAAATTCCGAGGCGAATAATGGGATGGTGACGCTCGAGATCGAGATACAAGGGGAACCAAGAGTCCGTGCATCGATCATGGGTCGAAAGCCCGCAGGATATTCCTCACTATCGGGGGAAGTCCGACAACAGATGTACTCGTATGCTGTTCCATGGCACGGGGGTTTCACTCCTATACTCCCGGGTCCCTCCTAGTAACAGGCATGTAGGAGACTGGGTTGTCCTTGGAAAAAGAAAGCGTCCACCATGGATTGAGTGATGCGGGCGACGAGGAGCGTGGACAGGTAAGAGCAGAAAAAGAAAACATTGAAAAAGAAAGCATCGCGGTAGGGAGATCAAGGCATAGTAGGGTAAAGCATTGCGCAGGTGAGAGTTCACTCACAGGATCTTCCACGGGTTCGTCTTTGTATTTGGACGCGGTTGGATGAGCTAGGTCAGTCTGAACCATGCCGGTCATGACTGACCTGGGATGGCCTGAGATGGAATTCTTTATTTTTGATCGTCTGAGATTTGCTTTTCTTCCTTAATGGACGGGGTTCATATAGGAAAGTCGAGATGACATGGAAGGACAGCAGCTGAGGAGCAGCAGAGACAACAACAACAACAAGGACTCCCACCACAACAGAGTTCAGCTGGAGATCGGTTGGGGAAACAAATGCGCGTAAAAAGATAGTTTCGGGGAGGGGGGAGGGGGGGGTCAGCAACGGGTGCGGGAAGGATAGCTGGACTAGACTAGTAGAGGAGAGCTTGTGAGGAGTAGAGCTAATGAGAGGCTGAAGGGTAACGGTAGTGGCTCGCTGGTCCGTGTGGCTCTGGACTGGGGTAAGGGGGAGGGGGTGGGTGGTCAGTAGTGGTGGTGGTGGTGGTGGTGGTGGTGTTGGTGATGATGATGATGGGCCTGGTTAAACGGTGCGATGCGAGTGCAAGTGTAATGTGGAGGGTCCAGGGTCGTTATTTAGCTGCGCCGGAGACCCATCCTTCAGCCAGAAGAGTCGTCCGGAGGCAGCTATCCCGGAACAGGAATGGGGACGATTCAGAACTCTGGGGGGGAGAAATTAAAGCAGGGAGGGGAAGGGAATTTTGAATTTTGGGGGGTGGGAGGAATAAAGAAAAAATAAAAGTAAATAATCACCCCAAGAAAAATAAGTCGAAAACGGACACAGTGAGGGAGGGCAGGACAGCGTCAGAGGTGCACTGGCTAGTGGGGATATCAGGATGAGCTTGTAACTAGCGGGAAGGTGGTGTAATATTGACCAGGATGGATGCAGGATGCAGGAGCAAAACGCGAATGCGACACACTGGAGGGTATGGAGAAGAGGGACTCGGCCAGGCGACGGTGTTCGCGAGAAGCAGCAGAGGAAGCGAAAAGGGAGATAGATGGTGAGGTGAATGGTGCTGACACGATCAACTGCCTGGGAGGGAAGGATGATTTGCAGCGTGCAGTGGCAGCGCGGACGAAGTAACCGAACAGTGCAAAAAAAATGAAAAAAAAAGAAACAAGAACAAAAACAAAAATAAAAATATACACGATGAGAAAAAGGAAAACCGATTCAAGATCCAAACCCAAACAAGTCGAAGGAAATGGGGAAAATCAAGGGGAAAATAAAATAAAAATTGGACAACTGCCAGGATTTCCAAAGGAAATTCGGTACAGGCCAGGCAGGTAGGAGAATTTCCCTGCCAAAGGAAATGCTCGATGCAGACACCCCAGGATGACGGTCGACCGGGGCTTCAACCATTGACAGCACCGCAGCCTCGGGGATTGTTTGACGATAAGAGGTCCAGGGTGGTGGTGGGTGGTGGTAGGGGGCAACAAGATGGGCGTACCTTAGGTCCTTCCAATTGGGAACCCCCCAGCAGAACAGGCAATCAAATCAATCCAATCCGACGAACGAGGAGCGTGAGGCAAGATTTGATGGTGCAAACTTAGCCCGGCAGAGGAAACGCAGACAAAGACCGCAGACAAAGAACCAGATCTTGAAACTATAATGACGATGAGGAGATGGGGGCCCGCCGTTGCTTCGCGGCGCCGGTTCTTGTACTCGAGAGGGAACTTCTTGACTAGCCCAGGAGTTGACAGGGGATGATGCGTGAGGGAGCTGGTGGTTAGGGAGAAGTACGGTTCTTGATCATCTGCTTGTTGCTGTATGGTCGATGTCTGTAGAGGAGAGGATCGATGTAAGTAGGCTGAGAATCCTCATTCATACTTCGCACTCCCCACCCATCATAGGTATACTTGACCCGGAATCAGAATTGGCCAGGAATAAAATATTGAACGGCGACAGAAATTACGACAATCATCCGACTATCTTGGGGAGCTCTGGCAGGAAGGTTGCAGCCAGGCAAGGTCGGTCACTACTCACTTGCACTAATTGCTAGCCTGTAGTCAGTAACAAAGCAGCGAGTGTGTGCGGGAGTGTGGGAGAGATTATTGAGAGAGTGGGCACAGATGGAGGGGTGAGTGTCCCTATGGCTGTGACAGGTCGTCGTGTTAGCCCAGGTGGTTTCCCATTTGTCCTCTGGAGATTGTGTGCATTAACCCCTCTTAGTCAACGCTGCTTCCAGCTTCCATTCTTTCCAGACGCCTGGCCAAGTCTCTCAGTCATTTTTTTTTAAAAAAAAAAAAGAAAAGAAAATGTCGAAATCGATTTTTCTTTTTGTCTCGACAGTAAAACAAACCACCCCAAAATAAATAATGCAGCCAAAAATAAACGACTGGGAAATAATAATAATAATAATAATAATGATAATAATCAAAATCAAAATCAAAATCAATAATGCGGAAAGGCAAGAAAGCGAGAATAAGACTCGTTGGCTGGAGTGGATAAAAATTCCCATTGGCATCTTGGGCTCCGGCTCCCCACCCCGTTCTTTTAGGTTTGGGAGGGGAGGGCAGGAATTGGATGGTCTGGAATAATGAAGATTGGCGCCGGGAGGATTAGGCACGGTACAGCAGCCGTTGGTTTGAGGTTAGTTTGATGGCCGCCGGATTGAACGGCACCCGTCGTTTTACTTCGTGACAACAGAAATGGCAGGTGGTGGCAAGTACAGAGTACCAGGTAGGTCGCAAGCAGATCGCAGGTAACTAACTACTACTAGATAGCACGTAATCCGTCAATTAGTATAGTAAGTTAGATAGGTACGGAGTGTCCGTACCAGCATCGGGGTTGGATCTCGCAGAGACCGACCCAAGTCAGGTACCACCGATGGAGTCTTTGTTCCACTCACATAAGCGGCCAGGATGTCCCAACCGCGCCCCCCCATCATCATAGAGAGCCATAATAAGAGCCCACCGCGGTGATCATTTCGGAAGGGCGACTGGAATGGTACCCTTGGTTGGCAAACTATACCCGCGCCGTGCCCTGACAGCCATGCCTCCACTTGGTCGGCATGGCCTGTGATGCTGCCTCGATGGGATCGGCCGAGTCGCTACCTAAACCATCCATCTCACGATCCGGCCGCGGATGATGAACGGTGGTCGTTGTCGCTCGCGCTTGTTCGATGTTTGCTGCGATGGGGTTCCAGTTCCAGTTCCAGCCTATTATTGGTCTTGTGCATACATATGATTGTAAGTTTGTGTCTGTTTCTTCCTGACCACAGTTTGTCTAGAATTGCGGCTTTTTCCCCGTGGTCTTCTAGCTCCATTTGCCTTTTTTTTTTTTCTCTTCTCCCAATCTCCCCTTCTCCAATCCCCATCAATATTACCAAATACGCGACTCGATCTGGTTACACTCCGGTATGAGAACAACCGATCTGACTTGCTGCTGTCAGCCTTGTTCCCACTTGCCAGGACGCCACACGACTTGCACCCCCCCCCCCCCTCCTCCTCCCGAGCCCTCCATCAATCAAGATCAGCTCCCAGGAGCGCCATAGGTCGCATCAGGTCAAATTTCAGGTTTGCGTCCAGTTCCTATTTTCTTCTTCTTACTTCAGTACTTACGATGATGGTTCTAAGATTCGCACGCCGATGCCATCCACGCCCACCCAATCGTAGCCACCCCTCCTCGGCCCCCGTCCAAATAAACATGAGACAGCCTAACGGGGGCCGGCCGAATGAATCACCTTCGTCATGCGAATGGAAGGGAGTGATGGCGATGAGGTGGAGGAGGAGGAGGGTGATGATGATGATGATATTGCCGCCGATGCTGTGGACAGGATAATGACCGTGTAACCCCAGCTCTTGGGCTGGAAGGTGGCCGATCAGTCCTGGCCATCTTGGTGGACACTCCTGATCCTGCCGCTTCCCGGCGACTAGCTTCCTGCATCATGCTTCAACACCTCCTGTACTTCACTCCAGGCGTGATGAACTGATGAACCTTCCCGTTGACGATCGAGTCACCCTGGAAGCCCAGTCAGTACTCCGTAGATAATAGTGCATTTTCAGAGCATCGTTGGCCAGGGGGAGCCGGTGCGCCCCGGATGGGCCGACGGGGCCGTGGCCAGAAGGGGGGGGCACGCTGGATGGTCGCTGGTGATTCCCGTCGATGGCCTCGAGTCTCCAGACCAGCCCGCAGCCTGTCAGAAGCCACGGGCCGGCTCCACCCATACTTCCGTGCAATCAGACCGTGGCTCCACCGTTAGTGGACCTTGGCAATTGGGCCTCGAATGTCGAATGAAAATACCCAGAAAAAAAAAAAAAAGAATATCCCAGGGAAGTAAGTATACCTACCGTAGGCAGCCCGAATTACTTACGAATAGTAAGTAGTACTTGCGGTACTAGGCGCCCGCCCGCGATAAGATACTTCCTTTCAGCCATGTGTGGTGGACATTACTTATTGTACGGAGTAGTCAGTCTGCGGTTGCTGCGGTTCTTTTCCTTTTCGAGAAAATCATAAGAATGACCTCGTGCACCACTCCCATGTGAAATGAAGCTGGTCGTGATTGTCTCGGATGATATGTTAAAGGGGGGACCGGCCGATGTTGTGCGCGCCGCGAGACAATGGGGAGACGGACCACCTTCGCGACATGCCGGAGCTAAGTAAGCATGCTGTGTACTGTGCTGCGCGCCGTCTGCAACTCTTGGGACGGCTTTTGTCCGATGACAGGAGCGAACGGAGTACGGAGTCGCACGTACCTGGACTAGTAGTTGTGACAGACCCCGATGATGGTTACTACTATTACCAACCAGCAAGCACCCAGGGGGTGGCCATCAGTCGGCGCACACCTCCCATATCCAACGTGGTTCAGTCATGGCATCATCAGCGCCATCGGGATAACTAATAATAACCGATGGCCATCGACTCCAAATTGATCATGAATCTTACTGGGCATGCCGAAAAAGGACACTGGAGACTTTCCAGAACCGGGCTAGTGGGTCGTCGTAGTCGGAGCTCCCTTTGGGACATATTTGGATTTTGGAGGTTGGAGGGTTGGAGCCGGTTCGCTGCTAAGTATCTAGGGGCAGCGCCGTATCTATCCATCACCCTCAGCTTTCCAGGAGGCCATGTGTGTGGCATG